CCTCCAAGGTCGACGAGACTGGGGCCACTTGACCGGTGCGTCAATCGCCTATTCGTCTTGGCCAGGCCATCTCTTCACCGGGCGCAGCTTTTCCCCCTCCTCATATTGCGTTCATGCATCCAGCCGGCAGGACCAACACTTGCCAAGTCGCCTTTCTGGTTTCTCCAAAAGAGCCTGTTTCTAGGGGGCACGAGCAAATACCGAGGCAATTTCGCCGTGCAGCAAACTCTCGGGCAACAAACTCGCTCGGGGGGAAACTGGATGAACTCAGGTTCCTGCAGGATTGCTAATCCAGGGCTGAGGGCCAGACAGACACACACACAACTGAATATTACTGAGCTGGCTGAGCTGGCTGAGATGTACCCCGCCATCCAAGCTCTCACAGCTCAAACTGCCATCGACTTCTAGGGAGAGCTGAATGACGTCTTATTCTTATTCTTTTAATTTAAATTTTATTTTCCAGCCCTCCTCCACGTCCGTGGTGTGGCGCCTATGTCACCGCATTTAGCGGTTCTCAGAGGCTGAGGGGTGCGGCAGGACAGGTAGTTAAGCCTCAAGTGAGTACGGATTTACAGTGCCAGTGTGAGGTGGTTTATGCACTCGCTTCCCGGACCCCCGTTGCGCCGTGTGCCGTGTGCCGTGCCGTGCCGTGCCGCTCCAAGAAAAAACGCAGCGCTGAAATTGGGGGGAACACTGTGAACGGCGGTGCCCCAACGTCGGCCAAGCAAGGGAGCAGCCCGCAGCCCGCCAACCTGTCCTCCGCGTGTATATACACTATTATCTATATGTTCCAAAAAGATGGCGCGGCAGTCAGCCGCGCCGGATATGCGACACTTCGTCGCTGTGGCTGTTGTGGAGGCTACGTAATGAACAATCTTACGTTGACAACTTCGTGTGTTGTGTACTTGGCTTCTTCCCGTGGTACCTATTGTGTTCCAGGGGTGGTAGGCTCAGGGGTATCACTGCCATGATGCCCTTGTCGGCCATTACAGCCGTGCCAAACCGAGTCGTACACAAGCCACAACGAAGATCGATTCTTGAACCCCAGCCAGCTGCCCTCCGTCAGGGTTCACAGTTCATGGCGAGGGGAAGTTGGGGAACAAGCAGTACCGCAAGACGTTCAAATTTTAAGGCATTGTCTGAAAATAGACACCAATCGCATAGGGTCGCATTACTCCACCTAGAGGCAATTAACCCTGTTAATAAGACGGACCGGTAGTACATAATAAGAATGAGATTGATGACAAGGACCCAGTGATGCTGACGAGGATGGATGCCTGACCATGATGCCACCGTCGTGTGATTGGGTGCGTTTACCTTCCATCGGCCGCCATGCATGTGCAACACTGAGATCTCGGCCTCTCGCTCGGCATTGCCAACGTTGATCAACTCTCCAGACTCGGGAGCCAGACGGAGTTCTACCGTAGGCCTGAGGTGACCAGTAACGGCCCTGTAAAGTCACATGGTCGCAGTGGCAGAACCAGCAGGCTGGATCACTACCACACCAAAAAGCATTTCGGACCGACCACGTGCGCATGCTGGCTGTCTCGTCTGATCTCACTCGGCATACGTCCGAAAGAGACGTCCAAGTTCGCCAGCCCGCCACCTGCCAGACTCGGCAGCATGTATCCTCACTAGAAAAGGCCCGAGTCTCCTTGCCAGTTGGGACTTGGGGACCGAGCATAGGCCCGTCTTTCCAATCCCGCCGAGCTGGTGTGCCACGCCAATTCGCCGTGGAGCTGTCCTTCGAATGCTAGATGCAGGAAGCTGTCGAAAGAAGAAAGAACCCTCTCTCGTCTGTTCCTCCGGCAGCATCAGCGAGCAAACGAGGCGTCTCTGTCCTCACCCGTGCGCTCAGGGTGATCGATCGATCAGATCTCGTGTCTCAGTGTAGCATGTCTAGCTAAGCAGTAACTGGGCTGGGTTAGGTTATTAACACCAATGTTCCGAGTCTTCTCCGTGTTCTAGAACACACTCCATGGAATCGTTTCCTGCGTCTGTCTTGGATTCGGTGCCTAGAGGAGGCCTCGTAATCAGGACTGCCCAAACCCCCCCCCCCCCCCCCCCCCTTCTCTCCTTTAGCTCCCTCTAGTCACCCATTCAGAAGTAATGGTCAAGTTGAGCAAGATTCGGTCCGCATGGTGGCTGGTGACATATCCGGTGAGGATAAATCCATCGTCCTAGAGCAACTAGCTATGCATCTGTTGCCGAATGGGGTTATTGATCCTCACCGTGAACAACACGATGGAAAGAACGAACCTGTCGCAAATACCAAAAGCCTATGTATCCTGGATCGGGGAAGTTTATCAAGGGCCTTGACGCAAGTATTGTACGTACCCCAACGTAGGATAACTCTGTGCAATGGAGGCCAAGGCCCCCTGAGAGTCATGAAGGGTCAGATGGACGGTGCGTAGCATGTGGAATGTCGACGGCATTTGCACCAGATGGGAGGTGAGGGCCACTCGCATAGCCATTTGCCCCTTTTTGGGGCAGAACAGTAATGTGACGCCTCCGTATGACCAGTCACTGGAGTAGCTGTTGTCCGTCTAGCACTTTTCGACAGAGTTAGGGGCACCTCGATTCTTCGAATTGCTGAGCGCAAGACCGATCATCTGTAACCCCCCTTTGCCAGAGGACTTGGAGTATCGACTCTGAACTTCATTTCTTTCTTGGCTGATAAAGGGGTCCGCTCATTGCTTGCTGTCAATATTTCGACGGTTCCCTGGCGCGCAAGCCCAATCTTTTGCTAGAGAACATTTGGAGAATGGCCTCTTGTCTTTTCAGAGTAAAGTTGTTCTCAGCTCCTCGTCGGGCTTGGATTACAATATCCTGGTTTGCTTCTGATCTGGCAATGTTGTTCCGTAGGAACCCTGCCCCGTATCGACCGGCATACATATCTGCTGCGGTACTAGTTAATGCTCCTTCCGATCAAATTGTGATATGCGAATACTATCCCTTCATGGAAAGTTGCGAAAGGCCCCCTGAGTAGTCTTGGGTTGGCTCGGCTGAGTATCTCAAAGAGACCTGTTTCGGTCCTCGACCTATACCAGTCCTGTGCTCGAACAGTCCAACAGATAAATAGAACCAATGCCTCATGCATAGGAAGAGAATGGGATACCCGGAATATCCGCAAGTTTTTGCAACTAAGCATACCGAGGTGACGGAGATGAATGGGGCAGTGTAAGACTTGAGCTCTCCAGGTTGTGAAGACTCATGTTGCCCCTATTATTCCGATACGTATAGCATCGGGTTATTTAAAACACATGTCAGTGTCCCTGACACCAGCAGCTTCGTCCACGATTAGTACCTCGACCATAGTGAATGATTGCTCACGTCGAGTCTAATTGCAGAGTCCCTGTTCTCAAATTTACTCAACAACACGTCATTTCTAACATCAGGCACGCGAAGGTTCGTTGAGCTCCCCACAATTCCACGCCGTCGAGGCCAAAAGACACCAGGGCAAACTCCAACTTCTCTCTCATCGGCACCGCCGTCACCGGTACCAGCCTTGCTTTCGACATTGGAAAGTGCCGTACACTGCGGGTCCGGCAAGAGGTACTTGCAAAGATCCATCCATCCAATCTCTCAAAGATTAGCCCTTGAGGGTTCAGTCATCGAAGTTCCCAGAAACAACTGAACAAAGAAAGGAGAACCATTGAGGTAGTTGCAGATATCAGCACGGCTTCCACCGGCGTTTTCCAAAGTGGCAATGGAACCACATCGGGGGGATGTGGAAGGGAGGGGCTTGCAAAAGAATGCACGGTAATTATCAGACGGATCTTGGGCAAGGGATTGGACATATAGTGTAGGGTTGGGAGATCCCCCCAAATATCGGTATGTTGAAACTCCTTTGGAACCGTCAAGCCTGTTTTCTCCGGGGACGGATCTTATATTTGGATAAGCCACATCAGTCTGTTGCTGCTGAATCCCGTCGGCTTCATCCAGGCTATGCTGGAGAAAAAGCTCACGACGGACAGGTGGTTATGAACACATCCAAGCAATCCTTGTTCTCCAGTATTCTAGCTCGGGTGTCACTGCCTTCACCCCTGCAATGGTCTGATACTGCCGGCAAAGAGCACCACCAACTTTGGTAGCGACTCAGTGATTTGTCCAGATCATCTGGTTAGCCTAGAGCCAACCCTCGTTATTGAGTCTGGGCACGAGGATATCCACTGCGCCTAGTCCAGCCTGAGTGATGCCAACAACATCGATGGGATGAAGTGCGTCTTCGGCTGCAAAACATTAGTATCCTCACTCAAAAGGATACTTGATAGCATCTCTTGATGGAATGTTCCGTCTACTGAATGGCTCTTCAAAGGTCTCAGCTTGAGCTACACCTGGAGGCATTTCTCGGCATCATATAGTAATAGCGTGTATCTTATAGATGGCATTGACTTCGCCCGAGTAGTTAGCTTGGACATGAACGAGATTGTACACGGTGACGTGGGGGACGGAATCCAAGGAATGTTCCATATCAAGTTCCTCGGTCAACTTGCCAGAGTCGGAAGCCATGGAATTCAAGGTTCTATGCAGAAGTGAATAGGTACTATGGCAGACGTGTCCGCACTTGACGGCGAAGGAGCTTCATCAATATGTCGTGGTCCGTCTTCCGTGGCTAGTGGTGTGGCTGACGGGTTGAGCCGCAAAGCTTGAGCGGCAGCTGGCACCTCCTTTTTCCTGTCAGCTGCCGTGCGTGCAGCAACTCCAATCTGGGCGGTCCTCCAATGAGTTCAATTCTCCAAAGATCCCGATCTCCAATTTTGTGGACCCGCAACAGGCTAAAATACCTAATCTTATCGTCCAGATTATTTCCACGAGCCGTTGATTGCCATGATCTCAACGTGTAAACCTAGGTAGCCATTAGCAGGTGGCTCGCTCGTGAGGAACCAATTCCTTCAACTTCACTCCTTTGCTCGCCGTTGAAACCCGTGTTGGTCCGCCCGTCAGCCTCGCCGTCATCCTCATCCCCGGCCGCAACCCGACGCGACACGACCGCAATGATGGGTTGGTTGAAGGCCTTCGCGGGCTATGTCACGCCGATATTCCTCATCCTGTCGCCCGTCATCAGCTACGCCGACCAGGTCTATTCGATGCACAGCTCGAAATCGAGTGCGGGCTTCTCCTTAGACATTCCCCTGATCATGCTCGTGGCTTCAATGCTGAGGTGAAATACGGAAGCCTGACCCAGCAAGAGCAAGACTTGGACGATATGCTGATTTGGAAGCGACGCAGGATATTCTACTACCCCGGCGCGCGATTCGATAATGCCCTCCTGATACAGTCGTTTGTCATGATAGTCATGCAGCTTATTCTCCTGAAGATTGCTTTGGATCATCGACCATCTCCAACGTCCAAGGGCGGAGAGGCAGGAGCACCATTCGCGGGGGCGCAGGATGGATCATGGGACAAGGCGCGGCCGTACAATTTCTGGCAGTGGAGATCGCCGAAACCGTGCGTTGCAATGTGAATACTATCCCAGAGTCACGCTGACTTCTCTAGATACTGGAGGTTTCTCTTGTACCTGTTCATAAGCCTCACGGTCTGCGAGCTCATCCTCGCCCCGTTCGACTTGGTGTATCCCGCCTATTCTGTCCTTATAGGCTACACCGGCCTGTCCATTGAGGCGACGCTCCCGATCCCGCAAATCCTCACGAATGCGCGATCCAAGTCCTGCAAGGGCTTCCGATTCTCGGTCTTGGCCAGTTGGTTGCTGGGAGATTGCATGAAGATGTACTGGTTTTTCACGTCGCCGACGACGATTCCCTGGGCCTTCAAGTCCAGTGGTATGTTCCAGGCTTGCTGCGATTTCTTCCTGGGAATACAATACCTCATGTATGGCAGCGGCGATGTTCCGATCAAAGACTGGGAATTACAAGCCCCACGATGAGTACCTGAGTAGGTAGTCGGCGAGGGACGGGCAACATGGCGGAGCCGACTAGAAAACTCAAACCTAGCTAGACTAGAAAGGTGGTAGAGGCAGTACTCGCTGCGCTGTTGCTGCTTGCCCATTCCGAATGCCCAATTGCTTTCGAGGGATCTTTGAAGCGCACCGGAGCCGAGAGACGGCAGCAATGCCAGGAAGCTTTTCAAAGGCTCTAGGCTCGAATCGCCGGGTAGGCTCTGTCAATAGATACTGGGTGCACTGGATTGGGTCATCGAGGGACAATGTGTGGTTGGTCGAGTCGAGAGCGCCACGGCTGTTGCTGGACCCTGACAGGTTGCAGGGGTGTGGAGGGGGGAAGGTGAGTGTCGTGCTTCTCTGGGTCTTGTGCGGTTGTCGTTAATTTCTGCTAAGAGAGACAACCAGCCACCACCTACAAGCCCAAGATAAAACTCCAACAAAATAGATAAAAATTAATCAAAAACACTGATGAATTTACGCTCTCGATTCTATTTTTATGAAGTCATAAGTATGGGGAAATTGGTTGTGTTGTTTGTGGTGGCCTGGCCAGACGTGTTGTCGCCCGGTCGATCCCTAACTATAAGACACGGCCCTTCACAACAAGATGGGATCGCCAGTGTCCTTCCCACTCCCCAAGCCCTCGACAGCTCAATTCTATTCTCTACCTCTCATCCTGGACCTGAGGCAGTCGAGGGCTAGATCCCAAGTGCTATCCTTTCGCCTACCATACATCACTTTTCCAACCCTTCCTTCCGTCTTCTCTCACCCTCATCCACCCATACCTTCCTCGACTTTCAGGTTGATATTCATCAACCCACGAAGCAAATAGCTGCGGTTTTCCTACTGTTACTGGGCAGTCGCACCTCATACAGAGTCTCACGTCTTGCAAAGGAAAGACCGGACTGCAGACATATATCAAGAAAGGTAAGGGAGCCCTGGTACTCTTCCCCATGCCCAACATCATATTCCTTCTCCCCGCCTCGAGCCTTCCCATACGGCTACGGACACCATCTCTCTTACTCTTAGGCCCTTGCTTCAGTCAAGACGTAGCCAACTCATCCCGTTCAACCCTCTATCGTCTATCATATCAAGCATCTTCACCCTCCCTCTCCTCCTTCCTTCCATTTCCTCGCCCATCTCTTGCCTGCCCCGGATATCGCGTGCTCGTTAGGTCTGGGTACTTTGATCCTTTCCCTGATCCTTACATCGCCCGTCCCACATCGTCCACAAGCCCGCATACTTCTCTTCTCCTGTCTTCACCTGAAGTTCACCCTTCCACGTGAGGCCTGGCAACTACAATCTAGGCCGAGGCCCGTCATCCTGGCCATCCTGACCCCAAACGTTTTATCCTACCTTCCGGCAGCGTATCGGCGGTGTTGACCAACTCTCACAGCAGGTACAACCATGCCGGCGAACTTCAAAACGTATGAGGCTCAGGCCCGCCTCCTCGCTGCTGTCGTTGCAGCCCACCCTGGCTTGAAATTGGACTACAAAGGTAAGAGCGATTCAAATATCTGTTCCGTCCCTTCCCCTTTCCTTTTTGCCTTTCTATATTTTTTTCTTTTTCCTTGCTCCCCGTCATGTCTCGCCCCGCCGGCGAAAGACGACTCGCCTTGAGGACAAGCGGGCTGATAGGCATCAGCCATGGCTGAACATTATGGCTCCGATGTGACTCCGGTGGCCCTACAACACCGCTTTCGACCTGTCAAGAAGCAAGCCGATGTCCTCCGCATGCTCGTCAACAACGGCAAGGACACGAAGGACGTGGATGTCCTAGATAATGATGGTAGGTGCTCTTTAGCTACGACAACGGCACCTGGCCATCTTCGGAGACATCAATATTTTTCAGTTTCCCATTTTCGGAGCGTTGTTTTAGCACCTTTGTCTGTTGCTCAAGCTGACCTGATGTGCCCCAGATATTGCCAAGTACTTTGGAGAGAGTACCCCGGATGGAATCCAGTTCCAGTTCAGAAGCATCAAGAAAGATGCCGACGCGCTGAAGAACGCCGTTAACACCGGCGGGAACCCCGCGGAGGCTCTTGGGAGCAAGAACGGCTCCGTACCGGCCACTCCCAGAAAGCGCAACACCAATAAAGCCCCTGCGACCCCCGGAACCCGAGGAAGCAAGGCAACCACCACCGGCAGCCGCACCGGTAGCAAGCGCAAGGTCGCCCCCGTCAAGTACAAGGAGGACACTAAGGATGAATCCTCCAGCGATGTCGACTATGACGAGCTGGACCTTCCGCCCGAGCTGAAGAAGTTCAGACCCAGGTCCAACATATTCGGCGCTGCCCACCCCGTCGCGAGCGTCAATGCCGCCCCCGCTGCCGGCTCCGTGCCCTCGCCGTCGTTCACCCAGACTCCGAGCGAGTCCGACTTCAGCACGGTCCAGACCCCCTCGCAGCAGCAGGCTGTCCCGGTCTTGCCCTTCCACGACGCCCCCAAGCCCGAGGCGGCGGCCTACCCGTTCGGCATGTCCGACTACGGCGTGGACGACCACTCCTTGAGCTTCATGAGCAGCGGCGGCAGCGGCCCCAGCCACCTTGCTTCGGCCGGGCCAGCTGGCGACTTCTCCTCCACGTTCGCGCACAACTACCACGAGGACGATGGCGAGATCTGAGACCTCTACCGCGTCGTCTCCCAGGTGCTGGTTCGACCGACAACCTCACGGTGGTCGTTCGCCTCGCAACACCATCTTTCTTTTTCAGTCTGCGTTGGGTTCTCTCCGCTCTGCACCTCGGCGCGGACCCGTGATACCCACACTCCGGCGTAACATCTGCCGACGGTTTGCTTTCCCTTTTCGTTTTTCACTTTATGACGGCCGTCCGTCCAGACATTGGAACCGGACCTTTTTGCCATCTACCAAGACTTTGTCGACACTTTTCCCAGGGATCCCTCTTTCAGGAAGGGCGGATTTCAGGAGACGTCGGAGGAGTAACTTGGTGGAGCTCTCATATGGCATTGTTTCGAACATTTTGCGTCGCTTTCACGACGAGTACATCATCAGTCCTCGTCTTACAAACCACTCACTACACCACACTGGGGGGTGGGCGAGCTTGCTCTCCAGGTTGGCCTGGTCTAGCTGCCTCACCATCCCATGGCAGTCGTGGATATCAGGGAAAAAGGAATTCCTCACGGTATCTGGTTTCGGTTTCGGGTTGGGGCTTCTCTTCCCCTGGCGTTAGCTCACCTAGGTTGGGGAAACAAAAATCGGCACTCACTCACCTCACCTTGTCTGCGTTAGCTGGACCACGAGGAACGCCTCGCATTGTACATTAGCACGGGTACTCAAGATACCACCACCAGTCAATCAAGTCTGCTTTGATTTCTCCCCTTGTCGGACCCAAACACTTCGTAACTGAATGCATATAGTAGTAGCCAGTTGAAAGGCAACAAAAACGGCCTGCGACCGGCGATTTGGGAAGACGCAACAAACGAACAACGTTGAGATTGTCGTTTTTGCATTTCCTCCCTACCATGCTACATCCACTTGAAGATGCTCGGAACCTCAAAAACACACCACTAAATGACATATAATTATCCATCCCAGTGATTATTTCCGACGGCTAACCCAACACCTGAACATGGACGGCCTCTCCACCAGAAGCAGCAGGTAAACCACTCGTACCCCCTCCAAAACCGAAAGCTGCACGTCTCCACGCACTCACTCACTCACTCACTCCTTCATCAGCAGCTCCCACAGCGCGTCCCTCTCGACAAAGTCATGGTGAATGATATTGACAAGCCACAAGTCGGCCCTGACCTCCTCGAGCAAGCCGTGGCTCGGGCTTCCGCGGCCGTACACCTTGGCCCACTCGGACCAGATGCTGAAGGCCTCCTCGCTCCACGCCCGGAAGCTGACCTCCTCGATGATGGTCGGCGTCACGATCTCCTTGCCCGGGAACACCCCCCAAGTGACGGCGTTGGTGCTCGGCTCCGCCGCCTGCGCCTGCACCTCGCCACCCTCCCCGTCTTCCGAAGAGGCCGCAGCCGCAGCCGCCCGCGCCGCGACCGCGGCGTCGGAGCTGACAAAGTCGCCGGCGGCGTTGGCGGCGAAGAAGCAGACGGTGTCGGCCATGTCGGGCCGCGAGAGCCTCCGCTCGAGGGCGGCCCAGTCGCGCGACGGCAGGAAGAACTCGACAAAGGCCTTCTGGAAGACGAAGCCGTTGGGCGGGCCCCAGCCGAAGGTGGGGTCGCTGGAGCGGACGCCGTTGACGGCCGGCTGTGACGCCAGGGTCCACCAGCCGCGCGAGTTGAGCGCGACCAGCTGGCCGCGGATGGTGCCCGTCTCGGCGTTGAAGCCCTCCTCGCTCCACGGTATCGCCGCCAGCCGGCCCTCGAGGTGGCGGATGAAGAGGTCGCTGACGTCGGCCCGCGTCCCGGGCGTGCCCCACAGCCGCAGCGCCTGCGTCACCGACACGTGCAGGCTCACGCCGTACCCGTCAATCTGCCCGTAGGCGGGCGACCGCGCGTCGCCCCACCGGCCGTTGGGGAAGTCGTCCCACGTCGCCTCGCGGCCCAGCACGCCCTCGCCCTCGGATATCGCGAGCGTGTTGGCCCGCGTGTTGACCGGTTCCGCGGGGAGGCTGGCCTCCAGCGCCGTGGCCTCGTAGTCCGGGTGGGAGGCCTGCCGGCCCGACACGATGATGCGGTTGCGTGGGTCGGATCCCGCCGAGGACTGTCGCCTCGACAGGTCCCTCATGGAGACGCCGGGCGTCGATCCGTTGACGTGCACCACTGGTATTGCCAGCGCGGGGTCAAACTCCACGGCGACCTCGGCCTCCTCGGGTGTGCTGGGCGGGATGAGGTTTGTCCTCTCCACAATGAACGAGACCGCCTTCTCGAGGTTCAGCGTGTAGAAGTGGAAACCCATGGGCCCAGAAGTCCTGCTCTTCACCTCCTTGACTTGCTCGACTAGCTCGCTCAGGATGTCCACTCCCACCATCTTCACCTTCTCGTCGTCCCCCTTGACCGCGTCTAGCTTAGCCATCAGAGAATCGGGGATGTTGGCGTGGCTGAGCTTGGCCGTCCGCTTGATCATCTGGTAGCTCTGGATGGGCATGAGTCCCGGGATGATGACAATGTCCTTGAATGCCCCGCTGGGGTGTTCCCTCAGCGTCTTCTCGAAGTCGGCGTAGGCGTTGATATCGAAGAACAGCTGTGTCATGATGAAGTCGGCACCGGCCTCAACCTTCTCCACGAGATATGGCAAGTCATGCTCCAGGCTCTGGCCCAGCGGGTGGCTCTCTTCGGCATGCCCTTCCGGATACGCCGCCACGCCGATGCAGAAGTAGTCGCCGTGATTCCTCCTGATATACCGGACAAGATCGACAGCCCATACGAACTCGTCCTCTTCGGCGGGGTCGGGGTTGTTCGCATCCCGGTATTCGTCTCCCCGGGGTGGGTCACCCCTCAACGCCAATATATTCCGTATGCCCAGTGCCTTCGCATCCTCGAGGGCCTTGTCGACGAGCCGCTTGGACATGTTGGTGCACGTGAGGTGGAGGCATGTTGTCAGGGCCAATTCCCTCTGGCAGAGCTCGGCGAGTTCGAGCGACTTCTGGGCAGTTGACCCGCCAGCACCCCAGGTGACGTTGACGAAAAGGGGCCGCAGGGCCCGGGCCATGCGGTCTAGTCGGTCCCGCAGGTTGGCGAATCCCATGGCCGTCTTAGGCGGGAAGAACTCGAGCGAGCAGTAGTTTGTCTCGGGCGGCAGCGCCGCGATCTTGGTTGTGATCTTGTCCATGGCTTGGTTGGTTATACCGGCGGCGGCATGGAAATTCGAGAGCAAGTCGCCCATGGGGGTCGGAAACTTGGAGGTTTGGAGCTGACGGTGAGCTCTCGTCGGGCAATGGGTGTTTGATTAGGTAGGTTGTTATTAATCAATAGGCCGCGAGTTGGAGAAGGGGTGCAGGAGTGCTAAAACCAAAAGTAGGTAGCGACCTTGGGAGAAGCGAAACAGGGTCTCGGGTTGAAGTTCAACCCTAGAGATATGCCTCGTTCTTATATGAAGTTGCGCGTGCTGGAATGAACAAAGCTTTTCTTGAGAAGCACCCCTCCTTTAAGTTTCGTCATTGGCTCAGTGGCCACCCCACCTTTCAATTGAGGTCAAAAAGTGTGGGGTCAAGCAGGGACAGTGATCACAGGTGGGCAAGGTGGGTGGGACACGGCATATTGATTATGATTTAGTTGGAAGAACCACTCCCGATTGGCGGTTGATCTAGATTGACCGCCTGCAGCAAGAGAGGAACAGAGGCAAGACCGCACTCCTCATTGGGACACCCACAGAGCACCTCATCTTCTGCATAGGTAGCTTCCTGCGATTCCCACGTCTTGAAGGGAGATGAACCGGTGACCTCCACACTCTGCAGCCTGTGGCCAGACCTGGCCCTCCACGCCCACGGCGCCCCCATATACTCATGTACGCTCGTAGCTACTAGCTGGCCTGCTAACTGCGAGTATAAGACGTCACCGAGTCTAGATGCTGGACCACTGCATCCCATCTCCCGGGCCGGTCACACAAAACACGTAACACCCTGCCGTGGGGTGTGGGGGAATGCATACGGCTGCAGGGGGGTTGCTCTTCGAAGTTTTCACTGGGAGACTAGGTAAGTAGTAGGTAGCAAGCCAGCCAGCCCATACGGGCACAGCAGTAGTTGCGTGAACATCCATGGTTGTGAAGATGGCCACGACGGACTAGTAGGACTACCTTGGCCCGGGAGCCATTCTGTTAGCCAGTGCCACACATGGATATCCGGTATTGGTCCCAGGCGCAATGAATGAATGTGTTTTAGGAAGCTCAGGGTTTGAAAGTCATGATATCCTCATTCTCAACGCTGACATCGACCCTAGACACCCACCAGAGCAAGAGGTAGGGCCGGTCATGCTGAGGATTGGTTTACCAGATGATGAACTTCATCAGTGCAGGCGAGATGATGAACCCCACTGGGGCAGAGAAATATATGTTTTTACCTACCGATCCTCGCCTTTACCCATATACGCAGTAGATGATTCAGGATAGCTGGCCTTGATGGCCTGCATAGCCTGAAATCATCATGTCCCTCCTGCACAGGCGAAAACTCAAGTGAAAATTTCACGGTATATGTCCAGACTTGTTTCAGGTCATCATCGCATCATGGCAGCCACACAATGGGGCTCTCGTGATGATGGTTTTTAAACAAGGGCATTGTAATGGTCAATCTTGACACACAAACGGAATCGTCAGCAGCGTGGAGGTAGAGTTGTGTGGCAAGCTGGCGATATTTTTGAGTTGTGTTGTGGTCGTGATGAATAAAGCAAGAAGATTGCAAGGAGCTGCTTGCTTCTTGTATTTTTTTTCTTCCCTCCGGCCCCTCTCTTTTTTGCGCCAGTGCTCACCGCCTCAAATCTGGTACCTATCAAAACCTGTCGAGTGGAGAGAGGTGCAGGAGACCAGGCCAAACTGGGGCGAATCAGGTCGCAGTCTTTGAGCCTGCTGGCCTGCTGGCGTGACCCAGCAGCGTGAAGTTGGATCACTGCTACGGCGTAGACTTTGCTTAGTGCATTGGGTAGTGTGTGTACTACACTGGGTCACCGTTTTTGATTCTTCTTTTTCTAACGATCGATCGATCAAGAAAACCTCAAGCTCTTTCCCAACCTTGTACCGTATCTCTCTGCTTGCCTCCAATCACATCTTTTCTTCCCACAGACCCAATCCACCTGTATTCTATCCCGTCAACACTTTGCAAGATACCCTTGGTGCTATTAAGACCCAGATTGAAACCATCGGGGTCAAGGCTCTTTGACATCATCCCGGCGCCGTCAACCGACCAGAATCTCGTGTTTTACAGCTTACGCCGTCGCCTTCACCCTCGCTTTTGCCCTCGCTTGAATCTCCCGAATAGCCCCCTTTGCTCACCCATTTCCGACCTTCGCTGCCGGTGCCTATCCTTCGGAGTGCGCGAGCAGCTCGTCGTGAGCTGCCACACCTTCTCAGGACCTCTTTCCAACCCACTTGTTACACCCCCGACTTCTCCATGGATAATCTATGGAGTCGCCGCAACAAGTGAGACCTCCTCCTACCGCCCCCTCCCTCTCCTCGCCATTAATCCTGACCCAACCCGTAGTTCGACCAAACTCTCCTTGTCCACCTCGGGCAGCAATGCCCAGGGCGACAGCCCCTCGGGGCGCAACACCTTCTCCAAGCGATTCGGCGGTGACAGCTCTTCGCATGGCGGCAAATCCAACCCCTTCAACCCCATAACCACGCCTGGGGCCCTGGCGTCTCCGACAACCGGCGCATCGAGCGCCTTCGGCCTCGGCTCAGGCGCATTCGCGTCCTTCGGCTCGGGCAAGACCCCCAAGTCCCCCGGGAACCCCTTTGAGATCTCCCTCGGCGGTGCATCTGCCAAGACACCGGGGGCCGAGAAGTCCTCCAAGGAAGGCGGCTTGAACAAGGCCATCGGGACAACCTCGTCCAGCACCACATCCCTCTCCGATTCCAAGGGTGGGCCCTTCTCGACGCCGGGGCCGGCGCACCAGCTGCGCACCAGCTGGGTCTTCTGGTTCCGCCCACCCATCTCGAAGGCGAACGGGTACATCGAGTACGAGAAGACCTTGCACCCGATCGCCTCCTGCATGACGGCCGAGGAGTTCTTCGTGGTATACCAGCACCTGAAACGCCCGTCGACCCTGCCGTTGGTGTCGGATTACCACCTCTTTAAGAGAGGGATCAGGCCAATATGGGAGGACGAGGAGAACAAGAAGGGAGGCAAGTGGATAGTGCGCCTGAAAAAGGGCGTCGCCGATCGGTATTGGGAGGATCTTCTGTTCGCCATTATCGGCGATCAGTTTGGCGAGGCCAGCGACGAGGTGTGCGGGGCTGTGCTGAGTGTCCGGAATGGCGAAGATATTCTCAGTATCTGGGCGCGTACGGACGGCGGGAGGGTCTTGAAGATTCGGTACGCTTTTTTCTTGTCTTTTACTTGCTTCCTTTTTTTCTTCTTCTCACGACCCGCACACGCCGCTAACCATGCAATCGTAGTGAAACGATGAAGCGGGTCCTCGCCTTCCCGCCGGATACCAAGGTGGAATGGAAGAGCCACGACTCGAGCATACAGCAGCGCACGGCCATTGAGGAGTCTCGTCGAGAGAAGGCCAACAACCATCACCACGAAAAGCGGTCATCTAAGCAGCAGCAGCAGCATCAACAACAGCACCAACAACACCAGCAGCAAGCGGATGATCAGAAGAACACCACTGTAAATACATGATCGACACACCCCCCCGCCCCCTAAACAAGCTACGCGCCCTGTATTGTGTGGGAAGAGATACATCTACGCCCCTCCATCCCTGCCATGTATACTATCAACCAGCGAGCGTGCGATGAATTCGGTATCTCCCGCCAGAAAACAGCACGGAAACTATTTTTGTCCCTCGGACACAAACGGCTCTACGAGATCGATTGCGTTTATCTCCGGCAAATCTTTTTCTTCTTCTTGGGAACCCGGAGAGAGGTGGATTCTTGAGTGGAACGCATCGGCTGAATTTTTCTTCTTTTTTTGGCTTGCTATGGATGTACTCTAGTGTCCTGGTTGTAGCTGTTGCGAAGCCAGCGGGAATAAGAAAAAAAGTAAAAAAATCGAAACGACGATAGGTCCGCCACCGGATGTCGTACTCCGCGAGAGAAGATCGTGATTTAGGCTTGTGGGTTGTGGGTTATGTGGATTATGGGCAATATTTATTCAGTCATGGAGCCTTTGCCGCGCCATGGGAGCGGGAACAAGATATGCTCTACCTAACATAGCATACACCACCCTCTCAGCCCAGACAGCAACTCCGCCCGAACAAGGGGCTGCAGTCCTGCTTATGCCCTCCCCTTCCCCTTCCCCCTGCCCGGACCCTCCCTCCTCCGCTCCCAGATCTGCAGATACGTCTCCCCGAGGTACAGCAGCTCGCTGCGGATCTTGTCGACGAACAGGTCCTGCGCGACGACCCACTCGTCCGTCGCCCGGTCGCGCAGCTGCACCTTCCACGTCTTCCGCTCCTCGGCCGAGTCGGCGACGTCGTCGCGGCCGCGGACGGCCTCGTGCACGACGTTTGCGACCAGGTCGTACAGCACGGGCTCGCCGGGCGGGTGCACGGCCGGGTCGGGCTGGACGTAGGGGGACACGTCGAGGCCCGTGGGGTCGAAGGTGACGATGGTGGGGTTGCGCTCCGACACGAACTTGTTGTGGCTGAAGCGCTTGACGTGCAGCACCAGGAAGGGCGGCAGCGGGTGGACGAGGCGGTAGCGCTTGCGCTGGGCGAGGTGCTCCTGCGCCGTCACGCCGTTGTACTTGCCCAGGATGGTCGTCAGCGGCACCTGCGGGATGATGTTGCGCTCCAGCTCGTCCTGGAACAGCGGCGCCGCCGGCAGGTCCAGTGTCAGCAGCAGGAACCGCCCCTGCTCCACCTTGACCTCGGCCGCCTCCTCGAAGCGCAGCCGGTCGCCCGCGTCCGCCTTGGCCGTGATCGCCTGCGACTCGGACTTGAGCTTGCCCTGGAAGACACGCTGGATCATGCTGGACCCGGGCTTGGTCTTGCTGCCGCCGAGCCCGAGGTGCAGGTTGTTGAGGAACCACGAGAGGAACTCGACCGGGTCCGACTGCGCCGTCAGCGTGAAGCGCTTGTTGGACCGCAGCGACACCTCCTGGAGGAGCTCGTGGGGCGACACGTGGGCCTTGAAGGCGCGGGGGTTCCAGATCTTGCGGAACAGGATTGACGTCCGCTTGACGAGCTCGGGCGCCCCGCTGAAGTCCTCCAGCAGGAAGTAGTTGCGGAGCGGCGCGACGTGCGACAGCGCCTGCACGATGACGTTTAGGTAGTCGTTCTCCTTGATGTTGTTCATCCCCACGAACCCCGGCGTGTACTCCTTGTTCCCGAGCGCCCATGATGTGCGCGGCTTACGGTCAAACTCCATGACCTCCTCCTTCGTATATCGGGGGTCTGATACGAATTTGATGTCGTCGAGCGATTTGCTCTTGACCTCGTAGCCCTCCGGCAGCACGTAGACCTTTTGCGTCTCCATATTGATGAAGACGTGGTGGTTTTCGTCGAGCGCGTGGAAGTAGGCATGGGATTTCGGCCCCCTGCCCTGGAAATACCGGCCGCAGACTAGACATGCGTAGACGTTGATGTTTGAGAGACTGATGGAACACAGCTTTTCAAAGTCGAAATCTAGCACGTTCCTGTCTATCGTGTCGAGATAGAGATCGTCGTAGCCTTCGGTCGGGGCTGCCTGTCGAATGGGCGCCTTTTCTTCCACCCCATCTTCAAAGTCTTCCTCTTCCTCTTTCTCTCCGTCTTCTATTTTGTTCGGCTCTTCCTCTTTCTCGTGTGTCTTCCTCGCCCCGTTTTCGTCCGGCGGCTTCTGGCCGCAATCGTCATTCCCACTTGTGCTCGGTGTTCCACTCCTGCTTTTCAAGTTGTCGTATCGCGACTTCTTGGACGCAGGAGAGTCGACGCCTTCCACTTCGTCAAGCGCTTCCGCTGCCTGTCGTTTGTTTCGTCTGCCCATTGTGCTGCAATAATGGTTCTGATAGAGTTGGTAGGGGTGAAATTGGTCGCGAGGCTGAATCAAAAAACTTTGGCGAGCAGCCTCCCGAACCGGGGCGGAGTTTGGCTAGGCGTCTGATAGGGCCACACCCAGCAAGGTGACTTTTACCCCTAGAGCTTCAGTCGATACCTACCTAAACTTCAAAATACAGATAACAACCTCAATTGAGTAGTAGTCAGAAGAAAGAGCCAGTGGAGAACTTATTCTATTGATATTCTATGCTTGATTTTCTTTTTGCTACATAGTCTTATGGACGCATGAGTGCGCTAGCTAGCATCAGCCATAATTGCGTCCGCCACAACCAGCGAAGGTGCAAGACTATCCATTTCTTGCAGCGTGTACTCGACAAGATAGCTCTCGTCCACCAACTCTTCCAGCCGCTTATAGTGCCTTTCCGTGTACACCTTCAACGCATTCAGGACTTCCTTCAAGCTCTTCTGGCCTCGAGCTCCCTTGACCGACAGATTTGAGAACCGCGACGCCGGATAGGACCTGACAAGAGCCCACAAGATACGCTGTGCAACCGGCGCCGTCCTGGCGTTCGTATTCCAGTCTCTCAACCTCAGCAGGAGCAGGAATATCTGCTCGTCCGAGAGGTTTGCGAGCACCTCGTCCACAGCCTTCAACCCACTCAGGCTGTCCTTCTCCGGCGCACTCGTGGTGACCACGTTGGTGAACAACTTGAGGAGCCGGCCAGGGTGGTTCAGTTGGAGGGCCAGGATGATAGCATCGCGGTAGGACCCGGCATGGATATAATTCTCCAGCTCCTGCTCCTGCTCGATTAACTTCGTTGCTGCCTCCATCGCGGCAACCCGAGTCTCGGATGTCGTGTCCTTCCAGAAGGTCACCGTTGAGTCTCCGCTCCCCGACACGATCGTGTTTGTCTTTGGGTGTACTGCAAGTGCCCAAACCCGGTCTTCGTGGTTATCCAGCGTGCACTCCGTCTCCCCTACGTTGGCATCCCAGACCTTGACCAGCCCGTCGCCACCAGCGCTGGCAAACTGGGGATTTTTCTTGGCGGCATTCTCTTCCGTCGTCACGTTGAGCCAAGCGACCTTCAGAACGCTATGTGAGTGTCCCTCAAAGGTCCTCAGACAGGCGTAATCAGCCAGGTTCCACAACTTTATCGTTTTGTCGACGCCCGCAGTGAGAACAACGCCTTTCCCAGACATTTGCCCCTGCTCGCCCTGGATGAGAGGGAGACCGGGCGGGGCAAATTTGACAGACCAGACGCCCCGCCTGTGCCCCTTCAGGATACCCTGCACTTCACCGGTCTCGATGTCCCAGATCTTGACGGTTTTATCTTGAGAGGCAGAGGCAAAGAGCTGCCCGGGAGTGTTGATATCAAGAGCGTTGATATCCTTGTCGTGAGCTTTGCGTGTGTAGAGTGCTCTTGACGACTTCCCAGAGCCCTGCTGGCGCTGCCGGGGAATGTCCCACTTCTTCACAGTCTGGTCCTGAGATCCAGTCAAAAGGAATGCTGGCGGATGGTCCAGAGGTTCGTCTCTCGCTGCGGAAGATGTCGGCGGAATGGTTTTGGGCAGGCACACGGCCCCCAAAGACTCGGCATGGCCAGTAAAGACCGCGTAGCACGAGTAAGAATTGTTGGCCGCGTCAATTCGCCAGAGGCGTGCGGTGTTGTCCTTGGAACCCGTTGCTACCCAGTGACCTGACCAATCCACGTCAATTGTCAGGACGATCTCTTCATGTCCTTTCAATAACGCAACGTCTTGTCCAAAGTAAGTCGTTGGACCATCGGATTCGGCTGACACAGCTGTGGAATCCACAACCGAGACTAACCGCACATCCTCCGAGTTCGTAGCCAGCGCAAGGATTGACTGATCAGGGAGGAGGAATGCGAGGTCGACAATCTCGTCGTGAGTCCCAGATATTCGCCTAAACGGCTGCATCGCGCCGAGACTCGAGATCGCGCCCTTGCATTCGCCCGCCGGGGTCTGGTAGAGGGCCAAGGTGTGGTCGGCCTGAACGCACAATAGGAGACCAGATTGAGCGACATATTCAACGGAGACTATTGCCTCGCCTTCAACCTTTGCTGCTTGTTCCTTCGTGACCTCCCGCCCGGTCTCGGTCTCCCAGATTCTGACACAGCCATTGGTTCCAGCCGAGTAGGTAAGCTGCCCGTCTCCGACAAAGCCGACAGCCTCAACGAGTTCAAAGGTTGGCGTAACTTTCCGCACCTCCCATGTCCTGGAATCCCACCATATGATAGTCTTATCCCTGCCGGCGGTGACCAGCACGTGGTGAGCAGGAGAGTAATCCAGCCCTTGGACATTCGATACGTGGGAGTCGAGGTCCGCAACAGCCCCGCGTCTGTTTAAATCCCAGACACGTACCTTGCCGTCCTGGCTCCCCGAGGCGAGCCTGAAGTTCGGTACACCGGGATTCCCGTTCTCGACGGCCTCCGCTTTCCTGCCACCTTGTTTTGACTTGCGCCTCGGCAGACTGTCCTCCGCAGCGGCAACCTCGAAGAAATGCAGGGCGGATACCAAGACACTCGGGCCGCGGAATGTATGTGTGACATATCCGCCTACAATATCCCAGACTTTGATGGCTCCATCAGCTGCTCCAGTCGCAAGAAGCGTGCTCGTCTTATCGACAGCAAGAACCACCACCGGAGTCGCATGAGGCTTCAGGGTCCGGATGAGGCTAGCTTCGATCGTGTCGTAATCTGGGGAGACCTTGAGGGAATAGATCCGCATAGACAGGGACCGTGAGCATAGAATAAGGTGGGATGCGCTTGGAGTTACTATGTCGACTGAGTTAGCGAGTGGGTGGCATCGCAAGCCTTCGCATATACGTACTTGTTAATGTAGAGAGAACCTCTCCGTCCTGTGGAGAGCCAGGTTAGAATTTATTCTGTGAACTGTGGTTGGGACTACGAACCCCTTCAATCAATGCCAGCCGCTTCCCCGTCGTCAAATCGGTCAAGACAGCATCCTCGCCCAGGGTGGTGGCGAGCACACGGGCGCCATTGTCAATTCCCACCGAGCCCCCCGTGAAAATCGGCTGGATGACCTTCTCGACTTCAAAGGTAGTCTTTAAGGGGTGTTTGGTGGCCATTGTGTAGACTTGGAACGTCTCTTCGAACTCGACAGGCTTCAAGGATGAATAGTGGCGGTCGTCGCAGGAAAAAATTATTTGGATGTCGTTGATAAGAATAAGGTTATCTTAGCCCCAGATCCCTTGGTATTGCACCAGCCACGATTTGATGCTTTCACGCCCAGGCTGGAACGTCAACCATCAGCCAAACATCATGCGCTAACAACACATTACTGGCGCAACGTAATTCAAATCAACTTCAAGCACGCAGAGACGAGATCGATGAAGAGTTGCCGATCCGCATGTCAGATGCGCTCAAGAGAGCCTTCACAGACGTGACTCAATCTGAGGCCGGCCTAGCTCAAACCGGAATCGGGAATCATGGGCAGGCTTGGTCCTTTGACCTCCCAGGCTTTAGTAAGATGAACCCATGCGCGGCCGCCGATATATGGAGATCTTGTGATGTGGGAAACTGGCAAGTGCCTCTCGACTTCCTAGTGGATTGGTCATATAGGCTAGTCATGATGATGATGATGATGATGATGATGATGGGTTGGGAACATACTCTATGGTTCAGACTTGAGTGGCGAATGTCCTTTTTAAACCTATCTTGTTTCCAATCACCTAACGATCCATACAGGGCCGCTCTCCTTACGACGATGTCGTCCAGGGCGAAGGGGAGTCAGATCCTCGGGCGCCGTTGCAGATGTATGATGAACGGGGCCGTCCTGTGAACCCTGAGACCAAGCAGATCAACAAGGATGTCATTCGCTCCCACAACGAAGTTATGCTGGTTATCGGAGTTGCGGAGCCAGAGAACGGCATCACGGAATCTCAAGCAGAGGCGGCTCGGAAACACCAGCAGTACGAAGAGGACATCGGCCATACCCTTCTCAAAGTTGGCCGTGTGGTCGAGGCAGCAGGAGCATGGGGCGTTAACGGCGTAAGGCATCGCATACTAGTAAGTAATTCTTGGTTCCAGGGATACATGCTACCGAGCATTTACTTACAACACCAAAGCTGTATAAACGTTATGCCCATGTCCCATTCTATCAACTTCTCCAGTATGAACGCAGCCAGCGGTCGCTAAGCGCCCATCTGTTCGCCGGATTTCCGTGTTTTCTGGCGAAAAGCTGGCTTAAAAGATATTATCCGTCTTCCTTATTCAAGGATAACCTGTGGTATGCATCGCATGAAAAGTTTTACAAGGCAGGACTAACCGGGACACAGGGTGCGAGCGGCTTCCAGTTGGGTTCGGCTACATTTAGGAGTCTTTGCCGTCCTGCAGCAGACGGGCGTCATTTCGTCGAGCCAGTGGCTTCCGAGCCCAAGCTTCTTCATCCCCTGCTCTGCAGCATCTCCAATACCGGCCCCTCCGCCGATAACATCGTTCACACCCAGTGAGCTATTAAGATGGACCGGGACCTTGGCATTAAATGCTGCACCTCTCGCAGCGGTCTACTTTTCCCAGGGTGTCTGGAATGCAGTCAGAGCAACGGTCTGGTTGTCCATACGTCTCCTTGTGCCGCAACCACATAATATCGTGAAACGCTCCCAGTCAAGGGCGGCCGAGACAACCCAGACCCCCGAAACCCCTAGACCGTCGACGCCTACCCCCGCTGTAGTTGGCGAGCAGCCGCGAAACGGCCGCGACATCTCCCGGGATGAGATGACCTTCCGGGCCCTAGAAGGCCAACAACCCCCAACCGACCCAGTTGCCGTCGGCGCAGTCCGGCGCCAGAGCACATTCTCTGCGCGCGCGGATGAGTACCCGAGCGATGACGATGAGACCGAGGTCGTCACCGCGACTCTCATCAGTTTCGATGTCGAGGCTAGTGAATCGACCGATGTCCCGCCCGGAGTATGGTCTGCCGAGCTCCGGCCTAACGTGTCCGAGGGGCGGTCGCAGTCGGGCCAGGAGCCTGTCTACCGCGAAAACGTCCTGACGAGGTTACCGGCGGTGCTCGCCGCGGACGTGCTCACGGCCTTGCCAGTGCGGATCATCACGGCGCCTTCCGAGGCGATTGTCTGGAGGTATTTCGTGAGGTCGTTCCTCGCGCGCCGAGGTCTCGGGCTCGAGGGCATCTACGGGCTCACCTTCCTGGATAGCTTGTCATGGACGGCGGCTGCTAACTTCTTGGGCCTGGAGCTCATACACCTGTTTGTGGAAGGCGAGATCTGGGCCGTGATGACGATGGTGGCTCAGCATTATCGAATGTCGGAGGACGAGTGGAACGAGCAACACCCCGAAGACTCGAATCCTGCTACTGAATAGTATGCTGATTGATTCTGTATACTATTCCCCCCATTCATTCACTGTATCGACACCTAGGTACCTATACCATAGGCAGACAGCGCAGACAGCACAAACAGCCTCGATGGGAGGCGTGGAATTCCCTCCACTTGGTATGTTGGTGTGCGCTTCCACCTCTTGGGCTTCCGAAATGAGCATCAACATCCACTCAGGCATTCCCTTATGACATGGGTCAGAATTGTAGCCCATTCTGAGGTATCATCGCGCGACAATCATCGCACTTTCTTTCAAAACAAATGCCCCTTCTCAGAGCCTACCGATTCGGCTTTCCCTTCGCCTTGGACGCCTTTTGCTGGTCCACGGCTTCCTTGATGATGCCAAACAGGTCCTGGTTCCTCCTTGCCAGCAGCAGCACATCATCCGTCGTAACAGTCGTCCGCCCAGCATGATGGCTAAAGCTCTCCAAGTCCAGAGCAACGTTCTCTGAATGCGCAACACAAACCTCATCAGCTTGGGAGAGACCTCGAGGAAAAAACAAATTGGGGGGCCGACGACGGGCCATGTACTCACCGATCTGCGCCCACACCATCTCCGTCAGGGCGCCGATGAACTGCGGCGTGGCGTTGCGGTTCCTGCGGAGGGACTCCTCGTCCACCATCTTGCCCACCGCGAACCACAGGGCCGCCTTCAGGCGCTGGGCCGTGGATTTGTCAGCATCGGGGGAACGGAACTAGATGGCGCGACACATATCGGGGGTTTTCGTACCTCCCGCACTTCTTCGTCAGAGCCCTCTGCCATCTTCCATCGGAGGGGGTTGATAAGAGGGAGAGAGAGATATGGCAATGGACCGGCGTGCGCTCTCGAGAGCGCGTTTTGGAGGTTTAAGGTGGGGGCGGGGCGCCACAGGGTTCCGCTGTTTAAACATTTATCCCTAACCCTAACCCTGGTCTGCCCTGGTGCCTGGCCTCGACTTTACCTCCTCCCTATGTCTACGATTTTGCCCCTGATTCTCTTTACGATATATATACTGTGGTCACATTTTAGGTGCTTATCTACCTCATCGATTGACCCGTAAAATACACTAAAAAACGGGGTCACTCCTGGCGGTGGAGTTACAAGGGGAGGTGATCTAGAAGGTGCTGGATGCCAGAGAACAAGGACATGAAAGTTATCTGGTCCGGGAGTGAGTGAGGGCCATAGGGCTCTGTGCAGGAGGCGGAAGAATAGGCAAGGCCGCTTCGACACAGTTTCATACTACCTACCTATGATCGGAAACCTCGGCAGCCTCTGAATCTTAGTGGTTGCAAGACGCCAGCCAGTAATAAACCTTAAAAACCTGGGTCTACATGTTTCCCGCGGTGACCCATACAAGACTAGGGAGGTTTGAGTACGGTCGTACCTATCATTCGACTCCCTAGCCTTTCGGTCAGTAACAGACAACGCAGCCGAGTAACAGACAGCATTCCCCGTGGCAATTCCCGGGTCGATGCAGGCGTAACATCAATCATCGTGGTGATTCTCGGATTGGCCCCCATTGTATGTGACATTTGCGGTTCTTGGCACATTATTTGTCTGCCGTATATGAGTACGGCATATGACAGAGATGGCTCACACACACCAGCGAGATGATGGGTAATCAGACTCTTGAGGCCTCGTGGTTATGTGACAGCGGTGATGTTACGCTGCAGCTGACGATGAGCATCCCAGCCTCATTTCCTTCGTTTTGGACTGGCTCGTTGGGGGAATTCGCCAAAGGGGAGCGTGTAGAGTTCGCATCATTGTGTGAGCACCCGTCGTGGTCATACCGTCGGTTTGACGAGATAGGCAGCTCCCGCCCGGATGCAGACCAAGTTGTCCGCCACCGCAGCTTCCAGGATACCCTAATAATAAAAGCGTGAGGCTGTCTCGCCTGCGGCGGAAATGCAGTGTTAGCTAGCGACATGAGCCGTTTGGGTGAAGTTGTAAGCCATGAGAGATCCCCACACTCGTGGGTTCGGCATGAGAGGTTCGCTCTCGTTGTGGTACTCCGGGTAGCAACAGCCGTCTGGTTTGTTGAAGGTCAGCCCATGACTGCCTAAGTAGGAGCAGTTTATGCCACGCTGGACCAAGTAAAGAGGTTGTCAGTATGGTACAGAGGCCGTATTGTAACACTGCGAAACGCGAGGCCGAAACTGTTCTTGTCGGTCCTCTCCATTGAGTAGTCCACGAAGTGACAAGACGCTCACAAGGTTAGCAGGCCAAGTCAGCGAATAGGTGGGTATGTGCTGTGGTACCTGAGCAGGCAGCTCTCTCTCCTCAACCACGGCTGTCCTCCCTGAAGCCTCTTCCGCGGATTTTCCTTGGATGGAGGGGATATATGTCGTAAGGATTGCCCTTGGCCTGATATGGAATTCGAATTGTCTTGACTTGACGCCCGGCTACAGTCTGTATTGACCCAAGGATCCCTGGGCATCTGAAGGAAGAGCCAATCCCAGCGCGGCGTAGCCACATCGCTTTCAGCTCCCATCCCGCTCAAACGTCATGGCCCCACCCGGCAACATGATCCCTGTCGGACAGCAGGTGCTCTTGTGCTTCTTCGCAACCTGGAACTCCCGGTCCCTCTCTATTCTGCAACGATTAATCAGTATACTAGAAGAAATTGGGTTCGAGAGGAAACATTTCGTGCATTAGAGTGTGAATAGTAACTTCGTAGGGCGTAGGTAAATCACCGACTCTGATTGGTTGTATGTCCCAGGCATCAAGGTACCTGGGCTACCTATTTTTCAGGGTCTATAATACCGCACGACAGAGGTACACACGTTCCGACGCATCTACAACCTATGTACATAAGGTACCTACCTAAGTCGGTAGGTACCTAATAAATGGATGATGTCAAGAAGGATGGAGGTCAATAACGACCCGCCCACGCCGCTTTAGGGACCGAAGTCAGTATTGTAGGCCAACTCTAAGCCTCACAACCCCGCTACCTAGTGGACGAGGGGCACCGTTCGTGACTGTATGTACGATTGTTCCAGGGAGCCAGAACTCACCGTGACCCGATTTGGGATAAGGATGTAATAAGCCCAGATCCTTGGCAACCCCTCCCATTGATCCTTTGACGAAAGCGCGGGTGATTGTGGGCAAACGGCATCACCAGTATCTATGGACCATACTTGACCTCCGCTTACGTATAAACGGAAGTAGGCACTGAGTTTCAGCCTTCCTGAAGTGTAGCCCCGATATCATACATAAGGTATGGACGACTGTAGTCTAGACTGACTGGCCAGGCAGCTGCCTGAAAATTTCAGGAGTACAGAGATACCTGATGTAAGTAAGCGCCTGTGGGATCCACCCGCCCCGGTCCGCTCACAAGGCTAAGCCTCACATGGGTACATGTATGTACATGCAGACAGCTTCCCCTTCCCCCAACCCCAAATTCAGACGTTCCCGAACTCTGCCCTTTGTCACTGATCTTTTACGCCCTGTTAGATCGAGTCCTACATCTTTTCGCTTCAAGAGTCAACGACGACTGCCTCCCTCCACCAACCGTTTTCTCTCTAACTCGATCCCACATCACACTCCCCCCACGAGCCAACCTCACTCCCGCAGCTTCTCTCAACGCTACCCTGCGCCCCGCTCGTGGGCTAGAATGATCTGAATTGCACAACCATTGAACTTGAGGCTGGATTAGCAACAGTTTGAATATGGTCCATCATGGTTGAATCCACGGATATCAACACCCTCCTCGAGACGGGCGCCTGGACGAGCTCCCGCGCAAAGAGCCCTCTACTGTAAGACCAGTCACTTCCCTCTCATATGTTCAGCTCTCTTCCGCCACTATCAATCTGCTTACCGACGTGCCACAATGCAGTCCCGACTCCCCAGTACGCGCCAACCAATCTGCCAAGTTAGACCGTGACGTCCCAAGGGCTTTCAATCTCGGACTGCGCACGTCGCACTTCCCGCCGCCGCCCAAGGTCGAGGATGAGGCCGAGTCACTAGCTCGGGAGCACGGCAGCTCCGTCGTCTCAGGGGCATCCGACGAGGAGCCCCCGTACCGTGGCGATGTTGAGCAGAACCCTATCCTCTTACCTGTTCCAGAGTTCAATCCCGAGCGCCGGTTTGTGTTGGTGTCTGGCGACGACGACGGCCCGACTGACGATGGCACATATTCTACGACAAGAGAAAAGACCCAAGGAAAGATTTCGCATGAGGCCAATACTTCCAAAAAGTACGTCTCAGTCACGCCTGATGGTGGCCTCAATTCAACGGAACCCGCGAAGAGACGCGGCTTGGAGAGGCGGAAGAGCCGCCAGGATCTCCCGCGGATCAACACTGGTGTCCAAGAACATCCTTCGCCACCAGGCATGCAGCGGAGCAGGTCTGCCACTTACATTGACCACCGCGCCGACGATGGCCATGACCAAACTCGGCCTCCCGGTGATGGGTTGCTGTCACCAGTCATGATGCACTCCACTAAAGGCCGTGACTATGCCTATTGGGATTTCAATCCTGGAGCAAACAGTGCGACTACCCGGAACCGACCGCCGGGAGATGATCCAAGAGCAATGCCGCCCAATGAGAGGCGGCGAGGAGATGGATATAGAGCCACTCATTCCTTGGATCCGCCAGCGCACATGCGGTCACAGTCGAATGCAGAGCCTCCGAAGCTCGAACGAAGGGCCTCGGAAAGAAATCGTTATGGGAATGTCTCGTCGCATCGCGTGAGCTCGAGGGGGTCACCACCTCAGTTTAACCGATCGAGCAGTTACAACCGTCGACATGCCTCTCCTCCCCGAGAAGAAGATGAGTACTCGGGCCCACGTTCAAACCGTCGGCGACAGTCCACCGTCAGCCATGAGGATAGAAACTACCTGCTCAGCCCAGACAAAATCCATTTCTCGGCCGGAGGAGCCCCGAAATCCCCACTTGCCTCGCCTCGGATTGTTCAGAATCAATTCCCAGATAGAGAACCGTCCTCAAGTCCCAGAAACGCCACCTTTCAAAGGGATAGCAAGCGCTACGACACCAGACCAGTGTCGCCGTTGCCTCCTGGAACATCTCCACCTAGGCAAAGTTCTAGACTCGATGACGGCGACAGAGTCGCTCATGCCCAAGCACGTTCACGGGCGACGAGCATCAATCAGGCGCCTTCTACCTCTATTCCGATCGTGATACCCATACCGATTCCAGGCACGAACGGGGATGTGTCTCCTATTGAGAGAAGGAAGTCGCCATTGCCGCCGCCTTACTCCCGCGCAGAGTCGACAGGTTCCAGCCCCCCGCAGTCCTACCGGCAACCTCTTCCTGGCCCGGCAGAAAGCCATGCGGGCTTGGATAGACCGGTTGTCTCGTACCGTCGATACCTTGAAGACGTCCAACAAGGGGTCCTTGCTCCGTTGCCTGAGTGCCGTAGGAAGGGTGCCCAGGCTGGATATGTCGACTGGCTCACTTTACCACGCTCGGTGAACTTCGATATTTGTCCCGACTGCTACGAATCCGTGTTCGCTCAGACCCTGTACAAGCATTCTTTCGTTCCCGCGCCTCTTCATGGCGCAGACAAGCCTATCTCGTGCGACTTTGGCACATCGCCATGGTATAAAATAGCCTGGCTGATGACACTGAAGTATGGCATTCAAGACCTGCACCTGCTTCAAGGCATCGAGGCTGCAGTAGTCAAGGGCCCTCAGTGCTCGGGCAGCCGGCCATCAACCCGGATCTGGTATAGCATTTTGGATCCTTACAACCGGCGGCCTATCTCCAACTTCACTGTGTGCCATCACTGCGCGAAGTCGATCGAGGTCATCCTACCAAACCTAACTGGGATATTTGTACCGCTTGATTCCGCAGCCGAGCCAAGTCGTGGCGTCTGTGCAATGCATTTCGCTCCCGGCAGGAAGCGCTTCGTCGACCTCTTCGACCTCCTAGAGACGGTGTCGGACAAGGCGCTGAGCCGTAACACCCTGCCGGACTTCCAGAGAGTTGCAAACAAGGTCCGGGACTTTTGCCTGATGCCCGAATGCATGCGCGACGAACCGGTACGAGAGGCCAAGTGGTTCGTCATGGAGCCGATCCCCGACTTCACCGTCTGCGAGGAGTGCTTCGACGAGGTGGTCTGGCCGATAGTCGAGGCGGACGAGACGGGTGGCGTGGCCCGGAAGTTCTTCCAGCGCAGCCAGCGGCGGCCCGTGGGGTCGTGCCAGCTGTATAGCGACCGGATGCGCGACGTGTTCAGGAAGGCGTGCCGCCGCAACGACATGCAGTACCTCGAGGACAGGGTCAAGGAGAGATTGGACATTGAGGCTGCAATAAAGGCGAAGCTTGCCGAGGGCCTGACCGAGGCCGAGACTCGGGAATTGGTCAGAAAATGGGGGCAATGGGAATAGTCTCCCGCTATCCACGTTATCCCATCTTCTACGTTTATAGACTCGATACATTAGATGGGTAGGAAGCGTTGTCAGATCTTAGTGCCAAATAATGATACCTTTGGTTTTCCCCAGCCTCCTTCCTGGTGAAGACAAAATATAATATTTATTCGCCTCAAACTTCGGATGCTGAGGACAGTGGCTTAAACCTAATATCTACTACTGACACTCTCGATAGCCGACACTTTATGGCCCAGAGGCATGATTTGAAGAATGAGGTTATTTGCCGAGGTAAGCTGGATTGTTGAATATCATGGGACTGTGCGTGGCTACTCTCTTTGATGAAGATATCCCCGTCAACTCATGATATAGGAGGTGGGAATGCTGTTCCTGCCGAGGAGCATCATCGCCCTGGCTTTTTTATCTCCAGCACCGTGGCTACGTTTTGAGAAATGAACGGCCAATGGTCCATTGCGCTGACCATGTGTGAATTAAAGTAACAGGGTGCAGCAGAGAGATTCACGGTAAGCAATGACTGGGTAGGTAGGTAGGTATCTAATGGGCTGAAGGCACGACTGGATACTGTTTGGTCGTCGAGTTGAGAAAGAGAATGGAGAGCACTCAGATCGGGCTTTGGCAGTTGTTACCAGCTGAAAAGAGGTATTGAAATACTTTACCAAAACAGGCTAGGCTCGCTTGTGTGGATCTTAGGGTCAGTGAGCCCCACGAAAACCCTCCCGCCAAAAATTGTTGCCAAAATTTCAATAGCCTTGGGGGAATTGGCCGCGACTTCACATTTTCACAACCCCGAGCCACGAAATTGTCTGAAGCCCAACACACGCCGAGGTGAGTGCAATCCGGCTCGTCGATATATCCAACCTGTTCCCGACATTAACCTGAGCCTCCAGACTATCGATTCTTGGGGAAAATGGCTTCCAGACCTACCGTCACGATCCTCGGCGCCGATGGCGCTGCCACCGGTGCAACTCACACCTACCCGACCGTGTTCCTGAGCCCGATCCGCCCGGATATCGTTCAGCAAGTCCACACCGGAATGGCCAAGAACAAGAGACAGCCTTATGCCGTCAGCGAGAAGGCCGGCCACCAGACCTCTGCCGAGTCCTGGGGAACTGGTTAGTGCTTGCCATTTCAATTTCAACCTTGAGAATACGGGGGTTTGGATGGATGAGCGGGATCTCTCGTTGGACGTGTGGACATGGCAATCGGACAGCTCCTGCGAAAGCTTGTGGAGGATTGGACCATTGGAGCAATATCAAGATCAAAGCAAGGCGCACGATGGAGATGCTGACTGTTGAATTTCAGGACGTGCCGTTGCGCGTATTCCCCGTGTCTCCGGTGGTGGTACCCACCGTGCCGGCCAGGCTGCCTTCGGTAACATGTGCCGTTCCGGTCGCATGTTCGCCCCTACCAAGACCTGGAGGAAGTGGCACATCAAGATCAACCAGGGCCAGAAGTACGTTACCACCGTGTGACCCAAACAAAAGGCCTTGTCTCTAACAAAACTTACAGGCGATTCGCTACTGCCTCCGCTCTGGCTGCGTCCGCCATCCCCCCTCTGCTGCTCTCCCGTGGTCACCAGATCTCGACTGTCCCCGAGGTTCCGCTTGTCGTCGACTCGGCCGCTTTCGATGGTGACGCCATGGCCAAGACCTCGGCTGCTCTGGGTCTCCTGAAGGCTGTCGGTGCCGGCAGTGATGTGGAGAAGGTCAACAAGTCGAAGAAGCTCCGCGCCGGAAAGGGCAAGCTCAGGGGCCGGCGGTACCGCCAGCGCCGTGGTCCCCTCGTTGTCTACGACCCCGAGGTTGACGGCAAGGAGCTTATCAAGGGCTTCCGCAACATCCCCGGTGTTGAGACCTGCTCTGTCTACGCTCTCAACCTCCTCCAGCTCGCTCCGGGTGGCCACCTCGGTCGCTTCATCATCTGGAGCTCGGCCGCCTTCAAGGCGCTCGACAAGGTCTACGGCACCACCACCGAGCCGTCGGCGCTCAAGAAGGACTTCCTCCTGCCGTCCAACGTCGTCTCGCAGGCAGATCTCGGCCGTCTGATCAACAGCTCCGAGGTCCAGAGCGTCCTCCGGGCCCCCAAGGGCGAGGCACGCACCAAGCGCGGCCACGTGCAGAAGAAGAACCCGCTCCGCAACAAGCAGGTCCTCCTCCGCCTCAACCCGTACGCTTCCACGTTCCAGAAGGAGAAGCTCGGCGAGCAGAAGAAGGAGGGTGGCAAGCCCCAGTCGGTACCGGAGAGCTTCAAGGTGCTACTGAACGAGAACTAGGATGGTTCCCAAGAAAAAGGGGAGGGGATCGGGCTGCATGGTTGCTACTTTCGAGGCGTAATGGCATAGGAATGTGCTAAATCCATTTTCAATCAAGTTCTCTGAAGATCCCGAGCCAAACTCGCCACTGCTGTTCCGTGTGATGCATCGTAGTCTCTGCAAGCGGCTTCGGCTCCTTATTTCCAGGGACTTGATTTGAAGATTTTGGCTGTTACTAAAGAGCCAGCCTGCGTGAGTAGAGCGGCATTGATAAGAAGAGTGGGTTGCCGGTTTTAGAGCCAGAAGTTGAGATGTCCATCCCTGAATTGATACATGCAGTGTCATTCTAAATGAGACTGTGCTCTGCAGAGCATCAATCACTATTCCGAGTAATTTTTTTTCTCACTTGTTTTCTTTCTTACATGGCTAGAATCCGTACCTCTTAACATGAAGACATCCTCCGACTGCGCAACGAAATGCCCTCCCCACCCCTCAAGCCCGACGAATACAGACTAAAGAGATACACATATTTGTCGATTTAACAACCTGACCAGGCACCCAGATACTCCGACTCGTCAGAACCCCCGGAGGCGGCAGCGGACGTGGGATCATCCTTAAGTATCTCCTCCAGCCTTGCGACCCTGCGGATCTTCCAGAACGAGTGCACGCCCTCGACGAACCTGACCGAGCAGGCATCGACCATCTCCTCGGTCTCGGCCGCGAAGCACAGGCGGAAGTGCGCCCACGCGACCTCGGCCCGGACGCCCTCTGTGGCGGCGAACATGGTCCCGGGGCTGACGACGACGAGGTGCGGCTTCGAGGCCAGGTAGAGCATCAGGGCCATGGACAGGGCCGGGCCGTCGACGACGCCGGACCCGGGCTTGCGCCGGGCGACCCGCCAGAGCGGGTGTCGGTCGAAGCGCATGCGCAGCCAGACGAACATGCCGCCGCGCGGCCAGGCGTAGTCGTAGACGCGCGTGCTCGTCACGACGCCCCACTCGGCGTCGGGGTGGCTCGACGGCGGCCGGCCTATGCGCAGCAACAGGGAGCCCTCGTCGAGGGCGCGGCACACGCGGTTCATGCGCCGCTCATACGCGCCCCGGAGGCCCTCGAGCCAGCGCACCCAGCCGGCCACCTCCCAGCCCGAGAAGGCGGCCCGGTCCCTGCTCGTGCGCAGCGCAGCGAAGGTCGACCTGGCCGCGGGGGGCTGGGGCCCCATGACTAGCTCGGCTACCATGCTCTGCACGAAGCCTGAGGGTTGCTGGGTTGTGGACTCGGTGATTCTGGGGGTTGTAAGTATTAGAGGATCCATGGTGGCCTGAGAGAGCTGGGGTAGATATCGGGGGATTGTCATGTTCATACCTCAGGTACCTGTCAATCAGGGCCGGTTGCGCCGTTATCCAGCCCAGGCGACAGCCAGGAGCGATGGTCTTGGAGAAGGTATCTAGCCGGACAACCCTGCCGTCCGTGTCGACGCTGAGGAACGAAGGGGTCAAGGAGTCGAGGAAGGGATAGCCGGATGACTTTTTTGGCTTATGCTGTTGTGTCTGTTCTGGCAAGGGCAGATCCCTTGACCTGGCTTCCTCAATCTCCGCTGATGGGAACTGCAGATACCAGTACGGGTCATCTTCGACGATAATCACATCGTACTTGCTGCAGACAGCATAGAGCTGCTTTCGTCGCTCAACAGAGAGCACGATACCCGTGGGGTTGTGGCCCAGGCTGTTTTCAGGGGGTCAGGAACGAAAGGATAAACGAAAGCGACCTTTACACTAATGGGGACAAGGGTTACGTACGTCACGGTGTACATCAGATGTGGCCGTTTCCCCTTCGCGTCATCCCAGTTGGAGAGCACATCTTCCAGCCCGCCAGGGCCTGTCGCAAGCATGCCTCCCGCATCTGACTTAACAGTAACGACCTGCACGCCCCGCGGCAGTGACTGGCCGAGGACATTGGAATAGATGAAGTTTTCGCACAGCAACCCGGGGCGATCGCAGATATCATTAACCTCGGGGTCCCACGAATTGACGAACAAGTCGAGTGTCTTTGAGAAGCCGTCGGTTGAACCGCACGTCAGGATCACCTCGGGCCCGCCACGGTAAGGCACGTTGGGGTGCAGATTCTCACGGGTGAACTGTCGAATCCACGAGTGCAGGGGAGGGTATCCCTGCGCGGTACCGTATTGCAGTGCCGACGCCAGGTCAATCTTCTTTAGCGGGTCGGACTCATCTCTCGCCTTTGGGATGGCGATATGTGAGGCAGCGGTTGGATCCGATGTGAGTGTTGCCGATGCAAGCTTGGCGGTCAGATCCTCGTCCGGGTAGTTCGGCGTAGGGTTCCACCTCTCTGGCTTCGCAGCTTGCGCCTCGAGGGTGTCGAAGGGGAAGAATTGAACATTGGGCATGCCTGCATTCGTTATCAAATGAGTGATGTTTTCGCCTTACGCCAGGCATGTCGTCGCGGGATACGCCCAGGCATGTCGTCGCGGGAACAACGTACCACCAGCAAGGTTCCCTATGCCGGGAACCTGGAAGAACTTGTAGAACTGCTTCACCAAACTTGGGAGACGCCGCTTCGTGACCTCGGAGTAGTGATGGCTCAGGTCAACGGGCGTTGGGTTGCTGCCACTCGCCGAGCAGACATCTTGATAGGAGGGAGGAGGGTCCATCACGTTCAGAATTGCTCTCTATCTCAGTGGAAGAGTTAATACGGCTTGCAGAAAGGACACTTGACCCCCGCCGTGATTGCACTTGTAAGAAAAGGTTGGTATAGTGAGGTTTGGTATCGCGATGAAGTGGTCCGGAGTTCTTGGCAGCCGATTACAAATCCCCAGTGTCCCAGCTACTAGCCACGGACTAGCAGGTCTGGGTCATGGTGGGGAAATGCATCCTTCCGACCCCGGTCGGTCCGGCAAGGACGGGCGCTACGACGCTACCACATGAACCTTGCGACAGGACGGACCCGCTTTCTCGACCGCTTTGACTTTCATGGTCCGGGGCTTGGGATGTCACTGCTTCGACCTCTCTCAGTCTCATCTCCTCTCACACGTCTTCTCCGTCTTCTCGGGTCGACAAGGTGCGATTTTTGGCCTTTCCAACCAGCTCAATCGGCTCTGTGAGATCCCCCAGTATATTTTCCTCTCATCAATATTTTTTGTCATAGCTTTTGATGGTGGCCTTGACCCCGACGTTTATGCGACATCCTGAAGATGAGAAGGATGCTTGGATGAGGTGACAGGTCATGGCGAATGATCGTTACGATGCTATCAGAGCACTAGCTCAAAATCTTTAAGGCATCATGTCGCCCCAGAATCGCCCAATCGCAACGGTCCGAGCCGGCTTTTGTCCTGATATGGGCTCTGCTTATCGGCCAACCTCGTTCCAGCCAAGGCAGAGAGTGTATGAAGCATCGCAAACCTCGGACAGACATGGAGAGGCTTGAACTGGAACTCCTCCGTTGCAGTGCGCCGGTACACACTCGTCTCCTTTCCCAGGTATTGACATCAGATGCACAGCCGAATCAGGGCGCTTCGAAGACAAGTGGCTCCGCGTCTATGTGGAGAAGCCGTGCATCGTTTCAGCAGTTTAAAGAATCTCTTCCTTGGTCTCGCCTTGGCCGCTTGATGGATATGGAAAGCCCAGCTCGTCGAGAGACTTTGCGACTCGGCCTTCCTTCTCAAACTTGAGCTTGGCTTCGGCATAGATCTTCCTTTGCCAAAGAAGCTCATCGTCCCATCTTGGCGGTTCTTTCCCCTGCGTCCCTGAATGCACAATCCGATCATGTGTTGAGTTGATATATTCACCATCGGCACCCTTTGGCCACACGTGGAAGGCAGGTCCCTTCCTCCGAGCCTCCTCGTCTTCCCACTCCTTCATCTCTGCTGTACTCGGTAGAGAAATCGCATTGGTCCACACCCTTGCGAATACCGCTGCCTGGCTCTCGGAAAGGGGGAAAGGGACCACCTTGATTGGGAGGCCAGGAAACACCAACGTCGGATGGTCAATGTGGATCAAATGCTGGTAAAGCCCATGGACCCTCCGGCCATCGGATACCAAGGAAGGGGCAAGCGATGTGAGAAACGGAAATGTGAATAGATATCCTGTTGAATACAGGATTGCATCGATATCTCGCTCGACTCTTCCATCTTGGAAGCGAACGCCCCTCTGTCCCACGAGGAACTCCTCTATCACAGGAACCTCTTCGGCACCGACAAAGGCGAGATTGTCTGGCGGACAAGGAGTCTTCACCGACAGCAACAATGGCTTTCGACACACTCGGCTGATCTGAGCAGCAATGTCAAGTCCGGAGGCAGAGTTGCCGACGACGACAACCTTCTTGTTCGCAAATTGATCTGCCGTGCGATAGGATTTCGAGTGCGATATAACTTCTGGATGCGCTTCATGAAACTCTCTGATGTTCTTCACATCAGGAATGAACATAGTCGAGTAATGACCGGACGCAACAACGACGGCATCATAGGTGGCCGTTTGCATATCACCATTCACGGTGGACATGGCATCCAGGTCCCACTGATCTCTTCCATCCTCTTTGCGCGGGCGCACATCCTTGACCACCATAGAAAACTTGATAAGATGTCGGACGTCCTCGGCATATTTCACCAAGTAATCCTGCACAATGTCTCGGGAAGGGAAGATAAGCGAGTCATCCGGGAAGGCCATATCCGAGTATTTCATGAGAGGCCATGGGATGTTCGTATGTAACACATCGTACATCGGAGTTGGAAAGACTGGAGGCGCAGTTCCCGATCGAATTGGTGGATCGGGTGGGCAGAAAGCACTCACTTGAGGCACATGGAGAGTCTGCGATGGGGTCTTGCTGTAGTTCCACACTCCGCCAACTTCGGGCTGTTGCTCGTAGATGACGATTCTCTCGAAGGCATTTTGCGCGAGCAGATACCTCGCGGCCGAGAGTCCACAGGGGCCAGCGCCGATGACGGCAATGTTCTTGACGTTGAATGGCCCGGACTTTTGAGACCCCATGTTCAGGAGCGGTTTTTGGAAACGCTGGTAGAAAGACGGCATCGATAGCAAAGGGAAAAGAAGTCGATTCGGCGCATCAAAACAAAACTTCTACGCGCTTATGGGCTCCATCTCCGACAGACTTCCCAATGCGATCACGCAATTCCTTACTGATTACCTAACTGCATGCGTAAACATCTCAAGCTTTGGCGTGGTTTATTGCCCCACATGATGAAGGCCCGCCAGGCAAGATGAGCCTCACCGCCTTCCGCTTTCGATCAGTTCAGCTCCGTAGAGCTCAAAGTTACCGTCATTCTGGGTCCAGCTTGTGTTTGGCAAACCATCTTACACCACCAACCTGTCTTCACCAACCTCACCTGCATCACGCCACTACTGCACTACGAATGTCATGCACAAAAGATGGTGCTTGGTTTCTTTTTTGAAATCCAAGAATCAGAAACCTATCACCACGCACCAAGATGGGTTCCATAGCTGAAGGCTTCGCCTTGTTAAGCTCGGCAGTCGCGACACCAATCGCGCAGCTCAATCCCAATCTATCTGAACCAGCTTCACGCGTGATTATTGGGAAAGTAGCTATCGTTTGGCCTTATAATTCAGTCAGCAATACCCTCGCCTTCCTTCTTGCCGAACCCGATATTCTCCTCCGTCGCATCAAAGGCGAGGTCCGCGTCCAGCTCCACGGGTCAAGCGCGAAACGTGTTGCAGAATGCAAGCTTGGGGGTGGCGATGCAGTAGCTCTCTATCTGGATGGGGTAGTCTGGGGCAAGGACAGCTCCCCCATTCGCATGCCGGCAGCACGGCTGGACTGGCAGCTTGAGTTTGCTGAGAAACTGAGACTTGAGGTATGTGCCCCAGTGCTTCCCCTTTGCCCTCTTACGTGCGTCTGAAAGTTATATAGGCTAGAGTAGGAGATACACAAGAGATCCGAACTGTCAATGTCGATAATCCATTACCCGTTGCCCAGCTCGGTTTCGTTGAAGAGACACAGACACAGGATGGCCAACCCCAACCAGACCCTGTATCGCCCATAGCTCAGCCCCGAAATTCCCGCATTGCCGACATCGAAATAAACGAGCTCAAGTCCCCAGCATTTTTGAAGAGAGCTAGGGTCTCATACGGATCCCTTTTTGAGGGTGCTTTTGACATTTTTGAGGAAGACGGTGGGCTAAAGGGGAAGGGGCGCAAGAAGTCCAGGTTTGGGCGGGATAGCAGCTCGTGGAGATATGCCAGCCGGTCACCAAGCCCCGAAGCAGAATCCCACGGCTCGGAACAGCAAGAAGAACCGGCCGCCACCGATGTGGTAATGCAGAGCTCCCCACAGAAGCCCCGGATGACAGACGAAGGGTGTCAAACCATCGAGCTCGATATGACACCAGTTCTTTCGGGGCCTCTCGTCGCAGAAACCTTGGACGAAACCGTTGGCCGACAGCGATCCCTGCCGAGTAAAGGTCAATCTGAATCCCAGCACCCATCATCTCCCCTTGCAGAGCCAGATAAAGGGCCGCCGGAATCGAGCCATAACGAAACCGCTGCTCCAGCTCCGAGTCATACATTATTCGGAAGTCTAGCTCCAGGCCACAACCTCTATTCTACGTCGCGCTTGGGTGCGCCAGTACCTCCGCAGATGGATGACGGCCTCAGCATTGCGGACCGGGTGAGGTTTGGATTCTCGCATCAGCCTCAAGCAGTATCGCGTCCAGAATTGGAGACACAATCAACAGTGCCAGATTCGCAGATGCCTGCCGGAGAAGGACAGTATCCCGCATCCTATTTGGAGGGCCCTGGTGCAGCAGGATATGCCGATATGGACTCTTACGTTGATGCCGCGGAACAGGAGCATGAACTAGAACCCACTTATAGATACGGCGTCCCGCAAGTGCCTCCCGTTACCGAAACCTTCGAGCGTGGCCAGTGGGATATGGCCGCACAGTCGCAAGAGTACAACCCGGTTGAGGGCGGGCACTTTGGCACGGATGCATTGGATGAGGGGCGCAGAATCACCACCGGTGAGGCAGCGCTTCGCTCAGACAACATTCAATCGGAACAAGTCCCTGCCGGGTTTGACAGCTACGGGGGTCACGAGGATGAAGCTTCCGAGTCCAATTCGGAGGAGGAGCTTGACCAGAGAGAAGTCCCCGGCGAAGACTTTGTTGAGAACGAGGAAGTCGAGGATGATTTGGACGACGAAGTTGGAATCGAAGATGAAGATGATGTCGAATACGGCGATGACGGCGAGATAATTGAACAGGGTGATTATGATCAACGTCAATACGACGCGCCCGCAGACGATGATGAAGGACCGTCAGAAGGAGACGAGGCCGAGGAAGAGATAGGCGAACGTTATGGCGTACAGGATATTATAGCTTCCGAAGATGACTATTCCGGTGAGGATGAGTCCGAGGGCGGCGACGATATAGTCCCTGGCAGTGAGCTCGCGGACGAGGACGACGAGGAGTATGAGAGCGAGGAGGAGGAAAACACATACCAGCCTTGGATACCGCCTACACAACCAACTGCGGCCCCGAAAGAACCTGTGGTTATCAGCCTGCTTTCCGACTCCGAGGATGAGGATGAAGAAGAAATTCCCGAGCAATCATCTCAGTCGTCAGAATTTGAGCCAAAGAGGTCTCCGGAACGTTTGCCTGACCAGAGAACGGCTGAGTCTCACCGGCCCTCCAACCTTCCTGCGCCGGGCCAGATTGACGGAACCGTCGACTTTGTCCAAGGCCGAGACCAGTCCATGGAAGGCAGGGGAGTAGGGGTTGAAAGCTACGAGGCAGCTGCAATTCCGGATGATATGCATCCCGCCAACTTCCCCTTGGCGCAACATGAAAAATCTGCGACAGAGAGGGAAGAGCCGGGCCTAGTCAATGAGGAGAATCCAGCCGATATGGATCCTGGAACGGTCCTGAGGCCCTCGGATGGTCCGGATGCGACTCTGGGGCACGCGGAAAGCATTGATAAGGACACCACCGGACAAAGTGAGGATGATGGCCAGGACCATACCGATACGGAGATGGTTGATGCTGGTGATCGTGGAGCAAGCCAAGAACTGGACGTCGCTAGTTTCCAGGAAAGCGCAATTGACAGATCTGAGCCGAATCAGGCATCTCAACAATTCGAGCCCAGCGCAGTCGACGAAACAAGGTCTTCTCCTCCACATCTACCACACGACGCCCACACCAAAGACCAAGATGTAGGCGCCGAGCCAGGGGCTGTTGAGCAGCCAGAAGCCCCGAGTGAGCACCATGTGTCGGGCATGCCTGTTGAGTCAGCCATTGATATTGATTCCGGCATGGATGTTGACATGGCCTCTGGGGAAAGTAGTCTCTTCGGAGACGATCCAAGCATTGTTCTAGAGTCCGGACCTCAAGATGAGGACTCGACAAGGAATACCGCGGGTCAGGGCAGTGGAACGACTCATATTACGCCTTCCTCGCCACCGCTAACCCAGCAGGTCGAGTTCCAGGTAATGGAAAAGGAGACCGTCATTGAAGCCCAGCTGATTGGCAGCAACGACCATATGGAAGGGCTGCCAACTCCCATGGAGACTCAGACAACCGAGATTACCCTGTCCCAGCAATTCGTGTCCGAAGCAATGGACTTGACGCAGACAGACGTGGAGGCTATTGAGCCCGCCACTGCACCCGACACTCACCACGAGAATCCTTATCAGGCCTCTGTTCAGGAGCAGGAGCAAAAACCTGGGCAGGAACTGGAGCAGGAAGCTTCACAGGAACCGCAGCAAGAACCAGAGCCTGCCCAGGTGCAGGAGCAAGAGCCCGCACAAGAGCAGGAGCAAGAGCCCGCACAAGAGCAGGAGCAAGAGCCCGCACAAGAGCAGGAGCCAGAGCCCGCACAAGAGCAGGAGCCAGAGCCAGAGCCAGAGCCAGAGCCTGAACCCAAGCAGGAGAAGGAGCCTGTGCAGGAACTGGAGCAGGAACACATGGAGGACGTGCAACTGGTTCCAGAGGTGCAAGTGGAAGCCGTGGAACACCAAAGAGACGACGTTGAGATTGTTGACTTGAACCCGGCTACGCCAGGCAGCGATGGGCCACAGGGCCAGGAAGTTGAAGTTCAACAGTTGCTGAGCCCATCGCCTGTGCCCCAATGCGCTGAGGGCGAGGTGAAGTCTCCGACTGCTGGAGAAGACATCGAAACGTCCAAAGCATCCAGGGAGCAGGGGTTGAACAAACAGGCCGCACCATCCTCACATCAAGCAGTTCAGCCTGCCGAAAAGCGGACACTGCGCTCGTCCTCCCCACTTCCAAATCCTTTTGACGAGACCAAACAAAAGTCGAAGAAACCTGTCCAGGAGGTAATCACTGTCAAGCTCCGGAAGAGGGCTCAGAAAGCTCAAGAGGAGAAGCCCTCGCGCGATGGAGAGCGTAGAGCCGAAGAGACCACGCCAGATTCAAGCATCCAGCTTGCGCGGGCCGCCCTAGCCTCCAAAAAAGGCGCACCCAAGAGGCTTTCTGACCCTCCCATAAGTCCTAGAAGGACTCGGGGAGGGTCAGGCAGCGTACATCTGAGTGCCACGCCCGAGTTTGAAGACGCCAGCATCCAGCTAGCAAGGGCTGCGCTGACGTCTCCGTCGAAGCTGAGCGTCGAGAGCGAAAGCACTCCCCCAGGCGCCCTCAAAGCAGAGCTGTCGAAGCGGCTCCGTACCCAGCTCCCCAAGTTTACGGCTCTGAAGAACATTCGCAACCACGCCAACAAACACGTGGGCGTCGTGGCTGTGGCGACCACCCAACCGCCGCAGCCGCAGCGGGCTAAGCGGCAATACACCATGTCGTTGAACGTCACCGACCCGTCCTTGGTCCCGAATCACGTCACCGAGGTCCAGTTCTCGCGAGCGCACAAGGAGTACCTCCCGAGCGTGAAACCCGGGGATGCCATCATCCTCAAGGGTTTCCAGGTGGTGCAACTGGCCAAGAAGGGGTTCGGCCTCGTCGCTGACGACGACTCTTCCTGGGCGGTGTTTGACAACGAGGAGGGCGAGCCGGAGATTAAGGGGGAGCCCATGGATCTCGATGAAGTCGAGTCCGATCACGCAATGTCCCTCAGATCGTGGTATGGGTCGCTGGACGGGCCCACGTGCGCGAGGTTGGAGAAGGCGAACCAGAAGATTGCGGAGGAGAATCGCCCCAAATGAGGCATTGCCGAGAACGTTGGGGCATGGGCTATGGAGATTTATATATTTATTCATAGACTGGCGTTTGTTTGAAATTCTCAGGGGAAGCGGACGAGTTCCGCGCCCGGCTAATGGCGAATGGTTGCTATGGGCTTAACGGATACGCTATGTATATAGTGAAGGAGGAGGATATCAATATCATGTCCATTTTTTGCGGAACGAGACGCACTCTCGGGAGACGTGAGGGTGGACTTCTTACCTATTGGACAAAAATAATAATCATCCTAGTTGGAAGTACACAAACTCTTCGATTCGTTTCCCCAGACAGGCTTACAATTTGGCAATGAATGGCTACTACCCATATGTCGGTGATCACGTTGAAAAACCCAAGTTCTCGAGTATCTAGGCAGTTCAATCACAGCATAACTTGAGAAGGAAAGTGTCCAAATTAAACTCGGGCAGAACGTGCTGGATAAACCAGTAACCCCTGCGTTCATGATGCCCGGAATGAATCTATCTAGCCGAAAAGTGCCCAGAAATCCCCCAATGAAGTCATTATCCATTCTCCTTTTTGTCTACTCGCGGTTTCCGCGGTTCCCCTCGCACGTGTAGTCCTCTCGTCCTCATATGGTATAACGGCGGGGTTGGAGCCAGAGCCCCTCTAAAACCAGAAGAGGCCTTCTTGGTCTCGACCCAATTACCCTTCCTTCCCTGCCTAGGTCCCAGGTATCACGCGACGTCAAAATCCTCCCTCCCCCTTTGCAAACTCACAACTTGGGGTCATAGATGCGCTCCTTGATGAACTTGGTCAAGGCGACGTCTCCCCACTCCTCCCACTCGACCCACTGCTCCTCGGGCAGCTGGCTGACGCCCTCGCGGCGGGCCGACTTCATGACCTCGCGCGCGACGACGATGTTCGCGTCGCGGACGCGCTCGATGTTGGGGTAGATCAGGCCCCGGTGGATCTCCTCGGCGTTGAGGGAGCCCGCCAGCGCGGCCGCCGACGTGTAGATCATGTCGTCGGTGATGCGGCTGGCCTTTGCGAGGATGGCGCCCAGGCCGATGCCCGGGAACACGTACACGTTGTTGCCCTGGTTGGGGTAGTAGGTGATGACCTGGTCGGCGTTCTTGACGCTCAGCGTCGAGAAGGGCGAGCCCGAGGCGAAGATGACGGTCCCCTCGGTCCACTGCACCGCCTGCTCGAAGGTGCATTCGGCCTTGGTGAGCGGGTTGCTGAGGGGGAAGAGGATGGGCCTCCGTCCGAGCCCGCCGGCGTCGACGGACGCCTTGAGGGCGCGCACGACCGACTCGGTGAAGACGCCAAAGGTCGCCGTCAGGCCGACCAGGGCGCTCGGCTTGACATACGCGATGACCTCCTCGAGGGAGCGGAACTGGTGGCCGTTGTTGTCGGTCCTCGCGAAGTACTTCTTGTGGTCGGCGAGCTTGTCGCCGCGGTCGCGGGTCACCAGGCCCTTGGTGTCGACGAGCCAGAATTTGTCTCGGGCGGCTTGTTCTGAGAGGCCGCGCTTAGTGTAGTATTCAACAAGCTGCTTCGCCACGCCAACGCCGGCAGACCCTGCTCCCATAAACACGAGCCTGTGTTCCTCAATGGGCACGCCAGAGAGATTGACAGCGCCAATATACCTGCAACATGTCAGTCCCCTGCCAGGGTGGGTTTTTCCTTGAGAGTCAGACTTACCCGGCAAGTACAACGGCACCCGTGCCCTGGATGTCATCGTTGAATACCTTGTAGGTATTGCGGTACCGGTCAAGGTAATTGAAGGCCTTCTCGCTCTCAAAGTCCTCGAATTGCACAACCATCTCAGGATAGACTTCCTCAGCCGCCGCCATGAACTCGTCCATGAAGGATTGCTGCTCGGCAACTGGAATACGCTTGGAGCGGAGTCCAAGATACAGGGGATCCTTCAGGTTTGTTTCGTTGGCAGTTCCACAATCAAGGACAATAGGAAGGGTCTTCTCGGGGTGGATGCCGGCAGCTGCGGTGTACAAGGCAAGTTTGCCGATCTAATGCGTGTGTTATTAGGTGGTGTGCTCCCGCCCAGGTGGCCAGCAGATTTGGGAGCCAAACTTACGGGAATCCCAACGCCATTGACACCCAGATCACCCAGGCCAAGAATTCTAGATCCGTCCGTCACAACACAGATCTCGGGGTTGGGGTAAGGCCAATTCCTGAGAATGGTCTTCATCGACTTTCTCTGCTTGATGGAGATGTACAACGCCTCCGGACGGGTGTACAGGGTTGAGTATTGCAGGCACACATCTCCAATGGTGGGCGTGTAAACCAATGGCATCATCTCCTTTGCGTGGTCGATGAGCAGGCGGTAGAAGAGATCTACATTCTGGCCCTTGATGTGCGACAGATACAGATACTTGTCGATGTTGGTCTGGCGCGACCGGATCATCTTCAAGGCACGCTCGCACTGCCGGTCAAGACCCTCCATGACGTGTGGTAGTAGGCCAGTGAGGTTCTTGGAGGCCCGCTGGTCAGGTGTGAAAGAGAGGCCTTCGGGAAGGGAAGTCAGTGGACTGTGGGAGAGGACGTGGGTCGGCATGGTACAGGACAGTTTATGAATGCCCGCCTCTTGTACGACTGGAATGGGAAGGGAGAAGGTGTGAGACGAAAGGAACACGAGGTCGGATTGGCTCACCTTTATTCCAGAGAGGTTCACGGAGCATCTGGTAGCCAAGGGCTTGGTTCTGGGAAATATACTCGGTGGTGGCGAATTGTCGGACCTCTCCATAGTGGTTCTGGGAGTAGCCGCGCAAGGTGTCCAAGTTTGCCATCTTCATGGCTTCTTCGATGGTTGCGATGTCGACACTAGACATGGGGTTGGAAGCGGAGATTCTCCGGGAGGAGATGGACATGCGCTTATTAGATATGGAGGACTGGGAGGAACGACCCGACACTACTGAAGCGGGGGAGATTGACCGAGGTGTTGAGATATCGGAACTTGAGTTGCTGCTGAAGCCATACGACGCCATGGCATGTGCGAGGGACAGTAGCGGGAAACGAAGCGGGAGAAGAAGGAAGAGGATGGGGGGGAAGTGAAGGAGGCCGTGGATAACAAGAGAGGTCCTGCACCGGGCAAGGTCGAGGTATGGTTGGATGGTCCGTGGCTTGTGCTTGGTATTAGGATTACGACCGGGAGCATGCGATCGAGGAGGATGCGGAGGTGGAGATGGATGTGGAGATGGAGGTGGAGGTGTACCGGCTAACGCTGCTGATGCAGACGATCGGGTCAATGACACTAGCGACAAAAGGACCTTTGACAATATTGACGTTGGGGCTGACGGTCCGTTGGTGCTTGCAGCAGTGAGGATTTGCCTCCTTAAGACCTTTGCTGAACCTGAAGCTCCACCGCTGGTTGGCAGCCAGGTCCAGGGATTTTTACCCATGCAGACCGCCGTTGCGAGCTGTAACAAGACCCTCCAGGCAGTTTCGTCAACCGTTTCAACGCCCCGTTCACTGCTGTGAAAATTATAGACCAGGGCAAATTCAGGTACCTGATGTGGAGAGAGTGGCCACCGTCAAGGATGTGAGACCAGGGCCGGTATGTTCCCCAAGTTCGGCAGCGAAAAAGCCTTCGATGGTGGGCCGGAATTGGAGTTCCTTCGACTGTGAAAGATGACTACGACATCTAGCTCTCCGGAAGTAGGCAATTGACATCCTAATCTATTAGGTAGGTATGTACACGCACGAAATCTTTCTATACAATTTTGTTGGGCTACTGTTGAGCCGGTGTGCAAGGTACACCTTACCTTGCTGAATTCGATCAGCGAAGTCGCGATCCCTAGCCTGCAGGTCAAATGTCCGGCACCCCCCTGTCTGTTAATCGCACTCCACTAGGTAGGTACACATGGGCGTTCTCCGAGTAGGTAGCTTCCCCAACTTCCACCCACCCTGCAAGTTCCTGGTTCGGTAGTTGTTCCCAGCTTGTGCAGCTCATTGCCGCAACTTGCAGTGTACAACCTGCTCTTCCTTATGTCGTGTAGACTCCCTCGTGAAAGCAAAGTATAGGACCGACAGATATCACAGTTTGACCCTTTGCTACAGGTAGCCAACGAGGTCGACGACTTGCTGGTGGGGTTGGATCTATCTTTTCTTTTTCGTTTTCGAGAAGAAGTCGGGATGATTACCAAGGAAGGGGACCGGGGTGCATTGAACAGGGGCGGTGAACTCAAGCCACCTCACTTGGCCCAATGAGAGGAAGAGTAATCACCCTCTGATTCCCCTTTCGGCCTGGGATTGACATAACGAGCCGAACCGTGGGACAGGGCCGGTGGGTCCAAACCTTTGGGAAGGATTTACGCTGTTGCAGGAGAGTGGGTCCTCGTCCTACCCAAGAAAGCCAAGAAAGTCGTCTCGGGGCGCCAGAATTCGCAACCCGCCCCTTTTTCTTCGAGGTCCCCACATCCCACGTTCCCCCATCCGAATCCCGATTTCGTCTGGTGCAAAAGCAGTTGACGTGCCCAGCCTGTCAGCCTCGACAGGCGGGTGGTTGCTTCAGCTTCGCCTCCCGAGTCCCCAGGCCCCGGACCGAGTCCATACGTTGTAGGGATGAGAGATGCTCGATACCAGAGAGCAAGTCAAAAGTGCACCAACATGACATCTCCCGGTTCCATCTCCCGGTTCCATCCATCCCTCCACGACCACACGCGATGCAGCTAAATAAGTGCCAAGGTAGTGACTCCCTAATTGCCACGGCACTTCGTACTTCTATCCACACTTTTCATGTGTTGGGGACAGCACCAGACATTTGCATGGATATCCCAAAACAAGTCCTCCGACTTTCCCCGACATTATTGCATGGGTGGAACTTAGGCGGCGCCTCCTATCGGACTGCTTTCAGCCACCTTGATAATATGAGACGGTGAGAGACTCTCAGGCATCGACCGACCTGCTGGACAGCGTGGCACGGTCTGACAGCGGCCCAACCGTGGCATGCAGTGAGTGATGCACACATGCTCATGGGCCGCGGTCGTGCGTGAATGATTCCGCAAGCTCCACCAGCCTCAAACATCCCCAAGCATGGCTGTCACAACACCATGGCTTGCTTACGCAGTACTGCAGTGGCAGGTTATATGTACCGTTCCATCCCGAGATCTGACGTTACCATTGGATCCCTTATCACAATCAAATACCTTATCATTGGACAAAAGAGCTTTCTCCACTACCTACTCGGGTACAGGTGTATCCTCCCTTGCGCTTATCCTGGAAGGGAAATCGAACACACGATAGTTCGGGCTTTCCGCCTAGAGCTGTATTCAGACGCACCTATTCTCTTTTACATATTTTCTCGTCTCGAACACCCAAGGGGTGTCTGTCAGTCAAGAAAAGATAACCATGCCGTTTCCTGTTACATTTGATCCGGCCTATGCCTGATCTTCCCTCCCGTCCTGCGATCCTGCGATCCAGCCGAAAGCGAGAAAGATCTGCATCCCGATGGGTGTCTGACTACTGTGCTTCGTTCACATGGAGACTTGCGTGTGGTTGATTCCGAGGAACCAACAGACAGGTGGCTGGGCTGAGTGCCCCGCAGCTTGTGAAGTCTGGCGTCAATACTATGGTAACTTACTCAGGAACCGGTGAGCTGGGCATTTTAGGGTGCCAAGGACATCACCACCGGTCTCGGCGGACTCCGGGAAGTTACACGGGAAATCTCGGACACACATGTAAGCCTGGAGCAACTTGGGAGGTCTTAGCCGAAAGTTTACGGATTTTCTGGTTCGTTTCCTCTCGGAGTCAAAGTTCTTTTTGATGGTTCGTTGGTCACGGACATGCATGAGTAGACACAAAAGTTCGCGTTGCGGCTCTCCAAACCCCGCATTTTCACTGCAGGAGTACATCCTGAAGGGTTCAACCGGGTTTGTCCCCCGGCTTCCCAACATGCAGCTAAGTCGTAGTTAATCTGAAGGCCACGCCGATACCGTCCCTAATTAGCTTGGCTGGCTTTCCTGTTGTACGAAGTGGCCATGTGATGACTCACGGCCCAAAATATCATGTTCCAGGTCGAAGCACCCTAGTGTGCGCCTTGCAATACAGAAAAACAGAGAAAGGCAAGAAGCGGAGGGAAGGAAGTCGATTAATGGGCGAGAGCCCGGGGTTGGCGTGTGGAAGCGTCGCAACAATAAGACTACGTAACAGTCACTCCGAAATCGATACAATATCTCTGGAGGCGAAGGCATTCAAGAGTCCACATCATGGACACTGCATAGCCCATCCCATTCGCTACTGTTTTACTTCCAGGTTTAACAAATGGTCAGATTTTTAGAGGGTTAGAAATAAATATGTTGTACATACGTACGTCTCTGGTCTCGTCGCCATCAGAAATTATTTTACTGAGAGAACGGCGGTGAAAGGTCGCGATCAACAATCCTACTACCTCTTTACATAGTTCTTCACCGGCTTACTAATCAAAATGGGTTATACGCACAGGCCACCCTTTTTTTAAATGGCACGTGCCAGGTCATCCGGCTTAGTAACTGGTGCGCAACGTTACAAGGCTGACAACTCCAAAGGTTCTGTCCCGCGATATCATCAAACAACTATCAGACCCCGGGGAGCAACGATTGAACCTTCAAGATGTCTGAACGGAAAGTCCAAAGGCAAGTGAAATCCCCAGGTCGATATCCTTTACAGCAAGGATACGGAAGCCCTCCTGAGTGCAGTCGAGGATTTTGAGACCGACCAGCGGTCTCAATATGGCCTGAAAACCTGTCGTATCACCCCCACAGTCACAGTCCTACTAACTCAACTTGTTGCAGCAAACATTACCCCGCGGACTTCGATCCGCGCAAGCTCGGCCGGTCTCGCGCGCCGAAGCAGGTTGGGCCCCGAGTGCAGAGCGTCAGGCTAATGCTCCCTTTCTCTCTCAAATGCACCACATGCGGAGAATACGTCGGCAAGGGGAGGAAGTTCAACGCGCGGAAGGAGACACCGACCGACGAGCGCTACCTCGGCATCCAACTCTTCCGATTCTTCATACGCTGCCCGCGCTGTTCAAACGAGTTAGTCTTTAGGACGGATCCCCAGCGAGGAGACTACCAGTTAGAGAAGGGTGCCGTAAGGAATACGGACCCGTGGAAGAGAGGCCTAGGCGAGGACCCGCTGCGCGACGAGACGGACGATCAGAGGTTGGACCGCCTGGAGCTCGAGATGGCCGAGGAGGAGGAGAGGAACGCCATGGCCGAGCTCGAGGCAAAGACCGTCGACGCGAAGAGGGAGATGGCGGTGGCCGACGCGCTAGACGAGATCCGGAGCAGGAATGCGCGGATCGAGCGGGCGCATAGGGAAGGGGGCGTTGTCGGCGTAGTGGAGCCGATCGTGGGCTCGGAAGAAGAGGAGAGACTGAGGCTGGAGAAGGAGGATGAGGAGGCTGCGAGGAGGGCGTTCGCGTTTGCGAAGGAAGCGGAGCAGATTGAGCTGCCGCTTGACGACGAAGAGGATGGCTCGTCGGATGCCGTGTCCTGGAACTCGAAGGGGATTTCTAATACAACTCCGGATGTTGCTCTGCAACCAGAGCCTGCCGTTACTGTGGCACCCCTGACGAGTATGCCGCCACCGAGCTTCAAGCGGCAGGTCAAAAAGAAGAAGGACCACGCGGCGCTCTTAGGGATCAAGAAGAAGAAGCCTCTGGTGTGACTGGTCTCAAGCTGAACCTTTGGCGATATACAGCAACACCTCCATACGTAGTTCCGGTTCTAAATGCGGACGGCCAAACTGGCAGCTCACTACGCGTCGCTTTCGGCTGAAGCATAATGGGGAAACGCAGGGCGCCTTGGTGGACGGAGCCGTCAAAGTCCCTTCGGACATGTCATGCTGGAAAGTCCGGGTTTTAAGGCCATCCGAACATGAAACCGCCGCCCTCCTTGTGAGGGCATGTCAGATGCAGGGGTGTTCCATAGACATCGAGACACATAACCAAGGAGGCATGAGTATACAACCTCTCTGCTGACGAATATTGCGGATAACGAGAACTCGACAAACTTAGTCGTTAACCCGTACCTGCAAACAGACATGAATATCTAATCAAGTGGCCATCAGGCGAGAATGCCCCGATTTCATGCAATTCTACTATAAAATCCCAGCTTTACTCTAGTGATGCTCTTCCGAATGGTATTGTGTTAGTCGTGATGCGTTGAAAGTGTTCGCTTATCAGCGGCTCCTCTCAACTGCTTATCGTACTTGGCTTGTGCCGAGCCAAACTTTTTTTCAAGAACAGCACTTGAGTACCATCACAAGGCACCACCAGCGTCCCCGAAAAGCATGCGTCATACAATTCAAACCAGATGACAGAACGATACCTGCAGCAGTAATAATTCGATCACACTAAACTCGCCAACCATGGCACAACCCAACAACCCCCCTGCGCCGACAGCCGCGGCCCCTTCAGCGCCGTCATCATCATCATCAACAACATCCCAACCTCAAGAGCCCACGCCCTCGCCGCCCCCATTCCACGGCACGCCACCGGTGCAGCACAACATAGCCCTCATCGCCGCCGTGGTCGGGCCCATAGGCCTCCTCCTGCCGGGCCGGGGCCGCGGGTCCCTCACGCTGCAGAACGCGATCCTCGGCGCGGGGTCCTTCTTCGGGCTCAACCAGCTGGCGCACGACTACACGGGCAGGTCGGTGCTGCAGCGGTCGAGCGACCGGTGGGCGGCGCTGCTGCGGCCGTTCGACTCGCCGCTGCCGGACAAGGCGCTCGCCACCCGCCAGCTGATGGAGGCGGAGCGGGCGCGGCGCGCGGCGGCGCTGCCGACCGAGGGGGGCGAGAGGGCCGCCGCCGAGGCGGAGATGCGGAGGAGGCAGGAGGCGCAGGAGGCGGCCAGGAGGGGGTTCTTTGAGCGCGTGTGGATGGGCGGGGAAGGGGCGGGGTGGAAGGAGAGGAGGCGGGATGAGGATAAGAAGGCGATGGATAGCGGGAAGGGCGTTGGGGATATTATTATGGATCAGATATGGGAGGTCTGGAATCAGGGGAAGGGAAAGAATGGGGATGCGGATGAGAAGACGGATGCTGGGCAGGCTGGCACACGTCCAGACGGCAGTGCAGAGAGTGAGAGGAAACCTTGAGATGGCACGGCCAGGCCTCGGGTTGCTTCCTCTTTTCGATTCCGGGTCAGGTTGGGAATTTGCAAACGGTCTTTGGGAGAAAAGGCATACATTGCATGGAAGGCGAAAGGCTACCTTGATTCGGGTGTACAATACTGTACCTACTGTAACACGTAACGGCAAATACCCCCTCTGTATTGTGGCAGGAAGCCGTGTACCAACCTCTTTGCCCTATGCTCTTTTTCAACCACATGAATTGGCCCGAGGCTGATGAAGTTCTTCTTTGTCTTTTACCCACTCATGCTTCCTCTTTTGGTCCTCGGGATATTCACTACCTACCTACCTGCCTAAACTTAGATGGCCCTTATTCGGTGTGGCATGGTCACGTGCTGTCGCATTTTCACCCAAGCGACGCGTGATATAAGTGATTGACGCGCCTGAATTGTGTCCAGGACTAGGAAATAAGGCATCACAAGAGGCCAAGCGGCCATTGCTCGTTACCTTCTCTCAATTACCCTGCTGCCTGCTCATGGCCTTTGCCTTTTGAAAATCGCCACTCTTCGCTTCCTTGTGTATTCTTCTCTCTTGTTCATCATTTTCCCAATGGTTTTTCGTCTTTCAACATGCCCTTCCCTTTTGTCTATGTCTGTGATTTGTTACAACGGCTGGATGACAACCAGAGCGCCCGTTCTGGCCAGAGGAGTAATTCTAATATAGTGGAAGAGTGGTTCAGACTGCACCATAGTCTTCTCATTCGGGACGATTACAATGTTGGACCTCTCCTGTCGACCCTCCTTCCTGAGAAGAGGAGTGACCGGGTCTATAATATCCAGGCAAGGACACTCCAAAAACTGTTTGGCCGCGCATTACTCCTGGGTCGATCGAGATTGAAGGAGCTGGGCAGGTGGGAGGAGCCTGGATGTGGTGTGGATCTGGCTGATTGTATCGAGAGCATATTGCACACTACAGTAAGCCCCTATTATGCCCGACGAGCAGGAGTTACCAGGTCAGAACTAATGGCATTCAGCCAAACCCTTGGTCCATTGTCCAAACTACAGTCACGGTTGAGGAAATCGATGAGGTCCTACACAGGATCGCGTCAGGTTGTCGGTTTAGCTCGCCTTTGGTAAGGGCATCTGAGCCACCGTCCTCCTCAGCCAACCAATTGCTGGGACTCGGAGACTTGTACATGCGATTATCAGCCCGAGATGCCAAATGGCTGACTCGGCTCGTCCTGAAGAACTACCAACCCGTCGTTCTGGATCCGCTTACCGTCTACCGGGCTTGTCACCCACTGCTGCTGGTGATTCTCAAGGTTCAGGACGACTTTAGTATTGCGGCTCGGTTCTTGCAAAATTACCACCGAAGCAAGGGCGTGACCGGCGAGGTGCTTGACAGGAACGAGCTTGCCTGTCGTCTGAAGCCAACCCTCGGAGTCAAAGTGGGCCGACAAATGTGGCTGAAGGGTAGAAGCATCAAGCACTGCCTCGATATGAGCCATGGGAGGATGAGTTGCGAAGAGAAGGTCGACGGCGAGTACTGCCAGATACACATCGACCTAAGCAAAGGCCGAGACTGTATTCAGATCTTCTCGAAAAGTGGGAAAGACAGCACCAGAGACCGGGCAGGCTTGCACGAAGCCATCCGGACGTCCCTACAGATCGGGCAACCGTCTTGCCCGCTGAAGCATGGGTGCATCTTAGAGGGTGAACTTGTCGTGTATAGCGACAGGGACGACAAGATTCTGGACTTCCATAAGATCAGGAAGCATGTTTCAAGATCGGGAGCATTCCTGGGGACAGACAAAGACTCTCAGCCCCATAGTTGGGAGCATTTGATGATCGTTTACTTTGACGCCTTGATGATCGACGACCAGTCGCTCCTCGGTGTCAAACAGTCGGAACGATTCAAACGCCTTGGTCAGCTTATCGCTTGCAAGAAGGGGCGCTCCGCACTGGTGAAACGGCAGATTATCGACTGCAACGAACGTGATGCCGCCTCCAATCTGCGCCGCGCCTTCGCCAAATGTATCACAGCACGGGCTGAAGGGTTGGTGCTTAAAGCCGATGACCCCTACTTCGACTTTAGCACCTCCAGGCGACCCTATGGGTGCTGTTGCATCAAGCTTAAAAAAGAGTATGTCGGCAGCTTTGGAGACGTTGGCGATTTTGCCGTCGTCGGTGCCCGGTATGATGCTGTGGCGGCAAAGACTCTCGGGATATCCAACCTGAAGTGGACACATTTCTTCATCGGCTGCTTGGAGAATAAGGAAGAGGTTCAGCGGTGGGGCAGAATGCCGAGATTCACCGTCACAAATGTCGTGGAACTGAACGCGTCACAAATGAGGCTCTTCATCAGCCATGTCAACCCTAGATCCGTACCAGAATCTGAGAACGACGCGATTTCCCTCCGAGTTGCCCCCGGCATTGATAACGGAAAGCGCCCATCTGTCATATTCACAGAACCCCCGGTGTTCGACATTCGGTGCTTCTCCTTCGAGAAGGGAGGGAATACCGGTTTCTGGAGCTTGAGGTTTCCAATGGTTAACAAGGTCCACTGTGACAGGACGTATCGTGAGACGATATCATTTGCAGAACTTCAGGATATGGCAAAATCCGAAAAGGAGATGCCTCCTCCTGAAGACAGTCAGGAGCTTCTGGGATTCATTGCCGCTCTCGAACAGGCCGATCCCGGGGGTGTCCCGGTGGATGCGATGAGCAGCCAGTTGACGGCGTCAACGACTTCTACAGTGATGACTCCTTCCTCGTTTCATTCGTCTGGACCACGACATGTTGAAACTATGACGCTGCCATCTATTATGGAGAGCCACCCTACCTCTAAACTGCCGGCATCTCGACCATCTGCACATCCTTCTGTTGCCGAACCTTTAACTCCTCCGGTGTCATCAGCTGCTAAGCCTGTGGACATGGAAAAAGATATGGCAAAAAGCACGCCAAACAATCCCCAGACACCTCCACGTTTACGAAAGCGGCGGTCTGAACCTTCTCACAGCCCTCGTCAGCTAAAAGCCCAGAAATGTGTACCGGGCCCTCGTCTCATCTCTTCAAGTCCTCGAGAGAAAAGTTGCCTCCAGAGAACCACTCCACCGGGAAGTTCCCGCTCACACAGAAGAGCGCGAGAACCCCTGACAGACATCACCACGAGCTCCCAACCCTGCGAGAACACTACCAGTCCTCAGGTGACACGCTTAGCCGGAGTTCACTCGTTTTACGCGCCGTCAACGGAGAACCAGCCGCCGAGCTCCTCCTTCCCGGGCAATGCCTCCTCTGCACCTGTTTCTTTCTGTGCCACACCTGGAGCTCGGCCCCGATCGCCATCCGTGGAAATCCCAGACAGCCAGTCGTCAAACCAGGCGTCCGCGTCCACGTCCACGTCCACGGCAACCATACGATCTGCTAACTTCGATGGACTGACGGAATGTGTCTACTGCCCAGACACTTGCGCATTGACCGGCATCTCCTTCCTCCTAGCGCCATGTGTCTCACAAACCTCTTGGCTAACCGAAGATCTCCTGTCGTCCCATGGCGTTGGGGACTTTGTCTTGGACCCGAACGACTGGAAGAATGCCGCTTTCCCGCCGTCGACAGCAGACACTCTTCTCCCTGGGGGGTCCACCGCCGCCACGAGGAACGGGAACCCGGAGCAGCTGCCGGGCCGGAGGAAACCACGGCTGAAGAAAGTCGTGCTCGTGGAGTCTCGGAGGAAGGATGCCACCGACGCCTTCTTGCAGCGAATCGAGAGAGCGGGCCTCGAGCTTCGGAGGGGCAGGCGAGAGTACGTCCCGGTGTTTGACTGGAGGCTGCTCGAGGCCCTGACCAAGGGGGAGGCCGAGTGTAGCAGGAACGGTGACAAGCAGGACGCGCGTTTCGATATGAAGAGTTCGCAGAGCATTTGGAGAAAATATTGGATCGGGTTGGCATGAGGCTTTGCGGAGTTAATATGTGAATACTTGCATGTTTCTGTATATAGAAGTTGGATTGCATTGGGGTTTGCCGCTCTTGGACATGACGGAGCACGAAGCTGAGCTCTGTCTTATCGGCAATAGGCAATATAATCATAACATGCACCCTGTTTCCCAATTGCTCCACCCTAGTCCTTGTCGTTATACAGCTCCAGATAGCTAGCCCGCAACCTCATCTGCAAGTGCTCGTCCGCCGTCATCACCTTCCGCTCCGCATAGGGATTCCCCTCCGAGGACGCCCCCTTCGGCGCAGCAGCAGACCCCTTGACCCTCTCGCTCGGCACGGGAGTCAGCGCCGTCGAGCCGACGGGGTGGCAGAAGAAGGCCATGGAGTAGCGCGGCTCAGCGTCGGACTCGCCCTCGACGACGCCCTTGCCGGGGCCCGGGAACACGACGCGGTGCACGGTGCTCCGGAGCAGGCCGTTGGTCCAGTACGACAGCAGGTCGCCGATGTTGACCAGGATCGGCGGCGCCGGGTCGTCCTCGGTGCCCGGAGGGGATACCGGGACGGGCGCCCAGGTGCTGTCCCCGGTCAGGATCTCGAGACCCGCTTGGCCCTTGAGGCGGAACAGCATCGTCATGGAGCCGTAGTCCGAGTGGGCACCGGCGCGGACGTCTTCTCGGTCGGCGTCGGTGCTCGCTAGTGGCGGGTAGTGGAGGAAGCGGAGGGTCGTGCCTGATGGGCCCTTCTCCCGGAGGTGGGCGGCCGTGAAGAAGTCGGGGGGTTGGACCTGGACGGAGGGGTAAGTTCAGGCAACTCGGTCCCCTCATGTACCATACAGAGGTCGGATATCGGTGGCGTTAGGGGCTTACGTCAAGGCCAATTCCCAAAAGTGTGTTGAGCTTCAGACACATCTGGTAGCACAGATCCCGGAATGCGCTAATCTGGCTCTCATACGGTACCATTGTCGATGGCAGAGGCTGCTTAGCCTTGCCATCGATAAACTCGCCGAAGTTGAATGCCCTAGTCATGTAAGTTGACGCCTGTGGGAAGGTGGCAGCCAAACGAAGTAGAGCTTACTCCTTGTGATCACCCACCTGGTAGAATGGTCAGCTGCTAGGGATGGAGGGATATCTTGGCTATAGATTACTCACACGTTGATTCTTAGGGTCTAGAGTCTCATAATGCATGCCCGTCCAGCCCCGGTTGTTCTGCTGGATCTTGCATCGCTGCTTTTCTTCCAGGGGGGTTGCGAAGAGCTTCTTGGACTTGGCGAATGTTAATACATGGGCTGGAAAGGTTTCCGTGGATGGAAGGATGGATGGATGCATATACCAGGTTGAAGGCATTCTCTATGGCATCCACAGGGATATCCTTCCCTGTGTTCTTTATGTAGATAAAGCCATGTTCAATGGCTGCCTCGACAAGGTCCCTGGCAACTCGGGCTTGATCCTCTCCCTCTGCCGCAATATCTATCACTGGGATCTTTGCTACCTTTGTCATTGTTCACAAATCGGCACACAAAACGGAGGCAGGAGGGAATATAAGAGGGCTAAGAGCTTAATTGGTTCTACAAGACTATCTAGGTAGACATTTGGATTTTAGTCCATTGGGTTTGCTCCAGGTGGAGGGCGAGGATAGTTGCGGATCAAGCACAGAAACTCCGTGTGAAAATATGATAACACTGTGATTAGGCACGGTGGAAGTGGCATCGTGTTGCCGTGCCGTGAAGTGAATGTACACCTGTAGCTTCTGCCCCGAAACTTACCCTAGGCGACGGCTGCGCAGCCAGCTGCGTGAGTTTACATCTCCAAATCCAAGCCTACCACAATTTACTTTCCAACTTTATTGGCGGCATTTAAGCAGCTTAGCGATCCCTTTTACAACTCTCACCTGTTCCATCGCCACAACACGACGACAATCACGATCACGGAAAATAATGCGCCCTTGGAATCATTAACTGGGTCAAGCGCACGACAGTGAATATCGACGTGACAGTGGATCCAGTAGGTACTGCCGACTACTGATTTCACCGTCATGGCTGCCTCGCCCAGCTCAGCGGCTGCAATGTCAGACGCGGAGCCGCCCAGCTCTCCCGGGCACCTTGGAAAATCCTTCATGACAAATATGACGGAAGACGAAGACACCAGGATGGAAGATGCCACGATGGCAGATGCCACCCCAGACCCTTCCGAACGACTCCGAGGCCGAAGGGGAGCCAGAGACTCGATGGCTGCAAATGGTGGTTCTTTGATTGGCAAGATTAGGCACCTGAAGAAAGATGACGGGGAGCCACTCTGGCGAAAGGATATCCAATATGACTTCCTCAAGGCTGTCTTTGACGACGACCGAAAGGTTTTCACCAACAGCTATGAGGCAGAGACCATTGGCAAGCAATGCTTTGCCGACCTCTACATCGACACCATGTCCAGAAGCAGCAAGACCAGCAAGGTCCTTCGAGATAAGCTGCTTAGTGATCGCGATGCTGCGAAAGGAATGGCTATGGTCTGCCTTCTGGTCAATATCGGTCGTATGAACACGACCCTCAACTGTGAGCACCCCAGACACTTGGCCCACCTGACGCATGACATGACAGCTTTGCTAACCCCTCTATCTTCATTCAGTCTTCCCTGAGATGCGAGCTCAGCTCCGGACCTACCATGCCATCCCCTCACTCCAGGCTCACCAGGACCCCCATGCCTACAAGCAGCTACAAGATGCCCCCCGCTTGAAGTCCATCTTGAAAGGAGGGGCCGAAGACCGCCCCGAGCAGAATACCCTGGAAGCGATCAAGCAGAGCAATGTCCCACGTACCAACCCGGTCAACCTCCTCTTTGTCATTTGCCAGTCAGCGGCCAAAATTGCGGAGCTCCACTTCACTCCAGGTCGCGAATTCCATGACTTGATTATGAAGACCAACCTGACCAGCCACAGCCGAGCTAGAGCTTTTCTCTGGATTATGTGGTTTTACCTCGAGTCCGATTTCACCGAGGAAGGCTGCGAAGAAAATCCTTTTGGCCCCGGCGTGGACTACGGAGTTGACGTTGCGAATCAAGGCGTTCCGATGCTCGAAGAGATGGACGAGGAAGAAGAAGCCAAGGAAAACGTCGATACCCAAGAGGAGATTGACTTTGGCCTTGCGAAGCAGAAGATGCGGGCCAAGATCATCGCAGCCGACCAACAGTACATGGTCGACAATCAGAGCAAGCGCGGTGGCCGCGGTGGACGCCTGTTCCCGGCGGGGGCTGGGGCTGGGGCTGGGGATGAAGTCGGTCCCACCACGGGCATTTTGCCGCGTATCCGACCCTCGAAGCACGAGAGCGATATGGACAGTGTTAGATCCACTCCACCTCCTCGGGCCCTGGGTGCCAGACAAAGCGCTGCCCATGGCAGCACAGGACGGAGAGCCCCTGCGGCCCTCAAATACCACGTCTTCGAGGGATCGTCTCCTGCGGGCGGACAGGCCATTGAGGGTATCGCCCCGCGTAAGCCGCGGCCGCCTACCGCTCACCAGATTGCTGTGGAGCGGAATAGATCGCAACGCGTCGAGTATATCCTCGACAGAGGCGTTAGAAAGGCCCACCACAAGGCGCGAAAGCAACGGAAGACGGACGGCGCCATCATTCGTGCCTTGAATCGTCTGAAGGAAATCTCAGATCCCTTCGAAGATAGTGAAGGCGAGGATCATGTCAACACCAACAGACTCCTTCTCAGCGGCTATAACGGGGACCAGAACAAGGGAGCCTTTCGCGAGAAGGGTTTTGGGGGACTATGTTTGCTCAACAGCGAGGAAGACGACTTTGGCGAGGAGTTCAGCTCTTATGCTACCGCCTTGAAGCGCGCCCATCGACGTCTTACCCGATGGGATAACCACGACGGCGATGATTTGGGCGTCGTTGCTCCCGTGAAGAAACGGAAGCTGAACGGTGTCGATCATGGCGACGAAGACGACATGATGGAGGTCGATGGATCTCCCACCAAGGAACCCATTGATCCGGCAGAGACAGAGGACGAGGCCGAGATGGTGCTGCGTCAGAGCGCGGCCCGGCGACCTCGCGCCCGGACCAACGGCGCGCGCCGCCGAACCAACGGCAATGGCAACGTCGACATGGAAGACAACGACGATCTCGACGACGTCGACAAGGAGTTGATGGACGAGGGAGACGGCGACGGAGAAGGCGAGGCCCACGAGGGCGGCGCCGACGGCGCAGCAGACAAGGACCAAGACGAAGACGAGCTAGATGACGTCGACAAGACTCTGCTGGGTTTGGACGGCGAGTCGGACTCCGATTAGTATTCAGTTAACAGCGATGTCGCCGGTCTCGATCGGATTGAGCTGGCTCTGCTGGGCATGACCGAGGACTCGGATCCCGAGTGGGAGCCGCCGACATATGTCCCGGTGGCCCATTCGGACGAGGAGAGTGTTAGGAATGCGCGCTCCAACGCGCCCTCTCCTCCCCCGACCCCTTCGCCCCTCTGCGACGGTAGTGCGTGAGGGAACCCCAGTCTTGCTCTCGAAGATGCACATTCTGTATGAGACTCATGTGCGACAGTGGCCTTTTTGCTTTAATTCGGAGATTTGCGACTTGCCCGGCGTGGCATCATTTCAAGGCAGAGGGGTCTTGTTTGATTATTCCTGTATCACTAGATTGAGAGGGCTAAATGGTTTCGGAAAACAAGGGGTTTCGGGCTTCAAGTGGATAAACTTGAGGGATGGAGGAGTTTACGGTTGTCAGTGTATGTACTATTACGTGTGGCCGCTACGTAGCTGTGCCAAAAGACCATAGGCATTTGGTAGGGAAGAAATGGTCATAACATGGCCCCATGGGCCTGACATTCACGCACACACACACAGCCGCTTCACGCAAGCCCAGTGCATACATAGTATACAACGATTTCTGCTCCTTGAACTCCTGCCCCCCACCACCCCGACCTCCTCACTCGCTATCATGCCGTTCAGAAGGCGTAGGCCCGGCATTGATAAGCCATCCCACGCCAGACACCAGCGTGCCCATCGCCGCCTCCCGCAGCTGGTCCCTCTTCCTCGCCCGCTTCGGGCCGCCGTCCTCCCCATCGCCCTCCAACTCCCCGCTGCTCGCCATCGCAGACCCCTCGTCGCCCCCCTTACCCGCTCCCCCGCCGCCGGTGTGCCGCAGGCCAGACAGCGCCGTCAGGTTCCGCTGCGCGGAGCGCACGCTCGCCCGCGACAGGTCGAACAGCGACATGGGTGCCTCCTCGGCCTGCTGCTGCCGGGAGGACGACGACGACGACGACGGGCCCCCCCGCGGGCCACCGCCCGGCGGTCGGTGTTCGACGCCGAAGCCCCCGGGCATGGGCGTGGCGCCACCGGGGAGGAGGAGGCCGTCGCCGGCGGCGTCCCAGGCGCGCTCGCGCTCGGCGTCGGCCTTGACGGCGGCGTCGAGTTCCTCCTCGCAGCGGCGGAAGGCGTTGACGATCTCCTGCAGGGTCGGGGCGGGCGCGGCGCGCAGGGCGGCGGCGAGGCACTCGGCGCGCTGCTCCAGGTGGCGTATGTCCGGGTTGGCGCTGGCGGTGCCGAGGTGCGTGGGCCGCAGGGTCCGCGCCGTGCGGCGGTACTTGCCCGCCTGCAGAGCCGCCTTCCACGAGTAGTCGTCGGCGATACGGGCTGGGGGCGAGGCCGTCGGGCCTGGGCCGCGTTGGCTTGTTCGCCGGGGTGGTGCTCGGGCGGGCTCGTTGATGGCTGAGAGGCGCCCGACGACGTACGAGTATGCTGTTTCGAAGTCGTCCTCCGATAGCGCGGCGTCGATACACATCGCCGTTACGCGCCTCTCGGCGATGGAAAGGTCGTCGGTTTGTTCCTCGGCCGTGGGCGTACCTTGCCGCGGCTTGTCACGGACTGTCAGGCCCGCTTCGACCAGGTAGGTGCCGAGGTCGACGAGGTCTTGTATCCTCGTGTAGCTCTTGGGGTTTTGCTCCAGAATCTTGCCGATGATGGATATCGGGTCTGCGTGGACGCGCAGCACTACGGGGGTAAATGGTTCACCTTGTTTCAACACCAACCGGTACTCGCCCAGTGAATGCGTCGCCTTCAACAGCGCCTCTATCCGCCGGGTGGCTGGGAGAGATTTCTCGATGGTCTGAGGGAATGCCTTGATCCTGCCAAGTATGAGCATGCATGATTAGGGGAATAAGCAGGGACGGGTTCGTACATGTCATCGCATTTTTTCAGACCGCCTCTCGTTCGATTTGGATTCGAGGCATTGTCAAAGGCATTTAGGGCAGCAGCGAATATGGTATCCTGCAATACCTTTTTTGGCAAGGGCAGATCTGGAGAATCCTCATAGAGCGATCTCGCGAGCGAATACCCTGAAATCTGTCAGTTGTGAGATTGGCCCATGATGCAACACCTTCAACATACGTGTGTTGGCCAACAGAGCCTTTAGTATCTCGACTTCCAGGAACTCCTTTTTCAATTGGCCGAAAACGCCCTTAACTTGGTATTCAGGGGAGGGCGAGTCCTCCTCCGACCCCCAGTCCCTCAGCCAGAGAACTTCGTTCCTCGCCTTAATCCAGTACTTATCGTCGCTTTTAGAGCCATTGCCCCCAATGTTGTGAATAAGTTTGACGGCTTCAGCTTTCTGTTCACGCTCATCCTGGAGCAAAGCCAGTTCGCCCGCTCTCCTGACCGTGCAAGGAGAGCCAGAACGTGTCAGGAAGAAGGCGCTCAGAATGAGGCCATGGAGCAACTGTGTTGCCGGCTTGGTAGGAGACGTGAGGATATTGGACTCGCCGAGTAAGTCATTGCGAAGGTATGTCGCATTTCTGGCAGATAATACATGGCCTATATCTTGGCCAAGGATTGGCGATAACATTGATGCGGCGCTCTGCAACGGTGGTGTTGGGTCCTGATCAAGGAGCTTGACAACTTTGGTAACAATGGTATGCGCCCCTGATAAGGCCTCTATAGAGGCTTCTGGAATGAGATACGCTGATGCCAGTGCCGCACGAGCATAAGTTCTCGCCAGGTGTTCTTGCTCCTGGTCATTCAGCCACATCACTCCGTACCCGCCCAAGTCGGCATCACGAGGTCCATCCCACTGGTCCACAGCGCAGACAGCAACCCTCCATGATTTCGAGGCTTGCATGGTGAGCCATTCGAGGACTTGCTCCCAACCAGGGCAAAGGCTGCCCTCTGTGCTGGAGGCTCCCGCGGTCGTGCTGCTAGCTCGACGCCCACGTTCCCCCGCCCTCGATTTCCAATGTTTTTCATTATAAAGCCATGGCCCAACCAGCCCGCGAAGGTCTCGACCGATTGTGACGTAGTCATCCCCCCTGGTCCCGGTTTCCGAGAGGAGGAGACTCACGGCGGCTCGGTCGGGGAAATGCTCGAACGCAGAGAGAGTTTGCGGGATTGGCTGCGCCGGGTAGTATTCGCAATTCCGTCGCAGAAGCGGTAATATCGCAGAGATCATCAAAGAACGGATACACGGTGAATGGTCCAAGAAAGGGACGAGGAGCCCAGGCAACTCGTCGAGCAGCCCTGCTTCATCGTCGACTTTGTATGCTCGCCTAATAAGGAATAGTGTCGTGAAATCTTCAGACGCGTCCGGGGGTGCGTCCGGCCATGATAGAGGGAGTAGGTGAAGCTTCCGAACTTTCCTAGCAGCTTCCTCGTCGCTCAACTTCTCGACGGCGGCGTAGTCGATGTCTACATCTTTCCCATGGTATACGCCTTCTTCGACCTCTTCGATGAAACTAACGTAGTGTTCCGACTGTAATGTCTCGGGCAGGTAAGTCAGGAGAATGCGTAGGAGGACGTCTTTCCGGAGGACAGAGCCATGCTGGGCTGCTAGATATGACAAGCTGTCAATGTCGGCCTTGGCAGCGAGCTCAACGGCGACTAGGAGGACCTTTGGCGCCGACAGAACTAGCGCCGCCATGCTGTATATTCCGATTCAATCAGGAGGCACGGCTGCGTCGTCGATCGGAGACAAGAAACTCCCAATTCGACATCTTTCTTGGTCGAGCTTGGGTGTCATGGGTGGCCAGGTCCAAGCCAGCTTGCTCCTACCAGCCAAGCATCGCCCCCGGCTCTGTGGCGCAGGTTATGTGGCTGAAGCGGAATGGTTTCCTTGTCGATTATTAGGTAAGCGAATTAGAGTCTCCAGACTGGAGCGAGTCGCAATTGACCTCCATGCTCGACAATCTGAAAATCCGAACGTTAAGTGAGCGCGCTAGACCGCCCGTCAAACGTGTACTACGAAGCTTAATATGGCGTCTGGATACGGTTTACACGGCGGTAAGCAACAATTGACTACCCAATGGCCACGGTGTGGCCCAAGCTATCGAGCAAGAAGCTGATCCTCCTCGTCAGGCCCATCCAGGTGTTTCCCCTTCTGGCAGGATATGCTGGCATGCTACGTCGTCAACACTTCGGCAGAAGATGATTCAGGGAAGAAAAAGTGTGCGCCGGCACTGGAAGATTATTACGAGTGTCTCCATCACAAGAAAGAGGTCAGCGACGTCCCACCGAATCCGACTGGGCCAGTCGGGAATGAGAGCTAACATCACTCGACATATAGGTAGCGAGGGTTAGAGCATTGCAGGCGGCATATCGGAAGGCCGAAGCAGCGAACGTGAGAGAAGATGCTCCAAGTGCTGGGCAAATACGGAATCTCGGCCTGCTCGACAGAGAAGACGACACCAAGAAGGTTCTGCAGGGGAGGTGAATGGTGGATCCCGGAGCTTCTGGCTCTCTGTGTATATTGCGGCGCGAGTAACTGGATGGAATAGAGGTGCAGCCATTCTCCAGCCAAATATGACCGCGACGAGGATGGTTATCTGATCTTGTGGCCGACGTGACTTGAGTCCTGAGATGGGTGGGATTCGAAGTCGAGGCTCAATGAATCTACGCTCATTAACTTTAGCTGATCTCATCCTCTCTTGGAAATCCTACGGAAGTTCGTGTGTGAATGAACTCGACTGTATCGTCCTAGCAGCGGGGTGCTTGGGAATCTCAAGTCGAGAGGGTGAATGTCCAGGTAGGCTCCCATCATATTATGTTCCTGTCACTACCCTCTGACTTTTACCTCTGTTTGTCGTCACTTCACTTCTTGCCTACTCTGCCTCATGTTATGACTACACCCCGTCCCTCCAGTCCCCCCCGACAAGTTTGATCCTGCGAATTCTCGAATTCCCGGTCACTCACTCTTCTCAAGGGACAATGTCTGTCTACACCGATTCCTTTCGTTCCTTCTGTTTCTAGCAGTCCATCTACGAGGCCTGCAAATTCAAGTGGCGAAGATGCCGTGTTTCCGTGGTATCGAAATATCTTTCATTTCTGATTCGAATTCACGGAATCTACCCGAATACCCTCATCCGGATGGCTCGTCTATCCGCCTTCTCGGACTTGAGCAGCTGCGACATCCTCATTTACCAAGCCTACTGCGATCCCCGGCGTCGGCAGTGTCCAATCGGGCTTCCCTGCGGCTTCAGAGGGATAATCCCAAAGTTTCGGTCTACATACCGGCCGTATCAGGTACATCTTTGCTTTCGTAAATCCCCAGGCACCCCAGAAGAAACAGAGCCACTACGGAATGCGAGCAAGTGGTCCTAACCTGGCTGTGTAGGTTCCCAATTTTCGATCAAATACAGCCTGAGCCATGTCCCAACTTCGCCCTGTAAATATGTCTTCTTCAAGCTGTACATAAACGGCCGTTTTATCGCGTCTTGGGGAGTCGACCCAGACATCCAATCTACGGGCAACGTGACGCGGTCATTGTGGCAACCCAGCGAGCGATGGCAGGATCAGGTTGGAATTGAAGGAAGGAGTTTCCTTTTTATGCCAGGTCAAGAGCAGAAGTCAGTCGCCGAGGATGGCGGCCTTGTCGAGATCCAGGTCTTCCGAGCCAAAGACAGAAGACCGCGGGCCTTGAAGCTCGAATCATTTCGCAATCAAGAGATGTACGGCATAGCGTAAGTTATCGCTTCCCATCTCCCACTATCCGTCCCATTGACAAGTATTAGTTGCCCAAGTATTGGTTTGCTTGAGAGGCCCGAGGATGCCGGCTTCTACGAGTGGCACCTTGTCGACCCGAAAGACTCCCCCTATGCGACGTTTAAGTTTCATTACCGTTCGTGGGATAATCTCGAGCACCTTAATCTCATCCCTCCTGGCGACCTGAGTCTCCCCCTTGCTGGATCGTCGGGGACTGTCGGCCTGGTTTCGGAGGATGATCAAGAATCTGACAACCTAATGCAACATCCAGAAGATCTATTCTCCTTCAGCGTGGGCGACACTGCCGATAGTGCAGCCTTCCACGACGATGGTTTATTAGAGGAGCGAGTGGCAGAACGTGTGTTGGGTTGGAAGACCCCTGAGCCGTTGCCCCTGAGGAGCACACCGTCCTTGTTGCCTGTGTCTTCTTTCAACCAGGATTTTCCTCAGCCAAGTAAAGCCCTTCGCGACAAATGTTCCGCCTCTTATCTTCGGAGGCCCTTGCCAGAACTCCCTCATGATGTGGCAAAGGGCTCCTCAAGCCATTATTCCGATACGTCGGAGACGCCTTCGCTCACGCCTTCCGTGATGCGAGATGTTGACAACGGGCTGCTTGAAGAAGACTTTATTGAAGTCGGAGTGATGGACGTTATTCAGTATACGAAACTGACCGAAAAGCCCAGGGGCGTCGAGGTTGAAAGGACTTATTCTGTGGCTGTCACGGACACAACAGCCTCGGCATCCGACTACGAAGCATCCCCTCCATCGACTCATGATTCGAACTCGCCCGGGGTCATCTCACCCGGGGCCTACCTTGTATCAACCGGTAGTTTGTTGGAACAACATATCACCTCCCCTAGGTTCCCTGATTCGCCGCGAGAGATCAGTCCAAATGTACGACAGGGCCTTGGAGATAGTTCAAACATAAATGCCAATCGTCCTCGGTTTAGCCTTCGCAGCCTCACGGAATCCGAGTGGATGAGGAGAACACCATCTCCGGTTCGGCGCGCCAGACCCGGCTTTATGTTTGGCAAGATATGGAGTCCCCGCCCTAAACGCAAGTCTGCGAAGGATTACTTCTCAGGATTCCGGCAGGAGAAGGTCGGATCCAGAGAACTGCTAGTCTCGAATATATCTGAGTTCGGCGACGAGAACCAGCCACCCGAGGAGGAAGCGGAGAGACGAACTGATCGCTAGAGCTGAGGCACTTGAACGGCTGTATTGTCGACGATGGGGTATTGTCATTATACCATGAAACCTTAGAGTACAAGGTTCTTCAGTGGTGCTGTATTGCTGTGTACCTAGGTAAGGAGGACTATGGTTCAATTGACTGTTGCCCTTCTGGACTTGTTTGGCTTTCCTCAATTGGTAAATCGAGCTTCGGGTCCCCCTTCTCCAAGACGCGACATAGCGTCAGGTCTTGATGATGTCCTAGGTAAATATCGTGTTACCAGTCGGATCGCTTCTCGTGACATATGCGTTCATCCATACATTGCTACCGCCCTACCACCACTTCTCACACAGGACCCGGTGCGGTTCCATACCAAGACCATCCGGCGAAACGAGCTCCGTCACAAAGCGATCTGTCATCGTTGGAACTCCGCAAATATACACCACTGCGAATCTCTTGTCCGCCTGAACTGCTCCCGCAACATCATCGACAGTGATCCGCCTCCTTTCAAACGGCACATCAACTTCGTTGCAGGACACGACGTCTCGTTGTGGGTCGCCGGTAACAGAATCTCCACTCCCAGTAAGGAAGAGCTTCAGAGAGCCCCGAATCTTACCCCTAGCAAAGAGAGTGGCGATCCTCTCAAGAAATAGGATCTTATCGCCCTCCCTCTCGGGTCCGGGATCCTTCACCGAGTAGAACACGTGGACGTCGAACGCGCCTCCCGGCCGCTCGGCCACGGCGCTGAGCATGCTCATGACGGGGTTGATGCCCACCCCGCCAGCCACGAAGACGACCTTGCGCAGCGCAAAGGCTAGGATGCCCGGCGGCGGCCAGACGAAGCTGCCGCCGACGCGCACGTCCAGCTCCGAGCCCAGTATGTCGTCCTCGGCTCCCCACAGCCAGGCGGCGGCGGGATTGTCGGGGGACTTTTGGATGGCGAGCTCGAGAAATCCGGCCGAGTTAGCGGTGGGTGAGACCCGGGAGGGCGGGGAGGTGATGGTGAAGCCGCCGGCTTTGGGGACGGTGGGGGGGTAGACATCTAGCCATTGTCCTGGTAGGAACTTCGTGCTGCTTCAGCTATTGGGATGGAACGGCGGAGCTAGTCAGGGGGTTGTTACCCTTATGGATCCCCTGTCTGGGATCTCGAGGCGAAGAACACGGATTGTGTCGTTAACCTCGTCAACTCTCTTCAGGATGACCTTGTGGAGTGCCTGGGCAAGATTAGCCACTGCATAAGCGGGAAAGGGTGAGAGAGTCCATACGGCCTGGCGCGGTTCTGCTGCTGTTCTTTCTAGATGACTTTTGTTTTCTATCTCCATATTCAGGACTGTGGCTCATTTACTCGGACTCTAGGTGGTTCCCGGATTCCTATGAGTGTACCGATGAGCCGAGTTGAGGCATGAGCGAAAACGGAGATAAGAAGCAGCTCCAGCGAGACGCCGTTGAACCTAATAAAATTGAGGATGTGACTAAACAGGAGAGACAACAAACCCCCTCCCTTCATATGTTGGCATACACCAATTTGTGTAGAAGTAATTTATGGTACTGATGGTATACCTGTTTGATGGTGTAAATGCGGCCTTAAAGATGGAAATCATTGGCTCCCGTCTCGTTTGAGGTAAGTGCCATGAGTGCCTTGCTGGGCACCGACCTTCTTCCCTGTAGCATAACTTCTCGGTTGTTGTTCCAACACCTGGAACACCACATACATACAGACGGGAGGGTGTAGCCAAGCACTCATCCTCATCGGCTTGCTGCATTTGAAGGTTCGGCGGGCCTTTGCATAGGTTCCTAGCTTGAAGCCAGACCCCAGATTACCTAGAGGCCCTCATCGACAATGCTCGTCGTGGCCTTCACCCGTCTCTCAACCTTCACCCCTCTTCCAGTAAGGAAACACCTGTTCACCCGTCAAAATTTGCAATTGGACAGCCTCAAAAAAGCTTGTGCTGCTGGGTTGACAGCAAGTCATGGGTCCGGAAGCACCAGTGATGATTGTGAAGTCGGAGCAACGCCCTCAGGTACGAGCTTTTTCTTCTTCCTAACCCCTTTTCCTCTCCTTTACTCTCCTTTACTCTCCTTTCCTCCCATACTATTTGCATGAAGGGCTGTCCTGTCAGTCCTGTCAACTTCAATCAGCTCCTGTCTAGACGTGCCTGTTTGGTAGGTAGGCTGGTAGGGCAGGCACGATGGCCCGGTGACCCACACTTCCCATGCAAGGCTATGTTTTAGCGTGCCCAGTCAAAACGACCCCGGCAGCGGTCCACCACTTCACCAAACAAAACTGACCTTTCACCAGCTACCGCAGACCACCAGAAAACTTCACCGACAAGGAGAGGACAAAGACGGGGAGAGGCTGGAACATCAGTCTCCTGTCCACACACTGGAGAATTTGAGGTAAATACTTCAGTCAAACAGCCCCCCTCATCTCCTGTCTAACCGCACCAAGTGAGCCCAAAGAGCTCGAGGCTGACAAACAAGCCTTTCTAGGCCTGTGATCCACACGACTTCCTCCACCCCCACCAAAGGGTCTAGTAATGCGCGAGCCACAAGTCAAGAGGTCTTCAAAAGGGAGGATGCAAAGATTGGGAAACCGTTTGTCGCTTCTTAAGTCTCCTATGCCTACAGTACCTGACAAGGATTCGTCCAGGAGCGCACTTGATCGATATTATTCCTCCTCACATTCTTTCCCGGATTATGGCTGGTAAGAGCTTATCAGCTTCAACACAAAGGGGGCGTATTGGTTGCTAACTCTCGTATAAAGCCTAAGAGAGACAGACGAAAATATGCAATCGTTTGGTCGCTTGATTGTATGTATCATATCTTCTCCACTTGGAGGCAGCCCTCGAAACCACAGACTAACCTCGTCGCAGAAAGGCATCCAGGCCTTCCGACCCATAAATACGCTCCATTCCTCGGCAACACCAGCCGACCAGCAGCGAGAAGCTCTCCCAACAGCCTCACGAATCTCGCCGGAGCGCCCTTCATCTAAGCGACAAAGGACCGACCATATTGGCAATTTCACCGAATCCCGCCTGGTGCCCCCTGATGATACTTGGGATGCCTCGCAAGACTCGATGTCAAGAGGAGCGCCTGGAAGCCACAGTGCCGCGTCGGCCTACGAGGAAACGGTGTTTGGGAAGGAGGTTCCTGAATACCGTATAGTCAACGCCTATACCAACAACTCTAAGCCTGGCCGACGTCGGCGCCGGGGTAAGGATAGAGGATCCGGAACAAGGGAACCCAGGCTTGTGTCTCTCAGGGATGTCAACGACGATGACCCAATTGTGGATGCCAGCGAAGACTCTAATTCAGACCGGAGGCTCCCTCGGGGTGCTTCTACCAAGGGCCGACCCCTGGAACGTGGTCAGGCAAGGTATCAGCCCTTTAGAGACCCTGCTGATGCTGGAATCGTTGGCTCATCTAGGCGAGCCCCAACGCAGCCCCAAGGCACCAAGCGAAGAAACATGGACGACTTGGACGAGCTCTCAGAGGACGTCAGCCACGATATGACAAGGACAACCAAACAATCAAACCCCAACAGCAGCCCTAAACACCCACCCTCATCGGCAAGTATCGCACATCGGGCCGACCTGATGCCCTCGCGTTTTGCGCCGCCCGTTTCAAGTCCCGCCAATGAGGGCTTGCCAGTCAAAGGAGCCCTTTGCCAACCTGGTCGCATATTTTCCTCTTCCCATGGCACTCCGGAGGGTTATGAAGCCAATGAACCTTGTGTCTTGAAGGTCTCTGGACAACCACCCCTAGGACTTTTTGCTTTCAGCCATGATGGCACCAAATCCTCAGCGTTCAGTTGGCTGAAAGTCGACCTCTCGAAATTCCAGAGAGTCCACTATAGCCATGGATGTCCCATCGTCAAGATAGCGCAGTCCTCCTCCCCAGAGAAAGCCATTGGGGCCACGATGTTTTTGGAGTTTTTCTCCTGGGACGACGCTGATCAACTAGTGAAATGGATTCGTGCTCACACTCCTCCCAACTCTAGTCGTGTTGAGTCCCTGTAAGTCTGGGTGGTTATCCATTGCACCATACCCTTGCTGACATGAAACTTAGTGAAATCATGAACAAGTCTTTCGCCAAGGCTGCCGAGGACATAGGAAGATATCTGAAATCTAACCCGAGCTCCCGGTCAACGCAATCTGGTGATGAAATCAAGCTTCTGGAGAAGAGGGAAGCCGACCGCCAGTCTCGGTCGGCCCATCCGCCCGCTTCTGCGGCCAAACTAGACCAGCGACCAATTACCACAAGACGCATGGCGCGCGAGGTGCCGAGTTCTTCTACGCCCCCAACAGCCACTCGCATCCGCGCGGAGGAAGCCAGTGATGATCTGCCTTCAGAGCGGCGATCACTTAGGCTTTCGCGGACACACGATGCCTCGGTCCGCCCGTCCCCAGTCCTTTGGCGATGGACTGAGCAGAATCCCTCCTGGGCTGAGACGTGGCGAATGCCTCTGGTGTATCGTCGAACCACGGTCGATCAAAATGATATTCCAAGGCTAGACGAAGGCCAGTGTCTGAACGACAACATCATCGGCTTCTACCTACAGTACCTCCTCTCGGACTTGGAGTCGTCGCGGCCCGAGGTCGCGAGGCGACTGTACTTTCACAACACCTTTTTCTACGATAAATTGAAACCCACCAGGGGAAGGGGCATTAATTATGAAGGCGTCAGGACTTGGACGGCCAAGGTGGATCTCTTCTCGTATGACTACATCGTCGTCCCTGTCAACGAGCACTACCACTGGTGGGTTGCAATCATTTGCAACCCTGGAAAGATGGATCCGACCGTCGCACGCACATCTGATCCTCACGAGGACGAAAACGAAACCGCTGTCGAAGTGGTGGCTGATGACGCCGGCAACGAGCAAGCCACGCCGAGAACCAGAGAGAGACACGTGATAGATGTCGATGGCCGCCAACCGGTCGAAGATGGGGAGCGCGAGGCTCGTTTGGACGACCAAGATCGCATGTCCGTAGACACCATAGCGGAATCCGACAAGGCGGCCACTGGAGCCAACAAAGGCAGAGCGGTGGAAGCGGTCAACTTGGACCAGGGTGACATTCAGGTACCTAACAAGACATCGCCACACAAAGGCAAAAAGTCTGGGAAGAAGGTTTCAGGCCCTGGCCCACGGAAATATAACCCGGAAGACCCTCGAATAATCACCCTCGATTCTCTCGGGACCAGTCATTCGCCAGCTTGCACTCACCTAAAGCAGTACCTCATTGCTGAATTCAAGGACAAGAAGGGCAGGGACATTGACTATTCCCAGCCGATCGGAATGAAGGCAACCAACATCCCAGAGCAGAACAACTTCTGCGATTGCGGGGTGTATCTACTAGGGTACATTCAGGAATTTCTCAAGGATCCCGACACGTTTGTCCAAACCATCTTGCGTAGAGAGCAGAAGGAATGGGTATTCGATGCCTCGGAGACCAGAAATGACCTGAGGAAGCTCGTATTCGACCTGCACGACCAGTATCAGAACGAACAAGAGCGGCTAAGACATCGAAAAGCTAAGGCTAAGCGTACGAGGCAAGCCAGCTCGCCCAGCGTCCCGGTCAATGGCACAGAGCCAGGACCACAACGAGCCATGGAGGGGCATAGTCGGCCTGTCAGCAGTCAGCCGGACTCTAGCGCTGTGTCGCCGCCCTCTGTAACGTCTCCAGATTCGGATTCAGAGGATGTCCAAGCCAGGCTAGGGCGTTCAGACACGCGCGAGAGTTCTCGGCCTCGTGCAACCGACGATCGTTCGTCCGGCTCGACAGCACCCAGGGCCGTAGCATTTGCCGTACCTAAAGTCGACCATGGCTCCCGAGGGACGCAAGGGTCATTGGCATCGCGGCCGGAGTCACGCAGCTCTTCGACTTCGCCTGAACCCCTGCCATCAGTCGAGGTGGTTGACAGCATCGAGACAGTGGCTCCTCAAGCGCGCCGTCCAGCATTGAACCCCGCACCAAAGCCTTATGCTCGACAGCCTGTGTCGATAGAGAAGTCCGATGATGGCGTCGAGTTTCTAAGACCTATAACTTCCTCTTCCCCGGCTGCGGCCAGTCGAGTGCGAGACAGGTCACGGCACACGAGCATGGCTAATTCCTCCAGTCGGCCCCAAGGCCGCAGTGGTGGTGAGTCTGGAGCGAGGGGAAGCAGCAGTGATTTATATGAGGTACCGAGCTCGCCGAGCCAACTGGACGAGGGACATGGGAGGTTCCAGAGAAGACAGAGCCACTCACATCAGAGCTCCTACTTCTCTTCCCCCGGGGCTGTTGCTGGGAGAGGGTCCCGATCACTTCCCCATAGAGATCATGCTATTGATCTGACGGACGATTAGCCGCTCGCTGGGGAGGATGTGGCAGGTTAAAACTCGCTACTGCTACTACTAACTACTACAGAGAATATGGCTTGTCTCTGGTAGAAGTTCGTACATGCATGGCATATCGCTCTTGCTCAGTTCATGGTTAGTTAGCGTCGTTGCGAATAGGGCCTGCGAATCTGTGCAGCCAAGCCGGTCATACTATACCTAATTAGCGCAATCAAAATGGGAGGCCGTTATCAAGATGTACATGAACGCGTGGCACGAAATGAATAAGGGGGAAGCGAGTAATAACCGTGGGGCTCTTATGCGTGATAACTCGGCATGGAGCGTTGGCAATCATTTTGAGCAAATTTGAATTCGACATGGGCCAACAAGGCAATGTCAAGTGTAACTAACCCCTATTAAATACAGTTTTTTCCCTCTTGTGTTTGTACGAGGCCCGTATCTATGTAGGTATGTACCTATGACTTCTCCTCGCCACCCGCCTCGGGCTCCTCGTGAACGGCACCGTTCGTCTCGGTCGCCCTGGCGAGCCTGGGCACCTCGAACACGATGGCGCCGTTCCGGCCGCCCTTGAACACGGTCCACCTCCCCAGGCGGTGCTCCCTCCCGACGGCGACGACGACGCACAGGCCGTCCTTGCCCCTGTCGCCGCGTTCGGCGACGGAGATGTCGTTGACGATGCCCCGGATGGCGAACCCGTTGTTGCTGCTGCTGTTGTTGATGTTTGTCGGCGGCGGCGCCTCCTGGTCCGTCGTGCCGTTGGTGGTGGCCTCGGCCGGGTCGGGGCCGGGCGCGCCCCCCCGGCCAAGGACGCCGACGGCCTCAAGCTTTCTCTTGTCGCTGCTCAGGCGCCACACCCTGACGCAGCCATCCCAGGAGCCGCTGAGGACGACGTCGGAGTAGGGGAGGGTCCTGAGAGCGGTGATCCACCGTGGCTGCGGAGGGGGGATAACGGAGGGGTCCGGGCTGACGTCGGCGGAGGCCTGGTCGGGCCGCAGGGGGGGCTCGATGCCGTGGGCGCGGGGAATGATGTGGAGCGGCTTCTTCTTGTGGATGCCCCAAAGGGCGAGGGCGCCGTTGTCGCTGCCAGTGACGAAGAGCTCGTCGTCGAGCATGGCGACGCGGTCCATGCTGCCCTCGTGGGCGAGGGAGTATGGGTGGACGGCGGCGGCGCCGGGGGCGGTGCTGGGAAGGAGTGGTTTCCTCTCCGACAGGCCGCCGCGGAAGACGAGCTGGGTCTCGTCGACGACCTTCCACAGTCGGGCGGTGCGGTCGCGGGCCGCGACACTGATGCAGCGCTCCTGGGCGAGGGCGTCGATGTCGACGCAGTCGTCCTGGTGGCCGAAGAGGGTCTCAACGTAGGCGAGCTCGTCCAGCGACCAGACCTTGACGGTGCGGTCCTTGGAGCACGAGAAGAGCTGGTTGGTGCCGCGCCGGAAGGCCAGACCCGTCACCGAGTCCCGGTGCTGGGTAAAGGCCCGTATCGGCCGCAGCGTCGATGCGTCGTGCACCACGAGCCTCCGGTCCGCGCCGCCCGTGACGACGAACTTGCCGTCCTGCGAGGCAGCGACGGTCAGGATGGGGCCCGTGTGCCCCTGGAAGGTCTTGTCTTGGGCCTTCCTGCTGTCTGCCTTGGTAGAGACTATCCTCTCGGGTCTTCGCCTCGGCGGCGCCGGGGGCTTCTTCGGCTTCTTCTTCGTCGTTTGCGGGTATTGGTTTTGGGGCAGGTCTTGGAGCTTCCATTTCACGAGTAGGCCGTCTTTGGAGGTGGTGTACGCATGCGGGGCGCATATTGCCACGGATGTGACAGTCTCTGCGTTCCATCTGAAGAGGGTATGTGTCGCCTTCTTAAAGTCGAGTTCTTCGGTCAACCGGCGGTAGACCTTGCCCTTGGACTCGGCGACGTCTTCTTGCAATCGCTCTGCAATAATGTCCCGATCAATTTCCTCGGCATCAAAGCCGTACTCGTCGTCCACTTCCACTTCCTTCCGAACATTGGCCAGATACCTTTCTGCTAGCCTCAACCGCCGTTCCGCGACGGTCTCACCCTCGTTATCCGAGCCGTCTGAACCATTTTCCGACAGGCTCCGATCCGGTAGCCCATCGTCGCCTTCGTAGTCGTCCGAGTCGCTACCTGATATCGACTCATCTCGCTCAATCCTCTTTTTTGCTGCTGGTGCAGGTTTGGAGGGGCCCCTGCCTGAGGGCTTTGCGGACGGAACGATCCTTTTTTTGGGTGCGTCTGGCGCCGTGGCCCTCTTCCTCTTCTTCTGGGAACCGGGCACTGTGAAAAAGGACGACATTGTGGCTGCGGTGGCCGAGTTTACTCAACCAAAATGTAAGGAAGTGGCGGCTGCCTCTTCTCACTGCCCGCTGAAGCTGTCGAAATTCTAAGCGGGACAGAGAAAAAAAAAAGTTCGAGGACGCAGTCAAGAAACGCTCTGATTGGTCGACCGCTTTTGATATCGGAGAAGAGAAACACCGTTTCGCCGAGTTTTGGGGCCCCACCCGACCTGCTCTATCGGGAGACGTGCTGTTGCTAGGCTGAAGCTCTGGTGCGCGTTCAGAGTAGCTGTCTCTCCCAAGGCGAGACAGAAAACTAAGCTCTGCAACGGCCAACCAACAACCTCCCATCGATACCCAGCAACAACTGTCAAGATGTAGGTGTCATCCTTAAGTAAAATTCATGAGCAGACTTTGCTGATCGTCTTCACCAGGGAGGTTCTACTAGGCATCACAGGCAAGGACTTCACCTTGATGGCAGCATCCAAAGCTGCGATGCGAGGAGCCACGATCCTGAAGGCGTCGGACGACAAGACGAGACAGCTGAATAAGCACACTCTCATGGCATACTCGGGAGAGGCGGGCGATACAAGTACTTGAGAATCCCGGCTTGACAGTCAGTCTTGGATCCTGAGCTAACTGCTGCATCAGTCCAATTCGCCGAGTATATCCAGGCAAACGCCCAGCTCTATTCAATGCGCAATGAAGCGGACCTCTCGCCCTCGGCGCTGGCGCACTTTGTTCGCGGCGAGCTCGCTTCCAGCTTAAGATCACAAAACCCCTACAACGTCAACCTACTGCTAGGAGGAGTTGACCCTATCACCCACAAGCCAAGTCTGTACTGGCTGGATTACTTGGCATCGCTGGCTTCAGTACCTTATGCCGCCCATGGCTATGCCCAGTATGATCACATCCCACTCAGCCCTGGCTCGATACTCGTTTTACACAAATAGGGAATGGGGATCGCTAATACTCAGGCCATAGGTACTACTGTCTCTCCATCCTTGACAAGCACCACCACCCGGACATCACCCTAGTTCAGGGTATCAAGATTCTTACAATGTGCACTGACGAGCTCAAGCGGAGGTTGCCGATAGATTTCAAGGGCATGGTGGTGAAGGCAGTGACCAAGGATGGTGTTGTGGACATCGAGTTTGACGACGACAAGGTGGTCAAGTGTGCTTGAAATCCTCGAGGCGCGTAGGCGTCCAGGTCGGTTTTAGGACTGTGTAATAAAACAGGTAGATGTACGGCGCGCGGTGAATGAATGGGATTTACCGCAGTTGAGGTCTCTCTTCGGGTTCACTGTGGCTCTCGTGTTGAACGCCCGAGGCTGTGATAGCCAGCGGACGCCGCCGGCCTTGCCGAACCGATAATTAAAGACTCTTCGGATGTTCCTAAAGTGCTCGGCATGGGGGCTATAGATCAAGACAAGAGTTGCAACCGCTTAGCTAGGGTAGACATGCACTTAGCATGTACTTCGTATGCCGGGCCAATAAGGGGTTCTGTCCGGGGCTCCTTATCACAGTCGCACAGCATCGCGAAGACGGCATTCTGGAACAGGACAACAGCTACTGGCGATCAGAGGTAGCAAAATGGGTAGTTCAATGGGTAGGTTCCATAGCAATGTTAGCAGACAGGAAGCAACCAGAACAGCAAGAGTTCACTTTTCTAGTCACTTACCTAGGTGTCTGTCTACCCAAGGTGAAAGGTGAGGCGGTGAGCTGATGCAACTGTCAGGGAATCAACGGTGGCGATCAAGGCTGCTAGAGATACCTAGGGGAAGGTGCATGTTAAATTCGCCTCTTCCTGTTTCGTCGGATGTCGATATACAAGGTACCTAGGCGGCAATCTACTCTATCATCACGTACATGTACCGTGTACAGTACGAACATAAGGCAGGTAGCAGAGGTCGGGAGCCCAGCACCCAGGCCCACGGAATGACGATCTCAGTTTCGAGGAACCTGTCATTTGCCCCCGTACAGAGTACATTATTCATCCAATTAGAATTTTCACTTTTTTTCCTTTCCCTTTTTTCGCCATCCCCAGGTTGGCAAGATTAGGTCGAAACGGACCACCTAGAGATCTGGATTTGGACGAATACCACAGTAGTCGCCCGCGCCTGACTTTTCTTGCCTCTGACCTGACTGGCTTCCACCGGGAACAGGGACGTGCAGAGTGGACCCACGCATGTTGACAGGGTCTTGACTTAACCTCTTTAGTGGATCCGACACAAGTTCAAAACTCTTTTTTCCTCCATCTTCCATCCTCCTCAAAATTCTCCTCTCCTCCTACCAACAACCATCGGATTTCTTAATCCACCCCGTCAAACCCTCACCTGATTTTCTTCATACTTTGTCTTTCCTTCTTTTCCTTTTTGAAGATCTGATTTCTTCGAGAGGAACGACCGGAGGCAACCGATACCTCATAAAACCTGCAGCCTGATAGACCGGGAGATCCTGAAGGCAACCTCAGCTTTCTGTTTTCTTCTCTTTTTGACCCTGCCTTCGTCTTGCGCACTAGATCTCTGTTTCTGGTCTTGATCGCAAATTCTTCTCTTTGCCGACTCTCATTTGGACCGCCCGTTCTTTTCGAGAGTTCCGTAAACAGAATCACTTTCCCACGCCGAAATTTTCGACTCGCCGGAAAAATCTAGTTTCCATCCAACACAAACACCCTCACGATCACCACCTCGTCAACCACAGTCCTCACGACAAATAGCAATCATGGCTGACCAACTGAACATTGGAGGCATGAACCTCGGCCCCTCTGCTGTCGAGCAGGGACACCCTCCTGCCCGTTCTTACATTCCTCCCCATATGCGAGGCAAGATGGGTCCCCCTAACGGTAACCCCAACGGTCCCGCTCCCGTCAACGGGCCCGCCCCGGTCAACGGACCCCCGCCTACCTTGAATGGCCTTAACAATAGCGCTTGGGCTGCGTAAGTATTCCCATTTTCCCCCGTATCCCCGGCCTTGCCCTTTTGCTTCTGTCACAACGGGCTGTGGAGCCGGGCGCTCATCTGCATCTCGCCACTCTTGGCTTGGAGTTCAATGCTAACATGTACGCAGGAACAGCAACTACGAGGCTCGCCCCCCCCAACCTAACTGGTCAGGCCCGCTGCCTGGAGGTGCCCCCGCTCCCGACTACCCGGTTCCAGGCGCTCGTCCCAACAACTGGGGCGGCCGCCCAGCCGCACCCTTCAACCCGAACGCCTATGGCAACCCAGCCGCCGGAGGTAACACTGGCGGCAACACTGGCGGAGGCTACGCTCGAGGTTCTGGTGATGGTCAGTGGCGAGACGGAAAGCACGTGCCAGGCCCGGCAAACCCTCGCATGGAGCGAGAGCTCTTTGGCACCCATGATGATCCGTCGAAGCAACACACTGGTATCAACTTCGAGAAATACGATGATATTCCGGTTGAAGCGTCGGGTCAGGATGTGCCTGAGCCGGTTTTGACCTTCAGCAATCCGCCCTTGGACCCCCACCTCCTCCAGAACATTGAACTCGCCCGTTACCAGATCCCGACTCCGGTCCAGAAGTACTCGATCCCCATTGTCATGGGTGGCCGTGATCTGATGGCCTGTGCCCAGACCGGATCTGGCAAGACTGGAGGATTCCTGTTCCCCATCCTGTCCCAGGCCTTCATCAAGGGTCCGTCTGCTGTTCCTGGTGGCCAGGGCGGCGGCTATGGGCGCCAGCGCAAGGCCTATCCCACGTCATTGATCCTTGCCCCGACCCGTGAGCTCGTTTCTCAGATCTACGAAGAATCCCGGAAATTCGCATACCGATCTTGGGTCCGCCCCTGCGTCGTCTACGGTGGTGCGGATATCGGCTCACAGCTGCGTCAGATCGAGCGGGGCTGCGATCTCCTTGTTGCCACGCCCGGCAGATTGGTCGATCTCATAGAGCGGGGTCGCATCTCCCTCTGCAACATCAAGTACCTGGTTCTTGACGAAGCCGATCGCATGCTTGACATGGGTTTCGAGCCTCAGATTCGTCGCATTGTTGAGGGCGAGGATATGCCAGGCGTCCAGGGTCGCCAAACCCTCATGTTCTCGGCCACTTTCCCCCGCGACATCCAGATGCTTGCCAGGGATTTCCTCAAGGACTACGTCTTCCTGTCCGTCGGGCGCGTCGGATCTACCTCGGAGAACATTACCCAGAAGGTCGAGTATGTCGAGGACATTGACAAGCGCTCTGTCCTGCTTGACATCCTCCACACTCACGGCGCGGGTCTGACCCTGATCTTCGTCGAGACGAAGCGCATGGCCGACTCGCTCTCCGATTTCCTCATCAATCAGAACTTCCCTGCAACCTCGATTCATGGCGATCGCACCCAGCGAGAGCGTGAGCGCGCTCTTGAGATGTTCCGCAACGCCCGTTGCCCCATCCTTGTGGCCACTGCCGTTGCTGCCCGTGGTTTGGATATCCCCAACGTCACTCACGTGGTCAACTACGATCTGCCTACGGACATAGACGACTACGTGCATCGTATTGGTCGTACTGGTCGTGCGGGCAACACGGGTTTGTCGACTGCCTTCTTCAACCGCGGCAACCGTGGTGTCGTGCGGGACCTGCTTGACCTTCTTAAGGAGGCAAACCAGGAAGTCCCTGCCTTCCTCGAGACCATTGCTCGCGAGTCTTCGTTTGGCGGTGGTGGTGGCGGTCGGGGCGGCCGCCCCGCCGGCCGTGGTCGTGGCCGCGGAACAAACAGCGATTTCCGCAAGTATGGCGGAAGCAGCGCCGGCGGTGGCTTCGGAGGCGGTGGCTTCGGCGGCCCTCCCCAAGCTTCCGGCTACGGCGGCGGCGGCGGCAGCTTTGGTGGCCCGCCGCCCCCCAGCTCCGGATACGGCGGTGGCTACGGAGGAGGTGGTGGTTATGGAGGCGGAGGCGGTGCTTATGGCAACCCGGGCGGCGCCGGTGGCCAGTCTTGGTGGTAAACCATGTTCCGGCAAGGATCCGGCGGCGTTCACCAGGAGGACGCCCTTCCACATCATACTGCGGTATGGTTATTTGGCTTTGCACATTTGCTTTTCATACGCCACGGATCATTCGACTTTGATTTTTGCGATTCGAAACATTCCAACGGCGGCGAACATGACCTTAAGAGGACCCTAGCCGGGATTTGGCGGGCATAGGTTCTGAGGCACACTCGGGATTCGACGATAGATCGCATTTGTTTGTTCTCTGCATCCAGCACCCCGATTGGTTGATACCCTTAGACCACGAACTTGGGGAACATGACGACAAGGAACTGCATGGACATGGCCTTGGTTTCGTCCGTTGCAGTTAGAGTTGGTCCGATCTAGAGAGGCTAGATCTTGACCACCTCATCACGACAGTCGCATTTCCGCGGTTATCCCTACTTTCCCCGCGGGGTATTTTTCGCTTTCTGACATAGAAAGGGTCATGGCATCGCCGTAAAAACTCGTTTTACACCAAATTTTTTTTTTCTCCTTTTTTTCTCGACGCATGCTACACCATCATAGACAAAAGTGGATTTCTCGGTTCTCTAGTCGGCACACACTTTCGGGTCGACGGTCTCGCCATGGGTCAATTGGGGCGACCTTCATAGAGAGGACCAAAAAATAGACTGGTAATGTTTTCTGGTTTGATATGAGAGCAGGGTGGATGGAAGCATGATACCCTTTTCGAGAAGAGCTTTGGCAGAGAAGGGATGATTGCTTTGCTGGCTCTCATAAATGGGCACAGGGAAAACCGCGGGCGTCTGCGAAGGACGGTATGATGCAAAGTCGAGGCTTTGCAGAGGCTCGGTTGATACTGGGGCAGTTTACCAACAAATACTGCTGGTTTCCCCGTGGCAGAGACACAGTCTGTACTGAGAACTCCGACCAAAAAAATACACAGACATGGTTGCTTCTTAAAAAACCTTGATCCCTGACCATAATATATTATTACCTATGACATGATGGTTTCCCCTGATGTGCATATGGATACCGCCCTGACTACCCTGCCTGCCTCATAGTCGCAAAGACGCTCAGATGTGCTAGCCGTCGCAGGGTAACTATCAGTTAATAGGTCTTTTCTCCCTCCATAGAAAATGTGCGTAGTCTCTCGCTCACCAAGTGACTTCGTGAAGCCTGACATGCGGCATCAAATGCCGGGCATCTTTTTTCCTAAAATGGCATGTGGTATATCCATGGCCACTTGCCAGTGGCACTTCTAACGCAATGTTTCTAGGCTGCGTGGCGTCTGGGATTCCGTTTGCGGTAGAGGTAGGTTGCTGTTCTTTGAAGGCTGTTCCCTCCTTGCCATATCGTCGTACGTAGTACGGATGTCGCTACCAAAAGAATCCACTCACCGCCTTTCGAATTACAGTGGTTCTGCTTGGCAGAAATGCAGCCTATGTCCACTGTAATTTGAAAGGCGGTGAGCGGATTCTTTTGGTAGCGACATCCGTACTGGTTAACAGTCAACAGCACTCATAGAGTACCCACAAGGATGTAACAAAAGCAAAGAGGCAGGGCCCCAAGTCTATCAAGGGCATTGCGCCATTGCATTCAGTTTATTGAAGCAATTCCTCAATCTGCTGGTGGAGAAGCATGTGAACTTAGATGACCTGCTCTGTACAAGAACAAGTTTGAGCCGTCTTGAAAGACAGGGCAATTCACCAGCCACAATTTGGGACTTGACTAAAGTTGTAGGTAGGGTTGGGGTATGGGGCCTCAACAATCACGCTAGTAAGGGAACATCCCTGCAAGTGCCTCTAGCCACAACTGTACCTTACTTTCTTCCAGCTTCCGTCTCGCAGGAGCAATCGACAAACTTTCAGGGTCACTTTCCCGTGAACCCCTTCCAACCCGGAGCTCTGTTCTCCTCACCTGCCGACTTGCGGCCTAGATTATGGCCAGTGCCTGTGGTTGACAAACTCAAAGTCGCTCGTTGAAAATATTCTCTTCTTTGGGCCGCAGCCATCCTTTTCGTCGCGTCCTCGTCGGGACGATCCACCTGATCCAGAGCCGCGCCGAGTCCCTCCAACTCCGATAGCTTCCTTTGTCGCGTGGAACCCCTCCAAACCTGCCAAAATGCCGAGTAAGTTACTTTCCAGCTTCCCCTCTCTCCGTCATGTACTTGAGGTTGCTCTTCGTGCCTTCCACACTACCCTGTGGAAAACATATCTACATTGCGATTGACCGGGCTGGCCACTGGCCTACCCTACCTGCGTGCATGCCCTCGTGATCATGTGGAAAAAGGAGAGCAACTCTTCAGTTTTGTCCTTACCAGCTCCTTCGCGCATCTCTACTTAGCTCTACGTACTCGGTAGCCTGCCTGCCAGCTACCGGAGCTCTGTACCGCTCTGGCAAGGGCAACTAACTGCGTTCATGGGGCTCCTCCTGGCTGTTCTTTGCATGCACCCAATTTGGGCTGTATACCATTTTAGCAGACTATTAGTTCCCCTCCTTTGCTAACTATTGATCGCTCTAGACCTCGTGGAGGATGCCTGGATCAATGAGCAGGCAGTGTGAGTCAAACAGTCCGCCAGTATTTCATTTTCTGGCGAGGTTCCTAACAGCTATACTCCTTAGGAACCATCCCGTTACTGAGATCGAAGACTGCGCGATTGCCGTTGAGGCTAGATACTACCTCCAACTCTTCCTCGACACCGCCCCGTTCCATGAACCTCTCCTTCCAGCCCTCGGGGGCCTGACCGGCATTCAGAAGCACATCGAGTCAGACCTGGACCAATGGAAGGCACACAATGTCATACCCTTCTTCGTCTTTGACGGGCAATCTGTGACGGGGCAAGATGAGATCTCACTCGCCCAAGGACTCCGAGCAAATGATAAGACGGATCATGCGTGGGAGCTCTACTTCAGTGGTCGAGCTACGGAGGCTGTCTCGGCCTTTGGCGCGAATTCTGGTACTACTAGCCAGCCAACCTTGTCATGATATGTATCTGGATTGCTGACCTCTTCTAGGCGCCTTCCGCCCCCAATCTCTCTACCCCATGCTTCAGGGCATCTTGAAGCAGAGACAGCTGCACTTCCTCGTTCCGCCTTATAACGCGGCTGCACAGGTTGGTTTGTGTGGGTCCTGAAAGCAGGCAATCACTCGCTAATTTCAGTTGTAGATTGCGTACTTCGACATGGTTGACTCGGACCAGTGTGGTGGGATAATGGGATCCCAGGAGCTTCTGCTCTATCCTATCAAGGACAGTATCATTCGATCTATCGACTGGGACGCCAGCACTGTTACGGCCATCTCGAAGAAAAACATCATCAAGGCCCTGAATGTCAGTGAGCATCTCTTCACAGAGGCGCTTCTGATGACAGGGACCTCGTTCCTTCCACCGTTCCCGGCTCTCCTGGAGCCGACGCTTATCAAGGTCCAACCCTTCACCATCTCGGACGCAGTCAACATGCTCAGGACGTCGGATAAGTCCGTCACCATAGCCTGCACATCGTCCTTCAATGATATTGTCAAGCTGAAGGACCCGAACTGGCTGGACAAGTATCAGAAGGCCTGCATGGCTATCAGTCACTTCATATACATTGCCGAGAACGGCGAAGTGCAGGTGAACGACTATGAACACCTGACTGGGGACAACCATGAGTATCTCGGCCTCCAGCTTCCTTCGGAATTGTTCCACTACCTAAACACTGGCCTTATCGGACCACGGATGCTTGGCTGGATTACCCATGGCCAGCTCATGGTCTTGCCGACTACGGATGGTGTGGCGTCTGACGAGTATAAGAAGCTTGTCTCATCACAGCTAGTGCCAATCAAGGAGATGACTCTGGGGCTTCTAATCCCGCAGTTGCATCGGGGCATCCAGCACAAGAGCATCACCATGAAAGTTTGGTACGACCGCAACTATTCCTATACGGTTAATCACCGCAACCTCCAGCCCTCCTTTATTCGGATCGCCGGATGGGATGTCAAGGAGGGTGCCATCAAGGAACATTTCCCCAAGTTTGCTGCTGGGTCTATTGCGTCTGAGGTCCTTGCTCTGAAGAACTTGGACTTTGCAAAGGCAACCGTCACCAAGGAGAAGGTCAAGGGCTTGCAGTCCGGCGATATCATTGTCTCGCTGACTATCTGGCGACTGCTTCAGCTTCGCGGCTATGTCAACGATGGCCACACCCTGACTGACTGGGGCAACGCGCTCGCTACTTCAATGTCTGCCTTTGAGCCAACAGTGAAACAACATCCCGATGTTCCTCATCTCTACGAAGCTATCCTCGTGGCATTTGAGCTGCTTCGTTTTGAGCTTCTGAATGCCAGGAACAAGCATGAGGAGCTTCGCGGCTTGGCTTTGAATGGCACGGAGGATGACCAGGCCAGCCTCCTCCTGATTAGTCGTTGCTCGACGCTGCTGAAGCTTCGTCATGAGGCCAATGGCTATACTGGTCCTCTGAGCAAGAATCTGCTGGCTTTCCGGTCCCTTGTGTCAGAAGTTCGTTCTGCCGACCGGGATCTCACCGAGGCCCTTATAGCATCAATGTTTATGAATGCTCAAGCGAAGCGGGATCGTGACGATGGATGGCGGATAAGCCACAGGTATGCCACTTTTTCCGGGTTTTATTTTATTTTCTGCTTTGTCCTTGTTTTATTTATCCCACCCTCCCTCCCTCCTCTCACCCAAACTACCTGGTATGCTAACCCTGCTCCCAAGACTCCCTTTCTTGTCTGATCCTGACGTCGCCCTCGGTATCGCTGTCAAGACATACTTGGACGAGATCTCTCCGTCAGACACCCCTGAGCAGAAGAATCTGAGGAAGCAACAGTTCCCGAGCAGCTACCTACCCTATGCCCTCCGCTTCTCGGAGGATTTGGACATCTGCTGTGCGTTCTTTGATGCCATCCATGCCGGAGTGAAGGCTCTGGGCACCAAAGAGATCCCGGCGAGTGATATGGCTGCCTGGGACAAGGCTGCGAAGTATCTCGAATTGAGAAGATAAGGTAGCTCAGTCCTCGCTGCTAAACTGCTGGGAGCTTGAGGGCCGCTCGGATATTGGTTGATTCGTGTGGCGGGAATCGGCCGAAGAGGGGCTGCTTGTATCTATTTACCTCCTGGGAGTTCTGCGTGTATGGTAAGATGGGGGTTTCACGAGCATGCGTATCCGGAAAATAAGTGAGAAGCAAGCATGGACAAAGGCCGTGGTCATGACAATACCTACAATACAAGGACAAAATGTTCTGTCAAATACCTATGTGCTAATTTGTGCATGTACAGTACTAATGCATTCCTTGGCCCCCCTTGGTGTTCCTATTCCGCCATTTATGTGTGTAGCGCCCTAGAAAAAGCAAACCAGGGCGCCGTGGAACATAGCCCAGTGGCCTCCTAAATCTGGCGTTACCAAGCAAAGCGGCAATCATCCCAACTCCAAAACACAAAAACTCATGGGCTCCATCTAGGGTGCCATCTATTCATTCGGCATGTGCCATGTGGGCCGGGGGTATCAATATCATTATGAGCAACGCCGGGTTTCCCGATGAAGAAAGTGCGCAGTATGTGGCGCGAGGGAGGGAGTGGGTGGGCGAGTTCAGATGGGGAGGCGACGCTTTATCGGGGCCGCGAGGATCTCGCCGTCGAGAATGCCGCGTTCCGAGACCGCGGTCTTCTTGCCCAGGGCTTGGATCTTGGCTAGGAGGTGACTGTTCTGGTGGTTAGGTTCTGTTTCGAATGGACATCCGTGGAGGTTTCCATGGCTAGTGTGGCAACAAGAAGAGCAAGGGAAGAGAGCAGGTTCGGTACCACGGGGCCGTCAACCCTAAAAGCAGACTCATTTACAGGCGTCCTGCTTCGGTTTGGGGGCGGTTGGGGATTCGGACAAGGGGGGGATACTTGACTATGAGCAAGACGGGAGGGAAATAAGCATACTTGATCGACATGTGTCCACGACGGGCTTCTGACACGGCCAGGTCCACCATTCCCGCCTGGGCCTCGTGGTCCCGGAAATGTTGTTGTATCAGGGCCTTGCCGGCTTCTTCTTCCGCCGAACGGACTACAAAGAAGCAGTCTTCCTGGTCACAGACCCAGGTTCCATTGGGACCCGAGGGCGACATGGAGGGGATCTTCTGGGCATGAACGACGAGTCGGACGACGTCCTTGGGGGGGCGCACGGGGAGGCCATCGGGGTCCTCGTCCTCGTCCCAAGCAGTTGCTTCGTCGCTCGGCTCGTGAACATCGTCTGCGGCATCCTCGTCATCAGTGGGCAAGTGAGATGATTTTGCCGACTTCCTCGCACGGTGGCTTTCCGGCTCCTCATCCCTCTCCCATACCGTTCGCTTCTTAGATGCAGTTGATAACCTGAGTCCCGCTACTTTTCCGGCACGACGAGCCGCGGCGGGAGTTTGAGCGTGCCTAGAACCTGCCCTGCTGTCTTCGTCAAGGTCGGAGGACTCAGAAGGCGAGTCCCGCCGTACCCTAGCCCTTATATCGGCCCTTGGCGATGCAGGAAGCGTAGATGGGTTTGTCGCGGCGACTCTGTTTTGCTGCCTCCGTCTAAGTTGCGGAAGGATGTCCTCGACTGTAATAAACTTCAAGGGCATATCTGGTTGGCTTGCAGCTTCCTTCAACTCGTTATAGAACGGAGCCCGCTTCCACTTGGAGGGTAGCTTCTGTAGAATTTGCTTCGAGTAGTAGCCGATGATTTCGTGGGGTACCTTGTAGTCCCGAATCTTACACTTCGCGTATATCTTGGACTGGACAGATTTGCGTTTGATCCTTTGCAAGTCCCCAGTTTCGGTGGCAATCTCTTGTAACAACTCGAGAAGCAGATCGATCACTGACCCGGAGCCTTCGTCAGGGTGCGAGTTTGTCGTGCGCTCGGGTGAGGAATCCATCTCAGGCGGCGGAGCAATATTGGTAGCCCTGGCCCTCGGAGACTGAGATGGGGCATGGGATTCGGTTCTGGCACCTCTGGTTCTCCTTACAGACTTGGCGGGAGGTGATACGGCCGCCGCTGTGACCTCTTGCATCTCGACATCTTCGGTGTCTCGAGTGTGGCTTGTGACGACGCTTCTGGTCCAAGATCTCTCGGGCCGTGGTATTGGGACAGCATGATCCATGGCTGGAGTCAGCTGCTTAGGGGCAGTCGTAGTTGTTGAGGGTAGGCCAGCTCCCTTCTGGCGCCTCTTTTGTATTTCCTAAAGAAGTTAGGGATCCTAGTGATCCTGACTGAACGACGGGAGCTTTATGTCTTACTGGATGTTTCTCAATCATCCACTCATAGAAGAGTGTTCCGGTCCAGTCAAAGTCTGATTCCTTTGGGAAATGGTTGATGAGAAAGCTGGCCCACTTGTGGCATCGCTCTTCCACCTCGTGATGGTAAATTCCATCGCCAACAGCGACTGCATACTAGAGACGGGGGTTAGTCTTACTAAGGCGACATGCAAGCCATGGACTCACCTTCAGGAACAGATGATCGAGAGACATGGGCTCTGGCGGCCTCATCTTCTTCCTCCTGCTCTTCGACGCTGCGGCGTACTCATTGGCATACTCCATCTGGGCCTCACAGGCAACCATGACCACGTAATAAAGGTTGATCGCCTCCCGTATCTCGTTGTGCATCGCTTCATACTGCAGGGACGGAACAATCTCGAACCAGCCGGTCGCGCCGGATACCCAGAGAACGACGGGATTGTAGCCGATGGAGTACAGCCAGGACGCCTGGATCTCGATGTAGGCGGAGCTGACTTGCGACGTTAGGACTGTTTCTCGTTAGATTGTGATGCTGAAGTGGATGATGAGCAGGCACACATACGGTGACGCTGTTCCTTCTCAACCTCAAGTTTGCCGCGGACAATGTAGGGTCCATCGGTATCGATAAGCAGCGGATTCGCCAGCCGTTTGCCGTCCTTGTGCAATACGACAGCATCCGTCAGGACGAAGCAAGGCCAGTCATTGGAGTTTTCGCTATTAGATGCAAGTGGCTTCAAGATCTTGGTTTCGTTCATCAAAGGAATGTGGGTCAGGTCAAATGTAGCGACGGTCGAGCTGGACACTCGCCGACGACTTCCCGCCATTTCCAAGGATGCGGTCGATGTCACGACGAGGGACTAGAGCTGGTTAAGGGATGGCGAGAGACAGATAACCTGTTGGGTGAGCAAGATAATAGGGGAATGAAGGGTATGATCTCTCTGCAGCCCATCAAGCCAAGAACAGAGGAGAGAATGTGGTCAAGGCAGTCAGGGCTAGGACAGAGCCTCTCTTTACGCGCTAAGTTGCCAGCCAGAGCAGACGCGAATCCATTGTCAAATCGCTGTCGCAGCCTTAAGGCAAGTGGGGCCAAGAGGTACGTATCTTGAGGGGCCCTTAATGGCTCCACACTAGGTACATAGTAAGTCGCAAGGCTTGGATCCAGATTGCAGATACATCATACACTCTGCCTGCAACATCCCTCTCGAGGACACTATCAAACATCAAAACGCCTCATTGGAATATGTAGAAAAAGCAGTCTCATAGGCAGCTACGGTGAGCGATTTACCTTCGGTTGGCGCATCAGCGTGTAAGGAAAGAAGAGGGCAATCCGGAGAGTCGGATATGCAGCGACGGCAACATAGGGCTGTTTGTGGCTGCATGTGTGGCTAGGAACGGTGGCGGTGTCGGAGGCAGGGATGACCCAGACGTAATTAGGTACAAGTACATGTACGGATACTGGATACACCAAACCTGGACTGGCGCATGCTTGGATGGGAAAATGCCCCTCGAAAAATTTCAACCACATTGTCCGCCCTGAGGATATGGAGGACAATAGGCCACCCCTTGATCAATTGACAAGGTAGAAAATCACCACCAAGTAAAAATCTGCGTGCATTCAATTCAGTGCCATTCCACTTTGCCTCCTCTCTCGCCCCAGCTGTCGTTTCTTGCTTTTCTCTCCCCCCCCCCCCCCCCCCTTTTCCAACCTTCCCTTCTCAAGGCCCCCTAACAGATCCTGGGCAAGACCACGCATGCGGATCACCAATCTTCTCAAGATGGCCAAACGAAATGTGCTGGAAGGCGTCTTCGGTATGTACCCTGCACCACAGAAACCACAAATAGTCTTGCCATTGTCTGACAAGCACCGCAGCCATCAACAAGCCGATTGGCATAAGCTCGGCGCAGGCCATCCGTGACTGCCAAAATCACTTCGACCCCTCGGGCATATTCGCACCACTTCTGGAACAAGAAAGGGGCCTCAGGGCCAGGGAAGCAAAGACCCAGCATAAACGGCGGAGCAAAGCCAAGAGGGAGCTTCACGTGAAAATGGGCCACGGTGGAACCCTCGACCCTCTGGCCACAGGAGTCCTGGTCCTGGGCGTCGGCAAGGGCACGAAGTCGCTACAGAACTTCCTCGGCTGCACTAAGACGTATGAGGCTGTGGTGCTCTTCGGCGCCAGTACCGATACCTACGATCGCGTTGGTCGAATCATCAAGAAGGGTCGTTACGATGAGATCACCGAGCCAATGGTCGAGAAGGCTCTTGAGAGTTTCAGGGGGAAGTTCAAGCAGATGCCTCCTCTGTACTCGGCGCTGAAGATGGAAGGAAAGCCACTCTACGAGTACGCCCGGGAGGGCAGGCCGATTCCTAGGGAGATCGAGACCAGGGACGTCAACGTACTCGAGCTTGATCTCGTTGAGTGGTATGAGCCGGGGACTCACGACCACCGGTGGCCAGCAGTAGAGGCACAAGAGACGGAGAAGAACTTTGCCACTTCCGTTTGGCGGGTTGCGAAGCGGCAAGCCTTGTCGGAGGAGGAGCCGCAGAAACTCACCCCCGATCAGGAGGAACAAGAAACCAAGGCGCTGGCAGAGTGGGAGACCAACAAGCGGAAAGCTGAGGCCCGAGTCGACGGTCTGGTGTATGACGAGGGACACTCGCCTAAAAGGCGAAAAATGAACCGGCCTGCTCCGATGATGTCGGGTGCGTTGGGAGAGCTGCCGCCAACGCCTTCTCGCAAGGGTGCTAACCTGCTCCCACCCGAGGCAGCACCCAACACCCCTCCGCCTTGGGAAGGCAAGGGCCCGCCAGCTGCCAAGATCCGCATGACCGTCACGTCTGGTTTCTACGTGCGCAGCCTATGCCACGATCTGGGGGAGAAGCTGCAGTGCGGTGCAATGATGGCCGAACTCTGCCGTTCCAGACAGGGAGAGTTCATCTTGGGCAGCCGAAACTGCCTGGAATACGACGATCTTGCCAAGGGAGAGGAGGTGTGGGGCCCAAAAGTGGAGGAGATGCTGGGTCTGTGGATGAACAAGGGCAGTGGTCCGCCTGCTGCAGAAGGCGTATCAGAGTCTCCAGGCTCTAAAAAGGTTGCTGGGAGAAAGAGCCCCAGCCCTGAGGGTCGGAAAGAGGGTGCCTCGCCAAGTTCGCCGAAGAAACAACAGGTTGAAGAGCCAGCAGCAGTAGCAGAGCAACCAGCCGTCACCAACTCATCAGAAAAGGCCGAAATCATACAAGAGGAAGGAGATGTGCTTCAGGGGCAACCCGCCCAGCCGGTGCCAGAGGAAAGCCAAAACACGGACACGGTCAATGGATACTGCTGAGGAGGAGTGGAATGGCATCGATGATGTGGAGCCATCGACAGAGGATCTCCAAAAGGAAGTCACGGCCAAGGAGGCATAGATGGCGCGTGCGTAGCATCCATGTTACTTCAGTTCCATGGCAGACAACTTGCGGTCATAACAGCATAGCGAAAGAAGCGGAGAAGGGAATACTTTCCCATAGATGACGCATTTTCATAGATACAGTTCAGAGCAATCTGCCATTCAATTATCACTCGTCAACCAAGCCCAGATCGTCCTCTTCGCCCACACAGTTCGTCCTAAGTCTCTGTATCTAATATACATGTTCGGCATATGTAGTGGCTTGACCTTTCCTCGGATAGACGGAGTGCCCTTTCTCGGAACCAGTGTATGTACATATTTAGTGCGATCGGACGGAGATCTTCCATGTGCAACGGCATTGATCGCCAATCCTTGTTCCGGGCTAGCAAGGCGGGAGGGATGCATTGGTGGATCCCTGCATGTCCGAGGAGGCGCAGCAGAGACCGAAAACAAATCACTATCCAGCCCACCCTGTGGCCAGCCAGCCATGCTACTTTCTTAGACACTTAAGATGTTGTGCAATAGTAGCCCAGGCTCTTGCCGGACGACAGATCGAGGACTTGAATTGAGATTTGTCTTTGGCTTTCTCAACTACACCATCGGTCCTGTGTGCGGGGCACAATGTCAGCTACGACCACCTTGACGATTCAGGCCCCAACCATGACGACTTCGAACATGTCGACAGCCCCTTGCTGTCCGAAGTGCGGCTTTGACATTGAACTACCATCCTTCGAAGACACCCAAGAGGAACTTCTCCAAGCCCACCGGAAGATCGAGGACCTCCAGGTCCAAGTGCGGCTCCTCAACCAGAAGGCTTCCGCCGCCATTGATCGCTGGGCAGACTACGAGGACGAGATCGCCAAGGTCCGGTCCGCCCTCGACACCTCGCAGAAACAGCAGCAACAACAGCAGCAGCAGCAGCAACAGCAACAAACCCAACAAGCGACGACCGTAGCCTCGCCATCACGATCCTCCTTCCTCTCCGCCAGCGCCGCAAGCCGCATTTCAGCGCTCCTATCCCCGCGCAAACCGCCGCCAAACCTCTACTTCAACAACCCGAGCCCCTCCCCGTCTCCCCGAACCGCATTCTCCCCGGCCCTACCACTGCCATCAGCAACATCGCCGGCCCCGCCGCTGTCCCCGACGCCGAGCAGCGACGAGCTGCTCGAGGCGCTGTCGCGCGAGCAGTCGCTGCGCCTTGCGGCCGAGGGCCGCCTGAGCGACACGAGCCGCGAGGTGGAGGAGCTGTCGGCGACGCTGTTCGAGCAGGCCAACGAGATGGTGGCGTCGGAGCGGCGCGCCCGCGCCGCGCTCGAGGAGCGCGTCGAGACGCTTGAGCGCCGCGACGCCGAGAAGAGGCGCCGGCTCGGCAGGCTCGAGGCCGCGCTTGGGAGCATCGAGAGGGCTAGGGCGCTTCTTTTGGGGGATGGGGTGGGTGGTGGGGTTGGGGCCGGGGGTGGGGGTGATGGAGCCGCTGGGGAGGATAGAGCGGTGGGAGGGAATGGAAAAAAGGGGGAGGATGGGAGGGCCAGTGGGGCGGCGAGAGAGGAGAGGGGGGAGGGGGAAGATGATGGTGGCTTGTCTAGGACGAAGATGGATGAGGCAGCGAGCAATCTGGGAACATGAGAAACGGCTCGTTTACGCGGCGCATACTGATTTGGGTGGTTCTTTTCACATTTTTTTAGAGGGGTCAGACATCTATACTCGGGACATGCGATTTCAATATCAGATAGGGGTATCATTCCACGGGGAGTTACGGGGAAATATCTGGACAGGCAAGAAAAGAGGTGGTGCATCGGGCTTAATACGGTTTTGCAACCTTCCTGAGTTCGCTGAATCCAGTTTCGGGGTCCCTATACTCCTTCCAACTGACAGGATACATTGTGTTGCCGGCCTCGCTCGTCGCCATTATGACTCCCAATTCGTTTCTCGCCGTCGAAAGGTAGTAGTTCGCCTGGTCGCCGAGGGAAATCTAAGAGCAGCATGTTTAGCCTGCTGCGAGTGAGGTAGGTGGTCCAGGGGAAACATAAACGTACCACTTCGGCGCGCACAATGTCGCCAGGCCGGAAACTCTCGTATATCTTGACCCTGTCCTTCTCCGTTGCTCGAACATCCTGGACCCGGATCACGCCCTGCCACTCGGCCTCTAGGACGGTGTCGCCGCAGACCAAGATGGTCACGACGGCCTGGCGGGGCATAATACGGATCACGCGACATAGCACCGTGTTGTTGACCTCTGGCAGCACCTCATGCTTCTCACCGACGCCGGATCGTGAGACGGAGATGGTGGGCAGTTCTGTAGGGCCAGCTGGTGTGATCTTATTCAGGCGTTTTGTTGGGCCCGGAGCTCTCGCAGGCTGTTTTATGTGCACCACGCCCAGGAGGGACGAGTACAGGCTCGATTCGTGTATGTGAGTGCCTGGCCCAGCGAGATACTTGGAGGCTGGCCCCAGTATCTGGCCTGGAATGGCAATCGACTGTGTCGAAGTCGCCATGCTGTCGAAGGTTGGTCAGGGTCCGAAGACTGCTGGAAATTTGCCGCTTCTATCCGTGTTAGGACGTGGACGTCGGTGGGCGGGATTAAGGATTCCGTGCTGCGGCGCCCACTAGGCTTAGAGAGATATGCCAGTACCAAGTGAGTGGTAGGGGCTCTGACTCGAGCAACCATGCAGCTAACGCGAGGTTCGGGGGGAAAACTGGGTTTCTGCAGTGACGCATTTTGGCCGAGTACCCGAACCTGTGGACCCTAGGTAGGCGACTAATAAAATCATCGGCACCAACACACGAGTTCCCGTCTCCTTAACTTGCTAGACGAAGTTGCTGTTAGTTTCAAGACCTGTCTTTCACTTATCGCCCGGTCATTTCTATCAATTGAGTTTTCCCGCACCAATTGTGTTCGCTTCTTTCTGCACAATGCCCCCCCCTTCGTCGCGTGCCGGCGGCATGAGCGGCCTCCTAAAGTTCGTCGCAATCTTGATCGGCATCCTAACCCCAGTGGTGTACCTCCTCGAGCAGAACCTAGAGTCCTTCTACATCTTCGAGATCGACCAGATGCATGATGTTGCCAAAAGAGGTCTTCAGGCCCATGGGAACGACACAAGGGCTGTGGTCCAGTTCATTGTGAACGAGCTCGGCAGTCAGGTCGGAACGAAGAGCCACATCAACCACGACGAAGAATGGGTCTTCAACAACGCTGGAGGCGCAATGGGTGCTATGTATATCATCCACGCTAGTAAGTCTTCCGGACGGAGCAAGCGGTAACACCTCACTAACCAATGGCCAGGCATTACTGAGTACCTGATCATCTTCGGTTAGTCCCAGACTCCCAAGCGACCACCATCCCATCGTGACGTGCCCTTCCTTTGGGTTTCTAATTGTAAGCAGGAACCGCAATTGGTACGGAAGGACACTCTGGTCGCCACACCGCCGACGACTACTTTCACATCCTGTCGGGCACCCAGCTTGCCTATGTCCCTGGCGAGTATGAGGCCGAAGTCTACCCGCAAGGCAGTGTTCACCATCTGCGCCGGGGCACTGTTAAGCAATATAAGATGCCCGACTCCTGCTTTGCGCTCGAGTACGCACGAGGCTGGATCCCTCCCATGCTCTTCTTCGGCTTTGCCGATGGCCTCTCCAGCACTCTCGACTTCCCTACCTTGTGGAGGACCACATGGATCACCGGCCGCGAAATCGTCAAGAACTTGCTCAAGGGAAAGCTCTAGTCACGACAACCGTTTTTGAGGAGGCTACACTACGGGTCAGCCCGAAGAGCCGCGCTGCCCCTAGCAGCAGTCAATGATCGCAGGGCTATCGCCTCCATTGAGAATACCCCTATTTCCTCCTTGTATTGTACAGTACTCGCGGACTGGTACCGAATGTCCAAGGTTGTCTGATACGGAAACGGTGCGTGCATGGAATATATGTGCCAGTGGATGTAATAATAATGCTTTTGAGGAAGGAAAGGTCGGCCATGGACAATTTAATAGACTTAGACTCCAACACTCCCACCCCAAGGTCCACGTCAGCTTACACACCAGCCCAAAGAGAGTTCAGATATCGTGTTAGAGATCAAACGCAAATAAGACTCAAGGTAGCTGGTCCAGTATTGCCGTGCAGGATGCTAACGGAAATCTTCCGGCGCAACAGCGAGAACGATGTTGGTGCAGGCCAGATCGCCGCGCTGGCTTTCCTCTCGGGGCTGATACCTTATCCAGCTTCCTTTCTCGCAGATACTGTGCAGTACTGCACAGTATGATCTACACTGCCTACCTAGGTACCCAAGGTATCATAATATATACGTATTTGAACTAGCAACAGGGGCGGGCGTCCCCCACAAAGCTTGACTGCGGGTACATAGGCATTACAGGTCGTTGGTACTGCAGCGAAGGACGGGAGTAATGGACTCGGGTTTGACAGCCTGCTGACAGGCCGGCTCGATTCTGGCACCTGCCCCTTCTGTCCAATGGGCCGTGCCAGCACCTAGTCAATGACGCACCGTTTAGCGTTTGCCGTAGTATTCAGGATAATAAAGTCTACGCTAAAACTATGCGAAGGGAGGTTCCGATCGAAATGTGGGGCGGCAAATCTACCATGCCGAGGACCAAACGACTTTCAGTGGCACATCATATCTTCGTTTCTCTCTCAGTATGCGCCTTGTAACGTTGATGCAGACTAATGCAAGCGCGCCGCCGTGAGCCAGACCTTTCCTAACAGAGCAGCTGCCATGACCCCCATTTTGCCATTATCTCGCCTCTCGACTGATCGACTGATAGCTGAACTCGTGGGCTCACAACTAACAGGCCACTCACCCAATATGCCAGCACGCCACAAGAAACCATCATGAAGCTTTCTTCTGTGCATGTGAGGTCGCATGAACCTTGGGTTGAGCTATACGGATGCGGAAATGGACACCATCATAACATGGGTGAAGACCTGGTAATAACATGCTTTGGTTCACGCATACCTCCCTACCAAATGTCTCTTCTATGTAGGTAGGCATCTGATAGCAGTGCCGCAATACCGACGTGCTTCCTGAATGGGCTGTGTCTCCATGTCTAATCCCAGCTCTTCCTCGCATACGACCCAACTCTCCTGCTTTAACCGTAACTTCTGGGCTCCAGTGTGGAAGATGTGCTTTACAATTGCCCGCCGGCCCATTGGCCACATGTGCCACCGTCGATCCTGTTTATTCAGGAGACATGCACACTGGGTGCTTTCGGGGGATTCCAGCCCAACAGCGAAGGGCAAGTAGGTTCGCCCCTCACGCGTGCGTTCTCACGCATATCTCCTCCCGCGTGTCTCCCCATCATTTAAATGTCGATCTTGCCCCATCCCCCCGCCGTCCCTCGAATTGTGTCGTTGACTCGAGCACCCTCCCCCAGCCAAAGAGCGTGTCCCGACCACGGACAAGAAAACCCCATTCAACATGCCGGGACATATCGAGGACGATGCCATTGTTGGGGCGCAGCTTGTTGCCGCTGCTGGGGATGTGGACCGGCGGGCGTCGATAGATGCCCGCAAGGAGCGGCTCACTACCTCCGCCCAAGACGGCTCGCAGGCGCAGGCCGCACTCCCCATTGCAGAGAAAAATTTCGAGGCCCTCGGTGAAGGTCTGGAGGACTTCCCTTCGGAGGAGGAACTGAAGACTCTACGCCGGGTCGCGGCCTATATTCCCCCGAAGCTATTCACCATTGCCTTTATAGAGCTCTGCGAACGCTTTTCGTACTACGGAACCGTCATTGTGGTATGTACGCTCCCGACCGTGTCACATGAATAATATGGCTGACCGCTCTCTTCCTTTTAGTGTATGTGCTCCGTAACTAGGGCCGAGATCCCAACTACAGCCTTTAGCATGCTAACTGAAGTGGCGTTGGCTAGACACCAATTTCGTCCAGCAGCCTCTTCCTCCGGGCTCCAGAACGGGCGCTGGCGGGCCAGATCCCCAAGCGGTTTCCGGTGCCCTGGGTCTCGGTCAACGGGCCTCCACGGGTATCACCACGTTCAACCAGTTCTGGCAGTATTTTATGCCCCTATTTGGCGCCTACGTTGCTGATCAGATCTGGGGGCGCTACAAGACCATCGTCGTTGCCCTAATCGTCGATATCATTGGACATATCATCTTGGTCATGTCGGCCATCCCGCCAGTCATCACTAAACCGGGTGGTAACTCCCTCGCCGCCATGGTTATCGGTATCCTCGTCATTGGGTTTGGCACAGGAGGCTTCAAGCCGAACATATCGCCCTTGATCGTCGAGCAGTTGCCCCTGGAACATTTAACGGTCCAGACGCTCAAGTCGGGCGAGCGCGTCATTGTCGACCCCGCCATCACGATCAATCGGGTGTACAACTGGTTCTACCTCTTCATCAACATCGGCTCCGTTATCGGCCAGGTCTCGATGGTGTACTCGGAAAAGTACGTCGGCTTCTACCTCTCCTTTCTACTCCCGACCGTGATGCTGTGTATCGCGCCTGCCGTCATGTGGTGGGGACGGAACCGCTACGACCGACGGCCCCCTACTGGTTCCGTCCTCGGCAAGGCCATGAAGACTTGGGTCTACGCCCAGAAAGGCCGCTGGCACGTCTTCCCCTGGGTCACATACAAGCGCATGCATGACGGGACCTTCTGGGAGAGGGTCAAGCCGTCCAACTTCGCTCCCGGCACGAAGCCGAAGTGGATGACCTTTGACGACGCCTGGGTTGATGAACTTGCCCGTGGATTCTCTGCTTGCGCTGTTTTCCTGTGGTACCCCATCTACTGGTTAACGTGAGTAAAAACGACCCCTCCACCCCTTCCTTTAGTACAATTGCGGGCAAAAGGTCTGTCGTATGAGTATTGACGTTGGGGATGCAGATACAACCAGATCAACAACAACCTCGTGTCGCAGGCCGCAGTGATGAGACTGAACGGCGTGCCCAACGACGTTGTCTCCAACCTAGACCCGATCGCGATTATCATCCTGATCCCGGTGTGCGACTTCCTCGTCTACCCGCTCCTGCGCCGGCTGAAGATCAAGTTCACGCCCATCAAGAGGATCACCGCCGGCTTCTTCACTGGGGCCGCGGCCATGATCTGGGCGGCCGTGATCCAGGCCTACATCTACAAGTACTCGGTGTGCGGCACCAACGCAACCGGCACCCAGGCCGACGGCACGCCGTGCCCGGCCGTGTCGATCAGCGTGTGGGCGCAGAGCGGCTCGTACATCCTGATCGCGCTGTCCGAGATCTTCGCGTCCATCACGTCGCTCGAGTACGCCTTCTCCAAGGCGCCGCGCAACATGCGCTCCATGATCCAGGCCATCGCCCTGTTCGCCACCTCCATCAGCGCCGCCATCGGCGAGGGCTTCGTCAGCCTATCGGCCGACCCGCTGCTCGTCTGGAACTACGGCTCCATGGCCGTCCTCGCCGCCGCCGCCGGCGTCATCTTCTGGTTCCAGTTCCGGGGGCTCGACGCCGAGGAGGACATCCTCAACGAGCTGCCAGAGGGCCGCATGTACGCCGACGACGAGGAGGGCGGAATCAACCCCGCGAGCCACGGGGCCGCGGCGGAGAAGGAGGGGAGCGGGAGCGGGAGCCCCCCAAGCCATGAGGCTACGGTGGGAAAGGAGGCTTGAGCCCCCGCAAGCGGCTTTCCCCTTATAAAAGTGAAAAATAAATAAAAATAAAAAATCCGCCCTCCCGCTTGGTGAGCAATGTCGTTTCGTTTGGGTTTCCATATTCCGCTTTTCTTTCTGGTTACCGTGATCGGTGGGCCACCACTGCTTGTAGGGGGCGGAATAATGTCGACTGGTCGATACCATTGTCATGTTTCCCCAAGCCCGTTGATTCAGTCTTGGTAGTTTTGAATAGCAACTTAATATCTATATACCCTATTAAGTCTTCATAAGCAGCTTGTCGGAACGATAATCCGCGGTTTCAAGTATTGTTCTCCAGGCAAGAACAGTAACTCCCAGGCACGCGGAAGAAAACGTATGAAATCCTAGCTTCCGTCCAGAATAGAAGACCATCAGAGCGGCGGGCACAATCATACCTACCCCGAGACCTTGTGTGAATAACACGGCAGGGAATCAAGCTTGGGAATGGGTAAAGAAAGTCATGACAAGATAGACAGGTGAGGGCGCATGCCGATGAGACAAGCCGGCGTCCATACATCCTGAACCATTTCTCTTTTGCACTCTCCTCTTCGGAACGTTTGTTTTTCAGGAACTGGACCTGGCCGTTTCGCCTCTTGATGTCTTTCACAACTGGAGCGCGTCTAATAAAGTAGGTAGGTACCCATGGCAATCCTACGCGCAGCAGAATACTGCCAAAGTAGTAGGAAAAGGCCCAAAATCTACCGAAAGGTCCATCTCGCGCAAGGTGTAAGCCGACAAAACGTGAGGCAAGCCTTCCCGTCATATCGCTCACGACCGCCCCAATGCCCTTCGCCAATGCGCTCCAAGATAAATGCCCATGCCGCCCTGTATAGGAGATATTTACCAAAATAGCCAGCTCCCAAAGTTTTTGTTTTATCCTACCCCTGGCGCCCATGTATTTCTTTTTTGGAAAAAAATAGTATCACACGATGACAAGAAAGAACCGATTATGCAAGCCACTCCTCCTCGTCTCTCTTTAGCCCCCGCATCACCAAGCCATCGTCTTCATCGTCGTCAGAATCAGGGGGTTCTCGGCCAGGCGTGGAAATTCCTCCGTTTTGGTGCTCGATAAGTCCGCCACCGCCGCCGCCGCCGTCGTCGTCCTCCAGCATCCAAGTCAAGCCATTCGCCTGTTCTTCAAGGGGAAACACCTCCCGCGCATACTCCTCCAGGCCTCTGGGACCCTCCCACAGCTCCAGTGCGACCCTCGGGCAGCTCTCCTCCAACGCTTGGTCTCCGAAGTAAGGGGGCTGCTTCTTCGGGTCGTCGGCGCCCAGAGCAAACAGCGCCTCCAGCGCCTCGAGTTGTATCCGGTAGCCTTCTGGTATCTTGACCCTGACCTCAATGGGCCCGCGGACGTAGCGGACCGGCCTGCCGACGCCCCGGGAAAAGACGCGGCAAGCTTCTCGTGGGCTGAGCATCTCGTACGCAAGAGAGATGCGTTTGCCGTCCCCCCACTTGGACACGCCATCCTTGAAGATCTGCAGGATCGCCGGGCCAACGTCATGCTCGGCGTCCAGCCAGGGGAGTTTGACGTCTGGATGGAAAGGCGCCTGCCAGATCCACGATCCGTCGGGTCGAAGATCGGTGCAGAACAGCGGATACGGCAGGGATGTGAAATTGTTGTTGTAGATGCCCGTGTACACAAAGGTGGCCGGCAACCCTATCTTCCTGACATATTCTTCAACCTTGTGCTTCGAGGCCCAAAGCGGGAGAGAGGGCCAACCCTGGTTGTAGGCACGGTGGTCGGGCATTGACGAGTAAACGTAGTGCTGGATGCCGGCCTTCTTCGCGGCGTCGGCCAGAGCTTCGCCAATCTTTATTTCATCGCCGTAAAAGGTCGTGTTGATGAAGGCAAGCTGGGCGCCTCGGAATAGCTCCGAAATCAACGTGTTGTTGACGCCGATGCCGACGATAGGGCCATTCTTTGTCACATCGACGTTCGCCTTCTCGGCGCGGCGCTCTCTGGTGTAGAGCTCCCCCTGAACAACAGTCACGTTAGGATTGGTCGAGACCTCTGTCGCAACGACGCCTTCGAGGTTCCTCAGCTGCGCACGGACATGGTAGCCAACTGCGGTGGCTACACGAATGAACGAAGCTGCCTGCCGGCCGCTAGCGTTGATGACAGCAATCGTCTTATCTGGATTCGGCATGGACCTCTTGGCAGGGCGAAAGGTTAGGGAATTGTTCCTCGAAGCAAGGGGCGAGGACTCCGAGTACGACGGCCTCGAATGCTTATGTCTCTTCTCCTCCTGCGCGTGTATTGCGCCCTCGACGAGCCTCGGAGTTGGGCGGATGGCCAGGCCCACGTGGTGATCCTCCGGCATCGAATTGCGTCGGCTTCGGTTGGCCAATGGCCACTCCCAAACGAACTATAAAGAACTATACTTCACACAATCCGTGGCGGAAACGTGGAACTCTTTCTCCCCTGTTCGAAATCGCGAGTCTAGAAAATCGATATCCTTTCCTAGGGGTTTGAGGCTAGGCCTCGGGGGTTTTAGGCCATTCAAGCGTGATGGCAGGGGACCCACGGGGGCGTGTCGCGAAGTTGATCAATCGCCAGTTTATCAAGACGCGCGCCTATTGCAGGCTTGGCGGGACGGGCGGACGGTGCAAATCGGGATTTCGAAGTGCTGCAGCTTGGATTCTCCTTGCTTTTTCTTCTTCTGAGAACCTGGAGGACCGAGGTACGGTTTCGTGTCACGGAGCGGCGAACAGGACAAAGCCGATTATTATTACCCTGTAGCCGTCTTTAAGTCGCGAAGGTTCTGTTAGCGGGGGCCCTGGTCTCGGTGTGCGGGGCAAATCGCAATGGAGGGGGAGGAGGGGGAGGGGAGCGGAGCAAAGACGCGACGGTCGGACCAGCAAACAGGGGAATTGTTGAGGACAGAAGAGGGATGAGCATGATGGTAGGGACGGGCAGAACAAACAAGATAACCACATGTAGGAGCCGCCGGTATTTAATTCGACGGGTTTCTCACGGGATGTACGAGAGAAATGACTGCAATGACTGACAGGGTTATAGAGATGACCAAATGGAAATGAGATCTGACCAACTAGAGAGTGGTCCCGCGGCGGTCGGGTGTCTTCAGTGGCTTTTTTGCGCGTGCAGGATTTTTACGGAGAACAATGGGGCTTGTACTGTACAATGGTCGATGGGAATCGGGTCGCCTAAAAGCCAAATCGCGGGACAGGTACCGCTTCGTCAAGCTGCAGCAAGGGTAAGTAGGTACCTAAGGAAGGAAGGTATTTGGTCTTTCCCGTGTGGCGGAAGGCAACGCACTAGAAGTGGCCGGGTCGATAGGGTCAAGCATTCGAGCAGGTGACTTCTACTAGGAAGCGGTGAAGTCTCCGATGGACTGGCTTTTAGGGTCTCGACTCTTCATCCTCCCGTTTCGTGACCTTGCTAGTTTAATAGCGGCTGAAGATAGAGAGGGAAACCCACGACCGATCCAGGAACTACGGGGTATAAGTGCCTCGAAGCACCATCTTGCGATGCGAGTTACCCCCCCTTTTACGTCCATTTTACTACCCTAACTACTGCCCAACTCTCCGGGCTATCCCCGGCTATGTTCACTGATACTCACTCCTGTCTGTGCCTAATAACCAGATGGCGCAGGACCTGGGAGAGATGACGATGCTCGATAGCCGGTCGCTGGTCACGATGCTGCGTGGGCTACTTGAGGGCCTAGAGCGACCTCGGCGGTTGGAATTAGGTAAGAGTTTCAATATGTTGGGCTTGGCCGACCACCATTGTGGCTCCTTTCGATTCTCCTTTCGAGTGGGACATCTCTGGATTCCTCACCGGACTTGTTTCTACCTCTCTTGCCCATTCCTTTTTGTCTATCGTTTTCCAGCCAAGGTGGTTTCATTCTTGGTGGTGTCCAGAGTTGTCGTTGGGAGATGTCGTATGAGAAATCATCCCTAACTACCTAGACGGTATTCTTCAACACAACGAGACACTGGGCAACTATCGTGACAGCATCTCATCATTGGTCGTCTTGATGGCCAGATATGAGGCGGCTCTTCGAGTCCCGTGGCCCCGTGATCTTGACATTCATAGTCGCGGGAACCATTCGGAGTACTTTCGGTCTGGACTGTGGAGATATGTGTAGTGCTGTTACCAAAGTAACATCTGCCCGTTTATCAAGCGAATCTTGATAGGTTCCCGCTTCGGGAGTCAGTTACGTACTTGTAAATCGCTGTTGCCTCGCGTTTGTATGCTGTCTCACAGAGGGGTGATGTAACGAGAGAGAGACTTGTTTGTGTGATAATTGAGATGTCTCGATTCCTGCCCAGGTCAAGTTTGTTAACGGTTGAGGGTAGGTCGTTTCAAGCTCTATCAACTTGCCCTCTCACATATATCTTAACATTACGCTCCTACTCAAGTCGGACATCTCTTCTACTGAGGGACAGGTTAGTGATTACGGTCGGACTCTGCGAGGAAACTGCACGCTCGCCTTAGCTCCAGAACAATTGCATCGTGACCTGGACGGATTCTCATCGACGGGGCGTCGTCTTCCCTTTTCAATTACGTACAAATTGGCTGACTAACATCGTTTCGAATGCGCTCATTGGTCTCGGTGTGTCGTCATCAAGTCTCATATTGGGACTCGTGGAAAAAGACATCTCCGCGGGGACAGTGCGCCCTAAAGTGTGGGTGCACAGGCGATGTTTGATTGAATTGGGCACTGTTTGATATTATCTTCAAGTTCTCTCGTTGCCCTTCACGACACAACATTCTGCGGGGTCGGGAAGATCGGCTCTAATTAAAATCCTTGTGCGATCGATGTACACCTCCACCGGGGTTTCAAATGTTAGTGTGACAGGGGTAAAACACATCTTGGAAAGGAGTGGCAGTATGATCCGACCAGGTACTCGCGCTAACATGCATGTACGTCAAAGTTGCAATTTCCATCACGTGGTATTTCACGTGGTATTTCACGTGGTATTTAAGGTTCAAGACTTGAGGTCCCCGTCGATTTCACCACCTAGGAACCTAGCTTGATGCACATCCATGGATGATCCATATGCAATATCGTCATGTCTCTGGTAGATGTGGAATTTCCCCGGGGTCCCTCTTTATACCAGGGTAGCGCGATGGCATAGCTATGAGCCCATGGCAGCTCAAGTTCCTGGGCCTGATGTCAGGGGCCCAATATGAGCCCTGATGACGTGAATATTTCACCTGGTGACGGAAGTTGGGAGATGGCGGCGGTCTGCCTAGCTACCCAGTGAGGGATTTAAGGCTTCCTCCGCTCTCGATACCGAAGCTTCTGTGACGCCGACTTCCGGTTAATGACACCATTCTGGTCCCAAGTTCGTTGTTTGCTGATGCGACAGGGCTTACATATGCGCCCCAGGCACAGTCTTGGCTCAGCGGGCTGCGGCTGAACAGTTTTGATTAGTAAGTTATGTCCCCCAACCACCCTCATTGCTCCTGAAAGGAACCATCCTGTCCTTCCCAGGAGCCTGCTGCCATGAAGTCGAGGTCGCTCAGAGATGCCCTTCGCTGCATCCACTCGTCTGCCACTTGGGATTCCGGGTTCGTGTCGGGACGGATTGCTTCGTCAAACGTGTCCTAGGAACCCACCCTGTTAGACCTTGTTTGGCACGGGATTAATACAGAGGAACTTACCCAATCCATCACAGCGCTTTCCAATGGTAACCATGGAGTGTCCATAACTTGTTCGGGTTCATAGTTTGGCATCAGCTCGCTCCTTGACCACACCCTCTGTTGCACGGTGTCAAGTTGTGGCGACACGAGTTCTTGGTATGGTGGCGGTTCTATTACACAAAATGTGAGCCTCGTCGAAATCGCCATACTGAAGCGTGACGGAAAAGGGGAGTACCATGTATTGACAGATGCGACATTGAACCAGGGCCGAGACTTGGGTCGGTCTCGAGGTTGGTGTTGTCGTCGGCTAGATCAGAGCTGGGATGCCTTTGCCCATCGGTGCTCTTCGTGATGCGCGGCCCGTGGAGAACGCCGAGTTTCTTCAGCATTGTCCCCAGGATATCCGCCGCCTTTTTAGCCACGGGCGCGTCCTTGGAAACTGCCACCCATATAGCGTGAGATCTCCTAAGCACGTCATGCAGTTCGTCCTTGCTAGGTAAGGGGCTCTCCTGGCCCATCCAGTCAGAATACGCTTCATTTTGGATGATGAGGTAGATAATCATGGCTGCCAGGAGAAAGTCGTAGACCGCCAATGGTGTGATGAACCACCCGTTCTGCCTCAGCAAACCACCAGGGAGGGTAGCCTGATAAACGGTGGCCTGGTCTTGGAGCATATGCAGGCCAGCGTCGAGACATGCCCGCCTCGAGTATTCATGTTCTTTATTGGGGGGTGTCTCCATCAAGTACCGCCTATGCAACACGCAGCGGGTCTTTTGATATAAGGAACCTAGCCCAAACCGCTGATTGACCTGATAGGGAGGGGCTGTGATGGAATCCTCAAGCGGCTTGACCTTCATGAACGGTGGAACCTGCTTCCACTTCTCCTCGAGCATGTGGTCGAGCTTCATGACTTCGTTGTATGTTGGCAGTGACAAAGAGTGGGCTTGGCTCGCCACAAGCCCGAAGATCCGGGAGATACTACTCTTCCAGATGGGGTAAGTCAGTTGAGTGTACTCGCTGTCCGGCCTCGATGGCGGAAGCTCAAAGCAGTCCCCATCCAGGTCTTCGTCAACCAGGTTCCTCGGTAGGCCTGTGTCGCTTTCGATAACGTTGACCATGCTTGGAAGGCCCATGTGGAATGAAACGATCAGATCGAACTGGATGGCAAGGTTCCATATTCTCCTCCGCATCTCGCCATCGAAGGGAGAGATGTTTGGCAGCCGGCTTGGGTCCCGGTGCAGCCCCATTTTCAGCATCAAGCGGATACAGACCGATGATAACAAGTAGCAGTTCATATGCGAGGACTGGTTAGTGAGGAACTCGGCCTCGACATACAGGAGGAAGGGCTGCAGCGTCATTGGGCCTGGGCAGGTGTATTTTGCGGACACCAGCGCCCACCCAGCCACCCTCCGATATTGCTGAAAGCGCTCCATTGGAAGGCCATCGGAATCATTCTCTATCTCATGTGGCGCCGTAAAGGTCGACAAGAAGGTCCCTAATGCCAGAATCATGAAAAGCAGAGCAATCCAGTCCAGTGGAAGTCCATCGGGATTCTCCCAGAACTCTGCGTACTGTTATGGTGGTTAGTGAGGGGGCTACGTATCTTAAATCGTCGTATAGGGGTTGTACCTGTTTCACAAAAGTCGGGCGATGAATGGTATCTGGTCTACAAGTTAATACCTGGATATCCGTCAGAGGATAGAGGTAGGAACGCACGCTGAGACGGACTGTACGCGTTGAAGTAACGCATGGTCAGACGATCAACAACAGGCCTCAGAGGCAAATAGCCAAGAAGCTCCTGCCGGCTCCTGGGTACGGCAGTTGGCACCATGAATATGTCGGGCGATTGGTTATATGGATCAGGATCCGGGTCGGCGCCCACTGGTTCCTCATTGTCGAAGTAACTCTTTAAATCTTCGATCTGCAACGCTGTCAAAGCAAGGTTCCCAACGTGCCTAAACAGTTGCCACATATTCAGGGCCCAAGACAGAGCAAGCTCAACCGATGAGAACAGAAGGAAGTGCAAACTCACATCATCCAACATAGCCATGAAATGAGTAGCACCCACATACGTCGTCGTCTTCCCACCCTTACCCCCAACGACGACGACCTGACCCCATCCCCGGGAGAACTCGCCCTCTTCTGCACTCGGCCGGTCTCCGCCTTCCCTGCCCATCATATCCCTCACCATGCCCTCGAGCCTCTTCAGCCGGTCGGCCAAGCCGCTGGAAGCGGGGCGCACCTTCTCCGGGCCGCGGGGCTCCGCGTAAACGCAGCCCTGGGCCCGCGTCTTCCGGACGCACTGGCCGCAGGGCCGGGCGCGGTCGCACCTCTGCTTGGAGGCGCGGCAGGGCTTGCACGAGAGGGGCGGGCGGGTCCGCTTTCGCTGGGGCTGCTGCTGGGGCGCTGGTGGTTGTGGGGCAGAGAACGAGGAGCCGGGACCTGAGGCGGACCCGGAGGCGGAGCCTGAACCCGATGTGGCTGGGCCGGGATCGGAGATGCCGTATCCTGAGCCCCCCATGACCGCGTATTGCTGTCGGCGAGACTGCACAAGGTAGGTGAAGTGGTGGAGCTCTAAATTGGATGGGCGCCTGTCACACCCTGAATTTTGCGTAGCTATCCTAGATGCTGAGGAGAGAGAGGCCTCCTCTACTTAAAATGGAGGATTAGAGCTGCTTACATTGCCTCCCAGATCTGAATCCTTGTGAGGATGGACAGGTACCATTCACATGACTAATCAGAACACCACCAAGCGAAGGTTCCAATGTATCGCAACGGCGCCCAAGGAGGTTTAGCGCCAAGCCAAATCATAGAATATACCCGGACGAGACGCGTTGATAAACTGGTGACTTTGCCCTACGGCGGCTATGGGCTGTGGCCGTTCTAAGCTGATAAGCTAGGCCATCCATTATCTTATTCACCGCCCGTACAAGCCCTGTTCATCAGAGGGCATGCCAGCCCATCATGTGCGATATTTGCCCTGCCTCAACATACAGTGAGGTGAGACTTGCACATCTTGGTAGGCCGCTTCCAGGGGCACCACGAACAGCACCTCCTGGGAGGCCTCTGGTTTCCTTATCATACCTCCTCCCTCTGACCACCTCAGAAAGCCCCGTGAACTGCAACTAGTTCTCTTGGGGCGGATGTCCGATGCCGACAAGAAACCCTCTGACAACAGTCCGGTACGATTCAAATATGATGGTTCGTGGTATGCGGGCGCTGCCTCGCAGTTCTCCCCAAGTTCCATGTTCCATTGATCTCGAGCAATGCGAGGTCCGGCTGGAAGCAAACTTATGTGGCGATAGCTCAAGTCGTCGGAGCACCGGGTAGCCTCTCAATGACATACTTCCCGCGAGCAACTTGCATAATGGGACACCCCGGGATCTTTCGTATCCTCCTGCACAGGTCCTTGTCGTTGGTCGCAACAAGGTAGATTCTGTTCTTCATGACACGGTCGACGATGCCTATTGCCGTCAGTTTCAAGCTTGGATGGAAACGAAAGCACTAGGGAAACTCACAGTCATCTGCATAGGTCCCCTTGTGGGTACACGGCTCGCGAGTCCATCTCTCATCGCGAGCAATCTGGAGCGCAATACGATATTTCGGCCCGAGCTTCTCGAGCTCAGACATTACGCAGTCTGTAATGATGGGGATGCAAGAGGCATACAGGCAGTCCATCATGGTCTCTAGGAGAGGAAGCTTGGCCCGAACTGTATGCGATAGAAAATTGGTGTCCACTGCAATGTAATGTGAGTCTCAAAGCTCTCCATGGGATTCAACATAGTAGGGGTCGGTAGCTTACCCAGGACGTTGTAAGGGGCCACGAGGGCTTGGTTGGCCTGGAAGAACATTGACGACGGCATTTGGGGTCTTCATCCGGTTAGTTGTGAGAACAAACTTGCTTGGAGCAGGGTTCACTCACATCTCCCGGACCTCCTCTGGGAAGGCCTCAGCCTTCTTTTTGGCATTGCCAATGTCCCCCTTGTCCTTGTTTTCCTTCAACCTAGCATCTCTCTTGCCAATAATTCGCTTGACCTGGGACGGTGTTAATGAAGGCATTCACAATTTCATCGTTCTTATCGATAAGAGCCGATAAGAGGCTTCCATTCGAGGGACGACTGGAGTGGACTAACCTGCGCAAACTTCCTCGTCTTCTTTGCGACACCCATTTTTTTTTGCTAATTAAGGGAAATGTGATAACCAGGCGCCTCAATATGTAGCACGTTTGGTATGATCTAGAGTATCCGACACTGTTGAAGTCTGGTCGGAGCCGCACCCACTTGGCAGTTGCTGAGCTGAGATCTGAAAATTTTCGACAGGGGTATTGCCGTGTTGCTTGGTGGCGCCAGAGGCGAAAATAGATGATCCCTTTCAGGGATAGCGTTTCGTTTTAATTTACCCGCACGGTCCGGAACATTTAGTGACTTCCAAGTACAGTGTGGGCAAGGCGCTCGCTTACTCAATTCCGATTCTGATGGATGTCACTTGTCAGGCTGTCCGCCCTCGCTGCTACCTACGGGGACTCTAGTTTCCAATTCCAGAGTAGGTCGGACTTCGCCAGGGGAAAACATCTATGAAATAAACGTTATTTTTCAATCCGAGTAGTTTAGGTAGGTAGGTAGGGTGGGTGTGGTCAGTTGATACAGTTGTTGTGAAATCTGTAGCCAATGATACCAGTATTCATTTAAATGGGCACGGTACGTACAGGTTCCCTACGGCTGCTGAAATGTTGCCCTGAGACAGCGGCAGATGACGATGGAAGTATTAGTAGGTACCTAGGTACTTCGTACCTGGCTCCCTTCCATGGTTGCTAGTTAGTCGCTAGCACTAACACGAAGCCCTCGCCCTCCTCCTTTTCCCTGTTCCCTGGGCTGTCAACACCTCGCACCTTCCAAATCACGCACCACTGAGACCCAACCATGAAGTAACGACTTGGCAGGTTGGCAAGTCTTGTTGTTTTCCCTTCTTTTCGCCTTCTCCCACCTTGACATATTTCAGCGCCTGCGGCATCCTTTCGTTTGCTCTAGACTCGCCTCAGCCGCTTCTCAAACCCCTCGTCCGCTCACCCTCCCGCTCTTTGCCTAGTACCCGAAGCCAACGACCGAAGCCAACGCTGGAGAAACTGGCGTCGTTGATGGTGGCCGCGACCCGTTGACATTTCGGACCGTTCTCTCCCATCTTTCAGCGTTAGCTAGGACGAATCTGCTCGCAACTTCTTCGCTCTTCGCTTCGGAAGGCCTCTCGAGACGCGCGAGATCACACCCACTATCGCCGCCATGGGGTCGTCAAGATTATCCATGAAGCGCTCGCTTCTACTCTCGACCTTCTTTGCCCTCTGTCTCTTTTCTGCCGTTGCAGTCGCTCAGAGGGATGGATCGACAACTTCAACTCGTCTTGATGAGACTTCATCTACTTCACGTCAATCTCAGACGACAGCAAGTACGACTTCTAGAAATCAACCAATAACTTCGTCAAGTAGTCGAGCGACGGAAACGACTCAGTCCCGGGGAACCACGTCATCTTCATCGTCGTCGGCATCTACGTCGGCAAGCCTTCCGGGTCTCAGCAGCTCCACATCGTCAGCCGGCAGATTGACCGGGCTCCCGACTCTGACGAGACAACCGATCGATGGTTCCATTCCCACCTACCCTCCTCCGTCCCCTCCACCGACAGAGAATGCGCCGTTTATGGATCGATCTACGATGCCGGATGGTACTGTATTCATTGCTGTGGGGGCCATTCTCGGCGCGTTTGGAGCGGCGGTTCTCATATGGAGAGGCGTCGTTGCCTGCCTGCTGCACCGCTCTGTGGAGAAGGCAGCGATGGCCCAGCATGCCGCGAACGACAAGGCTGCCTTCCCGGCGCCCCCGGCACCATTCTACAAATATACCGACCGCGATTCAACGCCCTCCCTGCCTGCAGGCGCGACATCCGCGCGTGGTCAACGACGCACACACCGGGGCCCAACCCCTTCGGCGACGCCCAGCCAGACGAACCTTTTCTTCTCACCAACTGCTTCTGGCAGTATTGGCGGCATGGGCAACGGTGGAAACCGCGATTCGCGATACTTGCCGTCAGGTTTCTACGCCTCGACGTCTGCATCACCCGTCCCTACACATGGCCATGCCAATTCTATCAGTTTGTCGAACCTGAGGCCCGCGTCCAGGGGGCCTGCTGGGCCAAGCCCGCCAGACTCGCCCAGCCTAGGGCCGAGGGGAACACCCACCCCGCGGAATTTCAGTACCAGCTCCTTCAACCTGAACCGGCCACCGAGCGAGCGAGCTCCTAGCGCGTACCTCGACGACCTGTTGGACGAGCAACCAGGCGCATTCCCGCCTGGGCCGAGTACTCACCACCGCAACTTCAGCCAGTCTACTCAAGGACGACGCTGAGCCCCTTCCATCGCGCCTGGACGCCTAGTCGCCGCCAGGAATCCGCGCTAAGACTAACCCTAATATTGAAATGGAGGCGTTATGGGAGAGCAAACATACAAACAGAAATATATAAAAGGACAAGAAGAGAGAGGGGTGGTTGCCCTGCCGAAGACAAGAGGCTGGTTGGTAATGCGGTTGAGCTGAGTTGTCAATACATGGTGCGAGGGGATCTTTAGCACACAAACGGGCGGCCAGGATTGTTTGCACACACACACACACACACACACACACACACCCATACGGGGCGATTTCTTGTACATGGTGTTTTACCAGCATTAGAGGAGTCTGGACTGGATTTGGTCGGATCGGCTTGGCTTGGCTGATTCTAGCTGCTATATGCGTTGTATCATTCATTGCTCAGTAACTAGTCTTGCCTTCATTGACAATGCAAATCATTATTATTAGAAGAGATACCCAACCATGCCCGTCTTTGGTCTCGCAGAAACAGCGCTGAAGATCGTTTACGATTGCGGCCAATGGGAGGATTCGCACGGGCCTTGGGAGGGAGGGAGGGAAGGGGAGATCAATGGAACGCGGCGACCTGCATTGGCAGATCTGCGGTACAACGTCTGCCGGAGGGAGGAGGGAGGAGGGGAGGAGGTTCTCGGCCGCCGCCGACGCTTGGCGGGTCCCCAGATGTTTCTGCGTCGTGAAACGTGTCAATGCACTCCAGAACACTCTCCGTCCTGGGTTCCTTGACCGGGGAGGGGGTGATCGTGTGATCATGACACGAGGTGTATATTCGCTCCGGTGACACAAAGTTGGTGTTACCTGGGTATACTTGGGGAAGTAGGGATCGACTGTAACTGATTGATTGATTAATTGCTTAAGTGAGGTGTGCGCGTTGCCCCTATCCGGCGTTCACGACATCCCCTGGTCTAAGACTTTTTAATGCTGTTTCTTATTACATACGGAGATTATATACAGTGTGTGGATGCGCAAAAGACTCCACGTTTTCTTTTTCCAGCCCCATCCATCCCATCTATCTATCATTCACCCCGGGATCTCCAATCAGGTCCCTCGCGCCGCGAATGTCCTCGACGCGGATCCCGCTGCGGTCGCACATGCCCCTGAAGATGCCGTCCTCGCGGGCCCACAGCGCCAGCGGCGAGTCCATCTCGGCGATGCGGCCCCTGTCCATGACGCAGATGCGGTCGTAGCCGACGATGGTGCGCAGCCGGTGCGCGATGCACAGCAGCGTCTTGCCCCGGAACGCCACCGCCATGGTCGCCTGGATCTTGTCGTCCGTCTCCATGTCCACCGACGAGGTCGCCTCGTCGCACACGATGATGCGCGACCCCCGCACCAGCGCCCGCGCCAGCGCCATCAGCTGCCGCTGGCCTAGCGAGAAGTTGAGCCCGTCCTCCTCCACCACGCTGTCGAGGTGGATGCGCGAGGGGTCGCGCGCTGCCGGGGCCGCCGCCACGGCGTTGTCGGGGAGGGGTTTGGAGTCCACGCTGTCGTCGGCGGCGGCTGCGGCGGGGTGGGAATTGGCAGGCCCGCCGTCGGCCGGGACGAGGTCGGCCTGGCGGAGGGCGGACCAGAGCTCCAGGTCGGTGTGCTCGTTGAAGGGGTCCAGGTTGCTGCGCACGGTGCCGCGGAAGAGGGTCGGGTCCTGGGGGATGATGGCGAGCCTGGACCGGAGGTCCTGCAGGCCGATGGTGGAGATGTCGAGGCCGTCGATGGTGATGTGGCCGCCCGACAGCTCGACGAGGCGGAACAGCGTCGACATGATGGAGCTCTTGCCCGCGCCGGTCCGCCCGACGATGCCGATGCGCTCGCCGCCGCGCACGTGCATGCTCAGCCCCGAGAGGACGAGCGGGAGCCCGGCCCGGTACCGCATCTCGACGTTGTCGAAGATGATCTCACCCTTCTCCGGCCAGCTCTTGCGCACCTCGACCGTCTTGAGGGGGGCCTCCTCCTCGAGCTCGGTCCCGTAGTACAGCAGCCGCTCGACCGCGTTCATGCCGTTCTCGACCTCGGCGAGCTGGCGGACGGTGAACTGGATCATCTGGACGATCGACAGGATGTAGGACAGCACCAGACCGGCGATCGAGGGCGTCACGGAGAACCGCGAGGTGACAACCAGGATGCCCGTGGTGAAGACGAGGCAGTTCCCGACCATGTCAAGCCGGACGGAGAGCCACCTCTGGTTCGAATAGGTCAGGAAGTAGGCGGAATCCATCTCGTCGACGGCCTTCCTGAGGTCAGAAACGAACTTGTCCTTCAACCCGTACGCCCGGATACAGGCAACGCCGGACAGGCCCTCGCCGAACTTGGCAAAGACCGTCGACCGCAGCACCGACTCGAATCGCTTGACTTCTCGCGCCGAGGACCGGTAGTAGCTTGTGGCGAACAAGAAGAGGAGGAAGAGGGGGACCAGGGCGATGGCGAAGTAGTGGAAGAAGGCGATGATCAGCGCGAACACGGCGATGATGGCGGCGATGCTGAAGAAATACATGCGCATGGCATCGGATAAGTTGTTGTCCATGACATCGACGTCTCTGCTGAAGCGATTGGTGATCCGGCCCAGAGGCGTCGTGTCGAAGAAAGACATGGGGGCGCGGAGGACCCTCGTGATGGCGAGCCGCAGCATCGTCTTGCTGGCGGCCGTGCCGAAGACGGAGAGCGCGAACATGAAGGCGAACATCAATATCGCCTGGATGGCGCCGAGCGCCGCATAGACGCCGATGTAAACGCCCATGGTCAGGCCGAATCTGTCCGATATCCAGTATGAAAGCCACAAGCTGGTCATGATGTTGGCGCCTTGCGAGAGGATCAAGAGGGTAAGGGTGAACGGTGCGTTCAGGATCGACCCTGACGCCCTGATATATGCGCCGTAAACGGACCACGGAACGCTCGATACGGCTCGTTCTTCCGACTGCATCAGAGCTTTGCCCTTCTTCCTCTTCTTCTTGTCGCCGCCGTTATCGCCAGGCACGACGCCCGCCGGGTCATCCTCCTGTTTCTCCTCCGTGGAAGTGGATTCCATCAGCTGCTGGAAGTCGGCCGAGTTCTTCATGAGGTTGTCGAAGGTATCGACGGCCTGGATCTTGCCTCCCTCCATCCAGATGATCCGGTCACATCTGGCCAAAACCCACAGCTGGTGAGTGGCGAGGATGCGGCACTTGTCCTTGAGCAAGCCGAGGATGGCATTATCAAAGATGTGACGACCGACATGGGCGTCGACCGCACTCAGAGGATCGTCCATCAGAACGATATCTGCGTCGAAGTAGATGGCCCTGGCGATGTTGAGTCGCTGTTTCTGCCCACCTGAAATGGTGATACCCCTCTCCCCGATCTCGGTCATGTCATTATTGGGCAGCATGTCCATATCTGGTTGCAATGCGCATCTAATGAATGCAAGCCCAGTCAGTCGTCCGACAACATGGTTTATAAAGCGACGGGGGGGGGGGGGGGGGTTCTTACGCCTTAATGACCTCCCTATACCAGTCCCAGTCCATGTCCTTCCCAAACAGTATATTCTCCCGCACGGTCGCATTTTGGATCCAGGCATACTGGGGACAAAAGGCTCTCGTGGCTCCCAACACGACCTCGCCGCTAGTCTTGCGCATATCGCCAGCCAGAGCAGCGAGCAGCGAGCTCTTTCCACTCCCTACCGTCCCGATGACGGCAACCAGCTCGTTGCGGCCGATCTCAAACTCCAGATCATGGAGCTTGAAGGGTTCTCGCTCCTCGACAAGCGTGCTAGCATCCTCACCAGAACTCGCGTCGGAAGATCTGGGGCGCTTCCCGCCGGCAAGATCGTCTCCCTTGACGCCTCCCTTGCCAGGCCTTCCCTTCTTCTCCACGGTCCCTTCGGACTCCTGCGTAGGCGTTCTCTCCCACGTGAAGCTCGTGTCATGCATCTCCACGGCATTCGGGCCATCGGGTTTCCAGGCCACTTCCTCTTCGCCCTCCTCGGCGAGCAGGAATTCCTGGATACGTCCAAACGACGACCAGGCATCGGTGACCTGACCGATGACGAGGGGAAGCAGGTTGAGCGGCATTCTCAGACCGTTGAATAGCGCGAGAGAAGAGAAGACCTCGGCAGGCGCAAGGTTGTGGTGCGACAGGGAGTACGTGACAAAGGAGAGCATCGAGGCGAAGATGGGGAGCGACAAGCTGATGGCCATGATGCCGTTTCGAATGGCTAGAACGATCTGGATGGCAGATATCTCTCTGCCGCGGAATTCCTCGAGCCGCTTGAGGAAGGAGCTCTCCCAGCCGAAGAATTTGACAAAGCGGACCGACTGCAGGATCTCCTGGGTCAGGCTGACTCGCTGGTCGGTGATGGTGTTAATCGCCTTTCGTCGGGCGAAGAGGCTCTTAATGGCTGCTGTGAGCAGCGGCATACCGATGACCAACAGGGCGAAGCCTGCAAGGGCGCTGTAGGTCAGGTTGACGATGAGGAGAATTAGCGTCCCGATGCAGGATATGGGGGCCGTCCAAACGACGTGGAACAGGCCACACGCTACGTCGATACGGTAAGTGTCGACGCTCATCAGGTTGACAACCCTCCCGTTGCCCCAGCCAATGCCATCGCCCACCGCAGCCCCAGGACCTCCTTTCTCTCCCTTTTTCTCTCCCTTCTTCTTCCCGTCCTTCTTGTCCTCCTTCTCCGCCGCATTTACGGCTGCTGGTATGTCCGGGAGTTCGGCGCCCCCGGCCCTGGCTCGTCCGGAGATCACCATGGACTTCTCGTAAATCAGGCTGATGAGAGTAGCCCTTGTCATCCCGCCGACGAGCATACCCCGGTAGATGAAGTGGTTGGTGCCCAGACTCTGCAACATCTGCATTATGGTGATGCCGAAAACCAGGCCCAGGCCGACGCCAATGTGCGGAGCGGGCAAGCCCTGTTTGCTGGCAATGTATGCGTCTGTGGCGAACTGGATGAGGTACCGCAGAATGAAGGGGGACATGAACTGCAGGATGGCGGACATGAGCTGGCAAGAACCGCCCAGCCAGATTTCGAAGAAGAATGTCTCATGCACGGCCCAGAAGAGGGGGTACTTGTCACCCCGATCCATGCGCCGTTTGAACGAGGCCCTCATCTTGGCCGTCAAAGGCTCGACGCCCCGATCGGGGTTCACACTCCAGATGTCTGCGAACTCGAGTGGACGTTTGTATCCCGTCTGTAATCCCAAATCAGTCATGCATTCTCCGGTGTAATAGGTATATTGGCTGGCAGGCGGTTGCTCCTCCGCGTATTTACCGTCATCAGTGGATTCATCCATTGGAAGATCAACTGGCTGAAGAAACCAGCCCGGTGCTCGGGACAAACCGTTTTCTCCGTGGGAACGGGCCTGGACCTTCCCCAGCGTAGGGGATTGGCCTTCTGGTACCAGGCCTTTCGCCGACTATCTGTGTGGCGGCTGGTCGCTGCCGTTGTGGCGCTGGCATCTGTGGCAACGCTCTTCGTCCTGTCCAACCCTGTGCCGTCCGTCCTCTGCGCTTCTCGGATGGACTCGTGGTCCTCGAAAAGTTTATCCCCCTTCACATTTTCGTTTGTGGTCTCTTTGATCTCTGCGATCTCCTTCTCCTCGGCGACAGGCTCATCATGCCTAGGTCTGTCTTGAGTTTCGGCCACCGGATCGCCCAGACTTGTGTCTTTTTCAAGCGCCGGGTCTGCCATAGTAGGGCAGAAAGGCCAGCAGTGACTGTGAGGAGAGGGGCCGAGATATCAAATGGTGATGTTCACAAAATATAATCTTCATTAATAATGGAACTTCCTTGGACGGCCGCCGTTTTTAGCTTCAACGGACCGGAACGCGCTCCGGCCAAGGTTCAGTGGGAATAATCGTAGTCGAACCACGAGGCGCCAAGATCCGGGGGAGCGGGGGGTGTGCTCAACTTAAACAAATCGATGGAGCAAAAGATCGATGACACAGAACCACGGTCCAATTGATTGAATAGGAGAAGAGAAATACGGTATTTAAGCAACAACCCCGACTCCCGCCCCAGCAGACTTTTCCTGGTTCAGATAGACTGCAGAGCCAGTGATGGGGAGGCTAGAACAGGCTTAGAAGGTCGGCGGCCGGCAGCCTAATGTGCCGATGTAAGCTTGTCGCTGTGCCTGGGCGTCGGGATTGATGAAACGACTACTGAGAAGAAACATAACTACCGTTTGCACACTATTGAGGCGAACCACCCCCCTTGCGCACTCGGCAAAAACGGCACCGGCAGTGCAGTCCAGGCCGGGCCCAACAAAAGATGCGAGTACTACCATGTATGTGACTCATTGAGGCTCCCTTGCCATGGGTGATATACGTATGTATTGTGTAATGCATGCATACATACAAATAGGCCGACCACCCTTCAATTCAGGCGCCGTACGGAATTCGCAACGACCAACAGTTCGGGATTGGGTCGATGGCTGTTTGTTATCCCGGTAATCGGCCTTGTCGGCCTGCCCTGCATTCCCCTTGCAAATTGCCCCAACCAGGTTAGCCATTGATGCTTTGTAATCTGGTGTGGCCTTGTGCCTGGAGGATCAAGTACGGGTCACAGCTCGGCAGGAGTTTAGTCAGTTCTCGCCGACAACTCCGTTGCCCTCAGCCTCTCAGCGTGCCCCTTCATTCCATGTCGGCGCCATATCTCGGGTATCGGGACCGATGACCAGGAATAGAAACGGGGCCTCTCTTCGTAATTACGGCTTTTCCATCGCATCGTTGCAGCCGACAGGCAGGGCGACGTAGGTACCTACTATGCCTATATTTTAATGCAACACCGATTACGGGACTACATTTTACCAAGAGATATTTATGCATATCCATATATGTGCGTGCATATTGTAGAGGTGCACGCTATTGTTGATTTTGATGTCGCGATTTCCTTTGCTGTCAAGCTGTCAAGCTGTCAAGCAGCCCAACAAAGCGACTTGTGTCATTAATTCTCTTCACAAGATCTGTGCACATCACCAAAGGTCCTCGAGGAGGCTAACTGACCAATGCGCATAGATGTGGATAAAAAGACTCGCGCAAACTAGGGAGCTATCGTCGTAAACCTGCAAATATTCTCGTGAAATCCCAGAGTGTGTCTCCAACCGACCAAATCAAGAACCGTGAACGAGTAACCAGCCAAAACCACACTTCGGACAATCAACACATCGTACTGAGCACGTTGCCGCAGACCAACCTCCTAATCAGACCAACTCCAACTCATCCCTTCTTCCTCTGCCCCCTCCCCTGGCCCATCCCTCAGCCTTCGGGGTACAGGTCATTCCAGGACGTCAACCTAAAGGACCCGATGGGCGACTGCCAGTCCATATCCCCCTCTCCCTCTGCGACAGCCCGAGAGTTACCGGGAACAGGAGTGGTGACCGGCGGCGGCGGGAGTTCCTTGCGCGACAAGAGGACAAAGGGGCGCAGAAGGCTGCCGGGCGGGGCCGTTGGTCCGGCGTCGGCGGGAAGGTCGCTCGATAGCCCGGCTTCTGTGGTGTCTGTACCCGCCGGATCCCCTCCCGACTCTGGATTATCAGCTGCAGGGAGCTCGCTGATGCCTTCGAGCCGTATGCTGTCATCGCTCTTCTCTTGCTTTATAATCTCGTCTTCGTCCTCGTCCGGGTTGGCGCGAGCAAAGAAACGCTCGAGTTTCTCCAAGTGTTCTCTCGCCGCGGCCTCCTCCTCCTCGGCAGTCTTCGGGCGTGGTCTGGCATCCCCGCTGCTAGGCTCAGTGTCGTCGCGATGAGGCCGCTCCCGTGAAATGCCGTCCGGATAGGACAGCGGCTGTGGCGTCTCGTCCTCGTAGCTGAGGACGAGGGAGGCGCTGGACCCGGGCAATGGGGCGTAACGCTGGGAAAAGTATTCGGGCCCTTGTTGCTCCTCGCTCTGCTGCCCATCACCCTGCGGCGCACCGCCCTGCGGACCAGCACCCTGCTGCGTCTCTTGCTGCGTCTCTTGCCGCGTCTCTTGCTGCGACTCTTGCTGCGTTGCCTGCTGCGACTCTTGCTCCGTCGCCTGCTTCGTCGCCTGCTTCGTCACCTGCTTCGTCGCCTGCTTCGTCGCCTGCTGCTTCGCCTGCTGCTTCGCCTGCTGCTTCGCCTGCTGCTTCGCCTGCTGCTTCGCCTGCTGCTTCGCCTGCTGCTTCGCCTGCTGCGCTTGTGGTCGATATTTCCCATACTTAATAACCCCATCCAAAACATCAATCACCTTCTGGCGAATCTCATCCTCCCTCTGCTGAAGTTCCTCTTCGTTCTGTTCTTTGGTCTGCTTTTTCTCTCTCTCCTCTCTCTCCTTCTGCTTGTGCTCCCTCAACTTCTGCTCCTTCTGCCGTTGCTCCTTTTCCTGTTCTTCCTTCTTGTCTTGCTCCTTCATCTCCTTCTCCTGCTGTAGTAGCCTCTTGTTCTGCAGACCATACCACTCTTGCATCTCCGGTAGCATCTTGTTGCGATAATCCGTTAACCCCTCGACGAGGCCCTTCACCTTCTGTCGTATCTCGTCCTCTCTCTTTTGTCGTTCCTTTTCCTGCCGCTGCTCTTGCGTCTGCTCCGTCGACTTCGGCTGGGTCTCCTTCGGTTGCTGGGTCTCCTTCGGCTGGGTCTCCTTCTGCCCTTGCGGCCCCTTTTCAGGCCCCTTCTTTTCTTTCTCTTTCTGCTCCTTCTCCTTCTGCAGCAGCGCTGCCTCCCACAGCTGCAGCCTCTGCTCCATCTCCTGCAGTTCCTTTTCCTTCTGCTGTTGATCCCTCAACCGCTGATCACCCAGCTGCTCTCCTCCTTGACCCTCCGGGTTGGGTTCCCGCTCCGGCTCTTCCTGCCCCGGCGGAACCTCACTATCGCTAATGTCTGACTCGACGTCGTACATGATCAGGTCGCCGTCTTCGGTGAAGTCCGGCAAGACGTCGCTCATGCAGATGACACCTACAGAGAGTCACTTTAGTCAGCTGGCCTGTCCTGGCAGTCAAAGGTTGGGGAGGGGGATGCCGTGATGCAGAACTTACCTCTCTTGACAGCTGGGATGACAACCCCATCTCTCATGAAGATAGGCATGGGAGGTAGGGGAGGCAGTCTAGGTGGCGGTGTATTGCCAGTTGGTGATGGTGACCTCGGTGGTGGTGGTGACTTGGGCGGTGGCGGTGACTTAGGCGGTGATGGTGACCTCGGTGGTGGTGGTGACTTAGGCGGTGGCGGTGACTTAGGTGGTGGCGGTGACTTGGGCCGTGATGGAGATGATAGGGCAGACCACGGAGGCGTGTCAAGTACTTTTTCCTCTTCAGGCGGCGGCGGCGGCGGCGGCGGCGTCGGCGTCTTCTCTGGAGGTGCCTTTTTACCCTTGGCGGCCTTCTTGCCTTTCGGTGCCTTCTTACCCTTTGGCACTTTTCTCCTCTTCGCCGGAGCCGACTGAGCGTCGCTGTCCTCGGGGCTATCGCGGTCGCGCTTCTTGCCGTCTTTTCCGTCTTCTTTCTCTGGAGCAGCGGCGTCCTGATCGTTCTGTGACTCTGTCTCGTCTTCCTTGGCCGGACCGACGTCTTTCGGGTTGGCGTCGTCCATGGCGAGCGGTGCGGGTAGTGCGGGTAAGGGTGCAGCAGCAACAGCAGCGGCGGCGGCGGCGGCGGCGCGAGTCATTCTCCCTCTTGTAGTCGCTCCCGCAGCAGCAATTGGGCCGCCGAGCATGGTCCTGGCATCTTCCAGCAGCCGCTCGGCCTCCGTCTTGCGAACTCCCTTCTTCTTTGGCGGCATCTTTGACGCGATAGATGGGTATAAGATAGATAGGGGTTTGATTCGAATACACGAGAAGCACTTGGTCAATGACTTGAAACTGAGCGTGTAAAGGGGGCAACAATGGTGTATTAGTATATATAAGGGGCAACGAAACTCCCCGGGAAAGGGCTCGACCAGCTCGGAGCACCACACAATGCATTTATGCCCCCCTTCTCGAGGCAGATGGAAGAGAGGGGAACACGGGCGATGCGTCCGGCTAGGACGATCTCGTCCTTTGTAGGCCATTTCGACTTCAAAGAACTGGTCTGCGAGCATTTTCGATATGGGAATGTTGACCCATGCTGGGGGTGAGGATGAAAGGAGAAGAGCCCGGAAACAGCCCCGGCAAATACTGGGAGGATGAAGATAAAGAAAGGGTGGTCAAAATGGGTGGTCAGGTTGCGAAAACAGAAGAGCGGAATGGAATGGAGCTTCCTTTCAAAGAGCAGATTGAGATATGTCGAGTTGGTTCGAGTAATGATTGTGGCTGACTCGGGCATGAATCCGTTCAAATCTGACCTCTTCAAGTTGGTCCACGAAGCAATATTGATGGCTACAGCAAGCAGCAATCTGCTGATCGCGGAGTTCAGTGCGTATTGGAACAATGGCCGAAGTCATGCCAGTGCAACTGCTCCTATTCACGACGAGAAAATATAGCGCAAATTAACATGGCAGGCAGGCGCCTGAGGAACGGATTATTATTATTTCTGATATTTTTTACTGTTTTATCTTCTCGTTTGTCCCTTTCTCTTTCTTCTCCATCTTCGGGCTGTACCCCGTATGTGTAGAGATAGGAATGTGTTCTTTTATTTTTTTTATTTTTCAGTTCTTTCCATTTTTTGTTCATGCCACGATCCCCAGGAAACATGTCACAAATTTGGAGGGCCTGGAACGTATGACAGCCATAATCCTGCAAGAAAGCCCAAAGCATCAGTCCTTTTGCACAAGCGGCTAGACGGGGTTTACCTTCTCCAATGTTTCCCGTTGAATCAAAATCCGCACCGTAGAAACGTTGGCCATTTTTGCTTTGCTTTGTTTTGTCTTGTTTTTGTTTTTGTTTGAGAGTGACCGTTGCGTCATCAACCAAGTCCAACACCTTGCATATCACGGCGATGGCGAGCAAGGCAATCATCGGATTCAGTCGAAGGGTCTCGAGGTCATGTTGATATATCAATACGCGCGGCGGGGGATTTCTCCCATGCTGAGGACGAAAGGTTGTGCGGGAGAGAGAGCGAGGTGACGAGCTGAGGGATATGGTGATTACGCATTCGCCGGCAGGATGTTGCACCTTGGGATACTCTGCCGTCATTTTATCGAAGCATGGCTGATCACGAGTCAAGTTGCGACTGATCTGTTTCGTATCATGCTTGGCGACTACGTTAAAAAAGAGCACCGTCGACGCATGAGGCGTAGTGGTCGCCAAGGTAATTGCCGTTGACCGGTAAGGCGCGCAAAAAGAGAGCTAGATAATCGTACAGGTGCAAGCAAGGGTTGGATATGTGGCTCTCAGACCACTTCGTGTCCTGATCCAAAGGGAGGATGATGAAAGGTGCCATGACCATGTCGACTTCTGTCGTAAAAACTGACTGACGGACATGCCAATATCAGGGTGCTGAAGCTTGATCAACACTCCAAGAGTTGGGCCAGTGTTCTCCAGTTTTCATCGTCTATGGCGTTTTCCTTTTTTTCGCCAAACTAGAACTCATCCCCTCCACGCGGTTGCCGAAACTCCTGCCGGCGTATTTTTGGGATATCCGATCTTATCCCACGACCAGAGAAAAAAGAAATAGGAAATGTGATGGTGAATCCTACACGGGGATGGGGGGCGGGGAGGTTGCTCCCATAGGATCGAGAGCTGCCGACGATGCGAGGATCAACGGGAGCCTTCCTCCGTTAGCCAGAATCATAGAGATGGGTCTCAAGGCATACCGCCATATGGTTCTCGCGCCTCAGCTCGGGGAGCAGCCTCGCCGTATCCGCCAGCAGGGGCAGCATCGCGGGGGCGAGCATCGCGGTCGCTGCGGTCAAATCGCTCACGGTCGGGCCCTGGGCCGCCACGGCGGTCTTCGCCACGACCTCCATAACGCTCGCCACCACCGCGCTCACCACCACCGCCGCGGTCCTCACGGCCAGCACCATAGCGATCAGCACGGCCGCCACCATAGCCGCCTTCGTCACGGTCACGGCGATCGTAGCTGCGGTCATCACGATACTGACGATCATACCCACGATCGTCACGGTAGCCTCGGTCGTAGCCTCGGTCATACCCGCCGCCGCGATCCTCGCGCTGACCGCCACGGTAGCGGTAGGGGTCGTCGCGGCCGTAAGATCCGCCGCCGCCACCGCCACCGTACCCACCACGGCGACGGTCTTCGAAGCGGTTGTTGAATCGATCACCGGGACGAGCGTCTTCTGGAAATGTTAGCCGACCCTGGGCAGACAAGGGAAGCAGTGCTAGATGGATCAATCGCCTTACCTCGCTTCGGTGGTCCGAAGTACTTGCCCGGAGTTGGGGTGCGGGGACGAGCACGGCGGGCCTTCTCAATGCTCAGGGTGCGGCCCTCTATGACCTCACCCTGCAGACCTTCCTTAGCCGCATCGGCCATGTCGGACGTGACCATCTTGACAAAGCCAAAGCCACGGGATTCCTTGCTGTGCGGGTCGCGCATGATCTGGCATTTCTCGACCTCGCCATACTTCTCAAAGAGGCGCGTAACCTCAGCTTCAGTCAGCTTGGGATGGATGCCGGTGACAAAGAGGTTGGATCCAGGGTTGATCGCGCCATCATCATCCCTGTTGTTGGAATCGTCCTTAGGAGCAGAGCTGTAGGAGAGAAGCGTTAGACACCGTCTTTCTCGAAATATACTCCGTTGATAAGGTGAGGAATAAGGCACGGCGGAGGGGAACGTACCGTTCATGCGGATGAGGCGAAAGCGAACGGCGGCGAGACAAGTCAGGGCCGTCATCACGGCGCGGCGACGCACTGCGATCACGATCGTAACGAGGAGCTTCCTCTAAGGGAAGAGAATCTGAATTAGTATCGAGACTTGGGAGTGACGCCGCCACGACAAGATGTCAGGGCTGGATCACAACAAAATCAGCTGACTAACCTTCGAAGCGATCGCCGGCTGCGTTCTCATAATCCATAGCCGTGGTAGCCATTGCAAGTTGCTGCGAGTAGCGAAGATTGTTGATAGGAAGAATCAATGACTAGGATTGATGGAATTTAGGGTGTATGGGTGGGAAATAGACGGCGACGACAGGTCTCGAGGCTGAAGGCGATGGGAGGTGGTCTCTTGCGGAGAAAGGTGAAAATCAAACGACGGGAGGCAAAAAAGGTCAATGAGAAGAACCAGAGGAAACCACAATTGAAATTATGGCGACACCAGGTGGGTTCCTAGTTGATGTGAGGAAAGGAAGGAAAGGTCGATGGGATGGATTGTCGAAGAGGAGGAGGTGCAAGGGAAGGCGAATTTTCTTGGTCTCAGCAACGCGATGGACACAATGCCCTTCCAGTTTGCTTGGTTGGAGAAAAAAGTGGACTAGGCTGTGGCTGGCCTGCTTTTATTTCCCCATGCTGGGCTGGACCATAAGCGAGATAAGCTAAACCTATTTCGGACGAGTTACCTCTGTACCGGCCTTCTCCGTGCATCAAAGTGAATTAATTCCCAGGAGCTGAACCATCTGCTGTGTCGAATTCTCCACTCCACTCCACATGCCTCGACTTTCGAGGAGGCACACAAATTGGAGTACGTCACTGTACCTATATCTTCACGGTGTATGCATAAACACACAGTTACGCATATACGCATATCCAATATTGGCCAAAGCCTCATAGGTCGTCCATCGATGGCTCCTCATCCGCCTCCCTGCCATAGCCCCAAGACATATCGGAAAGCAAGGCCTTATTGACATCGATCTCCGCCCGCGGCTGCTCATCCAGGAACTTGAGCGCATCGACCGCCTTGCCCCCGCAGGCCCGCTCTAGGGCTAGAAAGGCGAAGTGGCCCCCTACCACGGGGCGGGCCATGAACCTCGGACCGGGGAAGCCTCCCTTACCTTCTGTATCGTATAGGTCGGTAAATGGGCGGTCTGGCCCCTTGATTAGCTTCTCCGATAATTCAATCAAAGCCTTAGTTAGGGATGCTCACCGGTGACCGTCTCGTTGACCCACACGGCAATGCTGTTGAGGATCTCTGTTCTCGTCTTCCTGCTCGTCACGGCGGCGGCAAAGAACTCCCAATCGCTCTTCGTGTACAGGTGTCTCGAGTCCAGAGGCAGGCCGTAATGCTGAAGTACGGCGTGGTACCAGTCGCTCTGCATCTTATACACTTCGTCGGGGATGAACGTGCTCGGCTTGGATCCGCCTCCGATGGGCTTTTGGCCAGACCACCCTGACGCCTTGGACGCGCTACCCCTGGAGTCTTCCGGAATGTGGAAGCAGAGAAGCGAGTCTGCGTATAGGTTGTAGATGGTCGTCCAGGAGCCGTACCAGGTATACGCCAGCTTGGCATGGGTCTTATCCCTGGAGATGCCGTACTCTTGCCACTTCTCGATATACGCATCCGATACTTTCTTGTAGTGCGCCGCATCGTCCGCCTCCCCGACCAGATCGGCGATCTCGCTCATAGCCTTGATGCCGATGATGCCTTTGAGGGCAAGGTTCGTCTGGTTTGCCAGCCACCCAGCGAAGTCGTCGGTGCAGAGTTGGTTGTGCGGGATGAGAGACTCCCGGACAAGATATCCGGTCCATTGCTTCCAGAGCTTGTAGGATCGTGCAGCCCACCTCTCCGCGGCCTTGGGCCCGGTCATCGCGGTCGCCTCTCGCGGCAGATCGATCCCAAACCGATCAACCAATCCGGGCCATTGGGCCGAGGCTGGTATCTCCTGGGTGTGGTGGTCTGCAGTAGCCGCTGTGAAGGCAGGCTCGGTATCGTACCTGAACGCGTTTACGAGCGCCAGGCCCATGATCAACATATTCCCGCACTCTTCGACGGGCATGTACTCGTCTCTGCCGTCGGGGTGACCGGTCGCGTTGGGGAAATGGGACCCGATGTCGTGCATGCTGTAGTCATTCGGATACTGGCCGCTCAATTGATGTTCCAGGAGAGGTTCGAGAAGGTATGCCAGCCATTTAGGGTTGGTGTACAGGAAGAAAGGGAAGGCCGGGAAGATAACATCGACGGTCTGGAAGTTGCCGTTTGACGAGATCTCCTTCAAGAACAGAATGGGATTATCAGGGGTCCCCGAGAACTGGGTCGCACCCAGCACCTGGCGGGCGGATAGGGCCGCAATGTCCCGATAATCATTGGATCCAGACTCGAAGGCGTCCGCTCCAAGAGTGTCGGAGTAATTCCTTGCTAGAGCGGATGCGGCCTCGAAGTCGGAATAATGGTAGCTCACCAGCTCATCCGCAGAGCTGAAGTATGATGCCCACAGCGGTCTCATCATGGTCAGGCCCCTGGCAGATGCAAATTGGACGACCGGGTCCTGGACCAAGGCAAATGTGAACACCACGCTGTCGGTCGACTTGGACTTGCCGGCAGTCCCCTGAGCCAGCTTGAACGATTTCGAGTAGGCGAAGACTGGTTCTTCGTCCATGATGGGTCGGAAATCGCTGTCGATCTCATTCCTCAAGGAACCGGTACTCGAGAAATGCTTTCGAACAAGGGCCGATGTTCCGGATTGGTGGTAAACGTCAGACGGAGCAGAGAAGTGCAGGGTGCCCCATTCGCTGCGGTCCGAAATTTCGGTCAGGAGTTGCTCGTTAATCCGCTTGACTTTCCAAGTCTTTATAGGCGCCTCGGTGTCCTCCCTCGCCTTCTCGGCGGGATCTCTTTCGCTCAGTTCCCATGTGATCTTGTTCCCTCTGTTGCCGCTGACCCACTCTCCATTGACGTCGATATAGATGTCAATGTCGAAGGACCCTTCCACTAGGACAGTCAAGTACGCAGCAGGTATCGATTGTCTCAGAGTCGAAGATGGCGTGACCGGTGACAGGAAGGAGAGCGTCAGCGACAGCGGATCAGCACCAGACGAGGGGTTGCTGATGGCGTATGTTAGGTTTGTGGTCGAGGCGTCGAAAGTAGCGCCAAGGTAGTCCGGATACGACACGTTATAGCTGTCATGAGAGCGGGAAAGGGAGTCATGGGGACGTCCAAGCAGAGGATAGACCTTTCCAGCCCCCGGGACAGAGGCCATGACCGAGAAGCCAACCTACTCACAGCTGATTAGTCTGTCCCCTACGGTCACCGACCGGGTTGACGGCCAGGGCGCACGACACGGGACTTACATGGGCGCCGGTCCAGAACATGGGCCAGTTCTCCCAAGGGGCATCGCGGGCATTGCCGAGCCAAGTGCTCAAGTATGGATTACGGACAATCAGCGGGAGGACTGGGGGAGTGAGAGTGGAGGCGCCGGCCAGAGCGGCAAGAGCGGCCAGCGCGAGGATGTCGAATCGCATTTTCGAATTGTGGAAAACGGAGACTCTGTTAAATCACAAAGCCGAGAAGCCCATGGGGGCGTCGAGAGACGTAGAGAACAGAAACAAGCCTCGAGAAGACGAGGTCTTGAATAACAATGCTCAATTGCGCAGCCCGGCAGCGACAACAAAGACGACAACACAAGAAGAGAGTGCAGTCAGTATGCAGTCAGTATGCAGTAAGTAGAAGCAAGATGCGGCCAGATACAATATGCCCGTGTTGGGAAATGGTCATTTGATCTAATAAGAGGGGAAGAAGTCAGGAACCCGAACAGGGGCTGTCAGCCATGCTTAAGGAGCTGGCGGGGAAGCTCTCAGCCTGCAGTATCCGGATCCGTACCTCCCTGTCGATCGCTTCCAGCTGCAGGGTTCCCCACACACGGGTAGAGGATGGAAGTGCAAACATGACCTCATGCAACAGTTACCTCATTACAAAAAAAACATTTCATTCCCGTACCTAAGCTAAATAAGGTACTGTACCTAGTTTAGCTAGGTAGCTTCCGGTTACCTCCTGACCAGCGGTGCACCTCTAGAAGGCCATCCAGGCAGTTCTCCCAGTGCTAAGTGATCCAGCCAAGGACTCCCGAAACCTCATAAAAGGACGTGAGAGATCTAAAGAAATGCCCAACCATGCCGCCCTCAGGTGAGGAAGGTATCAGCAAACCAGCAAAAGCAAAATTTACAGCGAATAATAAAACAAACAACGCCATCTTTGGCTAAACCGTATGCTGTAATGATGCAAAAGTCCAGAACATTTCAGTTGCCTCGGAACAGGAACTGAAGATCTGCAGGGCTCAATGACTCCATGGCCGCATCGTCAGAATTGATGGTCGAGTTGATCATGTTGGTCTTCTTCTCCTGCAGAAGCACCATTCGACTCTCGACCGAGTCTTCAATGCACAGTCGGGTGATGGTGCAGGGGCGCGTCTGCCCGATGCGGTGGCAGCGGTCTGCCGACTGCCACTCTGCCGCAGGGTTCCACCAGCTAGATGGATTGGTTGAGATGTCAGTGACTAAGCGACAGAAATAGAAAATACAGGTGGCACAGATGGATGGGGGAAGACGTACGGATCGACGATAAACACCCGGGACGCCTCAGTGAGATTCAGGGCGACACCTCCAGCCTTCAAGGAGACGAGGAAGCACTCGACCTCGACGTTCTTCATGAAATGGTCGATCGAGGCTTGCCGCTGGCCTGGAGTCATGCTTCCGTCGAGCATGACGGTGGTGATGCCGGCACGTCGCAGACGCCACTCGATGAGCTGGAGCATGGTCGTGAACTGAGAGAAGATGATCGATTTGTGGGACGCATTGTCGGATCGGAGCTTGTGCAGCTCGTGCACAAGCAGCTCAATCTTGGATGACGAAGTCCAATTTTCCATGTTGATGCGGTTAATGATGGACGACTTCTTCACAAGGTCCTCATCCTGCTCGATTTCCGGCTGTTCGAGATCGATCGAGAGTGGGATGTGGCATCGGGGGCAATCCGGCTGATCCGAGGAGAGCAGGTAGCTCCTTGCACACGAGCGGCAGAAGTCATGCTTGCATCTAGATCGTATGGCTTCCTCTGCCGGCTCATCGCAAATGCAGCAGCTCAAGACATTCTGTCCCCCGGAGCTGTTCTTTTTGAGGATCAGGTCTGGGTGGTCGGCAACCTGCCGCATCTGCATGATGAGGCCGAAGATGTTGGCATAGTTGTTGAGGAGGACGCCCTGCGAGACGTATGTGTTGAAACGGCGCTCGCCACTCGTCATGATGCTGCTTGCGAAATCCCTCTCCTCTTCCCCAAAGAACTGGCGATCCACGTAGATCTCCTTGACCGGAAGCTCCATTGAGTTGGTATGATTCTTCTTGAGTCGACGGAGCATAAGACGGTCCGTCAGGATACGGAGCTTCCCCAAGGCCTCGGCGCCCGGGCCCCTGTTTCCAAACTTCTGGATCGGGTTGAGGAGCTCCCGGTTGAAGAGAGAGATATGGCTCATGCCCGCGTGCTTGCATTGAGTGCAGCGGTAGCTCTCATCCACAGTCCACTCCAGCGTGGTGCAAGGACACTGCTTGCAGAAATAGGATGCGAAGGGCCGAACGTTGAGGAACCTGACCAAAGAGAAGAACTCGCCGATCCGGTTCTGGAGAGGAGTGCCGGAGAGACACCAGCGGTAGGTGACGTTCAGGGCAAAGCAGGCCTTGGCAGTCATGGTCGTTCTCGTCTTGATCGAATGTGCCTCGTCAAGAATAACCCGGTGGAAATGGATTTGGTGCATAACGCTCTTTTCCTTGTACAGACCCTCCTTCCTTTTGAACCCCTTCTCCTGTTTTCGAAACATAGCCTCCAAGCTGTTGTACGACATGATGATGACGTTGTACTTCTTCAAGTCCTTAATAGTAAGGTTCTTGGACTTGGAATTCGTTCCGTGGAAGAACAGGGTGTTCAGGGTACCCTCGGTGTATGAATTGATCTCGGCCATCCACTGCATCATGGCAACAGGTGGAACAAGCACCAGGGTTGGCTGCTTCGCCGGCCAGTCTGACATGATCAAGGACACTGCCTGGATAGTCTTGCCGAGTCCCATTTCATCGCCAAGGATACCGCCCTTCCACTTAATCTTCTCCATCTCTGTCATCCAGGCAAGTCCCTCTAGCTGGAATGGTTTGAGTTGCCGTGAGATATGTTTGGGCTGCTCAGCTCTGCCAGCCGTCAAGATAGGCATATCTCTGAGATTATCCCACATGGTGAGAAGCTCTGGATGGTGATGCTCAAGCTGCTTTGCCTTTCCCTTTTTACGACCCCGGTGACCCTGGTGACGTCTAGCAGCAACAGTTCCACCGTGATGTGGTTGGTGCGATAGTAATTCCCCCGGGGGATCTGGCCTAGCAGCAGCACCATTATTGACGCCAGCGTTGTCGCTTGCATTGTCTGTGTCAGGTGCAGACTCTGCTTCGGATTCAGAACCTTCGACGCTGAATTCCGACCCAGAATCCATATCGATACCCAACTGAGGAGTATCGGCGCCGGACAAATGGGTGTAGTCGTCGCTGTCGACATCGGGATGGACCAAGTCTTTGCCTGGGGTCTTACCAAGAGTTGATTGAAGTCCAGGACTGTGAATGGCCAAGTCTTGAGTGACAGCAGATGAAGTGGTTGCCTTGGTAGCAGACCTAGTGCTATGCCGTAGCTTCCTCACTGTTTGACGGATAGGCACGTCCTCGTCCTCATCCTCATCCTCATCCATACTCCCATCCTCGTCCTCGTCCTCATCATCTGAAGCCCCAAAACGAATCTTATTTTTGGAGGCAGAGACTGCTTGTTTCCCTTTGGTCTTGATGAAAGAGACAGGCGCCTTTCGAGCTGAGGCAGCCATATGTCGGGTGCTGCGGCGAGAAGGAGGCTGGGGGGAGGCACGGGCTGCCACTTTAGCAGCAACGAGTTGGTCTTCCTCATCCTGCAGCTTTCGGGCAAGCTTTGCATCAGGGGAAGTATCAGAGTCGTAGTCGTCTTCGCTATCATCGATCTCAACTCTCTTGCGCTTGGACTTGAGAGAGTAGATGCTCTGCTGGAGAGCTCGGTGGCTATGAGGTGCAGGGTTGGTCTGGTTGGCCTGTTTGACCTGGGGAAGATGAACTTCAATTCTGGTTCCACGCTTGGGTACCGGGGTCTTTGCCAATCCCAATGCAGGAACTGAGGCTGCCGGTGTAGGGACGTGACTGGTCAAAGGAGTCGAGTACCCGCTTCCAGAAGAGAAGTTGGTTTCTGGGTAAGGCACGGAGGATGACGAGGATGCAGCCGAGGGACTAGCTGGCATTGCCTTTCCCGCCAGACCTTGCCGCTTGTCAGGAACATCCTCAGCAGGTGCAGGAGATGATCCCGCTACATATGGTTGTCAGCACTTCAAGATCAACCAAATGGACGTCGGTTGATGCAATGTGAAATGGGTGGGGAGTCCAAATAATTCTAAGAGTTTCTTGCTGGTTGAAATCTTGAATCTGGAAATCACAGAACTTTGTAGGGTGGTGTTTATCAAATGGCAGAGTGGGTGACCACCCCTGAAAATTTGAAAGAGAGAGATGCTAAATACTTACAGACTTCATCCGAGTCGGGGACCTCCAGCCTGTAGGAGGCGCTGATAGAGCTTCTAGTTCGTGGCGCCATCAGGGGGGTTACACAACCCGCAAGGGTGCCGATGACGATAGTTGTGCAACAAAGTTCTTGATATGCCGATGTTTGCAATGGCGGATTGATGATGGAAAGTGGTGACGGGGGAAGTTGATGGTGAGAAAAAGTGACCACGGCGACTACCAACCTACCTAATGAGTGTCAGGATTAGAAATTTTGCGCACGTGCCAGAAGTAGCATGACAATAACAATCAACAAAGGTTGGGTGCTGAAAAAAGTGAGACTGCCATGCCTGGTTCGGATGGCAGCGGGATAGAAGCCTGATTAAACTTACAGTGACTTCTGCTTAGGAGATGCCTAGAAGGCCTGTATCAGGCCTCCCAGCTCCTTTGACTTGGGAAGAATGTGTTTTCAATGGCCAATTCAATAGCTGGAGTCAAAGGAGGGAACAAAGACCGCAGTGGGAGCGTTTGGCCTGAGAAGTCGAGAAAGTTCGAGATCCTAGAAATTTACGCGTTAGGGGCAGCGCGTTGTCACGTGCCTACTTAAAAGACTGACAGCTTTTGCCACACCGAGTCCAGTACCTGCACTGGAATTCACTATATGTAGTCACATGACCTGGCGTTAGGATTGTGTGTTTAAATGGAAAATTTCCCCTCCTCGCGTCTCCCGAGCTTCAAGCGTGTTCTTCCAAGACCTGCCCTGTGTTTTGAGGCTGGTCTCCTCGCTCATTCTAACTTTGGACTTTGAAAGCCAAAAGGCAACTCTATCCAGAAATCTTAGATCTATCTCTCCATAACCCGACTTTTCATAGCATAGCCCTCCCACAACTACCTCGACAACAACCTCGACCAAGGTTTGACTATGATTCTCTGTCCCTCAAGATCTCCTTAAAATTGATGCAACCTTCCATATCCACCAGCACCTTCTCGCAGTCTCGAACCTGTACAAATACCTCCAAAACCTCACCAGTGCTGATTCTTTTCTCCTTTGCTTTTAGGAGCCCCATCTCAACCCCACATGTCTCTAGGCACTTGACGTCGACATACCCAGGATCACATGAACAAACCCTCCACGACTTGGCGGCAACATCTCGAGACCTCGATAGCTTGGCTTTTACAAGTCATCTCCCCTGACTTGGGGCCGTTAGCAGTGAAATATCTCGAGGCCTGAACAGCGAAGCAAGATGTTTGTTTAGCAAACCTCCGGATCTCACAGCTTCACCAAGCTAATATGGAATAACCAGGAGCGGCCAAAATCGACCTGCCCGTAATATCATGGGCCCGTAAGTTTCTCAAAGGCCTTATATCTCATTGTCAAGTTGCGACACTAACAGTTTTGTAGTCAGTCGGCTCTGACCGACTTTCTGGCGGTCAGTCAGAGGGCGTTTGATGCTTCATGGAACGCCAACAATCTAATCGTGACAACCTCTACAGTCTCATAACATCTCCGCCCGACAAATCCGACAGGATGCTGAGGCAAGGCGACGGGCTGCGCAGCAAAATGGCCAAGATGGCCAGGCCGAGCAAAATGGAAGTGCATCAACCCCTGCTGCACAAGATCCTGCCACTGCGTCTGGTCCTGCTTCAAGCTCTCCTTCGGATTCTGCGCCAACGACCACCAATGAAGAACTGGCGCAGGGAGCGAAACGAAAAAAGGAACAAGCCAAAGCCATTGAGAAGATCAAGGCCAACAAGAAATTCAAGAGGCGCAAGCGTGATTCTGACGATGAGGATGACGTTGCCCTCGCAATCTATGAAGAACGCGCCAGCGCTCTTCCAGGCCAGATGGATAACTGTGCCCTCTGCAGAAAGCGCTTCACCGTGACTCCCTACTCCAGGGCGGGTCCTGACGGCGGTCTCCTCTGCAACCCTTGCGGCAAGGAGCTCGATAAGGAGAAATTTGGCGCTGAGAAGTCCAAACGCTTGCGGGGTCGTGCCGGGGGCCGCCGAAAGATGCAGAGCAACATCCTGGATGGCACCTACCGGCCCGGCGCAAAGAGTTTGATGGCCCTCTGCATCAAGACTCTTGCAAGCAATATCGAGCTGGCCGAGGAGCTTGGAGACCTCGCGCCGACAGTCATAGATAAGATTGCCAGGGAGCTCTCCAGACGCCGGCTCCTCGATTCAAAGACCATCGACCTGTTTCTCCAACCTTCGGCCGACACCCTCTCTGTCTATGACGGCGCAAAACTGAGAGAGGATGATCTCATTCGCGTCTTCCAGATGGTGCCCGGCATCAAGAACCTGAAGATCCGCAACGCGATCCAATTCAAGGACGCGGTGGTGGAGTACCTCCTATCTCGCCATATCGACCTTGAGCAACTGCATCTGCATGGTGCAAATCTCGTGACCGAAACAATGTGGCGCAAGTTCCTGGAGGCGAAAGGCTCCTCTCTGAAGTCCCTTCGGGTCTACTACACGGACAAGCACTTTGGCGACGAGACCCTCAGCTTACTTCCCAAGCACTGTCCCAGCCTGCAGCGCCTCAAGGTTCAGCACAACCAGGAGGTCACGGCCGCTGGCGTCAAGGAGATTGGGAACCTGAGCGGGCTCGAGCACCTTGGTCTCGACTTGCAGAACAAGGTGCACCCTGACGTGTTTGTGCAAGTCTTGGACAAGATTGGACGGGGCCTGCAAACTTTGTCCCTCTCTCGGGTGCCGACGGCTGACAACACGGTCCTTGATGCCATCCATGCAAAATGCCGGTCTCTCCAGAAGCTGCGGATCACCGACAGCGAGGTGATGACAGACGAAGGATTCGTTCGGCTGTTCAAAGACTGGGAGAATCAGGGACTGATATTCCTCGATCTTCAGAAGTGTCGCCATATCGACGCGAGAGAAGCCCAAGAGCAAGAGAACCCCGAGAACATTGGGTTGTGTTCCAATGGCTTCAAGGCTCTGATGACACACTCCGGCAAGACCCTCAAGCACCTGAACCTCCATGCCTGCCGGCATATCTCTCGCCAGGCTTTTGAGGAGGTCTTTGGGTCGGAGAAGCGCTACCCGCTCCTGACTAACCTCGAGGTCAGCTTCTGCGAACAGGTCACCGACTTTATTGTGGGGAGCATCTTCCGATCCTGTCCCAACTTGAAGAACCTGAACGTCTTTGGTTGCATGAAGGTCAGGGACGTCAAGGTGCCTCGTGGCAAGATCCTGGTCGGGGTGCCAAATGCAGTTGGCATGGTCATCGACGGCGATGCCTGATCACGGTCGTAACTAGAGTTCTACAGCATGGAGAATTGGGTAGGGTTCGTTTGGCACGGACGGTCATCCAATTCCGTTGTTGCCCTTTCTGAGCACGAGAAACGGGGATTTTCCTTTTTCGGCGCGTCATGGAATCTTGTCCTTGTTTTTTTTCTGAGGCAAGGGGGAAAGGTGGCACAGGAGTTAGGGCTACGAGCTATCGTCCTGGCTGGGGAAATAACGAGAGATACCACAGGGACTATGATACGATCGTGCGGACTGGCTGTTGAGCAGCTTCTATTTCCACTGATTAATGCACGGCATGGCAATGAAACATTCTGAAGTAATTTCCCGTGCATCCATGCGAGCTATCATGTGTCAAGGTCCCTGTTCCAGTCACGAGGAACCACCTCTCCAGTCCTTTTCTACCATATCCACAAACGCTCGGATGAGTACCGAATTGCATCTACAGACAGACAGGCCCACACAAGATCAGACCATAAACACTAACTTCCAGTTTTCCCTAAGCCAGCCTTCGGCCTTCCGGCCCTATGCCGTCGCTGCTGCTGCGACCGACCCATTCCTCAGGCCGGCGGCATACTCGAGGTCCATCTTGGCATACGCATTCACCCTTGCCTCCAGCTCCTCGTCACTGATACCACCCTCGCCGCGGCCGAGTAGGTTATTGCACGCCGTCGTATCACCGAGGTAGAACAGATGCGCGATGATGTCCAGCCCCAGCGTGCCGGCATTACACCCAGCATCCACGAGGCCCTGGCACAGCTTGACGTCCCCCGCGGCATAGTTGGTGGTCATGGGCCCGCCCGTGCCCAGCCAGTACTCGGGCACCGTGTGCTGGTACCCCCAGGCCGCGGGCGGCAGGCGCGGCACGGGGTCCGCGCCGTGCGTGACCCGCCACTCGGCGCCCGCCTGCGCTGTCACGAAGCTGGCGAACGCTGGGTTGCCGACGCGCGGCGAGCCGTACGTGTACAGGTCCGTGGGGATTCCCGACCGGCGCAGGTACGCCGCCGCTAGCGTGGCCACCGCGCCGCCTAGGCTGTGGCCCGTGGCCACGACGCGGTAGGACGGGTTTGCCGCCCGCGCGGACTTGACCGAGGCGAGAACCGCTGCTGATGTCTCCTGCCAGGCGGTCATGAAGCCGGTGTGCACGTAGCAGTCGTTGACTAGGTCGCAGCGGGTTTGCAGGAATTGGAGGCTGGGCACTCAGATGTTAGCTCGTGGATTGGGGGGTGTTCGGTGGAGAGTGTTTTGGTGGATGGGTCAAGAAGGGTAGGGGCAGGGGGTGAAAAAAGGGTTGAGGGGGGACCAGGTGTTTGCTCACTTGGCGATCCAGTTGAGGATGGAGGTGCTGCCCCGGAAGGAGACAACGATGGCAGAGGCCTTCGAGTCAACTGCGACCATGCCGCGGATATCTGTCAAGCTGCCCCTATTTCTGGTGTATCAGCGGGCGAGCTCAAGGCTGGAACGGTTGGGGGAAAGGGCCAAGTTGCATACTTGAATGTGCTAGCCGTTACGGCACGGTTGGCCGCGACCGTAGGGCATGCACTCTGGGAGCAGGAGATGACTTGACCAATGGCATTCCCGCTGTTACAGTATGCCGCTGCTGCGTACTGGGCGTAGTACTTGAAGTCGGAGAACTCCGACGTAGTGACCGCCGCAGCTGCTATATCATTAGTGCGTGAGCATCTTAAGCAGGTGATATGGCAACTGACGTCCTCGGTCTTCAAGCACGGGCAAGGCCGAACTAGTCGCAAGCAGCGACGCAACGAGAGGAAGAGCGAGCAGCTTCATCCTGACTGTCCGAAGAGTGCGTGACCAAGCTTGCAGGTGCAACAGGGACTGGGAAGTAGGCTTGTCTCAGGAACGGATACAGAGGAGGAGCAAGAGCAGCGGTATGGCCGGAACGCGCATCTTTATGTTAATTCCTATCTCGTCCAACTCCATCTCTTCCTCATGCTTACACGAATAAGTAACGTCCACTGTTGCAACTCTAACGAACGGCGGTGCCTAGAACGATAGCTTACATGCGTGCAGCCAGAGCCGCTTGGCTGTCTTAGCCCGTCGAATGTTGCATGGATGTGGCGCACACTATCTCCCATTAAGGACCACGAGGCCGGCGTCAAGATGGTAGATGTTAGGAATGGAAGGTGGTGGTGTTGGGTGCTCACGAGGCTCACGTGGCTGTGTCAGCGGAATAGCCATGCCGAACTTCTGTAAGAGGGTGGTAAGCCGTTTGGAATGGGAGAAACACGAGTGCGTTGCGCAGCTAGACATGAATTATCCAAAAGTCCGATGTGACCGCCTTATAGGCCAAGACACAACGGACAACCCCCGTCGGCTGAATGACCAAAAGCGGGACAGACGATCGGCCCGTCTTGACCTGTGCTGCGAACCAGGCCCGGCGAGGCTTAACAGAGTTGAGCCGCTGGAGAGGACCGGGCCACATGGATCACCCTCACACCCAAGGGGGGGCTCAAGGGCTCTCAGGGCGCGCCAACTACCGGGCCTGGGGGTTGGCGAACTAAGGTCCTGCACACCTTCAACTTGAAGGGACATACCTTACCCTAGCCTTTCAATTACGGATGAACTATATCCATGTCAGCTCCTAGCAATGCGATCGAGGGCATGATCATCAATATGCTGTGTGTTACCTCGTACATACCATGTTCGTGCTATCTTTGGGTTCGCAATATTACTCGAACCAAGCAGATCGAATAGGTATATGTCCGTGCTCACCGCCAATTAAGGTTCCCTCTCCGCCAATGTCCTGTCCCTCCGCAAAGATCAAGGTTCCCCGCCTTTTCATGGCACCCCGGGGCGGTTACTACAGCACCCACAGCACCCACAGCACCCACAGCACGGGGCAGAATATACCAATATGGAAACTGCAACCCGGATCTAGCGATGACATAGTTAGGACGGGAATTATTGAGATACATCCATATACCAACCTATGCCTACAGTACCTACGCAATAGATAAATCTGAAATTGTTGATCGACCTGGATCTGCCCCTGGTCAGCCAAGATCGACAACGAGTGGGGGTTGTCTTACCTTGGCACACGACCACCATATCATCAGACCCAGGCATCCGATCCAAGGGAGCAGTGTGGTATTCTAAGGTCATGAAAGGTGTTTGACTCTGTCGTCTCCTCTCTTAAGTCGACAGAGCCTCTCCTAATCGACTAAACCGACTCCACTCGTTCTCCCTTTGTGCCTTCTTCGGTGGCTTCCCGACCGTGCCCACGCATTAGAGTGCTCTTCAACCGCGGCTTCAATGGCGTTCGGTGCAAGTGCACATGTTATTTTGCTCTCTCTATGTGTCTTCGGCGCCCCAAGCCATGCGAGCGACGTAGTTCGGCCGCGGGATGCCGTCCCGTCAGGCTATGTAGCTCTTCCATACTACCCTGCGCCGCCGGGTGGTTGGACGAACGACTGGAGTGCTAGTTATGCCAAAGCGAGGGCCTTGGTAGAGGAGATGACACTTGCGGAAAAGACGAACATCACTGCTGGCTCTGGTATATTTATGGGTAAGAATTACGTCAGATAGCGTACGCTAGAAACCGCACGTAACGAGTTGTCCTGGGCTGTAACTGACAGCTTACAGGGTATGTGGCACCCCTGAGTCAGATGGAATGACCGGGCTATATTGACAACTCAGTCCATGCGTTGGAAACACAGGAAGCGCACTTCGGCTCGGCTTCCCGCAATTGTGTCTCCAGGACTCTGCTCTCGGGGTGGCATCGACTGACAATGTCACCGCCTTCCCTGCCGGCATCACGACCGGAGCGACCTGGGATAAGTCGCTGATATACGAACGGGCTGTTGCTATTGGCCAGGAGTTCCGCGGCAAGGGCGTCAACATCTACCTTGGGCCTACGGTCGGGCCCCTTGGCCGGAAGCCACTTGGCGGACGAAACTGGGAAGGCTTTGGTGCCGACCCAGTACTCCAGGCCATTGGCGGTGCTCTCACGGTCAAGGGCGTACAGGAACAAGGCGTCATCGCAACTATCAAGCACCTCGTTGGGAATGAACAGGAGATGTATCGCATGTACAACCCCTTGCAGTCCGGATACAGCTCCAACCTCGGTGGGTGTTCAGTGCTCAGCTCTTGGTAGACTTGGAGTTTGAGTAGCGAGCTGATATATTCTAGATGACCGGACGATGCACGAGCTGTATATCTGGCCATTTGCGGAGGGTGTTCGTGCGGGGGCAGCGTCTGTCATGTCGGCATATAACGCCATCAACGGCTCCGCCTGCTCACAGAACAGCTACCTACTGAACGGGCTTTTGAAGGACGAGCTGGGGTTTCAGGGGTTCGTCATGTCAGACTGGCTCTCACACATGTCTGGAGTTGCCTCGGCACTTGCTGGGCTTGACATGGACATGCCCGGAGATACACAAGTCCCCCTCCTTGGTTCCAGCTACTGGATGTACGAGCTCACCCGCTCTGTTCTGAACGGCTCCGTGCCCGTTGATAGGTTGAACGACATGGCCACCAGGATCGTTGCCGCGTGGTACCAAACGGGTCAGGACAAGGATTATCCCCCTCCCAACTTCTCGTCCAACACTCACGATCCGTATGGGCTTCTTTACCCGGCAGCTCTCCTCTCTCCGACTGGACTCGTCAACCAATATGTCAATGTCCAAGCTGACCACTATAAGATCGCTCGAAAGGTCGCACAGGATGCTATCACGCTCCTGAAGAACGATGATGACTTGCTCCCCCTGTCAAACTCGAGCTCTTTCAAGGTTTTCGGCACTGATGCCCAGGTCAACCCAGATGGACCGAATGCCTGCGGCAATCGAGCTTGCAACAAGGGGACCTTAGGAATGGGCTGGGGCTCTGGTGTTGCCGATTACCCCTATATGGACGGTCCGATCGACGCCATCAAGCGGCGGACACGCAATGTCACGTACTATGCAACGGATACATTTCCATCAGTCTCCGCGCCTTCCCCTGACGATGTAGCCATAGTGTTCATCTCGTCTGATTCAGGAGAGAACAGCTTCACCGTGGAGGGGAACCATGGCGATAGGGATGCCTCGAAGTTGGCGGCATGGCATAGCGGTGACACACTGGTGCAGAAAGCCGCGGCCAAGTACAGCAACGTTGTAGTCGTCGTCCACACGGTTGGGCCGCTCATCCTCGAGAAATGGATAGATTTGCCTTCCGTGAAGGCAGTCCTATTCGCGCACCTCCCGGGCCAGGAAGCCGGCGAGTCATTGACCAACGTCCTGTTTGGCGACGTCTCTCCCAGCGGCCATCTGCCCTACTCGATAACCAAGGCCGCAGGCGACCTACCCGACAGCGTCGCCAACTTGAAGGGATTTGCCCTGGGACAGGTCCAGGATACATACACGGAAGGACTGTAGGTTTTGAGGCCCATCTCATGATTCAAAAAGAGCCTTCGCTAACCACAAAGTCATAGCTACATCGATTACCGCTACCTCAATAAGAAATCCATCAAGCCTCGCTATGCCTTTGGCCACGGCCTCAGCTATACCAACTTCACCTTCACAAACGCCAGCATAAGGCGCGTCACCCAGCTCGGCTCCACGCCACCGTCCCGGCCACCCAAGGGCCCGACGCCCTCGTACCCGACCGACATCCCCGCAGCCTCGGAGGCCTACTACCCCGACGGCTTCAACGCCATCTGGCGCTACCTATACTCGTGGCTCTCCAAGGCCGACGCCGACGCGGCCACCGCCGCGGCAGCCAAGGGGAAACCCTACCCCTACCCTGACGGGTACGGCACCGAGCCCAAGGCGGGGCCGCCGGCGGGCGGCGGGCAGGGCGGCAACCCGGCGCTCTGGGACGTGGCGTACGAGGTGACGGTGACGGTGGGAAACGCGGGGGACCGGCGGGCGGGCAGGGCGGTGGCGCAGGCGTACGTGCAGTTCCCCGAGGGGATCGCGTGGGACACGCCCGTCGTGCAGCTGCGGGACTTTGAGAAGACGGCCGAGCTCCGGCCCGGCGAGGCGGAGGCGGTGACGGTGCGGTTCACGAGGAAGGATGTCAGCGTGTGGGATACCACGACGCAGGACTGGGTGGTGCCGAGCCCCGAGGGGAGGTACAGGTTCTGGGTTGGGGGTGCGAGCGATAGGTTGGAGGTGGCGTGTTACTCTGATACGTTGACGTGCGAGGAGGGGTTGGAAAGCCTGGTGTGATATTGGATTTTGGTGGGATCTCTGTGTTGGCGTTTAAGCACCTAATACCTAATACCTAATTCTGGATTATACCCCTGACAATACCCCTGACAACATCATGGTCTTGGGCCGGGCTCATGTTACTAGGCTTTGTGTCCTTCTTGCTAACTAACCTGAGTCACTTATCGACGCCGGTGATTGCGCGAGAAGCATAGTCCGCAATGCTGACAACAGACTCGATAGATATGTGTAGGTATATATATATACTCTTGGATCTGGATACCGATGAAGTGACCAATTCATCACCACCGAGCTCCAATCCCAAGTACCCCCAACTTGCAGCAGCTTTAGACGCCAGACGCCATACAAATGTGATACAAGCAAGCAAGCCCGCCGCCGGGCCCTTTATTCGGCGAAGGCAACCTTCTTCTTTGGCTTCGCCGCCTTGGAGCCCGTCACCGAGACCTTCTTGATGCTTTCGCCCTCATCAGCCGTCTGGGGCCGTTTCCGCTTCTTGCGGAGAGAATCCTTGGTATCCTCCAGCTTGGACTTCCGCTCCTCTTCCTTCTTTTCGGCCTGTATCCTCCTCGCCTCCCGGATTTCCTCCAACTGTCGTGCCTTGACCATCTTGGACTCGATCTGGCCCTCCTTGTCCGCCTGGACCATTGCCAGGATCGTGTTCATGCTCTCCTGTGTCAACTTTGTGAGCATTGCGACTGCCAGTCGAGGTTCCGCACCACGATGCTGGAAAAACGTACCCTGTCGTCCACAAACACTTTGCCCTTCTTCACCCCCTTGGGCTTCTGCACCCCGATCGGCGTGATCATGTTCAGTTGCGGTATTCCCAATTCCGCCTCAGAGTACACCCGCTTCTTCTTCTTCTTCATCAGGTCCGACGCATTGGACAGACCCTTCACTTGGCTCGCGGTGGTGATCTTGCCCTGCGGCTTCTTCTTGGACGACTTGACGACGCCGTCCGACATTGGTTTCCTCGCCGACTTGCTCCCACTGATGCCGGACTTGTTCGCCGCGTGCTTGTTCTTCATCGTCCGTGTTCTTGAGGGCGCCATGGTGGGCGATTTTGGAGGGGGGGTTGGCTTCTGGCGGCGGCGCTGTGCTGTGTGTGCTCTTGAACGAAGACCCAAGAGAAGAAAATTTTGGACCTGTAGCTGCGATCCTACCCACTGTTATCCGCTGCAAGGCTGGCACGGCTGGCTGGGCTGGCGGGGCAGTGTGTGTGTCACTGACAAATTGGGTGGCTGAGAAGCAATCAATGCGCGGGGTGCAAAATCCTTATCGCAGCGTTATCAGAAATTTGCTTCGCCAGATTTCTAAGAACATTCCATCCTACGCCGGCCCTGCTTTCCCCTTCGAGTCAGTTGCACCTACCGTATGCCCTGAGGACATGCCACAGGGGGGATACGTCAATCCAGAACCACGATCTTGCAACAGCACCTCGAAATCATGACATCCGCTCAACCTGCCAAACGGTGGGCCGCCCTCGCGCGGGACACCAACGAGACCAAGATCCAGCTCGCCATCAACCTCGACGGGGGCGACTTCCCGCCAGATACAGACTCGAAGCTTTTGGCACAGGAAGCGAACAGCCATGCTAGCCAGTCTAGCAAGTCGCAGACCATCAACATCAGCACGGGCATTGGCTTCCTCGACCACATGCTCCATGCGCTGGCCAAGCACGCAGGCTGGAGCTTAATCCTTGCATGCAAGGGCGATCTACACAGTGAGTCAAGCAGCCAATTCCCGGCCTCCCAGTTCTTTCTCTTCCCATTATCCCCCCTTCCACTCCATCTGCCCTCGATACTAACCCCTACCCCCTTTCCCCCCTCAGTCGACGACCACCACACCGCCGAAGACGTGTGCCTCTCCCTCGGCTACGCCTTCGCCAAGGCCCTCGGCAGCGCCTCGGGCCTAGCCCGGTTCGGGCACGCGTACGCGCCCCTGGACGAGGCGCTCAGCCGGGCGGTGGTGGACCTGTCGAACCGGCCGTTCGCCGTGGTCGAGCTGGGCCTCCGGCGCGAGCGCATCGGCGACCTCAGCACCGAGATGATCCCGCACTGCATGCAGAGCTTCGCCCAGGCCGCCCGCGTCACCCTGCACGTCGACTGCCTGCGCGGCGACAACGACCACCACCGCGCCGAGAGCGCCTTCAAGGCCCTCGCCGTCGCCATCAGGCACGCCACCGCCCGCGTCGCCGGCCGGGAGGGCGAGGTGCCGAGCACGAAGGGGACATTGTCGGCTTGATTGGTGCTAGGAGATGGCTGGGTTCTAGCTTGATGAGATAAATGGGGGATAGCCGTTGGGACGGGAGCTGGGGGTGTGTAGGAGAGGCTCAGGGTGGTTCGCGTGCCCTGAGACAGTACCTGGAGGCTGGGAACTCACATGGCTCATACCTATTAGACGTCATCTTGAGAGTCTTGCCCTTGATGGGACCCAGCATATTGTACTGTAATACATCATAAACGGTTTTGGGGCAACGGAAAATAAAAAATAAAGTTAAGAAAACAACTTCAAGATATAAACAAACGTCTGGTAACTCAGTCGATTGAAATGCAAATGCTCCCACCTGTCGCTCAGCCTAACTCCCGCTGTGATAAGCGGATCATACGAGTGGAGAAAATTGGTTGACGCAACCCGTGACGCAGAAGTTCGACCTCAAGCAATTTTGGTCCTTCCTTTATTATTGTCTACACCTTCATCCTACCTCCGTAACAATCGGTCGGTCAGCTCTAACAGACTGGATTTTAGCGGATTGCCAGGTCTCTGTCCAGCACGTCATCGGAACGCCAATCAGCACACCTTCAAGTCCGCGGAGATCGGGTGACCACCAGATATGCTCGGTTGACACTTCACGCCTGCCGTTTTATCTCATCTTTTCCCAATATATTTGTTTCCCGGGCTACCAGTCCAATCTCTCCTACATACTTTCAAGTCTCTTTTCTTCTTCTTTTCCCACATCTCTCGGGGGAGAGCCAGCCATGACCGTACGATGCGGTCCCACAATGCCATGAGAGATGAGGAGGCCGTCGACGCCAGCTGGGAGGCCACGAGGGGCGCGGCCTACGGGGCCGTGAAGTGGGGAGCCGCCATGGCCGTCCTCGGAGGTATCGGCTACGCCTTCTCGCCGATATACCGGGGCTTGACGATCCAATTCAAAGTGTAAATATTGTTGGGGCCCGCGTGTGGCCGTGGTGGTATGTCTGCGGGACCTGCTAATTGCTTGACAGCTACATCCAAATGTCCGGAATGGTTGTGGGGAGCATGATAGAGGCCGACTACAGGCTCCGGCAATACGAGGCACGCATGAGGATGCAGAAGCGGCGAATGAGGGACAAGGCCATGTGGGAGAGCTTTGAGAGGCAGTACGGGAAGGACGACGAGGACGACTGAGTCCCTGGAAAGACACTTCGAAGGATGCCCTTGTTTGTTCATCGGAGGGAGCCTTCGGGACCATGTATCATGTATTATAAGACAGTTCTACCGACCCAGGGGCTGCCAGCCACTAAAATCCCCATTTTTCCCATTTCGAAACCAACGCCCAGGACATGCTAAATGGTGATTAAACCTCTTCCACACATACACCGACCGGCCTCACTTCTTTGGTGGCGGCTGGAACTTCTTGGGGTCCATGTTCAGCTTGGCAAGTCTCACCACACAACCACTCAGCTGCAGGAGGGTCTGGACGCCTTCCAGGATCTTCATATGGGTGAAGCCGATCTCCTTGATGAACTCGAGCTTGGCGTGCTCGCTGAGGGTGGGGATGGTCTTGGTGACCTTGAACATGGTGCTGATGATGTCGTGGCTCGAGTAGCCGCGGTCCCAGAGCTCGCGCAGGGTGTCGAGGGCGGAGTCGACGTTGCCCTCGTAGCAGGCCTTGAGCATGGCCTGGACCTTTATGGGGTGGGGCGAGTCGACGACCTTGAAGACGTTGTCGCCCGAGACGAAGCCGAAGCCGACGTGGGTCGACTGCAGGTTGTTGATGGCCTGCCGCATGTCGCCCTCGGCGCTGAACACCAGCGCCGCCAGCCCGTCGTCGCTGTACTGCACCGACTCGGCCTCGATGATCTGCAGCAGCCGCTTGACGACCTGCGCGTCCGTCAGGCGGGCGTACCGCAGGATGGCGCACCGCGACTGCAGCGGCTCGATGATCTTGTTGGACTGGTTGCACGCAAAGGCGAAGCGCGTCGTGCCCGAGTAGATCTCCATGGTCCGCCGCAGCGCCTGCTGCGCCCCCGACGTCATGCTGTCGGCCTCGTCCAGGATCACCACCTTGTGCCGCCCCGCCGGGAGCGTCACCTTCTTCTGCGCAAAGCCCTTGATCCGGTTCCGCACCACGTCGATGCCCCGCTCGTCGCTGGCGTTGAGCTCCAGCACCGCCTCCTTGTACGCGTCTCCCAGCAGCTGCCGCGCAAGGCACAGCACGCTCGTCGTCTTGCCGATCCCCGGCATCCCTGAGATGATGACGTGCGGCATGTTGCCGTCCCGCGCGATGATCTTCAGCCGGTCGATTGTCTCCGTGTTCCCCACGATGTCGTCCAGAAACACGGGCCGGTACTTCTCAACCCTAATGAGGCGGTGGTTAGCAATCCATGTCCGAGCAGAGCGAAAGGTAGGAAGGGGGGAGAAGAGGCCATCTTTGCTGGGGCGCTCACCATGGTAACTCGTAAGTCGGGGCCCCATTTGAACTGGCGGCAAGCGCGTTCTTGGCAACGGAGGTTGAGGATTCGCCCTTCTCTTCTGCCTTTGCTGCGGGCATCTTTCGACCGCTCGATATGGGAAAGGCACCTGGAAAGTGGACTTGACAGCTTGGATTATTTGGTTGCTGAAGTATGTGTGGTAGACGCGACGCGGCACGCGTGCTCCACACTTAAAGTGGTTACTTTGGCTCAACCCTAACCCTCTTGTAGTCACCTAGTACACCAGCACGCAGAGGAACTTTCATAATGGGACTGGGAGGGAAGCCATGCTCAACTCTATGCCTTCATACTGATATTTATTGTAATTTACGATAAATTTAACTGGCTATTTTTATCCGGTACCGGGTTAGGCACCGGGAAATTCATCTCTAAAAATGCATATATAGGAAACTCCTTGCCCCCTCGAGAAAGCCATGGAACAAACATGACTCGCCATAGCTACGTCTAAAGTACGTTTGCAGCCGGCCAACTTCTCGATCACATATAGCTGCCTCTGGATCCCCTATCTATTCCGTTTCTCCCTTTTCAAGACTTGATCCCCGGCTGGAGCAGGAGCTCATGTGCGATAGTCTCCGTTGATGGTTCTGCCTCGAGTGTCAGGGGCATTCTCTTACGCGGAGTCGGGATGCAATACTCACATATATTCATGACTATAGTCACATGTCCAGTAGGTAGCCTCCTTGTCTCCGGTACCCAGCCTGACGAGGATTTCCAAGTCTTCAAACTCCAAGATCTCGGCAGCCCTGGCTTCGTCGACCAGTTGAGGCTCGCCATTGATCAGCAGTTTCAACTCGGCCGAGCCGTCCGTGGGAATAAAGGATACGTTTGTCTTCTCGGGGACAACCTCGGATACCTCGTTGACCTGTTCACCTGGTTCCGAGATCAACGAGTATCCGGTTGCGCAGAGGATGCGGCCCCAGTTGGCATCCTTGCCGTACAGTGCCGTCTTGACGAGGGGCGACCGGGCGATGGTGCTCGCTATCTTTCGGGCTGCCTCCTCGCTAGCGGATTCGGTTACTCGAATTGTGACAAACTTTGTGGCACCTTCACCATCTCTCACGATGAGCTTGGCCAAGTCGGTTGCGAAATCCGTGAGGACTGTTTGGAAGGCTTCATAGTCTGGAGACGCAACCGAGGTGACCTCCTTCCCCCCCGCAGCACCGTTTGCCAGCAGCGCGACGGTGTCGTTCGTTGAAGTGTCGCCATCGATGGTGATGCTGTTGAATGATCGGTCCACTGCATACTTGAGGGCCGAGGGCAAAACGTCGGGTGAGACGGGGGCATCAGTAGCAATTATACCAAGCAACGTGGCCATGTTTGGGTGGATCATCCCAGCGCCTTTGGTCATGCCTGCAATTCGATACTCGACAGACGGCGTCGATGGCAGGACGAACGTCCGGGAGATGAGTTTAGGAAAGGTGTCTGTGGTGCAGATGGCTCTGGCGCAGGTGAGCCAGTGCTCATGGGATGAGCCCAAGGCGCCATGCACAACAGGCACGTTATCCAGGATCTTGCCAATCGGCAACCTATAAGCGGAAATTAGAAGTTAGATCAGATAACCCGCTTGCCTCCATAATCGTAAGCTCACCTCTGGCCGATGACTCCTGTGCTCATCACGAGCGTTCCCCCGTCATTGCCCATGCAGTTGTCTGCCTCCTGGGCCATCTTGGCTGCGTCCTCCAAGCCACCCTTGCCGGTAACCGCATTTGCGCATCCCGAGTTGACGATCACGCTCTGTATGCCCCTGTTCTTCTTGCTCTTTAGTAGCTCCCGGCTGAAAGTCACTGGAGCGGCTTGGAACTTGTTCTTGGTGAATACCGCGGCGGCTGCACATGGCCTGTCCGAGGCAACGAAAGCCAGGTCAGGCTTCGTTGTATTGCCTGGTTTGACCCCGACAACCTTGCCTGACGCCTGAAAGCCTAGGGGGTATGTCCCCGACTTGGGAACATACCTCTTCTTGGCTGCGGGAATCGAGTTGGCTGGGGCGATGTAAAACCTCACTTGCTGAGTTTGCCGAGCCAATTGAGCTCCAGACACCTTCAATCGCCTCCAGGAAGGCCCACTGAAGCTTTCCAAAGCCATCTTCAACCAGCGTAGAAGAATATGGACGCTCGATTGTGGTCCTGGAGCAGTGTTGGAAGTGAGTCAAAGAAAATGCAGGGCATTATCGGTTGGCGGTACCGGAGGTGTTACCGAATCTAGGGTCATTGGCTAGGTAGTTTCCGGCAGCCTGCAGAAGATCGGCCTTCACCGTCGCCACCTATCTATCATTCAAACCAATTCACTGACCCTTGATTTATTCCATAACGCATCCGCATCTGTATACCAGGTCATTTTCATTCTCAACCTCACTCCTACATGCGTACGAAGGTACCTACCTATATACCTACCTAGGTACCTATTCTGCCACGGAAACTTTGGCGACCGCCGTCCCGACCCGGTTAGTCAGCATCGCCGCTTTAACTCACCCCAGCTCAGTGACGCTCAGTGATATCCGACCGCGTGCACATCAACCATCCATTCGCAACCAACATCGCCTCATCCTTCCCTGAGCGTCGTCAACTTTACGCGACTCCCGTCATGAACGAGGACTCGCCCGCCGCCGCCGCCAGGAGAGGGGATGGGCGCAGGTCGGGCCCTTGGCCCGGCTCCAGCACTGTCCACGCCCTCGACTCTCCTGGTTGCCCGCCCAATGCCTGGCGCATGCCTATATGAGGCCACGACTGCCGGCATTCGTTCCCTCCCTACTGCCTACTGCTCAGCCCTTCGTATTGAGGGTTTTGAAGGAATGGACAGATTCGGCAGTCCGGTTGAAGGACTATGCCGATTAGTGATGTAATGGCAGAAGTGGAATGGTATACGGATACAAATACTAAGATTACTACGGCAACGGTATCCTAGGCTGCGATTCTTCGAAGCAGATCTGTAAATCCCGAACTACCGCCGATGCGGAATGGTATTCCTCCCGCCAGCATTTGGCTATAATGCTGGCCGCGGAATTTTGTTCTGTGAGAACTGGGAGATTACCGTCACCAATGTGAGCATCAATCTCCTCCTCTGGCACGTCGCCGTACGGTATTTTCCACTCTGTGATTTCGTAGACAGCTGACCCAAGCGCATAGAGCTCCTGCGTCAAGGGTGGGACGTCGCTCCACTCTCGACCTCGTAGCGGAGTCTCATAACGGGACTCATATGACTGGATTTCCTCGAAGTCGGAGCCCGTCATCACAGCGCCGCCGAAGTCGCAAAGCTTGACCCTGAAATTGTCGAAGAGGAGAGCATTGCGGGCCGAGAGATCACACCAAGTAACACCTTTCTCATGAAGGTACTCCACGCCCTCTGCAAAGTCGACAGCCATTCGCAGCCGGAGGTGCAAAGCCGGTGGTTTATCGGCATGATCCGTGGTATATTGGCGCGCACAGCCAACCGACGCACGTTCGAGTTGCAGCGACTGAGACCCAGGGGCGAACTCCCTAAGGCCAAAACATTTCGTGATGCGGGCGTGATCCCCAAGTCTGGCGTAGATGATGGCCTCGCGCTCTAGGGCTCCTTTGAATGCAAACTCTCGGTGCTCGTATGCCTTGCCGTCGATCCATACCTCGTGGGCCTTGAACACTGTATGCGGATCGCCCACCCGAGAATACACCAAGTTCCAGAGGGTCCGCCCAACAATTCGACTTTGCCCTTGTACGGATTATGGGTCATGTTTGCGGGGGAGGGGTTTAGAGAGGTTTCGGATTGTACCCGCCATGTGGTCAGCGTGTTGGCTGTCTTTGCCGCAATTGATATGTTGCTTGGAGCGAGGCAAAGCCTCCGAGCCGAGTGCGATAGTTGGGGATGAAAGTGTTTAGCAGGGTAGACAAGCTAGGGAGTGTCAGCGGAAGCACGCGGACGCCGAGGGGGACTTGGGCATAATTACTCACTAGCCTAGGCCGGTTCTTACCCTCCTGGCAGAGGAGTAGGTCGGGGGGTCTGGTCAGGTCAACAAGACAGTCGCCGGAAAGTCTAGGATAAACTCCAGATTACGCAGGACGAAGGGGTGATCACCCTATGCTCGCCCCTGGCCTTGGTTTAAAGCGGCCACAGCTCAGACCCGACGCCCGACACGGATATGGGGGCAACAAGTTGTCGGGGTTGAATATTGAGGTATGAGGTAGGTATTGTACCTAGGTACAGTAGTACCTATCCACTCTATCATACGCATACCTAAGGTATCTTAGGTCGATCCATCCCACCGTCAAAGCTTCCAGAAAGCTCGACCAATCGGATGTGCCCCCTTGGAAGCTCTAGCTCATATACCACGTGACCTCACTTTATTCCATTTCTGTTCGAATTTTCTTGGGCTGACCAACCCCCAACAAGCTTTCCTACAATTTTTCCGAACAGGCCACGGTTCTTCAACATCAGCATGCCAACTCCAGGTATGCGGCATTCCGCCGTTCTCTTCCCACACATATTTTTCTCATGACAACGGGGCATACGAGCGTCTAGCTCTCTCAGACTTTCTTCAACTCAACCGACCGAGAGTTCTACTATTGCCAATAGTACGACATGTCGGAATTAATCGATGCCTTCTGGCAGAAGCCACCCTTCGCTAGGTGAGTACTCGTGTTCTTCCAGACTGCACAGCAGTATCCCTAGAGAACCGACACTGATCAGAGTAGGACGCTGGCGATGGCTGCCTTCGTGACTTCGATTGGATGCTATTTTGGCATGTTCCCGTTTCACTGGTTCCACTTCGAAGTCTATCGGCTACTCCGGATCCCGCCCGAAATATGGCGTCCGGTCAGCTCCTTCTTCCTCACCACTCCCAAGCTGGGGATAATATTGGATCCATACCATGGTAAGTTTCTCTGGGCACTCCGTCTCTGGACTACGTGGCTAATCGCCCGCCTCTCCAGTGTTTCAATATATGAGCGAACTCGAGGTTGGCAACCCCAGATTTGCAAGGAAGGAAGATCTCATATGGTATCTGATCACCGTGGGAACTGCCATAATTGTAAGTCTTGTTCTCGGCAAACAGCGATCGAGCTTGATCATGTCTTGTGTTTTCTCCGTCATACTTGCCCCATTTTTTGCCCTGCACCTCATATACTGCCCGCATAGTGCTGTGTCCCCAACTAGCGCGGTTCCTAGAATTGAGGAAGATTACCCCTGCACCTCGACCTGCCCCTCATTCGCAAATAACGGCAGGCTCGCGGTGTGGGCATGGTGGGATCTGGATGACTCGGGTGATTTTTCATCGTTTGCTCGGGTGGTTTTTTGCTCCCTACATTTCTTGCCGTTGGCTTCAGCCTCATTGTCGCTCTCGCCCCGCACTGGGATGGCAGTCGGACTAACTTGTAACAGGCTCTTAACCAGTACTTCACTGGACAGGTCTTCTATCTCCAGGGACTCATTATGTCGCTCTGCTACACATCCGTGCAGGACCGACGAGGAGAGAAGTCAGGATTCTTCTTCTTCACTGTCCCGTCTCAGGTTGTTCCCTACTGCTTGCTTCTTGCAACCTTGCTCATGAGCCCGGAAATGGTGCCGCTTCAGATCAGTGGCCTATTTGCTGCGCATATGTACGACTTTTTGACTCGCATTTACCCCGAGTTTGGAGGCGGGCCAAACCTCCTGCCCTCGCCAGCGTTTTTGTCACGGTTCGTTACGGCCCCGAGGGTTGTACAACGAGCGTATGGCACTGCTTTCACGCGCGGGTCGACGGGTCAGGCTTCTGGAACAAGCACTGGATCTTCGACCGGTGGCTCGGTGCTCCCCGACTCATGGAGAACAAGGGGGACGGGACACCGCCTGGGAGGCGACTGATGGGATCTCTAGATTCTTGGAGCTCGTGTATGATGTTAACGATACCAATAATAAGAGTTTATCTGCAAATCTGTGCCGTTACCATATCTCATTCCCATCGCTTCGTAAAGCCAATCTTGGAGAAACAGACACCCGTATCCATTCCATTTGAACTCCCAGCAAAGAATCCTGCCTTCCCGAGAGCCCACCAAAAATCGCTCCGTGTTCGCCATGCGCCAGACGCAACATAATCCCAATCAAGACAGGATGGTAACCCCACATACCCATTCAAAAGAAGAGCCACAACATGTTGTCACCCCACATCACTCATAAATGTCGCTCGTCGGTCTCGCGAGCGACACCGAGCCATACCTCTTTCTCGTCGCCGTCGCGCCGCCGACGTCACCGGCGCCGCCGACCCGCGGGACCCGCGGCGGCGAGTACCGCTTGGGCTGCTGGCGCATGCGCGGGATGGAAGGCAGGTCCAGGAAGGGGACCCTGGGTGGTGGGGGGTGCGAGGGCGGCGGAGGCAGTGGAGGGGCAGGAGGCGGCGGCTGGGCAGAGGTGACGGGGATCGTGGCGGGACGGGGGAGCTCGGGTGGCGACGAGTATGAGGCCTGGCGGCGGCTCGGTCGAGGTGTCGGGCTCGGCCCCGGCCCCGGTCCCGGTATCGGCGGCGGTTCTGTGCCGCCTGTGCGGCGGCGGTCTTGCATCCGGTGGGCTTCGCCCGCGGGACCGGGCGTCCCGGTCCACGTCTGTCTCGGGGCGGGTGCGACGGCGGGGGCAGGGGCAGGGGCGGGCGTTGGGGCGGCTGCTGCTTGTCCGTCGAGCATGGATGGGGTGGTGAATGGGATGTTGGGGGGTGTCTGCGGCCTTGTTACGGGTGGCGCGGGGCTGTGCCGCCTCACCATGGACCGTGGGATATATGCCGGGTGCGCGGGGATCGCGCTGTCTGAGGAGCCTGCCTGGTAGCTGGGGCGTCCTGCTTCGAACTCCCCTGCTGGGCGGAGGCTCTGAAAGTTGGGGGCAGCGTGGTAGTAATCATAATTGTTGACGGTTACTTGGCTCTCGAATACGGCCTCCTTGTGATCCTCGTTGAAGTAGGCGTCGCCGTTTGTAGTGGCGATCGAGCTCCTCCCCCTGTATGGCGGGTACATTTCATGACTGCCGTACCTGATTCGATCTTCTCGGTCGAAGCGCCTCAGCCGAAGCCAGTATACTATGAACAGTGCAGCGCTGCCGAAGAACAGTAGACCTGCGCCAGCGGCGATGCCAACAATCATGGCCACAGTCATCTTTCTTGGTCGAGTTGCCTTGGTCGGACGGCAAGGTCTCGTTGGAAGGTGTAGCTGTAATGTTCTCGACGATCTCGGCGAAGAGGCTCCCACTCCCGCCCCCGCTCCCGTGTGCGGTGTCCAAGATGTCCGTCTGTAATGCCGAATAGAGTGGCTTGCAAGCGTAGACAATGTCGCAAGTTGAGGACTTGCTATTGTTCTTGGTTGCTCCAGGCACGCCAAAGAGGCAGATATCACTAGCAAAGCGGAGATTGTCTTGGGGGCAGGCAGCGTCAGTATGCAGACCGGTAAAGCCACACATGGTCGAACTTACAGAGAAACCAAGGGCTGTCACTCTCGTCCTTGCCGACTTAGCGGCACGTCTGTAAGCAGTTGAGGCACTCCTTGAACTTGAACTTAAGCCTGGCAGACGAGGAGAAACAGTTGATGTTGGAACACACTATGTCCTAAGTATTTGTGTTCGCGGCCGCCGGAACTAGTGGATCACCGTTAGGTGCGTCCAGGCACTGCTAAGCACAGGGCGATCCAGGCGTGACCCGAAGCGGCGCTACAGAGGAGAGGATGGACAAGAGATAAAAAGAACACGCAAGGAGCCCGGCAGGCAACGGACCAGGATCGTGCCAAAGCGGACATCAACTGCTTGGAAGGTGGGAAGAGGAAAGGAAGAGAAGATGGGATGGGAGAAGGAGGTGTTATCTGCTGGTGGCTGTCATTGCCTGCCTACTTGCAGGGTTGCATCAACACACAGTATGTGCGTGCATAGGGATGCGTTAGGATATCTCCAGCAACGCACTCCGCCCGCAAAGAGAGATGGAGCAAGAAAAATGATAGAAGAGACAGAAGCCCTGCAGGGGTTGTGGCATGGCGATTTCGTTATATGCCACACGCCAGCAGCCTCCATGGGCCCCAATATGAAATATGGCACGGGCATCCACCCAAGCCAGCCGCCGAGCATCCCAAAAGGCAACCAGGAAGCCGTGCTCGAGAGCCTTAAAGCCTACCCATGTGCAAATTCTCGCCGTCTTTTGGCTCCCGGTGGAGGGATGGGGAACCAGTCCAGGAACGAGCCAGTTACAGCCCTCTTTGGGAGACGGGAATCCTGTCCTGGATCCTGTCCAATGAGAGCGGAGCCCTGTTTGGATAGAGGGCGCGTGTAGGAGTCGCACAATGCAAGTCGGGTAAAGCGGACGAAGCTGAATGGCTGATGAAGCGAAGGACGATTAGCGCCCAAATGGGGGCTCAGACGCTGTCAGACCCATGCTGATCCCTGAGCCAATCATTTGTGGGTGGGACAAACAACTTAGCCAGGATGCCAGTTTCTCACGGGACACTAACAGACTTTCGATCAACTCACTTTTACATGCTTTACGGATAGATTTATATTCGAAAGTGATACTGCCATCACGAAATTACCTGGGATAAAGAACAGCGCGGACAACTGAAGAGCAGTTGCCAAGGATTAATCGCGCGGCTTTGAAGCTTAACCCTAGCTTCGATTTTGCCGCGCCGGCGGTTCTTCTGCATCGGGATGGAGCGTTCTTACCGGGCCCAGCCAATTACGAAACACCTTCCCGTCCAGACGTGGGTCATGCAGCGGAACCTACCTACCTGCTTATTAGTCTAGGCAAAATAACACCATTCCCGTCGTGGCTTGAACATGGATTTTCGTCAGCTTCATCAAGATCCAATCACACCGACATAACCCGTTCAATTCGCTTGTAATGATAATGCGGAAAACACACGAGAAGTTGCGTTGGCAAGACCACATACTCCCTCGTTGAGGGTTGGGGAGGGGGGAGGGTATCTGTGGTTACACAGTTGCTACTGAGGTTGGGATGTGGCACATACATAGCCCGCAGGTTCCGGACAATGGTCGGATCTGTTGGTTGCTAGTTGCGTTGCCAAACCTCGCCATCATCTCTCCCCCCCTCCCCACCCCCCAATCCATCACTCTTAACTCTTTGAATCACACCCTGTGCGACGCTGAAATTTCCGTCTGCTCCGCTCTCCCCGGTTAGTTACCGGATGCATATTCCCTATATTGTTACTACCAAACCTGAGAGCTTGATGCCTCGAAAGTACGGCGCCGCGCCGTTCATTCAGATTTCCACATCCAGGGATGTGCTTTCCGCATCTCCCAGAGTGTTACATTGTGCCCAACTTGCACTCCGAGATCAGTAGTTCGGTAGGCTAAGCAGGGTCGTAATGCAAGTGATATTGGGGCCAAGCGGATGCATACCCCCGGCCTCCCGGTCGCCGTGCTGCGCACCTTCCCGGTCTTGCTTGCGCCACCAACCCCCATCTTTTGGGGGGCATGACTCCTTTGGGCAAGGCTTGCCTCTGCTTTCCTGTTCCGCCATCCAGTGTGCAACAATCTCAACTACCAAGATAATTGTGCTTGCCTTCCACTCTTGGGGTATGTGGCTGTTGAAATTTATCTCAATTCGGCAGCTCAGGTATCGGCCCCGGCGTTTTCAGCAGGCGTTTATTCTGCCCGACAGCTCTATGCTCCCATGATGCCGCGGAAATTTGGCATCGGGATTGATACTGTTGCGGTCCTTCCTCCAAGTTGCACGACGCTTATCACCATTGAAGTGTTTCTCTCGCTTGGATAGTATCTCATTTGCCGTACTAGATCCGTCCATACAGGCATCCATATCCGCCTCTATCGGTGACACAACAACAGCAGGGAGTTGCTGAACCCACATGCGGCTTGCCATAAAATGCCGCTCTACGTGGCAAAGGAACTCACTCGTTCCGTTATACTGGCACAGTCTCTGGATCCATTAACCACAACCAATTTTCTCCTTGCGATCGTATATGCCGTCGTGTCACAATGATAATCTGAAGACAATCCCTCTTGTTTGCGTGGTTTGAGCGAGATCTATGCCTCTCCTCCAACCCGTTCTACTATTCGGCTATCTAATAGCTCCTGGTATCTTTGGTGGAGTTAAAGATGGTGGCAAACGAGAGTCGGAAGACTGCATAGCACCTTGGTTACTGAGACTGGACTCAAGAGTTGTTTGCTGATACTAGGTCAACTAGTTTGGTGCTTTGACCGGTAGTCAACTTCCTCGACAGCGGCCGATGACTTACATATAATAAGTTGCCTATTCCTCCGCCTAGTCGTGGCCATCCAGCACTAGATTTGGCATATGTCGATGTTTCTTCACTCTACTCACTTCTTCGCAATATGGCTCCCCCAATACGCTTTCTCGTCCTCGTCCTTTTCTCGGTTGGCCTCGCCGCAAAAGTAGGAGACTGGACACTGTCTGATTTCAGCCGATATTGTTACTCAGACACAAGCTGCGCCTACCATTTCTTGCTCGGCGAGGACAATCTCAACGGGGTCAACCCAAACGCGAGATTTGTATGTGACTTCACCGTGCCCAGCGAGGACGGGAAGCCGGCGAACGAGACGGATTTCGAGAACGTGCCTTGCCAGCAGGGCCCGCCGTGGTATCGAGTTAATGGAGGGTGGAATCCTGATGGTTACGTCGTCATTGTGGTGACAAATACGGTGGAGAATGCGTACGCCTTCTTTGGATACAACGACGTGGATCTTGAGGGAGGGACTCCGGTTGGGTGGCAGACACAGCCGGCGTTCGATGTCGGCACCTTTGTTGACAATGATATCGCCCCTCGGCAAGTCGAAGAGAGCCGTGATTTCTGGGAGGGTTTGGAGCTGCTAAGGCGTACGTTGATTCCCTGTCTAACTGGTGATATCCCGATCTCTCCTTACTGAACATTGCTTATTGCAGGACATGCTCCCCCCCGCCATTAGTTCATCTGGAATTTCGAAGCTGGGAGAACAATAATGAACTTCTCAATAGCTGTACTATCAGCCATGAGGCGTTCGAGGGGATTGGTGTTGCGACATGGGCCTTCTATGACCAGAAGTGCAATGACAGTGGCTGGTTTATCTCATGGGGCTACAACCATGGTAGTGCCGTTATGACCGTTGGTTGTCAAGAAGGTCGATCATTCTATACTTGATCCGAGTAACAGACACAGGGGGTGGCTAATTAACCCAGAATGAAAATGTTTCGTTGCTTGACTCGGGCACATCTATGCCAGTGTGGTCAGAACATACCTAATGTGAGATGCTTTCTTTTCAGGGTGGCCTCTCCATCAAATTGATAGATTCTATCATCTCTGCCTTGTTGGCCGAGAGGCAGCGGATGGACTTCACCTTCCCGGACTGCACCTACCACTCTTCAAGTCATGCCCCAGTTACGGCAAGTTTACGACAACATCAAGCGTGCCGATCGTTACCTTTGCGCAACCCCTCAAGGATTTCGAGTACTTGGACCTGCTTGTCCTCCCCGAGATGGCCTTCGTTGGTAAGCTGTTATAGAAGGCAACAAACTTTACGCCGGAATGTGTTTGGCATCAAGGACAGCGAACTCATCATGTACCAAAAGCAAGGTCAGATATTGGAGGGATTAGCTTTTGCCAATACCGGGAGACCTGATGGTGCAGGACGTAATTGGGTGTTCGCTTGATGGGATTCCCCTGCGTCATTAAAAGGAGTTGAAGCATAGATTGAAGAATGGGTTACCGGAAGACAGCTAGCGTCATTATCAACTCTAGCCAGGCAAGGCGCATTCTTCTGCCTACCTTATAGAAGAGACGTACGCACATCGGTGATTGACGGGGTGCCTGCGGATCGGGCCGGGCCCTTCGTCTCGGTCTTAGACGCTGTTCCTGGGGAGGTCGACAAAACCGCTGTGGATTGGATTCGTCAGGGCAGGGGTGGCCCGGTGCAGCCAAACACTTAAAGAAACGGAAGCTTATTTGCGATTGACTATGTCAATCGGGTGCTTATTTCTCCTTGGCTAACGGCACTCTAGGTAGTAGCACTTCAATCAAGCTTTGCAGTGACGGAACAAAAGCCCCCAACGAGGAATTCCTGGTTTGGATTGCGCAGCGTCACATAACCATAACCCACAACTGGACTAGCGACCACATCGAGCGTTTTCCTCCTTGGAAAATAATGAGATGGAAATGGCCAGTTTCTTTATCAAACTGGGTACGGCTGTGACCAAATGTGACTAGGATGCATCTAGATGGGTTACAGTCGCCGAGTCACCATCGGAGCAGCCAATCGACGACGGCAATGGCCACTTTCCCACCTGTGACCGGAGGACTTGCAAGGGTACCCATGCAGGCTAATTGCTTAGCTCGGCGGCAGCACGGGGAGTCTTGTGCTCTAAGTGGCCAATCCCGCTTGACTGTGTGCGCCACAACTGCAGGATAATGCAGGCCATCTATCACCAACCCAGCTATCACCTTCCACAGCGGTAAGCGGCCCATCTCCCGTCGATGGACATCGAGCACCCCCTGCTGTCACGCTGTGACCTGCCCCCAATGCTGTTGTCGCTCTCCCACTCTCCCCTCCAGTCGCTGTCGAAGTTCACAGAATTTGGAACCAACAATCTGCAATGTTCAACTCGGAGCACAATTCCAAACACCCTTCTCCTCGCTCCTAGACGACCACTAAGTTATAAACCCAGTGCCATGGCGTCTCACTGTTCCACAAACCCGGGCCCAGTCTCGCGAGCCTAGACGTTCATCCAGCGTGTCGAGGGGGAAAACCAACCATCGACGACAAGTCGAAAAGGGAGGTTCCCAACGAATCCAACCAAGGCTGCCCTTTTTGTCACGGCGATCTTCCCTCTTCCCGAGGATACCGACCGAGCATTTGAATCACCAAGATTCAGAATGCGGACCGCAGCCTCTGGCGCCGCTTTTGCGGCACTTTTGCAGATCTCAAACTCCGTTCTTGTCACCGACGGTTCCTTCTGCGGGGTGCAGTGCGGGAATGTCGCCGACGCGACCACCGCATCAGATATAACGTGCGATCAGTCAGCGTACGCAGTTTCGCCAGCAGGAGCCGTCTTCGAGAAGTGCATCCGATGCGAGACGGCGAGCAACTACACGGCCCATGGCCAGACAGATCTCCAATGGATGCTGTGTTGGTCTCCCTCCGTCACTCGTTGAACGCGCACCGTCAGCCGTCGCAGAACTGACAATCTCTACAGACAATATCCGCTTCGCCACATCCTATTGCCTGTTTGGCGAACCGCATAACCCAGATATTGGCGATAGCCCATGTCGCACGAGGCAAGTCGACTACCAGCCATCCAATATTACACCCTACCAGCACGACCCCTTAACTAACTGACCCTCTCAGTCATGCGTGCGGCCTCTTGAAGGATGCAATCCAATGGAACAACCTCACCATCGAGGCGGGGCCGTACGACTTCTGCCAGAGTTGGTTCCGCGACCAAGTTGAGGGGTGCAACGAATGCCTTGCTGCCGGCAACCAAGAATATCTGGGAAACTTTGTGACCATGATGGATGCCGCTTGCCTGCAGAAGCCTGCTCCTGGCGATAGGATCTCCATCGAGGGCGACCCCTTTTCTACCACCAAGGTCAATGTCACCACGCCTTCACCCACTCCGCAGTACACGTTCACGCCGGACAACTCGCCCCTCAACCTAGGGGCGCGTGTCGGCATCGCCATTGGCGGCATCATGTTTCTGCTTGTCCTGGCGGGCTCCTGCATTGTGTGGAACGGCAAGCGGAAGCGGCGGGCGTTCTTGCGCGAGCTGGAGACGCGCAACCACCACCAGGGGTGGCCGCACCCGAAGACTCCGCACAGCGGCAGCGGGCCCGACATGTTTGAGACGCCCCTGAGCCAAAAGCCGCTGCGCGGCTGGGGGGATAGCCCCGTCAGCGCAGCCACCGAGACCCCGGACATCGCCTTCCCGCGCTACTTCAGCCCCTACTCGAGCACGTATAACAGCCCCGTCAGCGCTGCCGATGGGCCCAGTACCATGAACTGGCCGACGCTGAACCCCCAGAAGCTGGACGAGGCCCTGGTGCCCGACCCGGCCCTCCAAAACGTGCAGCAGCAGGAGCAGCAGCAGCAGAGCCAGCACCCTCTCCGCAGCCAGCCGACCGCCTTCACCCACTGGCCTACCTCGACGCAGGAGAAGCTCATGCAGATGCAGCACGAGCGCGAGCAGCAGGCCGCCGCCGACATCGGCATCGGCATCGCCCTCGGGGGCGACGAGGCCAGCCTGAGGTCCAAGGACTCGAACCCGCAGTTCGCAGCCAACCCCGCCGCCGGCGGAGCAGCCCCGGCGGCCGGGCATGGCCAGGACCCGTACGAGGCGATGTCGACGGCGACGGCGCCCGCAGCGGCAAAGGGCAAGGACCGCCGCTACTACGACGAGGCCTACGAGATGTACGAGGTCGACGGCGAGCGGCGCGCCAGCCCCGTCGCAGTGGCAGCTGCTGCTGCTGCTGCTACTGCCGGCGACCGCCTCGCCAGCAACAACCCGTACAGGGGAGTGCCGGCCGAGCCGGCGCCGCGGGCGCCCGTGCTCCAGCACCCGGGCTACGGCAGGAGGCCGTCAATCAGGCGGCCCGGGACGGCGGGCTCGGTCGGCTCGGTTCGGTACGGCGGCCTGACGGAGGAGGATGCGCGGAGGGGACATGCCTTGTGATTTGATCTGTCTTCCTCCTGCTTTCTCCCTCTCTCCCTCCCTCTCTCTTTTTTCTCCTAGTTCTGTTGTGGGCTCGGCGTTTCGGGGTTCTGGGGAAATAAATGATACCTTACCTGACCTGTACCTGTTAGCCGCCTGACGAAATGTCGGCGGTTTGCATTAGTTGGGGATTTTCCGTTATGGGTTGCGTCTTATAGGTTGGTTGTGAATACGGCTCGGCTGGGGGAATTGGGTTACGTGGCCTAATGGAGGAGAACGGGTTGTCGACGTTGTTGGTTGACTTGGGGTCGAAGAGGGCGGTGCTGGTGATGCTGATACTGGTAGTTGGGGGGGGTCGCACTCCTGAGATTTTGTTACAAATCCGAGCAAGAAGTTGTCATTGCAGCGAGGATTCATCACTCGTCACTCATTTATACACGACAGACGTGTTGTGTATTCGCTATGGAAATCCGAAAAAAGCGAGTGTCCTTGACTAGGTATCCTAGAATCGATATGATGTGAGATGAAGGTCGTTACTCGTTAGCTAGCCAGTAAATAGCAGACAAAAGCTGTGCCAGGCATAGGGGAAACAATATGAGATCCAGCAAGTCAATCTTCCCTTCACACTATGTAGACCCTGACGCTGCCAGTTGGGCGTGCTGGCTGCAGATTGAACCTTCGAATTGCTCTTCGGGAGCGTTGCTGTTTGCGTAATCTGAAGCCAAAGACACACACTCGTCCGGGCGCGCAGTTCCGCCAAACGACCAAAACAGAATGCAAAGCCAGGTGCGATCAAACCCCCCAACGCAAGAGCAGATAGAGTGAGAAATTGCGCAAATATGACAACGCGAGGTTGCAGTCGTTACTCGTCAAGGGTGTTGAGATCCGTCAGATGGATTTCCTCGTCGAAACATGGCCAGCCTGGACCTGTCGATTTCATCGAGACCACCAGTGGCAGGCGGCTCGGATAACGTATATTCCCATCTCCCTGGGTGCCGTCAATTCCTTGGGATATGGCAAGCGGAGCTGGTGCGGAAATGCGGCTTCCTGTTCGGACAGGAGCGGAAAGAAAAAAAGGAAAAGAAACGTGGTCGGGAACAGACAGACCGATAAGGTGCAGCGTCCCTGGTTTTGGAGAGCAAGGTCGAAGGCAGAGGGTAGGGGCTGCGGTTTACGCCCCCTACCTGCCGTCCTTCCGTGTCTCCCTCAGCCCATGGCCGAGATCTTGAGATTCCAACAGGTGTCGACGGCGTTTTTGACGGTCTCGACATGTTTGCCATCGATCCGGCCAATGATGAAAACCCTCACATTGTGCTCAACGTTGACCAGTTTGGAGTAATCCACTCGAGACTCCCTCGCCAGCCGCTCTCCGCTGGCTTCAATTCTCATGCCGACAGGAACGAAACCCAATTCAGGCTCGCCGTGGAGCATCTGGGGCTTAGATTTGATGTCGTAGATAATGCCATGCTTGTCAGGCTTCACGCCCCTCTTCTTGCAGCCTTTTCCTATGTAGGTGTAGATCGGGCTGGAAAGTAGCCATTAGTGATGATTCAAGGTCCAAGGAATGGATGAATTTGCGGCATACACGCAAGTGGAGTGACCCTTATCAGTGGCGACGACTATGAAACGGCGGAGCCCAACGTAAACCAGTTTACCAAACATGTGCTCCTGGCCGACCTCGGTGTAAGTGTTGAGGGTTTTCGAGTTCTCGCTTCGTGGTTCTGACCAGAGAATCTTGATGACCTAGGGATCCCAGCCAGTCAGTTCACCAACTAGATGGATAGTCATTCCGCCTTCCACCATCGACTCATGGAATAAAGGTTGGGTGGGGGGGAGGGGGGTGCGGTTTCTTGACAGAGCAACTCACGAGGCCTGGGGCGAACTTGGAAGACCTCTCCACACGAAAGCCTGGAGTTCTTAGTTAGAACACCGAACAAGCTGAAGGGAAATTGGCTTCCAGGACTCACGTTTATCAAGAGGTTCGGATTTCCCTTCCGCCCCCTTAATTTTCAGGATAGGGGGATACGGGTCGGCCTGTGTCGGCGTTAGGCGGCCATCTTCGTAAGGCACCTCCACTTCCTCGTAGTCACCTAGATGTCGGGATCAGTCATGGTCACAGGCTACATGGAGTAAAATATCAGAAAACCACCTTCGGTCGATGGTCCTCCAGCATTCGCTGGCCCTAAGAATGCAGCTCTGCTACTTTCGGTCATAACCGCCTGAAGATCTTGTTCATCATACCCGTATACCTCAGTTCCTGCATAGGGATTGTCAGGGTAAGCAAGTGTTGTGGAATCTTCTGTGGCGTAGGAGGGATCAATGGTCCCAGGAGCTTCGTTGAAGGCCTCTCCAGTGCTACTTGGTGGAGGCCATTGGGATGACTCTTTCGTCGGGCGAGACGCTGCATACTGGATCAGATATGTGAGATAGCAAAACAATGGGACAGAGAGGCGAACCGTGGTGGTGATCATCGTGGCGGGTATAATCTCGGCGGAGCGGTTCGGCCTGCCCTCTGGGTTTTGAGTAGAATGGGTCTTTTTGCTCATCTCCAGTGATGGGCTCCTGGGGTTCTTTGACCTTTTTGCTCTTCTTCCCCGGGTCCTTTTTGTCCACCTGTCTTTCCTTTTCTTTACCGGACCTCTTGGAGTCGGTGTGTTTGCTAGATGATTTCGTGTCATGGGCCTTGCCCTTCCCTTTATCTCTCGGGGCCTGGGCAATGTTCCTGCCACCCTGAGGTTGGGAATAGCGACCGCCATCGCCATAGGGGCGCGACCCAGCGTGAGCAGAGTAGTCTTGCTCACGTTCATCGTAGGCAGAGTACCCGTCACCAGGCTGGGAGACCGTCGATGGATAATATGTGGCTACGTCATTCCCTTAGTTAGTTTCGCAACGGTGCGCAAGCCTGGAAAAGGACATACCTTCGCTGGGGGTATGAGTATAGGCCGGCTCGAGGATTTCGGGGCTGTCATTCAGCGACAGTCCCTGGAAGGCCGGGTCGATTTCGGCCTCGGTTCGAGGAGTGCGCCACTCATACTGCAGCTCCCCTGTATGGCAAGTTAGCGGCCACTCCTTGAGCAAAAGGAGTACCTAGAGAGCTGGTTGGACGTGCCGGCCTCATCCGTCCACTGCCTAAAAAATGCCTGGAACTCTTCACTCCATTCCCAATGATCTTCGGCTTGTTCCGAGGACATGGCTGGACTGATTCATGGCCATGTACGGTGGGACGGCGGGGGACAAGGGCAGGATTCGAGTTTCCCGACAGGGACGGAGGGGCAGCGTAACAACGAGCCCGGGGCAAAGAACCTGGAACAGTATGCAAGTGATGGCGGGGTGGCCTGCAAGATGGGCTATCCCAGGCAGGTTGCTGGGTGCTCTTATTAACTGGAAAGTCACGAGATGCGGCTCTGCACAATAGCAGAGCAACCAGCGCTGATGCACACAGGCGTACGGGCTTGGACTCGGGGTTAATTGAGGGCGGGTGTCATTGTATGCAGACCACGAGCTCGTGATGTCCCCGCGCCGCTCCTATTTGCGGCAGGACTTCTCCCGGTTTGATTAGGTAGGTATGCACGGTTAGGCACCTTGCAGTCCCGGCACGAGAAATGGGATACAGCGTGGGGACCGGTTACGGGTTGACGCTGCGTGGCGAGCGATCGCGAAGGGGCGAAGGGAAGGAGCAGAGAGAAGAAGGAGCAGGACAGCCCGACCTCCAAGGTAGTCATCTTGGGCCGCAAAATATCGGCACAGCAACAGACGCTCGACATCAGCTAACTTACCTACGTAGCCTATCGTTGCGCCAGCGACAACTTTGGCACCCGACTCTTCGCACCCCGAAATTCTCAGCTTCTAGCCCCACTCCATTTACGTTTGCCAGCCCGCGTCGTTCCCATGTCGGTAGGGCGGCAAGAGAAACCCGACCCTGCAGTCTTTGCCTCGACAGGGATCCTCGCGAACCTGGTGGAAGTCACGATCAAGGGCTCTGAGTGCCCAGGTGGTGTGACGCGGGAACAAATATGTGACACCGCTGCAAAGAGTTAAACAGCGGACCTCTCATTTTCACCTATAAGTATACCTACCTAGGTAGTACGCACATTGCGTGGTATTTCTTGGCGTAAATACTGCAGGGCGGCTGTCTGCCCGGTTGAAATGTAAAAAGGCATATCCTTGTAGCCGTAGTTGCGCTAAGTACTTTCCAGGATTGGTTCCCGGTGTGGATCCCGGTGTGGGTCTTTCCGCTCACCTGCCTTGTGGGGTACACACGCGCGGTGCGAGTCCCCACAGTATTTTTATCTGCTGTTGCTCTGCTACGCCCTACGGGCAAGCTGAGGCGACCCTGCTGAAACCTGACCTCCTCGTCGACAGACTGATTTTAGATCTCGTCTGCCCCAAACATCACCGCGATCAGAGTCGTTCAAAGTCAAGCATGCATCGTTTGCACGGATTGTCAGCCGAGCCAGAACACTGTTATCTCAGAGATAAAAGCAACACTTCTCTCGGCCCTCCATTCCCGCGACATACTGCCGGTCCAGCCATTGTCGCGACCTCGTCGCGTTGCAGAGACGCAACCGAATAGTTTTTATATCAAGTGATGGAAGCCCGCCATCTGTCGAGGCCATGGCGAACCCCATTAGTCGACCGTTGAGCTCCCCTGGGGGAACGTCGCCGGACCCGAGTAGTACTGCAAGCGGTTTCAGGTCGAACCCATCCTCGACAACGCAGGCTACTGGAATCGCCCACGTCTCCATTCCGGCTTCGAACATGTTTCGGGACGTATCCTACCGGTCGCCTGCTAGTTCGTCGGACTCGTCCGTCCCATGCAGAGGCCCTTTTCCTGACTCCCGCACTCGTCTCTTCCCGCCCTTATTACCCACGCAGAGCCGGACCCTGCCGCCCTTTGAACTCACCGCTCGACTTGGAAATGTCTTGGCTGCCGATCTTTTACCCACTGGCTCGGAATCCAATTGCACGTCTTGGGAAGTTGAGGACGGGGCTAGTGACGGGGAGCATGCCAAGTACGGCCACAAGGACGGGGGATCGGATGACAAGCTTGAGATGCTCCAAGCTTTATGGGGCCAACTACAGGATCGGCGTTATACGGCCCGAGAGCTCCGGGCGAAATTATCGGAAAAGCGGGCGAAGTTACGGGAACTGAGGAAGCAGAAGGACGATACGGACAACCATTTCATGGGCCTTATACGGCCTCATTTCCCAAGCAGCCACCGCTTAACCTTCGCCACAGACTTGATAATTCGACGATTCAACGAGATGCAAAGTATTCGGTCTGCCTATCATGTCCTGGAGAACGAAGTCGAAGAGCTCGAAATCCAACTAGATGAAGAGCAGGGTTCACGCGAAACACTAGAGGCCCAGTTCTTCAGCTATCTGGAGGCTTCCGCTCGTGGCAATAGACCCCAAGATGCGTCACCCTCTGAGTCGGATACAGACAGCTATGCTCCCCCGTCAAGGGCATCCTTGTTGGGAATCCCAGCCGATCGTCCTGCCGACATCCACCCGCTTTACAGGCGTCTTCTCGATGCAGTTGGCGACCGGGAGCTTGCCCGAGAACATCATATGGACCTAGTTATGCACCGCGATTCAATATTGTATAACCTGGACTTGTCTCTCAAGCGGGGACGGCAACGCGCTGCTGAAGGAAATCCTAATTTTCAAGCCCCTGTATCCGACGACGACGGTCAGCTTGAGCCCCTGAAAGTCTTGGTAGAAGAGCCTGGCAGGTTAGACGAAATTTGTGCCCTGTACAAGTTGGCCATCAACGAAGATGACTACGACTTCTTGAAGGTTTTTGGCGAAGAGGAGGCCGATGTGCAGAACACGCTGGAGGAGGCAAAGGAGGAGTGCGAACGGCTGATGCAATTGTGCAAAAGGATGGGCGTGATGCGAAAGAACGCCCCATACCACGAAGAGTACACCATCTTCTCCGAAACGGACGTGCTCGTGGCTGCCGGCACGATGAGCATCGATCAAGAGCATGGCCCCGAGCTTGAAGAAGGCCTGGCAGATCCACGCTTCCCAGTCCTCCTATCGAATCCTCGTCATATCCTTGAGCCTGAACCCCTGACGGCAAAGGGCGCACTCAAAACCGCCACTATGCTTGCAAGGGATGACCCGTCGAGAGCGCAACTAGTAGCAGCGTCTATGAAGGAGTACGGCATCTCCACCCTCCTGGTCGAGGCAGCAGGAGAGAATAAGTCCGACTACATCAACAGATGGCTCCTGCACCGACTCCGCACCTCTCCATTGGAGGCTGAGCTCCTCTATACGGTTTTTTCAACAAAGCTCAAGGTCCGCAATCTAAGGCGCTGGCAGGAAGATGTGTTATATTATTGGTCTCGCGACAGGGCCAATCGACCAGTCGAGGCCTTCGAAGGACCTATTACCACGAGGGATTCGCTTGTGATAGACGGTGATACCTGTTGGGATAATTTCAACTCGGTTATCGAGGTTTCTTCGCAGCCACAGAGCGAACCGGGATACACTCCGAAAAGACTGTCTCGCCGTCTGTCCAGACTCTTGCGGACTGTCCACTAATCTAGCTGTCCAGACGGTCGAACTTAGCGACCTCTCGGTCAGGCTGGCACAATTCTGGATACTTCCAATGTTTGATTTCATATGTTTCTGCAGCGAACGTATCTTAAGTTTGTATACACAGAGCGGCAAGCGGGCTTGGGTTTTTTTTTTTTTTTTTTTGGGCTTCATCGGGGTTTTAGAGGTCTCCTATTTGGATCTGTAATGTTTGGGATGGTCAGGTCTTCTCCTAGGATCCGGAAGGTTTTGTGCGTTATGCTGGGTTTTATGGTGTCTCCCTTTTCCTTCTGGTTTCAGGATACCCTCTTGGCATGCATAAATAACCTGTATTAGTATCGTGTTGCACATGAAATAGGTATTTAGAGATAGGTAGTCTGTCGGGGATTTAATTATAAGGAGGTCCCGTTGAGCCGCAAAGTTGAGATGTGATGACCCCTGAGCAGTACCCCTAGTTACCTAGGTACCTAGGTATGTAGTAAAATGTACAAGTCACGTGTATTTCACGTACATGCATGTACTCCATACTTTTTACCCAGGCAATCCCCACCTTCGCGGCCCGAGCCTCCTGTCCTAGTGATGGGGCCTAATGGCGGCTAATCCCCGCTCTGAACGGAGTACAGATGTATATACATTTACGGATAGCCGGCCAGCATCCAATACCCTTAAAGCGGCGACAGGCTGGAGACGTGCACTCCATCAAAGCGCGTGACTGCATGGGGTGCTGCCGTGTCCCGGGACTTTGGTCCAATCGTGCAGCTTTGATAAAAACGAAGGGGGGTAGGAAACACCTTCTACGAATCGCTAGCTTGCAAACACGTAACTGTGTATTACCTCGCTTGCTCCCACCCCCCCTTCATTGGGTGCGTTGCTGCGTTCTTCTTCCCCTTCGCTATTTCGATCTTATCACACGTTTAAATGAGTCATCGATGGGGAACGGACCCGGCGTGACCTCTGAGACGACGCAGGCAGAGCGCCGGCACTCCATGGTCGGACGAATCGACTCCTTCGAGAACGTGGGCTGATGGGATGCGGCTCTCGCCATGTCTGGGGTGGGGAATATACCGAGGGCAGGTAAATGGGGTGAGGATGCAATGGACTTGGGGGATTTCAACGCATCTTTTTAACATCATTCTTTTTCTTCTTTACGAGAGCAGAACCCCGAAGACCTGCGGCGCCGTTGTCCACCACTTCCCAGAAAACAATCATGATCTGGTCACCGGTCGACCAGTCCTGCCCACCGTGTCTCGGGCTGGTACAGTACATGCAGGCTTCAGCCCCATGTCCCCTACCCCATTCCCGATCCGTTGACTGAGCGAGTTTGGGTGGGGAGGTGGGGGAATGCAGGGCTGTCGTTGGATCATTGGATGTCAGTTGAGACATCTTGTTTTCTTTTGCCATTTTGATGATTTGCTATCAATTGGTTGGTCGAGAAAGGCGTGCTTCCTTTCAAACAGGCTGCCACCATTCTGGCGGTGAGCGGCTATCTCTGCACAATGAATAATTGATTCGAGTCCTCAAGATGCTTAGATGGCATTCCTGGATGTCTTGTGGAAAGCCAAGGCGACAGACCATAAGTCTAATTCTTGTTCTATCAGACAAAAGAAACACTCCCCTTTAACGTATCGGGCTAGTTATGCAGCTCTCCGTGCATTAGTGTGACACGGCCCTTGAAAACCCGTCCATTGCATCCAGCCTACTGGCAAAAATGAAAGGCGAAGAAACCATCAACACTTTCCGTACCAGGGTCCCCATCGTAGACTTCTTTTAGTAACTGCCCTCCATGGTGCCGGGGGCCTAGTTATCCCGAATCATCCGTCTGAAAAGGTACAAGATCCGAGTGGTGCATTCTGGGGTCGGAGGTTCACCGATATTGAGTGATAGGCTCCGTTTGGCCCGACCGGCCTCGGTGGAGTGAATGGCCCTTTTCCGGGGGTTGACTCCCACTCTTCTTAAGAATCCTCCGGAATGAGTGACGGAGTGCATTTATGCAGTTGCCACCTTTGCTGTTAGCACTCTTAGCCCGGCCCCCAGCTGGTCCTGGCTCGCCAGGATCCTGCACTTGACGCCCTGAGTGGGACGCCGCGGACGAGGATGCTCTCCGGTGCAATCCCACGAGGACCTCATCGAAGAGCCTCTGGATGGAGTGGGTCAATGAAGTAGCCCTTCCCTTACCCTCCTCCTTCACCTCCGCGTCATCTTTCAATTCCTGGAGCTGCCGAGGCCCTATGGTTTTGTTAGTCATTCAAGGCAACCCAAGAGACGGCGGAGGGCCTGGTCTGTCAAGACGCATGATGCTCAAGAGCCACCCCAACAGTACTCACCTGATGAACGGTTTAATATCAAGGAGCCTATTGCTTTACTCTCCATCTTGCATCCATGGCCCCCGTGGACTTCCCTCCCAGGGAGGGAAGATACCAAGTTATTTTCAGGTTCTTGTTCTATCCACCCAGACTTGGCAGTTTGGTTGACCAGAGACGTCCGCGCTTCTGATGGAACTTGGCTGTCCTCCAAAACTGCCATTTTCAATTTCCTGAAGACGTTCGCAAACGACCCTAGGCGGCGGTCCGGGCGAATTCGGTCACTCTTCTCAATCCGCCGTCGTCGGACAAGATATCTCCCACCGAGGGGCAGGGATCCCCCTTTGTTTCCTCCGTCTCTCTCGTCCTCACTCACCAACTGCTCTTTCATTGCTATACTCTCAACCCCTGGACAATTTACAGAGTTAGCAAAGGATTTCCTCGTTCGGATATTGGGTTGGAGTAGGTATGGTTATACTTTTTTGACGTATTCTTCTCAATATGTCCCGCGCCCTCCGACTCCTGTGCGGACCCCTACCGCTCGAGGCTTGTTCGACCTCCAGAGAGGTTGTGTCCCTGGGGCTCCGGGTGGATTGCTGCTCATGCTGTATCGAGTTTGTCTGTCCCTTGAGGGATGTTCTTGAGAAAGCCACTTGCTTGCCTGGGGGATTGAGGAGCTTTGCGGCACTCTTTGCCAACTTGACCCGGTTGGGATCGTTACGGGAGGCATGACTGATTATGGAATTATCGCTCTTGGTGGCCGGCTCAGGTCTGCAGTTAACAGTTGGTTGGGTTGGTTTAGGCATAGTAGATAGCTGAATGGGTGGTACGAGTTGAACGTCGTCGGAACCGGGATCCTGACTGGAGCTCGCCATGTTTGCAGCTTGTCACCTCGATGCACCTCTCAGGGATGATGATCCCAGTGGTGGGCTATAAACCGGAGGGACAAGTGCGAGAGTTGACACGGGCAATAAAATGATTCTGAACCGTAAGATGAACTACCAAAACTGGTTGATGGTAACAGACTGGCAGAGATATTATGGCAGTAAATAACAACCCACCGATCTCTCTAGCACAGATTTGAAGCCTATGTACTGGCAAGAACCACATTTGCCGATTGCTCATCGCAGCTTCCCTTTCCGACCAAATAGACAAGTTCAATAAACCCTACTTGTACCTACCTACTTAACTACCTAAATATATGCATTGAAACAAAACAATCTCGGAACTCTCAACCAAACATGGCACCTGAGTTGCAGACTCGACCTCCGCTAGGATCCAAAAAAAGCGAGAGTCCAGGTAGGTGAGGTACAGCAACATGTTGATGTGCCGGACAGACCCCGGGCCTGGAGCTGGACCCGACATGCCACCCGCCCCCACAATCCACACCTTCCGTGTTCATAATATGCTTGTCCGACAGCACCTTCCACTAAGCGTCGCCATCTCCCACGCTTAGATCAAAGCATTTGAAAAGAAGACAAAAAGGCAGAAAGATAGGGGCTTTCATGGGGCGAACTCTCAGGGGCAAACGTTCAGGGGTAATCTTTCGGCACAGCCGAACTCTCCGCCAACTCGAAGCCCCGCAGCTCACATGGGCGGCGGTATACCCGGCGTTCTTTTCTCCACGACCCGGATGGAGCGAGGAGCACATCGTATCAATTCTGGCGATGTCCATTGAGGGTGTGCTGGATACTGGCTGCCTCCACGAAAAGAGGGAGTAGATCCATCCTTTGTTTCCGACCGGACCATGTGAGAGTGCGAGTGAGGATGAAAAGAATGAACCAGTGATTGGTGGCCGGCCTCAAGGAGGTGGAGGGATAATCGATTGAATTCTCGGCCTAGATATGGCCATAATATGTGTGTACATCAGATTCCTTACAGCCGTTTCATCAGTCCCTGCTCCTTCCATAACCCGATCCTAATCGCTCATAGTATCCAACCAATGCCTCCTAGCACCCAAACCCCGAATCCGATCATGCGTTTTTTTTCCTTTTCGTATGTATGTACATAAAAGCTAGGTCCATATACATACCATGTAGCGGCCAGGGAGCTCTAGGTCCTGACGCCCTGGGACCATGGTGTATCGATTAGTTTTCCCTCTCTCCTTTTCCCATCCTCGCCGTCTTCTCCCGTCGCCTTTACGCAAGGCTCTTGTTATCACCAGCCTTCTAATGGCCGTACGCCACAGTCTATGCAGTCTCGCCAAAAGGTCCTAATACAAAAAGCTCAAGACATTCGAACGCCCCGCGCCAAAAACCTCACGCCGCCGACCCCGCCGGCCTCCTCCTCCTGAACAGGACCTGCCCTTCGGGGTTCGGCGTCTTGGACATCATCATGATGACGGGCCTGGGCCTCTCCTCGCCATCCTTGAGCCGCAGGTCGTAGTTGAGCAGCACGTGCGCCAGAATCATCTTGATCGAGTTCCCGGCGAAGAAGCGGCCCGGGCAAGCGTGCTTGCCCGCGCCAAAGTGCATGTTGGTGTCGCCGATGCTCGTGAACTGGTGCCGGTTCGCGTCCTCGGGCGACCGCTGCCGCATCCGGTAGAACCGGAGAGCGTCGAACCGGTCCGCGTCCCGGTACAGCCGCTCATCGCGCGAGATGCCCGCCAACGGCGTGAGGAGCTTGGTCCCCGGCGGGAGGTGGGTGCCGTCTGAGAGGTCGATGGGCTTGATGACTTTGCGGATGAAGGCAGCTGGAGGGCCGTTTGTGTCAGTAGCTTGTCCCAAATACCCTGTGCAGGGCATAATAGGGGGTGATTTGAACGTCATGATGTGGGCTCTAGGTACTTACTGACGTTGCCCCCTAACCGCTGGGCCTCCTTAATAAAGCTGTCCATCTTCTTCAGCTGGCCCATGCTTTCCCTCTTCGCCCAGCCATCGTTATTCTCAAGCACCTCGAACGCCTCTTCTCTAAGCTCTTCCTGCCACTCTGTGTGTGCTGCTAAGTCGAATAAACATTCTGCTGCCAGGTTGGTTGTCGTGTGAATCGCGGCCGCACTCAGGATCAACTGCAACTCCGTCTGAGTCTGAATGTCCACCTTATCCTCCTCGGGCAAGGTATCGAGTAACCACTGAATGAAGTCATCCGGCTTGTTCTCCTCGAAGCCGGGGGACTCCATATCTCGGAGTCGCTGTTCGATAATCGGTCGCAGTATGCTCTTCGCCTGGGTAATATCTCTGTCGATACTCCTCAAGTCCGACACCAGATACTGCACGATTGGGCGCATCCATTCGGGGAAGAACTGCAGCTTGACGGCGGCAATGAACACGTGGATGGCGTAGTTGACCGACGTGTCCATCCACTTTTCGTTGCGGTTGACAGCCGGTCCGACAAAGACATAGCCGGTCATCCGCGCGACGGCGCGCAGCGTGAAGGGTTGGAGTTTAACAGGGGTCCAGTCTTCACAGTCGGATATCTCAGTCGTCATGATGTATTCGAGTTCGCCTCTCAACCTGGGGGCGAGCCGTGCAAGGTTTGCAGAGAGCTTCGTGCGGATGAGAGTGGAAAGTAGTGGGCCGTTATGGCCGGGACAGAATCCAGTGTACTTGCTCAACATGGCCTGCTTACGCGGTAAGAACGATAGGACAACATGGCAAAAGGGGGGATTCAGGCTTAGGACCGACCTCGCGCACTGCCTCGGTGGCACTGAGGACATCCTCGGGCAAACTTTTCAGCTCGCCGAGGAACTTTGGGGGAATCAAAACCTGGACGCCTTCTGTTGCCTTGATCTTGTATACTCTGTCGTAAAACTGGAATGGAGTTAGTCGCCAATGGGCCCCATAAGTTGCTCTGCTCGGGCGGACTTGGGAGTTTGGAGGGACTGTTGACCTTGTTGTAACTATCCCGAACCAAGTTCTCGGCATCAAATATCCATTTCGACTTTCCAGCCTTGTAGAATGGAACATCGACGCCACTGGCCCTGCCGAACGGGTGGAACAAGTAAACCAGTGATAGTATGCATAGGATCGCAACATAGTAACTGGCATGACTGCTCCTGACAAGAACATGAGATTCAGGATGCGGGTTGACAGCCTCTTGCCGGAAGATGTTGTATCCCCCGAAGGAGAAGGTAGTGTTGGCCGACATTTAGGGTAGAGTAGAAGGTAAGAAAGATGCGACCCAATGGGGTCGTGTTGCCTGTCGCGCGACTGAATATTGGGGGGAACAGATTAAGTATATCCGCGGCGACAAGTATGCGCCTTGCGGTGTTTCCTCTTTTCTAGTCGATGAAGACGGCTCAGCTGTGCCGACCGTTTGAGACCCGGCCTGGAGGCTGACAAGAGGGAGGAAGAACTCGATCGACAGGAATGGGGGAGCTCCGGTAGGTCGTGCCAAAGGCGACGGCCATTGAGGGAAGGCGTGGTAGCCCGGGACTGGAGAGTGGGAAATGAGTGGCAGTGTAAGTGAAAGCGCGATGACTGGGCATAACAGTTCTGTCTCCAGTTCGTTCGCCGAGGATAGGTGGACTATGACCCGACTATGTATGGTATTTGAATATGGTGATCACCAGTGCGGCAGAGCCTTTCTGGACGATGGCTCAGCACATGGTGTAATCGTGAGTCGGCACGACAAAAGGGAAAACAAATCCCCACGTAGAACACGGTAAACGAGAGATAGAAGAAAGAGAAATAGATCGGAACCTGGAGAAACATGGAAGGCACGACGGAAACAAGCCCCCTGTGACGGCGTCTGGGTTTCCATGCTGGAACGGAAAAAGGATGAAGTTGCAGCGAGGACAGGATCGACAGTTCACAAGGGGTCAGCGGGGAGTAGCGCGGTACTCGAGCTCTCCGAAGATGGCTGAGATGTCGGCCTGGGACTCTGTCAAGGAGCGTGGGCCCGCAAACAGTAGCAGTCGCAGTGACCTCTGGATAATTGAAGCGCAGGCGAGGAGGCATGCGATGGGACCTGCAACGCCTCCATGTCAGAGCTGAAACAGGGTGTCGATTGGTGGGACGGGAAGTGCAGGTGCCGGGCCTAGTTTCAGGGCTCCAAATCGGCTTGCCGCCAGCTGGCCGGCCGGGGCTGTGGAGTCGCGTGGAAGCAACCGAAGCTTCCAGCCGCAGGACCTAGCCTCAACTAGCGCCTCATCCCCACATGGATGGACGCCTCCTGGCGGGTTTGACGTCCCCGGTATCGAATTGCCCGAGAGCTATGAAGAATGAACAGAGACCTCTGCGCGAAATCGGGGGTCATCCCATAGCGTCCCATTCCGCCTTTCTGGCGCCATTTTCTTGACCCGTTTCTAGCTGCTCCTCGAGGCCCAGTCTTCATCCCGTTATTATCCTGGTGGGTTGGATGAAGAAATAAGGCAAAATCATGTGGCTTTTTGATTATTTTCCGCAGAGCTGAGTCCTGACAGACTGGAGTCTCAATGTCGTTTAAGCATTTGAGCCGAAACATTCGCATTACCTGCCAAGCCAACGGCCAGGAAAAGGCGCAGGTCCCGCGGGAAAGTCCTGCCTAGGCATTAAAACATCGGCTGCACTTGCCTTCGTCCATTCTATTCCTGGCTGGGGCCTTTTCCCTGCAACACTTGATTAATCATCTGGAACATCCCACTTTGGGCAGGTAGAAGGCCGACACTCAGCCCCGATTCTAGCTGCAGAAAGCTTGACTGGGAAAGATCTGGGGTAGCCCATGCTCCTTTCTTTCTAGAGCTGGGTTTCTTGGCTCCGGCATCCGGACCCCGCGCTCCATTGTACTGTTTCTGTTGGAAGTTCCGATTATCTGCCATAGACGTAGGTGAGGCAGAGTAGATGGCATGGAAACCCAGAAGTAGGAGTCGTTAGCGTAACCTGTAAACAGGTGTCTGTGTTCCTAGGGTAACACTGGTACTGACGACATGGTTACTATATGAGATGAACCCTCGGAGATGAAATCGGGAGCCAACAGGATCGTATCTCCAAAGGGCTGTTCGATAGCGCATGTTGAGTGATCTGATATCTCTAGAACTTTTTTTTCGAAAACTCAAGTTTAAAAAGGGATGAAAAAAGAGCACCCTCATGCGGCGGAATTATTTCACCCCTGCATCTCGACATCGTCACCTCCACCGCCGCCGCCCTTTTTGCGCTCCTCTATCCTCTTCTTCAGCTTGTCCTTGGCCTGGACGACCCATTTGTCGTACGCGCCCTCGCCCTCCCCCAGCTTCATGCCCACGGCGCCCTTGAGAACCTCTCCTGCGAAGCCGACAAAGTTGTGCCTCCGCAGCGCGTTTTCGAACCGCCAGTCGTTGCGCTTCCTCTCCTCCCTGGCCAGCAGGTCCATGTCGCCGAGCTCGCGCGCCCGCGCCCGCAGGTCCCTCACCATGGCGAGCAGGTTGAACCTGATCTCGGCGGCGTCGTACCTCGCGACCCGCCGCTGCAGCACCTCCATGACCTTTTCCGGGAACTCGCCCTGCCCGCACGCCCCGTGGCTGATGGGCGCCGGCTGGAGGCCGTCCAGCTCGTACAGCACCCCGTTGACCGGCGTGTAGGCGATGAAGTGGAACGCGTCCTCGCCCTCGTCCGCCTGCCGCTGCGTCTCGTCCACGAACGGGCTGCTGCGCGCGAAGCTGTTGTGCACATCTCGGATCTGCTCAGAGTTGCTGAGCGCCTCGCCCCGGAACTCGGGCGGCAGCGCCATCGTGAATTCGCGGAACTCTCCTAGCATCGCACCCACGTCTACGAATCCGGCCTCGCCCGCCGACGGGTCCGTCTTGTTGAGCAGCACGCTCAGCAGCGCCTGCGTGCCGCAGGCATTCTGGATGGTCTGCGCCGCAAAGAAGAGATTCTCTGATGCCTCGTGGTCGAACGTGCCGTCGAGCGGCTTGTCGGTGGCCCGGTATGGCGTGTCCGTCGGGTATTTGAAGAGGAAGATGACGCCATAGACGGGGTATAGCTCGGCTAGCGAGGAGGCGTCGAGGGAAAGGAGCTCTTCGAACTGGACATCTTTGACGCCGAGGTTATCGAGCAGGTAGGTGAAGACGCCCTGATAGAAGCGAAGGAATCAGCATTGATCACAGAGGAGTACTGCTAGGTGTAGGTGTGAGAGCTTCGCAGCGCCAGGACATGCAACAGTGAAAGCTCTCGGGCAGAAATCCCCACATACAGCATCGGATTCGACTGGTGATTCGCGCATTAGCCACCGAACCAGCCTGAGCTGCGCAACAGAGAAGCTACTGACTGGTGTTCCATCCGCCACTCATCTTCAATTGAAGACCGCTCTGCGGTCAGGATGCCTCCGGAAAAGGATCTTCTCGTCGAATTGGCGAGCTTGCAATATGAGCTTGACGCTTCGGGGAAATGGACGAGAACCGAAGCTGGGTAGGCTACAAGCAGACGACCGATTTCCGATGCCCGCGAATAGATATGGGGAAGATACAGGGTAAATTGCGGAAACCGTCGAGAGGAAGCTTCGCATTCGCTGCGGAAAGAATTCTAGGCAAACCTGCGGATGATGCAAGCTGGGCATTGAAGTCTGGTTGCCTCTTTCGGTAGGTACCTAGGTAGATAAGATAAAGCTTTTGCCAACTGGCTTCGTCATTGCCAGCTGCGACATCGATAACAGAGACAGCACAGTATGAGTTTATGTTTATAGAGGTCGAATTGCAAGGAAATACGGTTAAACTGGGGTAATTCATGGAATGACAGACATTCCCATAGCTACATTCATGATAGGCAAGATAGGTTGTCGATGTAGGGAGGAAACTGGCATATGCATGTGCCATGCGTTCTCATGAGAAAGTCACCTATACCATAGTCTTGGTGTGCACGTAGCACTGCAGTAAGCTACCTAGGTAGGGCAAGAGCAAGTTATTTTATACCTAAATCAGTACTAACAAGGCCGTCTGAACCGGCCTACCTAATCGTACAGTTAGTGCCACTTGTTACGGCATCCCCCGGACGCCATCGTAAGCCTAAGACTCTAAAAAGGTGCCAGAACAACTATCGACAAATTCAAGTTTGCCAAAATCGAGGCATTCCATAGTTAGTTAACTGTGGTCAGTTGAAAACCATAAAAACTCGCGCAAGAAATGCAGCGTCCGTGACTTTAGGCACCTGGAGGTGGCGGCGGAGGTTGATCGCTCGGGGGCGGAGGCGGAGCGGCGCCCGAAGGAGGAGGGGGCGGTGGAGCATTCGCATATTGCTGGATGAGCGCGGAGATATTCCCGGCAACAAGGCCTGGAGGAGCAACACCGCCTGGAGGGGGAGGGGGAGATAGGCCCGGAGGTGCCCCATAGCCACCATATCCGGGAACGCCTGCAAAGCCACCGTAGCCGCCTGGGGGGCCGGGGACGGCGCCGGGAACAGGCGCCTGATGCCATGGCGCGGCACCGGGTGCGGCTGAACCGCCGTAATTGTTCTGCTGTCCTCCACCGTAGTAGTGGTCACCACCATCACGGCTATCGTGTCCGCGGCCACCCCGGTCACGGCTCTCTCGGGCCCAAGGCGCGGGTCCCCCAGATGGACCGCCCTCATTGTTGTCACGGTCATTGTTACGGCGCCAAGGAGCAGGACCGCCTGTCGGACCACGCTGCCATGGTTTGACATCACCATTGCCGTTGGCCTGAGACCCTGGCCCTGCTTCGATACGAGCAGGAGCTGCTCCAGTGCCGCCGAGTTCTTGCATAAGTTGCTAAAGGGACGTTAGTATCAAAGAACAGTGGATCGTAGGGCGCTCGCAAGAACGTACCTCGTATTCCCGGTCAACGGCATCTCCGGCACCGACGCGAGCAGCAGGCCGGGCACCCATTGGACCATCGTTACGCCAGCTAGTACCTCGTTGTCTGTCCGGACAATCACGAGCCATATGGCCTGCATTACCGCAGGTGCGGCAAATGATACTCGCGGTATAGTTTTGCTTCTCGGGACAATCGTACTTGCGGTGGCCAATCTGACCACAGTTCTGGCAAGCCTGGTTTTCGTCGTCGCGAAGGGTACCGTTCAGAGCAGCAAGCTCACGCAGTTGGTTGCGCTTCAATTCATTCTGGCCTTCGGGGATCGACGCGGCCTGCAGTGCGATATTAGTAACCGTGTTGAAAACCTGGAGACAAGGAGCGGGTGACTTACAGTTTCAATGACATTGTGAATGAGCTTCTTGGCCTTGTTGACTTTCTCCTCGGTGTCTGCCATAATCAAGCAGTGAAGGTCCTCTTCCTGGTTGCTAGCGTGAGCGGCGTCAGAGCGGCCTTTGCCTTCTTTCACCGAGCCCTTGCCGCGAATTGCGATCTTGGCTCCAGACTCTCCTTCCATTTTCTTGAGAGTGTTGCCACGGGGTCCGATAAGTAAGCCAACTTTAGTAGGTAGAGCTAGGTGTTAGTGTATGATCAACTTGGGCAGAGCAGTGGATTAGAGTTAGACATGATCAGCCTGGGAGGCATAGCATCATGGCTGAATGCGACGAAATGCCCGGCATAACAGTACAGGGGAAAGATAGGAAGTAGTTAGAGGTTAGAGGGTTAGCAATCATACTGAAGTTAATCTCTGGATAGTCATTGACAGGCACGTAGACCTTCTCCTGCGTCTTAGTCGGCCGGCGATAGTCTTGTGGTGGGTGATAGTTGGGAATGATCTTCATCGCCTTCTCGATCAACTTGTGGCGCTCGTCTTCGAGGCGCTTCCTGTAGCGGTACTCTCGGGTGTTGACACGACGTCCGTGGTTGTCGTATTGTGGCGGAGGCGATGGCGACCTGCAAAGCTGGGTTAGGGCTGGGCTGGGGATTCGAGAGTGGGAGAAAGGAGCGACATACCTGTCACCGTCCGCTGGAACGACATCGTCGATCTTCAGCTTTTGAGTGATCTCCTCAATGCGCAAGTGGAGCGTGTAAGCCTCGAGTTGTTCGCTTGTCATGTTCGCAACGATAGCCGTCGGAAGACCCATCAGGCCAGCAGCCTTATTCTCGGTGGCGTCACCCCAGCGATTTCTCTTCTTGCGGCGCCGAGGGCCGTCGGGCTCAGATCCTAGCTTGAGGTCAGCATCATCCAGCATAGAAATCGTCGAATATAAACAGGGATGCTCACTCTCTGGGCTGCGACCGCGTTTCATCTCGCCGTTGCCGTTAGGATACTGCACCTGCACCGAGGCAAGCATGGCTGAGGTATCTTCTTCGCCATCTGATTTGTCGTCCCCGAAGCGGCGCATTTTCCCCAGGGGGATGTTATTAGAGCCGGTAATTCCCTGACTTCTCCACGCCATTTTGAGTATTTCTGATGAAGACGATGACTGTGGACGTTAGAACGATGAGGATGAGAGCCCAACAAAGCAAGAGGGACGCGACGGTTTTTGTAGGTGGGTTGGAAAGTAACTTTTTTTATCGCCACCAATGGACCTCCTTGTCTCCACAATGAATGAGTCGGGCATATCACGTGATCATAAAAGAGCCCCCAACGCTGTAGTCCGACATACGTCCACTTTGAATGCCCTGTACGTGAGTTGTTACGAAGTTGCATTACTTCCACTGCCTGAGTATGGCCACAATTAGGGGTGCTACATCATGAAGGCCTCATCACCTGACGCTATCAACTAATTCGAAGTCTCCCGGGTTGGCAGATTCGGAGCTTGGGGATGCCATTCTCGTTTACAGGTTTTCAGAAGTAATCATTTCTTCGCATCCGCAGCCATGCCCTGCTGAACCCATGCCCTGGCCTGCTCTGCTTTCTTGTCGAGCTCCTCTTGGGACAGGTTCTTCTGTTCCAAGGCAGTGTGCCTGGATGGCACATGGCGGCCCTTCTCAGATGCAGGCCGGGCAAGGACTCGCTCCAGCCAGGCCTTCAAGTGTGGGAAGTCGTCGATGTTTATCCCTGCCCAGTCTTTTGCGGAATCTCGTGTCAGCATAGCCCTCTCGGCCAAAGCGTGTGGAATGAGGGAAGTCTTACGATGGCCAGCTACCCATCCCCAAGACGACAAATCAGCGATGGTGATCTTGTCGCCAACAAGGTATGCATTGGTCTTCCCAAGCTGGGTGTTCATGACACCATACAGTCGACGAGTCTCATTCTGGTATCTGTTGATACCATACTCGATTTTCTCCGGCGCATAACCTCGAGACATCGTTAGTCGGGCACCGCCTTATTCGCACAAGATCTCCGGACTTACGGGCAAAGTGATTGGCTTGGCTGGGTTGATTGATGTTAGTTTTAAGATAGATCTGCACATGATCTGAGGCTTTCGCGAAGGAACCAACCCTTGCATTGGCCCAAGGCCGCCCATCTGCCAAAACAGCTACACAACTGTCAGTGGGAAAGAAACAAGCCGGAGGTCAACCGGATCGCGGGGCGCATACCCAGTTATTCGTCTCATAGTACTCTCGTGATCCCTGAGGATACGACACCTTGTGGCCTGTATCATAGCGGTCGACAAGATACTGCATGATGGAGCCGCTCTCAAATAGACGGATCGTACTACCGTCAGTAAAGGTGTCTGTCATGGCTGGAATCCGCCCGTTAGGGTTGATGTCGAGAAACCATGGCTCCTGTTATCGAGAATTAACCAGCCGTATCCCACTTCGGAAACTTCTCTATCCATCCACTCACCTTCTGAGTGTTTTTGCCGAGCTCGATGGCCGTGACCTGGGTGGCAGTTAGCACAGGGCCGATCTACGGACTCCAGTCTCGCAACTTGCCTTGTATTCCAGGCCGAGCTCCTCGAGCAACATCGTGACCTTGATGCCATTTGGCGTCTGAGCCGTGTAGAGGTGAATGTCAGTTTTGCGAGCCATTTTTGTTAACAGATGTGATCCAATTTGTGTGAGCCTTCTGTTCATTCGTAAATGTATATATCTACAGTTCCTTAAGAGGAAGAGCTGGCCCCTCACCAAGCTTTAAGTACCTAGGGACCCTTGCTTAGAAATCATATGCCGTCATAAGATTCTCGGATCCCAACCCGAGACGCACCGAGGACGGTCCAGGTGTGGGGTAGCCAAATGATCTATGGTAAGAGGGAAAGTAAGCATCTGATTATTAAACGCGTCAAGGTTGCATCACTGGTCGCTCCCTGCTCAACATGTTGTCCCGGAGGATCAAATTGGTGATGGCAATCGGTGCGGGGGAGAATGGAAACCCCACCTTCCATTTTTACTTGGCACTGCCTGCTATCGGCAGAGCCGGAATCCCAAGGAACCAAGATGGAGGAGGGTCGTAGATATCCCATTTCTCAACATACATCATACACACATAGTACCTACAACAATGTTGGTCCCAACATGGGACGGGCCGTCCCCGGGCAGCCTCGAGGCTCTAAATGCAATGGCCTCCAAGCCGCTCTAGCCAGGCTTTCCGGGCAAAGCAAGTATGCTTCTTGGCAGGGTGTGGCGGAGGTTGTGTTTCCTTGAGCGAACATCAGTTATCTGACGCATTTAGTGGTAAGAGTGCATGGGATTTGCTAGGTGAGGCAAGCACAACTCATGTTGTTGCTGGGAGCTTCCCGAGATGTGGACAAAGGAATCATTCCAGCCAAGGGACTATCTGATCATGGGAGCGGTCATTGAGGGGGTTTCCGCTGGATGGGATGTAAATAATCCGACGTGATCTGTTGCCAAGTCAATCCCAAGTCCCTGGCAACCATCCCAACTTCCTCTTGCCTAAGGCAAGGTAGAATAAATTCGTCTCCAGCCCATCATTCTCAGACATGTCTTCCTGCAAACGGATGAAGGCTATCTTGGGAACACCCTTGTAGCATGATGACGAGTCGCTATATTACATTAACCCACCCCCAAGTTACCCTTGAATTACTTGTCAAGAAAGATTATCGCGACAGCCGGTACCAATCCCCAGATAGAGATTGGAGAGCCAAGAAAAGCCAAGAGCGCTACACCATACGTATAGTTGCCCCGAAACTGGAAAGCACGAGCCTCACCTGATTGATTGGCTCCCCCTTTTTTCTGGTAACCCCAAAAGCAGCCGCAACTCAACGTCACCCCCTGAATTTGGCGATGGTCCAACGACAGAAGGCAACAATGCCAGCAAGGGAGTCCACGCTGCATTTATTTAGAGAGCAGGGTCATTGAAATCTTCATTTGCAGAAGGGTCTTTTACACACGAGTCACGATAAATCCAGGTAGGCAGGCAATAACGAATGGAAGGATTTGTTTCTCTTCTTTTGGTGTCTATTCCTGGCTTCCTAATTTCCAGGTTTTGCCAACTCCTTGGGAAACCGGATGTTGAAGGCTCCACCCATTGAGCCGACCCCAATGTTGGCCGCGCACTCGATCATCGCCGGTGTGTCGAGATACTGCTCGGCGATGGGAAGGAGGACCAAGACCTAATGCTGCATATGCCAGCTCTCTCCACCCCCACATCCCCTCTTTTTTGGTGATTGTTTTATTCCTTTTCCCAATTTTTTTCTTCTTTCTTGTTTTACCTTTAAATCCTTCCATCGTGACTCACCACAGGATGACGATCTCTCACGTCCCCGCTAAAGGGCTGAACCGGAACTGGGACCAGGACCCGAACCCGGGGTCGACCCACCACCCGCACCCTTGCCCTTGCCCTTACCCTTCTTGCCCTTCGAATTCTTAGCCGCAGGCGCGGGGGCGGGCGCGGGGGTGACCTCCTTGTTGTACTGGAAGGTCGCGGGGTCGAACCCGGGGTCGGTGATGGTCCGCAGCTTGGCGAACTCGAGGAACTCCGGGTCGGGCTCCGTGGCGCCCATGAAGACGTCGGCCGCGGCGCCCTTCTTGAACGGGCCCGACCCGAAGAGCGCGGCCGCCAGCGCGCTGGCGGCGTTGGCGTTGGCGTTGGCCGAGGAGCTCGAGCTCGAGCTCGCAGCCGCCGCGGAAGAGGAGGAGCCCTTCTTCTTGGCCTGCTCCTCAGCGGCGGCGGTGATGCGGCGGTGCGCGGCCTCCGCGAAGGAGGTCCACGCGGCCCTGGATGGCTCGGAGGGCTTGGCGGCCGTCGTCGTCCTTGCTGCCTTGGTCGCCGCCTGGGTCGTGGCCGGGGCAGCCGGGGGGGCATCGAGCTTCGACCAGTCGATCATGCCCATCCAGCGGTCGCCCTCGGCAGCGGGATTGGGCGTGGCCTTGGGCGGCGGGGCGAGACGCGATGGGAGCTGCGCGGTGGCAGCGGGGCCCCCGGCGGGGCCGGTGGCGGCTGCCTTGGTCGGCTCGGGCTGCTTCTCTGGCAGCTTCTCCATCTGCCGCTTGGTGAGCTTGGGAGCTCCCGCGCCGGTCTCCTTGGGCGGCTGGGCACTGCCAGCAACGGCGTCGGTCTGGGTGGCGCCGGGGGCAACAGAGCTGCCGGTTGTCGAAGACCCCGGCTTGGGAGTGGGCGCCTTGGTCTGAACCGTCCCAACCTTCTTCGCGGGAGGCGGCGTGGTTGGGTGTCCGGGCTCAGTAGTGGCCAGGACAGGCTGCGCAATGGGAGCCTCATGAATGGGAGGCGTGTTCGAGAAGTTTCCTGGTGGTGTACGAGTCAGTAAAGTCGGTACCTCAGTCGCGGTATGAGATTAGGAGGACTTACCCATCAGGGTAGGAGCCGCGTCCGGCTGAGCAATGGAAGCCTCCTTGGGGGGCAGCACTTTGGAAGACTGTTCCGCCTGGGCAGACTTGACCTCTGGACGAGCCATCACGGCAGTGTTTGAAGTAGGTGAAGTGGGAGAGGTAGTAGAGATAGTAGTCAGTTCGGACTGAATAATCGAAACCTCTTTTGCAGAAGGCACTTCGGAAGGGTGTTCTGGCTGGACAGTCGTGATCTGTGGCTGATTCACTACGGCTTCGTTCGTAGTAGTAGGAAGGTGAGATTTTTTCTCCACGTTCTCGTTGACCGTATCGTGAGGAGTAGGATCCGTAGGCTGGGCACTCTTGACGATCTCCTTGTCCTGTTGAGGATTTTCCGGAGAAGGATCTTGTGCGGACGAAGAATGGTCTTGTGCGGGTCCAAGGACTGGAGGAAATGATATCGGACCAGGAGAAGGGACAAGGTCTACGTCCTGAGGCCCTATCTTCGGGCTTGCCTGGTGAATTTTGTAACCGGAAGGTGAAGTCGTCTGGGGCGTACCCTCACCCGACGAACTGCCAGTGAATACCGGCGGGTATGAGGTATTTCCAGCCCGGACCTTACCTGGCTGAGCTGGGCGCAGAGGCAATGGATGCATTGTGGGAAGGGGTATGGCTGAAAGCCCCTGGTTGCTAGAGTCCTGAGGAGGCACGCCGCGAACTTCGTCCTTTGGGGTATTTGATGGGCGTCGCTGTTGGCCGCCTCTCCATTTCCCCTTGTTTCCATCCTGCCTTGGTACTTGCGGCCCTGGTCCATGGAACCAGGCGGGTTCCGGCCCTGGAATGTTGCTTGACATATATCCGGCGCCCTGAATTCCCCCATTGTGAGGTCCAGTAGGTATATGAGGTCCCGAAGGTACCTGAGGACCTCCCGGTACGGCATAGGGGGGGTACGTCGCAGGCGAGGGCGAATATCCAACCGTATGGAACTGGTTGCCTAGACCTGGCCCGTATTGCTGTCCCTGGTAACCGTGGGTATCCGATGGCCCCTGAGCCCCATAGTGGCCTTGGTGAGATGGGACAAAGGGCCCAGGATTGGCGCGAACTGGCGGCATGGAGTAGCTCAAAGGGTCAGAATAACCTGCGTTGCCTATAGGGTTGGTAGAACCTGGAGTGGCGGCGTAGGTCGGAGTGCTGGCATAACCCTGAGCGCCGGTATAAGGGGCAGGCATGGGGGGATAACTCGCGTGGTTCACAACACCCAGGGTGTTGGCATAGGCCGGAGCGTTGCCATAGTTCTGAGGGCCAGCATAAGACGAAGCGCTGCCATAACCCTGAGGGCCAGAATAGGGTGAAGTGTTGCCATATCCGTGAGGACCGGCATAGGGCGAAGTATTGCCATAACCCTGATGACCAGCATAAGGCTGGGGCATGGGATAAGCTGCGGCGTTCAAAGAGGGGCCGGCAATGGATGAGCCATATCCGTTCCCCTGAGGGGCCTGCTGCTGGGGATGGAAAGGAGCATGGTATCCTGGACCGCCGTGTACTTGGTCTATGGTCGGGCCAGGGCCGGGAATGAAAGGTGGCGTCTGCCCCTGTGGGTTCATGTTGCCGTGACCTTCATTGAAGATGGGAGGTTGGCCTCCCCAGCCTGGTCGAGCATCCCGTCTATGGAATCCTCGGTTCCATTGTCCGCGGCGTCGGTTGTCCGGCGCCATGCTGAGAGAATTCCCTGTGCTGCTACCTTGCTATTCTGAGGTCGATGTTGTATTGGGATCTATAGCTGCTGGGTTAGGTTATCGTTCGCCAGAGACGGGTCAGGTTGGGCGATGAGAAGGGCTTTCCATACCTTCCGTGCGAAGCTGCCGTAGGTGTCTGTATGCCAGAACACATCGTCTTGTGAAATCTAAAAAATCTCTTTGGGACTCCAGCAAAGAGAAGCAGAATGGGGAGGAGAATGTTAGGAGCCTCGACGAGGAGCTTAGCTAGGTCGAGTGGAGGTAATAGTTAAAGCGATCTCAGGAGAGCTCCAGGAGGTAGTTTTGAGTCTCGCTGGTCTGTAGCAAGTTTGGGTGCAGTAATGTTACCCCATCCACAATGCAATGGATACCTTCACCTCATGAAGTACAAGATGACTGAGGTTGGGAGGTGAAGAACACCAAGTGGATGATGAGGTGGCCTTGACCTGGGCTGGAGTTGTCGTATTTATTCCTGGAATGCAATGCCTGCCTGGAGGTCAGCTTCAGCGCATCGTGGAGGAGGTTTCGGGCATAGTAAATTAGGAAGAGGGATCTCGGGTGGGAAGAAAAGAGAATGGAAATGTGTAGATATCTTGGCTTGGTTTGAGCCTGGGGCAATAGGATGATACCTTCGAGTCTCCTGCCGGTTTGCCCTCACTTGAGGTCACTTGCCATTCAGACCAGCCTCGTAACAGTGAGTTCGAAGTTTAATATAATGGAAAGAAGGAGCCCCAGAGAAGAGCAGATTAGTTGAGGGGTGGTGACCGTGTTGAGGATCGATGACCTTGCCAGGGTTTCGAGTGATATGAACTTACCTGCTGATCTGTCTGTTGCTTCTCCTGATGATTACTTGGGAGCCAACCGAATCAGCGCCGAACAGCAGGTTGGATAGTGTTGGGGGAATAAAACGAGGAATCCGAGGAAGATATTTGTGTGAGGGCGGTGGTCTGGTCTGGGCTTCCAGGATGCTGTTTTGAGGAGCGTCATGGACCTACCTAGTATTCCCTTGATCTGTACGCCCTATGTACTTTGTAGCTGGTAAGAATCAGTGCCTCCAACAACAGGTTGAGAGGATAGTAGAATGGTAAATAGAATGATGAGGGGGGAAGGGACTTGAGGTAAATGGGTTTGTTTTTGTGTGGTGTTTCGAGGATCGTGGGATCACTTACCTGATCCTCCTCGCCTTCAGCCCCGCGTGCCCTGTTCAGAAAACCTCGAGCCCTAGGGTTCGGCTTCCATATGATGACTAGAATGACTTCTGAGGGGAGATCAATTCCAATGGGGACAGTGAGTAGTCTTGGTCTGGGTCTTGGGTGTGTCTCCCCTGGTGTATACTTCCTCAGACTGTCTCTTGCTCTGTGACTGTGTCCAGCGTCCTATGCTCTAGGTTTTGAGAGGGTAGAATAGACAAAGTACCATTACCGATACTGAATGAAAGGATACTTTGGGAGAAATGAAGTGGACTTGGGGGTTTGGGCTTGTTGCTTTATGTTGCGAGCTGCGAGGGTCCTGGGACTAGAAGTCACTCGTTCGCTCTTGCCAGACCTCGCCGAGCTATGGGGAATGGAAGCCAGTTAGAGCGGGGACATTTGTCCATGTAATATGAAAGCAAACTTAATGCCAGCGACGCATTTGTAAAGAATTCATAGAGTATCGTTGTGTGCCCCTGTCCCTGTGCCCCTGTCCCTATGGCATTGTTTCCTTGTTGATGCCCGCTTGTTTCGAACACTCCCCTCGTGTCCTTCCTTCATTCATGTACTTCATTCGAGTACTTTACCCTCTAGAGGGTAGTGGAATCCAGATGCCAGATCATAAAGCCCATATCCCACAGATAGGAATTGGATGGCCAGGTGTGTGGTTGTTGACTGTAGGTGCCTGTTGTCTGTCACCTCCTGGTAACACCCTCTCTCGAGCATATTAGTATTAATCAGAAAGCCATTGCTAACGAGCAACAATCTACCAGCTCAGAGTGCACGAAACCAGGTTATCCATTTTCCTCTGCATATAAGACCTCCCCTGAGGCAGCGTGCTTTTGGAATGGCCTGAGGCTACCTAATAGCGTAATAGTTACCAAGAGCCATGTCTCTTGCAACTATGGAATCGAATTACAACCGTGGCCTGGAAAATAGGACTCCAATACACGTTCAGTATGGTCTACAGGTCTTGATGCTTAGGGTATAATTGAGGATGGCTCTCATGTCGACGACGGTCGCCAGCGAAGTTGACTCGTAAACGGCAATCTAGACTGACTGATGTCCCAAGAGTCTCCCTCATCCCCACTCGGAGTTATCTATGGTCCTCTAAAGGCCGTCTCATGGTTATCATGCCAAAGTTGGACCGGCATAAGTAAGGGACTTCACTGGGACCATGGACGGTGAGCTATGCCTCAATTCGAAGGAGGAAGGGTCCATCCGCTAATTTGTGTATTCATGATGCATGATACCAAATTGTATTGGTTTGGGAACACAACTGGGCAGGGTGTTCACATTTCTCGCCCCTGAGTTTACTTAGACCACCAAACCCACATTGCAATACGTCTTGGCAACCCCTGGATTTTTGTCCTGATTGATGACTCGAATTGACTAACCATAACAAAAGGAGAACTCCCAATCTCGTGCACAATTTGGATACCACTCATAAAATGCCAACATTTCGTTAGGGAGATGCTTTTTTCCAACGCCATAGTTCTATTATATACCCCAGGCCGCTCCCCCAAGTTGGCAGCCCAAAAACGAACTCGTATGAGCGCACCGCAGTTCCAGCCATCTCTTCTCCTCCTTTCCCGCCCCTGACAGTATACAAGAAATAATAATATGCGAGACCCGAGCATCGAAAATAGACCGATTATAGTACGTATATATGTATATATACGGCGACTTTCTCATAACGAAACCGCGCCTGAACGCCCAGTTCCGAAATCGGCGACCGAGAAACAAAAAAAAAAAAAAAAGACCACGGCAAACTTCCACACATCCGCGACCCAGCCCGCCCTAAAACACCTCGGTGGAGGGTGAAAAGGAAGAGGAGAGAGCAAAAGATGAGAACATCACTCCGTCGGCGGCACAAAGGGTCTCCCGTCGTTGACGATGACCTGCTCGTCGATCCTCGCGGCCGTGTCGCCGGCCTCGGACCGCTTCCACGTCGTGATGCGGGCCTCGTTCATGTCGAAGTCGAAGAAGCGTATCTTGCGGTGGAACCCGCCGTAGCCGGCGTAGCCGCCGAACCCGGCCCCGCCCGCGTAGCACATCCACAGCGCCGGGCGCTCCCCCTCGTTCTGGCTGAGCATGCAGTACTCGTTTACGTGGTCGCTAGAGATGGGGGGAGGGGGGTTAGTCACAATCTCTTCTCTGATAAGAGTGCGGAGGAGTGCTCACTGTCCGCAGCTAACCATGACGACACCCTGCTCGACCAGGGCGTCGCGGAAGCCCGAGTTGAAAACGGGGGCCGTGGGCGGCTCCTTCCACAACCCATAGAAGTACTTCTTGCTGTCCCGGTACTCGGGCAGCGGGATGTGGATGAAGGCGACGTCGAGGTGCACGTGTGTGTATTCCCTGTGCTTGCGCTTCAGGCCCTGCGCCGTCTCCTTGAACCAGTCGATCTGGTTGTCCTTGATCCAGTCGTATCCCTTGAATTTCCTCTCGTCGGGCGAGTACGCGTGCGTGTCGAGCAGGTACACGGTAATGGCCGAGTGGCTCGACTTGCCCCGCGCCAGGATCTCAATGTAGTAGTTGCCCACCCCGTCAATGTCTTCCGGCCCGGACTTGGAGAGCGAGAAGGGCAGGTCCTCGATCAGCTTCATCTGCGCGAGCCGCGGCAGCGACCCTTCGTCGTCGTGGTTCCCGAAGATGGAGACGTAGGGGACCTTGTGCTTTATGAGTAGCTGGGCGTATTTGAAGATGGCCTAGAAGAGATTTTCATGTCAGTTTTCCCAAGGTATTTCTGGCACACGCCAAGACAGACGTTCGCCTGGTAGGGCTGGGTCTTGGCATTCTTTCAACTCACAGACTGCGCATCGGGGGCGGTTTCGCCGTTGACCTGATCGCCGCTGAGGACGACCAAGTCGGGCTTCTCTTCCTCGAGCATCTTGGAGACGAAGTCCAACGTCCTGGGGTCGGCCTCGCACTTCCCGCCGTTGTACCCCTCCGGTAGCGCATCCCGGCATAACCCTACGCCGGTGCTGAGATGCAGGTCCGCCAGCTGCATGATCTTGAACCTCCCGTTATCGCCTATCCTCGGCTGCGGCTTGGGCGCCTCGCGCGGCGGGCCCCTCCGGACGGTGATGTGGGCGGCGTCGGCGCCCGAGCCCAGTAGCAGCGGTGTGCCCCTGACCTCCCAACCCTCGCGGACCTCGACGGCGTCGTCGCCGAAGAGCACGTCGACAGCCGTGACGGCGTCCCTCGAGTCGCTGGCGTGCCTCCTCGCGCTGCGCTTGATCCACAGGCCGGCCGGCCTGGCCTCCCAGGCCTCGTCGCCGCGGCCGCCTCCGCCGTCCTGCTCGGCGGCGCCCGGGTCCAGCCTGCCGACGCCGACGTCGACGACGACGCGGTGCTCGGCCGTCAGCTGCTCCTCGCGCATGCGGCGCACGTGCAGGTACGCCGAGTTGAGCACGCTGCGGCCCAGGTACAGGTCCTTCTCGACGCGCTGCCACAGATCGGGGTCGAGCCGGCACGAGCTGAACGGGTTGACGCTGCTGCACGTCGCCACCGTCATGTCGGTCACCACTAGCCCGGGGTGGTGCGTCGGCATGTACTCGTGGAGGGCCGTCGGGAGGACTCGGAAGTTGCGGTCGAGGAAGAAGAGTACGATCAAGGTGACGATGGCCGCCGTGGCGACCTGCCCGATGGTCCGGACCTAGATTGGGGGGGGGGGGGAAGGCGACCCATGGGTTAGGACTTCCCGATCATCGCGAATTGACAAGGGGGCAAGGAGAGAATAAAAGGGGCGAAAGGGCATGGCGCGTGCAACTCACAATACGGCGGGTCATAGTCGGCAGTGGGTGTCGCTTTGCGAGGGCCGGTTCACCCAGGTCAGTTTCGTTCCGTGATCGCCGTGCATCTATGTCTTCGGGGCGGCCACGCGATAGACGACGCGGATTTTGAACTGGTTCACGGCTGCTTCAAGGCAACGAGTCTCTAGGGCGAGGAGGAATTTCCATCTTACGCCATACGGGGCTCTCCTATGATTCCGCGAAGCTATCCTATGTATGTTCGGTGTGCGTTGGTTTGGAAGGCTGAGCTCGACGGAAATGGGCAGAAATGTCGTTGAAAGGGAATCGTCTTTTTGCAGGTGGAACTTGTCAAGATGCAGATCTGGGGAATGGGCCGGAACTTTTTGCTGCACGCAGCCGACGGCCAGGGCTAGACATCTTCCCATGCCCAGTTGGGTTTAGGCGGGGACGACCCCCATGCAAGCGATTTTACTTCATGATGCGTTGTCAGCCTCATCCACTGTATAGAGTACAACTGCAATGCATAATAAATCTAGGTAACTGTTTCCATTTCATATTGCGTTTGGCTTAAGGTTTGGGTAGGGCAGCTACAGAGACCGCTTACACGCTAGGAGGACAGAAATGTATGAGAATATAAGACATAGGCTTTGCTCTTACTATGCGTATAGAGATTTGTATGTTTAAAGGTATGTTGTGTGCATCCGGCTGGAAATGACTGGGGGTATCTTTCTATGGGCGATGCTCTCTCCATGCAACGGTCGAAAATACAAAACGCTGACAATAAGGCGCTCTCCCCTCGACTCCGCACAGAGGATGATGATCCCCCTTCCTTTCATCATCATCATCATATGCCCATGTGCAATGCATGCATTCCGTCTCGTTGACGGTCCCCGCGCGCTGCTCTCTGGATGTCGTCCCCAAACAAAGACGGACCTGAAAGCGCGCAATAGACCAGCTTTGCCGCGTCGACAATGACACCTCCCATCCGATCCCATGAGGTACCCATTGACCCATATTAGTACCTAGCTAGACGTACTAGCAGCCAGCCCGCGGCAAAGATACCTGAACAATGAAATAAAATAAAAAATAAAAAATAAGGATAAGTGCCGATATCACGGTGTCTAGGCGACCAGAGCATACGCTCTTGATCACCAATCCAGTTCGTGTTATGTCCGTTTGGCCCTATATGCAGGCGGAGAGGATAACAAGACCCTCTCCAATCCAGGCCGATGGAGCATTAGGGAAGAAATATATCAAGGCCCCGTGCTGTTTTTACCGGCGTCTTGTTGTATGGTGTGTGTGCATGGGTGCCTGCCTGCACGCCGCAGCTTCTTGCTCCTCACCCTTTGCAGAGTGAGAAGATGGTGTGGTGTCGAAAAAAAACTCTGATGGGCTTGCGCCCTCTTCCATCTCTCTTGATCCGGTTTCCGGTTTCTCTCTTTACCGCCGTCAACAAACTGGGAAATATGGTTCCGTCTCTCTCCGTCCCGTCATATGCTCGCAACCCGTCCTTTGTCGGGCACCCTCGCATGGCATACCATTAGCTTGAGGCTCGTGCCCCATTCCTCGCACTCGGCCAACAGGGCCCGGTCGCTCCACAAGCTCCGGTTCGATCCGGGCCCGGAGCCACTCGTCGCCGCGCTCTCGTAGCACCTGCTATACCACCAGCGCCCGACTTTGGCCACCATATTTGTGATGCTCTCGTCCGCAACCGCGCTCTCGTCGCTCATCATCTCGGCCAGCGTGCGCTCGTCCTTGTCCGGCTTGGCCTTGGGCGCACCGCTTTTGGCGCTCGAGCTCCGCTTGCTATTTCCCTCGCTGCCGGAGGACCGCGCGATCGTGCTGGCCACGGGCACACCGACGCGGCATGTCCTGATATCCGTGAACCCACCTCGGCCGAGGAGGCGGAGGATAAGGTCCGCGGTCGAGCCGAGACTCGTATCCGGGGCGCTTGCGTGGATGCGCTCCTTGAGGCGCCGGACCGACCGTCGCCCCCGATTGCCCATGTTGTTCAGGTCGACGTCGAGTATGGACAGTTCGATGAAGCCTCCGGGCTTGAGGACTCTCCTGGCCTCGGAGATGACGTTCCGATAGTGGCCCTCAGGAGCTGCGGCTGGGAAGCGGAAGACGACAGAGGTGAAGCTTTGTGGCCCGAACGGGAACTTGTCGGCCTGCGATACATACTGGATCTGGTGATGGTTCTGTGGGCTGAGTGGGAAAGTAGATATGCTCTGGTGGTCCGTCGGGAGCGGGGCGCGAGGCGAGAGATTGAAGAAAGTGGCAGCTGGGTATGTCTCCGCGGCGTAGAAGGACCAGTCGTCGTTGCCAAGGCCGTCGATGACCAGGATGGATTGACGCTTCGATGACCCACCCATGGGGATGAGGTCATCCCGGACGGGGCTGAAGAGGACATGGCCGAATGTAAGCCATTTGCTCACCGTCATCGAGCCCACACGGAGGTTGACTTGGGACAATGGGGAGTTATCTTCGGATCCCTGGCTGCTCCCACTTGCGTTCGACCTTCGCGTTTGCCGCTCGTCACTGTTGCATGAGCTGTTATCCTTCTGGGCGGCCCCAACTTGTTCGACAGAAGCCAAACTATTGTTTCTATCGCCATAGCCCGACACGAATTCGGACATGGAGAATGGTGTCGGGGGGTCCGGCCCTATGCTTAGGACTTCCTTCATTTTGGCGGCCGTGTCTGTGTCGTAGAAGCTAGGAACTGCTGTTGGAGATGCCCCTGCCTGCAGAGCCGCATCCAGATTCCGTCTTGGCGGAGGACAAACGATGGGCGACTCCAAGGGCTTCTCGACTCCCTTGGCCAACGCAGAAGCGGAGCTGTAGATGTCAAGGTGGAATGGCCTTCCCAGTGACGAACTAACCGAAAGCGGTGGCTTGCCTGTGTCGTCGCCCAGGAGATCATTGTACTCGTCCCAGATCTCGTCTTCAGCCAGAGGGGCGCTCGGGTCAGGGACCACAGCCGTGGCGTCTGCGTAAGTCAGGATGCCCGAACTGCCAGACGACGTCGTCACAGTGCACTGCGAGTTCTTCCGCGGGGAAAACGAGAGGAATTCTCTTCCACCTTGAGTGGGATCTAGGGGAAATTGCCTGGATTCACGGCCCTGGGCCCCTGAACTGTTTGTACCACCCGTCACGGTTGAGCCATCCTGGGTGAGCTCCGGGGTTGACGGCCTGGGAGGGGTAGGGCCCTTCGCAACGGAATCGGTATCGAGGGCGGCTACCCGCGAAGGGACCACGTGCATGCTAATCCTATGGAAAGGCCTAGAGAAGCTCCTGGGCGACGTCTGTTCCGGCCGCGCACTGACGACTTTGGGGATTCGACCAACCTGGGGGAGTCGGCTTGGACGTCCAGTGCCTGATCGTGTAACTGCTGCGTCTGGGTTCACGGTGGCCGGCACTGCGACAGGCGGCTTCGGTTCTGGAGAGGAAGTCCCGATAAGTGCGGGTCGAGGCCGAGGTTGAAGATCGGGCCGGTTGCGGTCGATTGGCCTCTCGCGAACCAGTGGCGGAAAGGAGCGTTGTCCCCTGTCCTCTGTTGTTGGAATCCGAGGTGAGGCCACTCTCGTGTCCCTCTCCTCGCGAGTAGGTGGTCGATCGAGTGGAGGAAAGTAATCTTCCATGCTCTCTGTGGCCGACGGCCTTCTCCCTTCTGGGCTTAGAGTCCCCAAGTGAGAGTTATCGAGAGCCCGGGCCTCTCGGAGAACGTCCTCGAGATTTGGTGTCTCCTCTTCCTGTTCAGACGAGTCCATCATAGTGTAGAAGGCGACAGGTTTCGCTTGGACGGCTTTGACCGTTGCAGCCACCGTCTTGGTGGTCTCGGATCTCTTGTTGTCAACTGCGGGCTGGCTCTGCGATCTGCCAAAGAAATTCCATTTGCGTGGGGAACGGGTGCGCTTTGTGAGCTTCTTGGGCGCAGTCACCTTGGCGGTGGCTGACCCTCCAGTGCGACCTCTCCCGGGATCAGGCGTCGTAGGTTCGAAGACCGAATCGTCCGACAGTACACTCGCGTCAAGGCTCGTGATGGAGGGCGAAATGACTTGCGGTCGGGTCACTATCGGTTTCGGTATCTTTGGGGCCTGCTGGTCGCCGGCCTTTAGCTTTTGGCGTGACCTTCTGAATGCAAGTGTCGATTTCATCGCAAGGGCTTCCGAGTCGCTGCTATCCGAGGGCCGTCGACTTCCCAGCGACGGTGATTGAGGGTGGCCGCGTGGAAATGCCGAGGGCCAGAGGGTATGTCGTGGCGGGCCTTCTTTGGACGACAAGGACGCCTGAGAGCTGTTCTTCGAACCTAGACCGGCCCAGCCAAAAGATGAACTCTGGTTGCTCTCAGTACGGCTCAATTCCGAGCTCATGTTCCTGTTCTCGATGATCTCGCCGCCTGCGATGACAACAGGTGCCATCCTCTCCATCAAGAATGCGTCGTGGGTCTGGCTGGTATCCAGGCTCTCCTGGGATGACGCAATTCCAGAGACGCCGCGGGATATGGAGGCGCTGCTGCTCCTTCGGCGACCTGCTCCGATACGGCCGTAGCCTTCGTGCCCAGTTCCAGCAGCTGGACCCTTGCGTAAGGTTTTATCCTTCTTCTCCAGTTGAGGGACTTCGGGCGCAGTCTTGGTTCGCCGTCCAAAGATCGGAAACCTAGTCTTGAAAGCGGAGACGTTTGGACTAGGGGTACGCGTAGGTCTACCGGGCTCCTGGTTGCTGAAAGACTGCTCGAACCCTGTGTCCCTGCCGATGGGCGGTTGCGGCCGAGACTGATGTTGACGATGTGCGTACGAGGGTGTTGTGGAACTTGGCGGCGGGCTCAATGCCAAAGTAGAACTGTGGCGTCTTTCCGACAGCGATATTGACGAGAGATTGCTATGGATGATAGGGAGTGGGAGCCCCAGCTGGGACTGAAGGTCGGGTGTCCCATCTCGACTTGGTCGGACAGGTGGCGTTGCCTTGGGCGACGTGAGAAGCTGCGCACTGGAGGACGGAGCGACTCTCGCAGGGGCCCGAGAGGCTGACACTGGTTGGGCAGGGTCACGGGACGGGTTGGGCGGGGTGTCATCCTCGTCTCGGCTGCTGCTGCTGCCGTGGAACTTTTGTGACGACTTGCGGGGTGGGGGGCTTGGTGGGAGAGGCGAGAGCCTCTTCTTTTTCTTTTTCTGTTTCTCTCCGTCGCGGACCGTTGAGTTTGACGACGACGAAGTCAAGGATTCCCTGACGGCCGCTAAGCCATGTGGATCGGCGGCTACGCTGCCCACCTCATTCGATATGCTGCCGGCCCTTCTTCGGGTGACCGGTGGTCTGGTGTGTGCTGGGCTGGGCTGTCTAGCTTTGGATGCGGGGATTCGCATGGGGGCAACTAGCCCCGGAGATTGTGACGAGAGAGAGGTCGGTGTGGTGTCTCGGCTGTATGGTCCGGGGCCTGGGGAGCCCGAGAACCTGGTCGAGGGACTGCCGCTGACCTGACTGCTCGTTCCAGAGAACAAGGGTGTTGGGGGAGGGAGATCATGAGTGGTTATTCGGTAGGGCATGCCAAAATTGGGGCTGTCAGGCGCGACATGGGGCTGCACATCCCGATACCTGTCTAGTTCAGGATATATGGTCACCGTCTGCGCCGTAGTCTTTGGGAGTTCGACCTTCTGGGCGACTCGAAGCTCCATTGGGCTCTCTGTAAGGTCGCGGTCGAATTGGGCTCCGGCAGGGGCGTCAAGAGAACTTTGCGAGCGAGGTACTGATGATGACGACGAACTTGTCCTGCTCGAAGCGCTTCTCGAGTTGTTGCGCGTGCTGCCCGTCTCTTGAGAGAGACCCGAGTGTTTCCGTTGTAAGACGTTGCGAGGCTTGCCCGACCCAGGGGTGGCTAACCTGCCAGACGATGATGTCGATGACAAGTAAGGATTAGAAGCCGATCCGCCGGAGCTGGCTCTTCCCACCGAACCCCACGGTTGCGCTTCGTAATGAAATGTCGGCCGATCCGGAGCACTAGGCAAAGATGGGCGCCTTTGAGAGGCAGCCTGCGGTATCCGGCTTGACACCTTAGGCTGTGAGATAGTCCGGGCAGTTGTGCGACGATCGTCGGGTTCCTTCCTTGGTTTGCGCCCCGGTATGGAAGAGAGCACCTCTTTCGAAGAGTCGATGTAGCCTCCCATTCTCCCTGGTCTTGCGTCACCTGGTCCATCCCCCGTGTCGGTTCGGGCCCTGACAGATGCCATTTTGATCCGATCTCCTGCGAGGGGGACTTGGCCTTGTAAACCATAGTACTATGTATGACCAAACAGTTTCATGGTATTCCGGTAGAGTGATGTTATGCTAGAGACCTTAGACGGCAGGCAGCGAAGCAGGCCAGACAACTCCAGCGTAGACGGGAAGGACCTCGTAGGTAGAGTAAGACAGACTGGGCCTCGTTGTACAGCTACGTCGTGTTAATTAGGTGCTGACCCGTTGATATATTCCTTCGGAAAGCTCCGTGCGACCTCGCGTACGGGACGGACAAGGTGCTGCGGGAGAGGAAATATAGAAGAGAAGTTTTCGGGTGAAGAATTGTATTAATCAACGGGGACAAGCGGTCGAGGAAAGCCTTGCAGGGAAGAGGGATCTTCGTGATGGAGGGGGCACTAGCCTTCCGTGAGCGGCGCGTATAAGCCGGCCCGTGGAGGACGGATGGGATGGTGGGCTCGAGGAGGGTGGTGGTGGTGGTGGTGGTGGGGGTCCCAGGGCGTTTAAAGAATGTTGGGGAAGCCGCGCGTGTGAAATGCGATTTCGGCGGTCGATGGTAGTATTACTTTTAGCACTTCCAAGTCGTGTCCGGCACAGATTCGGCAGAAATAACTCGTATATTGTAGCAGTGGCAAGAAAGAGTACAACAGCAAGGAGAGCAGGAGGGAGGAGAGGTTATGGAAAGAGGGCAGGAGGGCGAGATAGAAGAAGTCGAATAACCAGCAGATGGGACAGAGATATCAACTGCGGGGCAACCGGGAAGGATTGAACTAGCAACGAGGTATAACAGCGGCTACCTTGATCTTTGCCCTTCCCGGGAAACGCGAAGGTAGGCGTCCCTCTATCATTGAGCGCCATGGGGCCATTTCTCCCATCCAGACGGTTGCTAGCGAATGTGGTGCACGCATACACTACCACAGCAGTACCCGTACCCTGCCGAGATCTATTCGCTGCTCAGTTGTGGCGTTAGGATCCTTGCCCACCCCAGACTCGCAGCGATCAGGGGCGAAGCATGACCACGGGCATGTCAGGTGCTGTGGTGGAAGCAGGAATCGCACAATGAAAGGGCTGGATTGGCAGATGCCATACGTCCCAAAGTAGGGTGGCGGCTGATCAGAGCGGAAGTCCCACCACTCACTTACCAGGATTCCAAGAAACGGGCCAGGGGGCGCAACACCAGCGAGCCGTTGAATTTGGTTAGATGTGGGAACCAAAGAGGTGGAAACCAACAGCTTGGAGAATGGGAAGAAAATGGCTGGCTGCCCAGGGCTGAGGCGGAATTTGCTGCAGACCTGCTCGGTCTCCCCTGTGCGTCTAGCGACTCCGCCGCCATGCACGCAGAGTTACAGGGCCTGGAAGCTGCATACTGTGACGCCCTATGAGAGCCCAGAAGCTCTACCTGGGCACTTCCATTGGGCAGAAGGACCCTGGAGGCCTAAACCATCACTTTGTCCGTATTGGGGGACCGCTTATTAACAAAGTGAACTAACGACCTTCTGTCCTCTTTTCGGTCCTTCAGGTGGAGACTTTGATCATGTTAAGAGCGGGGGGTTTTTAGCAAAGTAAACGAGGCATCATCTAGGTACATCCGTACATGATTTCATGGGGGAACATGGATCAAAAGATGGCGTGTGTGGATGGAGGGGTGGAGAGGCGAGGAGGGGAGAAGACCTGGAGGCCACGAGGCGAGGAGACTTTGGTGGGGCGAAAAGTGACTCGACTCGGGTATTTGCGGTTTTTAGATGCGGGAGTCCAAGCTTTCCGGGAGAAGGTTGGACCCGCTGGGCGGTCCCTTCCTAACCGTTTGCTTATTCATTTATGGGATATCATTCCTTCTTTTTCTTTTCCCACTTATACCCCCTTAAAACGACGAGAAGAAGGCTGGTCGCTATATAGATGGACAACATGGCGAGAGAAGAGGAGAAAGCCAGCAGCTATTCGCACAAAAATAATTCAATGTACTGAACAAACGCCTACGATCCCCATCTAGCTACCTACTTGTTCATTGGTTTTCGGTCCCTTCCAGCACGATCTACTGCATGTCTTATGTCTTGATCCCATTGCGTTCTTGGCTCGCTGCATGTCTCACATACACAGATGATCCTCCATGGGTGTGTGCCATGGAATGTCCAGTCGGAAGAGCGTAACTGCACATCAAGGTCTGCTATAACAGCACAGACAAAACCTGCGCTGAGATAGCTGTGAGGTACGAACCAAGTCTCCTAAGCAAGCGGTTGCGCGCTAAGAGCTTCCGGACCGGGGCGGGCACCACCGTTGGCGCCAGGCTACGAATACTCCACCATTCAGGGATGCTCAAGGTTCTGTCCTTGAAGTTGCTGATTTCGATCATCTCTCGCGGACATCGATCTGGTACTCACAGGCTACGCTATATGCCATCTTACTCGTAAAGCTCGAGCATGATTGGGGGCAACGGGAGACTGATTACTCCGTCGTGTGAGCACCTATTTATGGATTCACGTTTCTTCACTTCGAAGGTACCTACCGCCTAGTACGGGTATACCTACCTAGGTAGCTCTAGCTCAATTCGGCGCCATCCACCAGCCCCACCTCCCCAGCCATAATGTCTCGCGAATTATTTCATTGGCCAAAAAAGAAACATTTAGAACCAATCACATTTCCTAATCCAGTGCCCCCTCCTCCTTGCCCCTACTCCGAAGTTTTCCGGAATTTGTGAGCCGTCTCACTTCCGCGCTCTCTTAAACCCCTTTTTAGCATCGCTCTCCAGGAGTCCTAGCCGTCAAACGAGTCTAGACTTCTCCTCACCCGCTTTCCCCCCTTAACCTCGATGAAGACCAGTAGGGGAAGGGATGCGGGCCTTTAGCATCTATCCATTATATATAGCAAATACCCAGTTGACTGGTCACCTCCACTTGGAAACCACCAACCGAGACGCTGTTGGACTAGTAGGTCGTTTGGGGATGCGAACCGTCTGCACGACGAACTCCAACCTGCATGCGCCATTTCCGAATCATTGGATCAAACGGCTGGCATTGAGAAGCACGGCAACCTCAAAGGAAAGGATGCGAATGTGATATCCGATAGGCATTTCCATCTATAGATGCCACCGGCACAAAATACAATCAATATTCGACTCCGAGACCGCACTCCCTCAATTCCCAGCCCGTGGGCCGTCGGTGGGGGTCGTTGCCTCACCGCCGTCGTCATTGAACTGCATGCTGTTGGGACGTTGGTAAGTACAGTGCATTACTACGTCGACACTCAGTGGCAGCCTCTTGTTCGGATTGGTCATGGCCTGACAGGTCGCATGCAGGATAAGGTGGGACAAGAATAGGTGGTGGTGGCCGCTCCCAACCTCAACTTCAAGGAGAGATTTCGCAAAATGTCGACGGCGCAGAAAACAGGGAACGATACTAGAGATTTGGCGGCACGATGAGTCGTCATTCGCAGCGGAAGCGAGGCAAAATGAGCTGAAAGCTGCATCCGTGGCCGGGGCCCGCGTAAAAATGGTAGCCTGCCATACGCACCGGCGATCAATACACGCACAGATGAGACAGGCAGCTATGATGCATCGCACGCGCCGTCTGCACGACGAGCATGGTTTGGTACCAGCCATTGTGGCGAGTGCAGAAGAGGCTCTTGCACTAGGTGAGCCCGGCAGCTGCACTCAGCCACAGCCTATTCCGTAATCCTAGCGAGTCGCGACGGGATGAGGCTGGTGACGTGGCATGTGAAGTATCGGCTGCCTCACGGTTTGCCCAGTTTTCGCAAGCAAATCCTGTCCGGCGTCGCAAAAAGAACGCATTGATGATGCCATATCCTCATCCTCGGCATCAATCAATCTGCGATTTGTTGAGGCTTGAGAGAATGACCGCACTTTGGGCGCAGAATGTCGAATCCCCTGACTCACCAGAACCCTGCCGGTTACCCCCGGTTACCTCCAATTGCAGCCACCAAAACGTGCGCCGCTGGCAGGGGCTTGCCTTGATGAGCAGGGGTTTTTCTCATCCCATTGGCCAGCCAACTGAGACACCCCCAGCAGGATCTGGCGCCCTCTTTAGTAACGTGATAGCGGGATGGTGTGAAGCTATCGTCAACATCTCTCCCCTGCCTGTGCTTCGGAGAAGGCCATCATTTCTTCCGCCTGGAGTAAAAGCCAAGCCACCTTGTCATGCGTGCACTGTCCTTTTCTTTTTTTTTATCTGGGTCTGCGTTGTCTGGCGTTGTGTCCGCCTGCTCTTGTGTCAAGCTTCGCAGCGGAATTAGCGCCCCGTCTCGCCACCGCCAACAAGATGCAGGAACAAGAGCAGAAGCCTGCTCTTGGATATCCCGTTCTCCAGTAAACCCTTTCCGCCGGGCCTGTTTGGCTCCACTTCAGCTCAGTTCAGCAGGGCAGGCTCCTTCTGCACTCGATGATGAGTTGTCAGCCCTAGCCTACATCCCCTGCACTGCAGATTGTTCCCTTGGTGGTCGTCGAGCCTTTGGCCCCTTCTTCAAGAGGATGCCCTAGTGGTCACCCTGGGGGACCGACGGCGTCTACGCAGTGTCTTAGACACAAGGCTTAGCATCTTCCAGTTCACTAGTCCACTAGTTCCTTCGTCAGCAACCGTAACGGTTGATCGTACCAGCCTAGGGCTGTCTGGATGCGAAGCAAGTTCCAAACTGAGCCTTTCCATTGGAGGCATGGCCATTGCCAATTCAAGTGGGCGCCGCTGACATCGGCTTCCTCGTGTTTCTCCTATGTCCTTCGACTCTTCGCCACCGGTTTTCCTATTGAGGGTAAGCCCGGGCATATCTCATCTACCTATCAAGCTAGATTAAACTGGCCTGGATCAAGTATATCTAATCAGAGTTCGCATACAGCGAGATGGTGGGTTGCTCACAAGGAAACATACAGAAACCCGCCTATTACAGTCATGACAACTCCGACCTGAATATCCTTGGCTGCCCCAGGACATTGCAGAGTTCCGAGATCGTCGCAGTGGTTGCGAGTATTACCAGTTGGAGAATGCCTTATCGGCACACCCTCACGAGGGCTGACGAATCTAACCTCGTAATTGGCCATTAGTGCCAGGGGGTCTTTGCCCAGATCGAGGAATGCGAAAACGTGTCGTTGGTCCTCTTCAGGAGCTGCTGAATGGCCTTGATGACGGGCCGCGCTACGAAGCCACAGGAAATCCGGTGACGATACCGAGTCTCGTGAGATCTCTCTCTATGGTTGAACGTGACCATGGCTGGCCTCAGACGGCCGACCTTCGTCCTCCCCTTTTCCCATCAATGACGTCTCGGGGGACGTCAGTCGATGACATCCAAATTGACCAGTGGTCTTCCTATCTGCTCTTCTCCTAGTTACTTGGGGTTCTACCTTCTCCAATCCCAGAAGCATTGACTCCTCCAGCTGCATCACCTGGGGTGGTGCATTGGATAGTCTCCACCCATAAGTCCAAGGCACCATGTCATGATGCATCCCATCTAAGTAGACACCTATGTGTTGGTTATAAGAAGCTCCCGCCATCGAACTGGGTTAATCCACAGGGCCTCATTGGTCGTGCAATTCCGGATGTCTCAGCTGCCATGTAGATATCGGCCCTCCCGTTTGGATATCTTCCTTTTAACCCCAAACAGGATGGGCCTAAGGACATCCTCCGGCCCTCACAAGGCAGGCACAATCCTTCTATCCACTAGTTGACCAATGTCGGACGAACTCGAGACAGTGCTGCCACTGTGCAATGCGGTAAGATCGGCCTTTCGTGCTGAAGCCTCTGTGCCGACCCTATGATGAGGTTATCCTGACCATCCGTCGACCTAACACATAAAGCCAGCCATGCAGGAGCAAACCCCGTGATCGCCACACAGCGCGGGCACAGCGCGGGAGGATCGCCTAGGTCACCCCTTACCTAAACCTCGTAGCAAAGCCACCAGCGTCTACCAAGTTAGAAAGGGCTCGGGTTGATGGTCATGGTCATCATCCATCCCCCAAGCACTCTCCGCCAACGAAGATCACAATATCCGACGCATCAACTCACAGCTCTGATAGGGACGTCCCAGAAGTTACAAGGCACTGCGTTTCTCCACCCACTTCTATTTTGCCTTGGCTCACAAGCCTCAACGCCAGGTGTAGGACTATGAATACAGAGCCAATGTGACCTATGACCTTCCAGCCCGAAGCGCAATCGTCTCCGTCTCCCTTTCTCTTAACCTCGTGCCAATTCTGTGCAGCCGTTCCAATTCCCATGCAAAGAAAGAACACAAAAGCCGCGGAGAGTAGTCCTCAGTAATTGGAAACCCCCCCGTTTGTGCATTTTGGATGTCTAGAGGACCAACCACGACGTGCTGCTGGAACATACCTGTTGATCCGAACCGTATGACATAGCCGCGCATGTAGATTCCCGGAGCCCTGAACAGCGAAGAAAATCGTAGACGAGGCGGAGGAAAATAAGGCGAAAACGTTAAAACCTAGTTATACAGAGTGCCGCGTGCAACCCGAGTGACCCATCCGCTCCCAAGATCCCCGCTCCCCTGCAGATAGGACGGAGATCAGACAACGAAACCCTCCCGGTAGCAGTTCTGGGTAGAGCAATAAACGGCTCGAAAGGCGAAATCAAAAACGCAAAAGGCAGCCACCTAGGCGGCGCTAGCGAAGCGCTTGGCCCTGGCCTCGGCCTTCGCCCTCTCCGTGGGATCATCGACGACGCGGCTCATCCTCGGCGCCTGCGTCCTGGCCGAGGCCGCCCTGTTCCCGCCGCCGCCGCCGCCATCACCGCCCCTGAACCCCCCGGCCCGCTGGCCCCTCGCGCCGCGTCGCCTGTTATTCCGCCCGTCCGCCTCGGCGGCGGCGGCGCCGTGCCTCCTCTTCACCCCGCCATCCTGGCTGCCCCCCTCCGCCGCCGCTGCGCCGTCCCCGCCGCGGCCGCGCTTCCGGTTCAGCGGGCGGTCGGGCAGGGCGCTGTCGAGGCTCGTGGCGAGGGCGGACCGGTCGAGGCCGAAGCGGGCGGCGCGCGCCGCCAGCCTGGCCTCCTCGGTGGCGTCGGCGTCGGCGGTGGCGGTGGCGGTGACGCCGAAGCGCTTGGCCCGCGCCGCGCGCTTGGTCGCCTCGTCGTCTGGGTCGGTGGCCGCGAGGTGCTGCGAGAAGGGCGGCTCGGTCGTCGTCGCCGCCGTTTCGGCGGCCGATGGGTTGGCGGCCTCGCCCGAGGGGTTGGCGGCGGCGGCTTGGGCCGTCGAGGTGGGCGCTGGCGCGTCGGCGGAGGACGCAGTCGCGGCAGGGGGCGCGTCTGGCGCGGCGGCGGTGTCTACCTTGGCTTCGGTGGGCTTGATGGTAGATGCGGCAGGAACAATGTCATCGTCATCGTAGTCGATCTCGTCTTCGGCTTCCGGTTTCGATGCTGGCACTGGGACAATAGTACAAGTTAGTCTTTGAACTTCGTTCGTTCCAAGGAATGAGGTATGATGACAGATGAGGCTGAAGTGATGAGAATAGCAAAAGCGCGTCACAATTGCGATCGCATAGCTAAATGAGGGAGTGTAGAATGGCATACCCGCAGAATCGCCGGCCGGCTTCTTGTCGTCCTCCTCAAGACGCGCGATCAAATCGGGTTTGTTGCCCGCCGTGGAGAGTTTGCGCTCGGTGAGAAGCTTTTTCAGATCCGCCACCTTTAGTGCCGCGTACTCAGCCATGATCGGCTTGCTTGGAATTTTGTAGAGGCGGGTGTTCGGAAGTTTTTTGAATTCTCAACAATAGTTATGTATCAGTGATGCAAAATAATGTTGCTGCGCGTTATCAATGAGGGTGGTTGCTCGTTTGGTCTGCAATAGGAATTCACGTCGCAAGGGAGAGCGTCCGTGGTTTTTCCGCTTAGTCAAGCAGTTAAGTCGGGTGCTGGGCCAACATGACAAGGAGGGGACAGAACCCCTTTTTTGAAAATGATGTCACCAAAGATTTTGTCTATTTATTTTTAAATTTAGTATTTTAGTCAAAACATTGGGGCCTGGCTGCTTCAATCTCATCAGCTATTTAAGTTTAGTTGCAGTAGCTTCATGACATCCTACACATCTTCTGTATTGACATCGACTTTCCTAGTCGCAAGCAACAGCCTTACAATAGCGTCATGGCCATTCTCAGCAGCCCATGACAGTGGCGTCTTGTCATCCTCATCTTTTGAATCAACATTGACTTTCCCAGTCGCAAGCAGCAGCCTCACAACAGCCTCATGCCCATTCCTAGCAGCCCATGACAGTGGCGTCTTGCCAGACTCATCTCTGGCATCAATATCAGTGCCAGCCTGGTCTGCCATCTGCAAAATCACCTGCAATGGCCCTAGTAACTGTATCGTGACACAACATGTAGCATGCTAGTCCCTTCTGGCTGATATAAGTTGGATAAATATGAATATGGTATCATCATATCGCATATTCGTCCCCAAAGTTGGACAAGATGTTCTGACGGCCAGGCGAAATATTGTAGAAGATCGTCTTGAGAGTATCCTCTAGTTTCGCTGTCTCTTGCATGCGCCACCCATGAGGTCGTAGCGTAGTGCAGCAGAGGAAAGGCAGATAGCAGGCGAGAACGACTGCGGCGGCGTCTTAGCAAAGCGATCTCCTCCATTGCGAAGTACCGTATGCAGGTCCTGGACAGCTGATAGTGTGCGATTCCGGCTGCTAAACGGGTCGTATTCGAGCTGTTATATAGAACGAATAGGCCCTTCTCAAGGACGAAATCCTTGACTGACTGGTGGATAAACTGTACGACATGTGCCCTGGACGATGGTACGGCTTCGGCAAGACCGCAGCTGAGTGTTCTGATTCTCTTTTCCATGATGTCGCAATGACACCCGCTGTCGCCGTCGTCCCAGTCGCTGTCGCTGTCGCTGTCGCTGTCGCTGTCGCTGTCGCTGTCGCTGTCGCTGTCGCTGTCGCTGTCGCTGTCGCTGTCGCTGTCGCTGTCGCAGTCACATACAATGTCGCAGTCACATGCAAAGTCTTCAGCGTTCCGGCATTCCTTCAATGTCCTGTATGGGCAATTGGCGTCAACTACCATGGCCCATCGCAACTCGTCAAGTGACAGTGGCCGCAGAGCAAAGCAGATCCATTGGATCAGCTTCAAGGACGCCGGCCTCTCGTCCATGCCCTGGACAAACTCGTGGTATAGGCTATCCAACTCTGGAGGAATAGAATTGACCTTCTTTTCGATCTTCTCCAATCTTTCTCCTTCATTGTCGAGGTCCAGACCTTGGTCTACTGCAAGGGGCGCCCACATGAAAACGCCGGAGGCGCGTTCCGTAACTATGGCCGGAATCGCAGATACTGTTAGCCTACGGGACGCAGAAAGCCGGGCTTGTACATAGGCTGAAATATCCTGTGTGTTCTCATGCTCAAGGCATATTTCGATTGCGCAATTCCACTTTAGAATCGGGTAGTGACGACAGGTAAAGCAGATGCGGAATTGAAAACTAGTACGCGGGAGGCTCTGGACTAAGGGCTCAAACTTCCGGACGAGGTCGTTTGCAGACTTTTTGTCACACTCGTCTAGCGCATCGACAAATAACCAGACTGAGCGACTGTCCAAGATCTTCGGAAGCGACGACTTGAAGAAGTCCTGTAGCTCGTTTGGATGCCAGTGCCACTCTTTACCAGGCTCACCCCTATTGTTGCGCCGTTCCTGGAAGGCAGCGACAAGGCCTGGCAGTGCGTTGGGGATCTGGCTGAGGACCTGGTAAAGGACTGACCGGAAGAGACCAAGCGGCGCCTTTGGAATTCAGAACCGCGATCGTGAAAGAAGAACGAGAGAATGAGGGGTTTGTCTCTGACGTTTGTTTCCGTATTGTCAAGGGCGTATCGTAGCAAAGTTGACTTCCCTGCACCAGGCTTTCCCTTGATCCAGAGCAGGCTGCTGTTGCATGTAGACCAGCTCCTATAAGTCTCATGTCGAAGCAGCCACTTGCATGTGCCTTCGGCGGCAGCGTCGATGCCCTTAGATCGGCTATCCATTTCTGGAAAGGCCAGCGACCTTAAACAATCTTGGGACCGCTTCGAGAGTTTGGGTCCTTCTTGGACTTCAGGGAGGTACATTTAGTTGAGAACCTAGGCCTATGCTATCGACGGGAAGGCTAGTTCATACCTGAATACCTATTTTCTGCGTTGTTGCGAATTCCATTGCCAGCGTTCACAATCTGGGTTCCGGGGCCGTCTTAGATAAAGGACAAACTTTGGGGATTGGCAAGCTCCTCTACGGCCTTGCCCTGCTTGCGGACCCGCGCTTCTTCAACCGATCGCGTCCATCTGGTCAGCTCGCCAAGCAGCCTCTTGAACCCATTGTCTTCCACAGAGCCAAACTTGACCATGTTGATATGGTCTGCATGGATGCTGATGGCATTGTAACCTTCAAAAGTCGCCGAGTCCTTGGACACAAACTTTCCGGATACAGGGAGAGGCAATTCTTCCAAAAAGGTTGTGATCTCCAGGCGCCTGCCAGCTTCTCGTAGTTCTCGTATCATTGACAAAAACATGATCCGCATAGACTCGAGGAACTGGTCATCCGTCTCCAAAGTATTCAACAGCGACTTGTTGGCAGGCTTTACGAGACCAAGAGCCGAAGCCGGTATCCTAGCCCAGTCGGCCATCCAAGCTCCCTTGTGCGGAGTGCCCATAAATATGGTGCCGATGGTGGAATCGAATATGTCCCGAAGATGAGCTTCGGGATTATTCCGCGAGAGCAGAATAGCCTCCTTGCAGACCAGGCCGCCCAGGCAGTGTGCGACGAAAATGAGGGGACGAGATGACGCATCGCAGGAAGCTCTGTCTGTCGTCAAGTCGGTCAGAAGGTTCGTGGCATGGTCGAGAAGCCGGTTCGATCCCGCAACTGATTTCCGCACAATGTACACGTCATAGCCGTACGTGTGTAGACGAGCTCTGGGGAGCCTGGGTGGGAGGAACGTTTTCGGTCAGGGCTCCACTTGCCCGTGGGCAGTCCATGTGCTATCTCGATTCCCAGTCAGGCCGTGGATGAAGCAAATATCGACCGTCGCATCGGGGCAGTCATGGAACACTGCAACACCGTCGGGGAAAGATATAGGCGGACGGTTCTCGGAAGACGGTCCACAGTCCGGAGCCTTTGGCTGGTTGTTCTTGGAGTACTTGGACTTGAAAATCCGCAACCACCCAGACTTGGGTCTCTCCATTCGAGGCACTTTGCATGAATGCGAAGTTGCCAACCAGGAAACGGCGAGCTTCAAGCCAGCGGGTGGGAGATTCTTCAGCGGTTATCGCGGGGCTGAGAAGGCTGCAGGCGGGCAGCTGCTACAAACAGCACTCCCGTCGCTGGGAGAAGGACAAAACGAGTGCAACGCCTCGAACTTCGTTCGCGACTCTGGCGGGAACACTCGGTTTGACGGTGGTGCGAACTTCAGATGGAGTGCGGGTGCCTGATGAGCCTGACGGTTGCGAAGCATATGGCCATGCCCTTTCCGCCCTCTCCCTCTTCCCTCCCGAGAAATGACTGTGGCGTTCTGCCTGCAGCCAGTGACATTGCGAGACTGACATCCTGGAGTCAGCGCACCCCTGTTGACAGCAAATGGGATGTGACCACTCGATGAGCCCAGCACGAGAGTGCAGTGTCCTATTGGCTCAAACCGCGTATGCAGTATCTATATTTGAGCATGCCTGTCAAGCTCGCTCTTTCGCCATTGCTGCCAGCAACCGCTGTATTACTTTCGCTGTCAGCGCTGTTGCTGTATGTTACGTTCCGTACTGCAACCCGCTCCCTGATTTGCGCCTCTGCACGGAGTAGCCCGTCAAGATACACCCAGGCTGCGGGCTTGTCGAGGAGCGCCCTTCCGGTCGGAACTTACACCCGCGTGCGTGATTCCCTGGATATCGAGCCCCTCGACCATTCTCCCCTTGAGTTGCGAGTGTGTGAGGGCTCCTCGCCGCACTGGCGGTTCGAGGTTGAGCTGATAGTGGCATCGGCGGTAACGACGTGCATGTCATCGCCGACGCACACTTATCAAGGCTATAGCGCACTTAGATGTTATAGGTTGTCCGGTGCCAGGAAGCTGGCAGAAACTTAAAACCCACGCACAGTAGCCTCCAACCTTGAAACCTTAATCGTACATCATCTCACGAAGGCTCACACTGAAACCTCGGAGACAAACCGCCAAATGATATCATTTCATCTTATTCCAGCTATCGAGGATCGATTAGAACTTACAAATATCCAACACCTATACCCCATACCAAGTAGAGAAAATCCATCGTCTCCCTTGGATATTATGCACGCCGGCCCCCTCTCCTTTTAACCTGCCAGACGCCCATGCTGCTACCGATAGATGCAACCCTGTAAAGAAAGCGAAGGGAAAACATAGGGAAAAAGAATCTATGCATCGACCACGTTTGCGAAGCAACGGAATTATGTCGAGCAACGGGGGACAAGAGTGACCCCAGAGTGAGAAAGCAGAAGGTAAGGAAAAGAAACTAGAGAAGGAGAAAAAAAAGGAGCAAGAAGGAATGGGAATCCCGACGTCTCCCAGCTTGGCCCAGCCAGTTAAGACACCAGCGCCCCTCTCAATCGGCGAACCCCTCCTGAGTGACGAGGTTCATGACCCACATCCACTGCGCGACGTTGGGGCACTGCAGGCACCACCTCCTGACGCCACCGCTGATGCCCCCCTGCGCGGGCACGGCGCCCACGTTGCCGTCGGCGTCGCGCAGCTCCTCCCACACGTTGACCACGACCCCCGTGTTGCCGAGCGTGCTGAAGCACGAGCTGCCCACCGTCAGATCCACGAGCGTCAGCGGCTCCTCCCCGGCCTTCTTGGGGACGCTCCGGACGACGATCCGCTTGCTCCAGCCATGATAGGGCCGGAGCTGCTGGGGCGTCCCCGGGTCCGGCCGCGTGATGTCCAGCGTGCAGTTGCCGTGGTCCTCCCACTTGTGGTGCCTCACCAGCCGGTGCAGCCGGATCTTGAGGCCCGTCGTGCCCAGCGGCTGGTTGCGGGCGTTGCTCTCGGCCATGCTGACCGACGGAAGCCGCGGGAATGTGAACCCGCTGCGGCTCCCCGATGACGCTGCGCTGCTGGTGTACATGCTGGCCGGCGGGACCCCGGCCACGGACCCGGGCCTGGACTGCTTGTCGAGGGTCGACTTGCCGATGTCGAACGGCAGGTTACCGCCCGCCGTGAGGCGCCTGAGGAAGCTGCTCGCCGACATGCCGGAACTGCTTCCCTGCGACTGGCTCGGCGCCCGTGCTGATGCCCGGTAGCTGTTCTTCCTCCCGAACCAGGTGCGGCGGCGCTTCGAGCTGGAGTCATCCGCACTGCCTTCCCCGGCTTGGTCTTGGTCTTGCTGTTGCTGCTGCTGCCCGAAGGAGCTAATCCGGGCTTCCTCCTGCAGCTGCTGGAACTTGGAGTTGTTTTCGCAGCTGTGGTACACCGCGTCGAATAGATGCCGGGATTCGACCTTGGACGGAGTGCGGAAGCGGAAGGTGGAGCTATCAACTCCCTTTCGGATGAGCGAACGGGACTGCACAGGGGCATAACGGACCTCGACATCGATCACGGTCGAGAGGCGGATCCGGGCGTGCGGCGTGAGCTCCAACGCAATAAGGGGCCGTACAGTCCCTGCCTCGGCCCCTCCGTTTGCGGTCTCGGCCGAACTGGATGATTCGGGCTTCCCTACCGGCGAATGAGCCGCGTTCAGGGGGAAGACTTCTACCAGGCCAGGGCTGACGACAATGGAACAGGTATCGACGGAAATGTCTTTCCAGTTGTTGACCCTGTTGGACCAGTACGAGACTGAAGCAAGGGACTTGACTGCGTATTCAGACGAATCCTTGAGCTCTGGGGTGACCGCCTGGGAGGCAGAGTTTGACGGAGTCAAACTGCTGTCCGAAACAACCGAGTCCCTCGGGGTCGGGTCAGTCTTGATGCTTTGGGGAGTATCTAGGGTAGCAGGTGTGCCCGGCTCGTCCAGTTCGTCGAGCTCGTCGCTCGAAGATTCAGTCAGCGAATCTGAATCATCGCTCGAATCTGAGCTGCCAGAAGAAATATCTGATGGGCGATATTCGTGCTTCAGGGGCGAAGATGTTCGACGTTTCATGCGGGTCGGATGTCCCAACTCCACAGGAGCCAAAGAAGGGGGAGTCTTCGTCTTGGTCCCGAGCGTACGGTGAATTGGAGGCGGAGGTGCTCCATCCTCCCGATACGGGGTGCTATTTGGTAGTGACTTTGTCAACTTCTTGGGAGTGTCACCAAGGAAATTGCTGTGATCCTCGGATGGAGGAATCGGTAGAGAATGACGCTGCGAAGCTTTCAGGAACGACTCCTGGGTTGGGGTCCTACTTGGAGAAGTGGATTGGTCATCCTCGGACGCGGGAGGTGTTACCAGTGTCTTCGGAATGCTGTGGCTTCGCTGATGATACCGACTTGGAGTCTTCGGTGCTGGGGACCCTGGTGATTGCTGACCATGCTTCCCTTCTATAGCCGGGTCGTTTGCCCCATCATCAGCCTTGGAAGACGGCACGGCGTGGTTTGCGAGATCCGTGGGCAATGGTGGAGGCATTGGGTTGCTGCCGAGGATATCCAACCAGTCGGCAACCTGCTCCTTGTCGTCGGCGGAGAGTCTGATAAGCTCGTGCCATTCTTGCTTGTTGTGCCTGCCCCGAACCATGACGGTCAAAACGCCATCACCGTCGCCCGTACGGGCCGAGATTTGCGCTTTCGGGATAGCTGGGAATAGCAGCCAGGAGCGACTAGAGGGTCCAGTTTCTCGAATGATAACATCACCCTTATCAGCAGGAATATTGATATTGTCTCTGTAGATGAGATCAATCCGGCATTCGATCCGTTGGCCACTGGAGTGAATGAAGTCAAGCGAAAAGGTGTCCTTAGCATTGACTTGTCGAGACTGGTCGATCACCACGGAGTCAATGGCAGCAAGAGTCCGAAGGTCTCTGGTTCTCGTGGTATCAGTGCTGCTTGCATCCTCGTCCGTTTTGCGCGCTTTCTCCTCACGGTGCCGTCGACGCGCCTTTTCTTGAAGCTTTTCGAAGCCTGCGAGTAGCATCTTGGCCTCTTCTACGCCCAGCAGTCGCTGAGCACCCTATCATGGTTGGTCAGAACTGACATGAGTATGCATAGGACGAAATAAATGATAAAATAAAACAAATGGGAAAATATAAATAGATCTGAGCTCACCATGAGAAATTTCACAAACCACCTGATGCGAGTAAGAGGTCGCTTGAGAAGCTGGGCCACGTCCACTCGCTCACCATTGTGATCGAGGACGTCTCCTTCCTCGTTCCGAGGCATGGCATTTACCAGGGAATCCTCGTCATCAGGCTTTCCAGAGGCGGGAGCAAGGTTGACAATGAGGCCCTCAAAGCCGAGACGCCAGACGTCAAGGTAGTTGTCATAGAGAGGGTAGACACTCTGGAGCCAGGCGAGCAGACTGTGGATGTCTGAAAGGGGGACCCGCTTGTGAAAATATTTGAGCTCCTCGAGAACTACCCCCATGCTCACGACTGCTTTGGCCATGGCTTTGGCCTTTTGGGCGGGTGCAAGGCTGCCACCAAAGGCGGGTGCAAGGCCCCTGTCAGGGGCGGGTGCAAGGTCTCTATCAAAGGCGGGTGCAGACGGTGCATCTCCACTGAAGGCGGATGCAATGTGTCCCCCAAAGGCGGGTGCCGACAATGTGTCTCTTCCACTAAAGGCGGGTGCCGACGGTGTGTCGCCGTGGACAACACTTGTCAACAGAACAGGGACAACACCGTCAACAAGGGTTTTCAGCTCCTTTTGGTAGAAATGCTCATCATCTGCAAACTCCTGCAGCAGATCCTCGACATTGACACCGTCGGGCTTGCTTGTCTTCTTACGAGTGCTATGGCTCGATCGGAGACTCTTGACCCGACTCGGAGCTATCAGTTGGCCATCGGGGAGGGAGAGAACTGACACCAGGTCGGAATGCTTGGTGAGGCGTCTCTTCAGGCCCGACTTCCGGCTCTTTTCCCGAGAGAGCCCCGTAGACTCTGTGGGTGTTGTCGTCTGGGTCACCGTTGTTTGGGAGACGGTTGAAGCTGTGTCAGATCGATAAGTACTACTCGAATCTTCCGACAATATGGTAGAAAGCGCGTGGAAGCCGCTGGTTGGAGGTTTTCTCTTAGGCAGGTCGGCAGTGGAAGGTGCTGAATCAATGGTAGATTCGATAGTTGATAATGGCTCTGGTGAAGGAGACCGTTTGTTGGAACCGGAAGATTGACGTCTTGGCTCGGGATTATCCCAATCGCTGCCATCTTGATCTTTATCTTGGTCTTGACCTTGGTCCGGCTCAGCCTGGGACCTGGGGTTCATCACAAGTGGCAGTTTATGGCCGCCCGATTCTCCTCGGAACGCGTCTTTCAGCTGCTCCCGGAAAGGCTTCCTCGGCCCAGACTTTAAAGGGGAGGACGCGCTCCTAGTCGCTCGGCTCCTCTTGAGACCCGTCCCAGTCGCAGTTCCTGGAGTCTTTTTCTTTGGCGTGATCTCGTCGTCTACTTTCGGATCAGCGTTCTCTTGGTCCACATTATCATCAGCTGGCTTGAGCTGAGGCTCCCCCTGAGGCCGTGTTTCGGATGATCGTCTCCCAGAGTCCTGAACCCACTCCTTCTCTACAGACGCCCTCTTCGGCTTCGAGTCAACAAAGGGGTCGACGGTGTTGCTCAGCCACGACTCTATGCTTGGTGGCTGTTTGAAGACTGGTTTCGGCGGATCAACCTTGTCATGAATGATCTTCTTTCCCTCGCTGACGACTTTCTTGAAGACGTTGGGCACCGCTTTGAAACTCGGATTCCGTTGGCCCTTCGGCCTCCTGACACTATTCCTTGCATCTGCGCCGAGTGGTAGATCGAGCTCGCTGAAGGCCGAATATCCGACGGGTATGTCCGCCAGTGATTTCGCCCCAGGAGCTATTGACGGCCTCTCAGACCCCGCGTCCCAATCTTCATGATGGGGGAAACGATCAGATTCCTCCATCCATGACTTGCCATCCTCGGTCTCCTCGGTCCGCGTCACCGTCGTAGGAGTGACAGTCCGCCTCGGCTTCCGTTTTGCAGATCCCTTTCTCTTAGTTGGGGTGTACACCTCGGATTCCGGCTCCTCGATCACCTCGATCATATCGCTGAGGGGCGGGTCCTGCATTGCACCGGACACCCTCGTGCTCCGTTCTGCCGACTCCTGTCGAGATGAAGCCCCCCGTTCTGTAGCCTCGTCGTCTGCGGTCGGCGGACCCGGCCGCACTCGAATACCGTCATCCGGAAGTGCGGTATCCAGAGGTCGAACTCGTATGCCGTCGTCGGGAGGTTCTTTCTTCCTAATCGGTTTTATCCGAATTCCGTCGTCAGTCTCAGACTTCGGCTTCCGTGTCCTCGCCAACCTCACGCGGACGCCGTCATCTGTTGGCTTCCTCGGTCTGGGGCGGCCAACGTCTGAAGAATCTGCCGTGCTTAAAACATCGTCATCGATCGTGAAGCCTCCATCCGACTTTGTTTGGCGCTTCTTAGCCTGGGTAGGCTCGGGAACCTCCACCCGCAGCGCCCAATCTTTGATCTTGTTCTTCACGGACGGGTTCTGGGCCGTTCGGAGCAGAAAGTCCTTGGGGATCGGCATCGGGCTCCCTTCGACCTTGGGTTTTGCGGCAGCTGTAGGCCGGGGAGGGCTTCTTCCCTTCCCCTTCTTCATCCAGTGTCCGTCGCTGATGATCCTCTTCTTCGGCGCGGTCCCCGACTTTGGGTCGCTTGCAGTTTCCTGCTGTGCCGCCCCGCCCCCGTCATTACCGACGGTTTCGTCCTTGGCGTCGGGGCCACCCCCGCTCCCTCCTCTGGCCTTGGACGGCTTCCTGCTCCTCGACTTCTGCCTCGCCCTAATCCGCAGGCGGTCCTCCTCGGTGACGCTCGCCTCATCCACATCCACCAGTATCTCGGTTGGCTCGGTCGGCGTTGCCTCAACAACATCCCTGGTAGCCGCTGCGGCGGGTCCCTTCACAGTGACTGCGCCGGCATTGGCCTTCTGCCACTCCCTGACGCGGTCCTGCACGCCCCCGGGCCGCTGCTGAAGCCTGCGCACGGCGGCGGCGCGCATCTCTTGGCGGAGCTCCTCCCTGACGCCCGCGGCGTCGGGCGCCGCCACGCTGCGCCTCCGCTTGTCCCGCCGCTGGCCCTGGCCAGCTCGCTGCGCCGCCAGCCGCGCCGGGGATGGCCGCCCGAGCAGGAAGTCGTGGAGGAGCGTCGGCTCGGCCTTCTTGCGCTGTGGGGTGCCGGTTCCCGCTGCTCCCGCCGGCCCGGCCCCGGCCCCGGCGGCTGCGGGTGCGCTCTTGGGGGTTGCGCCGCCATTGGAGGAGAACTTGCGGCCGGTCGGAGTGCTAGGGTTGGTGTGTTTGGTGGCGGAGTTGCGCTGCTGTTGAGGGGTGGTTGCCGAGTCTGTGGAGGAGTCGGGTGGGGGTTTCGGCTGTGGCATTATATGGTGCGACTGGGAACAAAGGTGAGATTAGCAAAGGAGGACTAGAGGCTGCCTGCATTCCTCAATTCAAGGCCACCTAGTTAGATGCTGGCAAAGTCTCGGTCCTTGACAGGGAAGAAGGAAGGAATGTAGTTGATGGGTCGCCTCGTCATTGTCTGTCTTACAACATGGCTGGGGCTTGTCGAAAGAAAGTAAACAAAGCTGACGAGGCAATCAAAAATCCTCACCTAGAAGAGCCGCATACTGCTGATCTGCACTCCGGATGGGACCAATTCGATCTGCGATCTCTGCGAGATACGATAGGCGACGTTTGGGGAAGTTGGAGAAACGAGTGGTATCATGGGGTGTTGAGGGAGGAGGTTATGGTAAGGCTGCGCTCAGGGCTGCTGCAGGGTCGTTCTTGGTCCTTTTTTTTTGGTCTTCCTTTCCGGTCGATCGCTTGCAACTTAGGGTTGGAAAGAACGAAAGAGAGGCCACAGAACTTGGAGACGGACCTGCAGCCCTTCCTCGTGGATACCTCAAATGGTTGAACAACACAGCAGGAGTCGACCAATAATGGTGGGTACTGAGTCGAGACATAAACAATCAAGACGTACCACGATCCACTGGGGCCTTGGCAGCTGTTGCTTGGAGGACCGACAGGGAATGCTGGAGTGGGTTGGCGAATCACAAGCCCCTAGACGACCACATGTGGGTCTTCCCGAGGTGCAGTGAATGGTGGGGCTAGGTATTGGAGACGGAAGCTCAGACTCGACATAGCCCGATAACCTGGAACTCAGGACCGGGACGAAGCAAGTGACTGCAACTAAACTTTGACTCCTCAATTTGTGGCATGCGGGCATACGAATCGCTAAAGCAAATGCAAGAGATCAGATAAAAGCTCCTCGGCTGATGCGAAGGGCTGGGGGTGTTATCCAGCTGAACCTAGAGTTACAGTTCGTATATCCACCGTGACATCATGCAACCACCAGAACGACCTGCAGCGAGCTAGGTAGGTTGTCGGAGTACCCTGTGACAGGGAATTGCAATGTCGTCCCGCACCCAACATACATAGTGGACCACCGCACCGCGCTCTGGCCCGTCTTGTGAGAGCCACACCAACTCCCAGCAGGGTTTATGGGCATATCGGCGCCATATTAAGGCCCCGTATCCAAGGAGACCGGCTCTCTATCAGCTGTTTTCAGCAGACACCGGTACACCAAGGTTGGCGGGTCTGCTGAAATCAAGGTTTTCAATCATATCGTCTGCTAATTATATCCTCCACCCCCAGGCCTAGATCTAGGTCTCGCAGCGGCCTGCATCTGACAGCCCGAGACAGGGTATATACTATACCGACTATACCTTTTCTTGAGGAGCGCAATGGAGCTTACCACCACTTCGGGAACAGTCCACCGAGGCTAAGCCAAGTCAGCACAAAGAAAGATATCAGCAGTTTTGAGTAAGCAAGGTCGTTGAGGGGCGGTAAGCAGATGCACTCGAGAAGCAAAGTCATAGGCATAGTGGGTGTGTCTTGACATTCTTTGTAGCTGCCCGATTAATCCTAGGTGTAACCATGTTTCCAGACTGTGCGCCGACTTCAGGGGCGCCATTGCGCCTCATCCAGCCGATCCGGAATTACCTCGCCTTGGTAAACGCCCAAGATGCAAAAAAGAAAAGGTGATGCTAAACGCCACTGGCATGTAGTGCCTCGTGTACTCTGAAAATGCCTTTCTAATGATATCCAAAACGCCAAATGCCCAGCCCCTGGAAATGCAGATTGCCCAACCTCGGCCCCTTGGAGCGCAAAAGAAAAACCCACTCACTATACAGAAAAATCAGGGCCCTCACAATGATTTGATCTCCCTCGCCGGCAGGACGAACCTGACCTTCTTCCTCGGCTTCGCAGCCGCAATATCTATGGCCCCAGCCTTCCGACCATCCTCGCCCATCACGCCACCACCATCTTCCTGCTCCGGCTCCTCCTCGATCGACCAGACATCGGGGCTGGGCTCGCGCCAGGCATGCGGCGAGCTCCGAGAAGGGGCCAAGCCCATGCCCCGGGGCCGACCCTTGACGCTCCCAGCAACGATAGGTCTCGGGCCGGGCCGGTGCGCCGACCTGCCGCGCACCGACGACAAGTGGCCGGCGTGGAGCGGCGCCGGCGAGAGGAGCAACCCGTTGTTGCCCGCCTTGGACTCCCTCTCCCTCCGCCCCTTGGCCCTCATCGTCGCGAAGTCTCTGAGGCTGAACGGCAGGCAGAGCGGGAGCGATCCCCCGAGGCGGAGGTATTCCTCCCCGTCGTCGTCATCCTCCTCCTCCTCCGGCGTCGGCGCCATGTCCATGTCTAGTTCTGGGGAGGGGGATCCCGGGCCCCGAGGTGGGGTCGGAGGCCGCGCGCCTAGCCGGCTGAGCCCGTCCAGGGTGGATGGGCTCACGCTGCGCACGATCGGGGCCGGGTGCTTGGCGTCCTCGATGCCGGCGTCGAAATCCATCACGTCGACGGCCCCGTCGTCCGAGGACGGTGCTGGAGTTAGGAAATAGTTGAGGGGATTTTTGTCGACGTAGGACAGGTCCAGGCCCCCCATCTCGGCTTCGGCATCGACATGTTCGATGCTGGACCGGAGGTGCACCTGGGTGGGTGGCCAGGAGTCCCTCACGCTGCGAGGGTGTGGTGCCCTTGGGTTTGGCATATTGCTGGTCGATAAACTCGGGTTCTTGGGTGTTTATTTAACCCATGTATGGCACTTCCCGGCCGCTTGGGTTGTGAAATGAGAGGTGTCTTTCGATCTTGGGTGCTGAAGCCTGCCACGTAACGAGATACAGTGGCGAAGTGTTTTACGAGAATGGGTAGCGAGAACTATCGCCGGTCTGGCTGGTGATGAAACGGTCTTATCAAAAGAATGATTAATCGAGGGAGGTAAACGGGTTTCTACTTCCTTCTGAATATGGAGAACAGGAAAGGAGACGAGACACGAGCGAACAGAAGGAGGACCAGCCAACATGATATATGAGACGGAGCCACCAGCCTTGGAAAGAGCTGGCGTGTTCAGTAGCAGCTGAGTCATACTAATCGGTGAATATCCGGCCAGGATAGACAAAGGAGAGGGCACAGGGTTGCCTGGTGAGGTGAAGATGGTGGTCACCATCAGCCATTCCAGCTGGGGGGAGTCTCACTTTGCGAGGCAACTGGTGAGGCCAATGAGGACAGCGAATCAGCCCCCCAGGCTGCGACTGCGCCCAGCCCGTCGACGTGAACAGCTAAGCGCGCCGGAAATCAAGCTTGAAAGGCATCACGAGTTGGGAAGCGGGGTTGGGAAGGTGGGGGTGGTGTAAGACTCTCTTCAGTCTTCAACTCTTGAATTACCTGATATTGCGGAGAAGCGTTATTCGAAAAAGACGAGGATTACGGGGGCGCTGAGGCAAGACAAATGCCAATTCTCCAAGCAAACAGGTAAGTTTTGGTGTGCCTGAAACGACTCGTGACAGGCAGCAGCACCTCAATTCCGGTCGCTACGGAAGTAAGCCAAGGCACTGACAGCCACCCACCTGGGCCAAAAGAGAGGTGCCATCTGACTGTGCCGCACACCCTCTGCCACTCGTAATGTTGCCGAGGAATCCGGTGTGTCCCTGCCTCCGGACTTCGTTGTGTCTCAAACCACCGCGCATGTGTGACTATTCCAAGGTCAGCCTCCTGAGAGGTCCCAGTCTCGTTTATTCTAGGATGACAAAAAGTTGGAAATCCACGTACCTGCATGATGCGTGCTCCCAACCATGCTGGTTCGAGAGTGCTTTTGATTGTTCAAGTGACGAACCAAAAGCTGCAGCATCTCAAACGACCGATCCCCAGCCATCGATATTGGGCTAGCGGATCGAGGCGATGTACCAGCTGCCAGGATGAAGGGCGAGGAGTCATTCGCTGAATGCGAGCCTCATGAAGCAGGAACGAGCTCTTGCATGTCCAGAGGCTATGGAGACCGAGAAGAGCACACCTTCGGTGAGGGGGTGTGAAGAAGACGACGCCCGCGAGCGCCCGATGGGTGGCGTCCTACATGAAACACGTAAGCCATGTGTCACGCCTCAGGCAGAAGCACTCAGCAATCAACTCCACGCCCGGCGTGCCAAAAGCACCGTCTTCTGAATCTGAAGAGACCGAAGGGCCTAGCCCACCGCCATGTCTTGGATAGCCCCCTCAATTTCAGAAACAGAGCCTCAGCTCTTCATTGGGAATGTGTCTAGCTCTGTGAATCAGGACAGCCTTCGGGGCAACGGCTCGTGCCTGAAGACGGCCCCCTCTTCGTTTCTTGCATGGACAGGTCCACGATGGACGTCCTCGCACAGATGTCCGACATCTGCGACTTCATCGACAAACGACTAGGCAACCCGGGCCCTTCATCGAACCCCATCGTCCATTCCTCCAGAACGACACGACGAAGAAGCTTGTTTAGCTCGCCAGCCGTCGTCATAGCCTATCCCATGCAAAAGCACGAAGTCGGGGGTAAGAGGAAGATCAGGCCGAGTGAGAACTTCCTAGATCAGCTACGAGCACGGGAGGCTGTCGAGTATCAGGTGTGGGCGGACGAGGAACGGAAGATCCCAATGGAGCCCTATCAGGCTTACCTTGACAGACGAGCTATAAAGCTCAAGGCCAAGGGGCTAACTGGAGATGAGGCTATTGGAATTACCAGACTTTGAGCTAAGCCCGAGGGGATCATAGATGGAGCACGAGCGGCGGGTGCAAGCCTGATTCTCCACACCGCCGAGTCTCATTTTGACTCCTCGCCGACCGTTTGCGTCGAGGCTTTGTTGAATACATATCCAGCGATATGACAATACTGTCTGTTGATTCCACATTTATTCTGGGTTTTAATCTCGGCTTCGTTATGCCTGGTTAGCTACCATCGTCCATTGTTGTCAGGAGCCTTATGTCTCACATCGATGTCCCAAGCGAGACCTCGGTATGCTGATGCCAGACAAGGAAAGTTCATTCCGCGAGAGTCCTCCCTGGTACAGCAGGACTCCGGGCAAGGCCGCAATAAGTGAGAAGTCGAAATAAATGCAATTGCTTGGTTGCCTTGCCGGCAAGTTTCTTTCCAACTCGAGAATACGGAACGAAGTCCCTTGACTATACAGGTATCTTGATCATCTGAAGTAAGGATATCAAGGGAGAAGGCAAAGTTCTTCGGCGGTCTCGAACCCAGACGTCCAGTCTGCCCTTCCTTGCTCTCGGGGTCATGGAAGAGGACGTCAATCAGAGATAGAGGTGAAACATTGGCGGCCTCTTAACTTGCACTTGCTCTGGCTAGAGATTGAAGATAACGGGATGTCAAGGCACGAAGGTCCTGGTTGATGTTGAGATTGGCCACTGCAAGGATCTTCTCAGCGTGAGTCCTCAATCCCTTTCCCAGGAGGTATGACTCGGAAGTTACGTGGTCATTCCCGGTGGAAAGGACACAAGGGAACCGGCAGAAACAGACATTTGGCGCCATCTAAAGACCAAACAGCCGCGAGAATCTGAAGCAAGGGCAACAGTAAAGAGCACACCGAATGACGTGACCTTTCCCCCGGTGTGGGTGAGCCTCGAGTCTACTTCTAGATGCTCATGGATAGCTTCTTTCTAGGCAGGAATCGTCTCGTGATGCCCTCCGAACTAGGACTACCGAATTCGAGCTCTCGAGGAGTCCATCGCTTTCTTCCTCCCTCTTCACTCTTTTCGGCCACTTCTTCAAATTTCAGTTACGGGGCGGGGCCTCTTCTCCATACCTCGTCACATGATATCCCCCATCCTCCAAGAGCAACCAGTCGTGGCGCTGCATTAGGTTTGCGGCGAAATAGCGGTGAACAAGTGGTGGTGTCGACGATTTGGCAATAGCTCGATATGTGTCGATCACTCGCCAGACGCTTGGCTCCCCACGTTATCAGGATCTCTGGACTACGGTCGTTGGCCTCAAATCTCAGAAAGCCTCTTCAACAAAGTGGGTGGCCAGATATCCTGCGCGATGGAGTAGATCCTTCCCAGGCGCCTGGAGCGCCCTATGTATGACCTGCACCAGCACAAAAGTGTGCTGACGCCACCTATCTCGCCAGCCTCCTCTTCCTGATAATCCCGGCTGGCCTCCCCCGCGCTCGGGCACCCGGAGTAACAGCAGTAGCCTGTAGAACCACGTCACAATCACAGGCCATCTCTCTTTCCTGGATCACAAGACACCAAGGCAAGGGCATCACTGATGCTTCATGCCAGCAGCTGTCCGAAAATGGTTAACAGATACCCTTTGAGCGGCAGAGAGCCCAGAAAGTGTCCCGTCCAGACCCCTGCACTTGCGTCAATGCCTTGTATGCAGCACCTCCTCCACTCTCTTCACCACTCAAAAAAGACCGAGTGCTATTCTCTGCCAAGGACTTGACTCAGATCGAGAAGATGGTGTCTGTCGTGCCGCCTAGGTACGGCTACAGTTACGGCTACAGCTACAGCTAAAGGTACACCTACAGCTTACGTCGACGCGCGTGTCCAAAAGGGGTTAGATGATTCACATGGCAAGTCAGGAAGCACGATATGCAGCTTCTTGCGCAATTGCGAAGATGCAGAGGTCGTCCCTTTTTGCGGGAAGCCTGACCCAATGAAGTTGCATGCACTTAATGGAACCCGAGATTCTCGCCCCCGTTTCGTCCAAGTACAGGATTTTCTTTGGGAGGACTCGTCCAGTTTCCCGAGCTGACTACCTATATTGCCTGCCATGGAGGGTATAGCATGGTAGTCATTGGCCACGTTGATGAAAACAAGCCGTACAAGGCCAATGAGGAAAGGACGAAATAGCCCTGGGTGAAACAGTGTTCGGATCGTCCTATCTTTGGAGCTGAACGGCGCAAGTCGATCGGTCGCGATACATCTGACGGAGGTGTGGGCCCGAGTTTGGATGGATTTCGATTAACAGACGAGTTTCAGGACCGGAACCGAGTCTGCTATGCTGTAAGGCGTGTGGTAATTTACCTAGCCCCGACCCCACTGCCCGGGTGTTTTCACGACCCGGAGAAAGAGGCCGGAGGACAACGACTGGTGCCACTCAACCGGAGCCGGAGTTGCGAGTCACAACGGACGGACTGCAAGCAATAGTTGCTATGCAACTTTCTACCTGCTAAATCAGCTGCTAGAATGGTCAACTTGGATCTCCATCAAGACGTCAACTTGCCAAGTCCCCAAGCGTGGCTTTGAGATTTCGAGATCTAAGACCGATGACTCCATTGCCGGGTAAGGAGACGGGCAGTCACTGGACGATTCCTTTGATGGGCTACGCGGACTGCCCTATGAGAGGCCGGTGCGGCCTCGACTTGCAGACGTCTGCATCTAAAAGATGACGGTGCCCAGTAGAATCGGGCTTAGTGGGAGACGGAGGTGGTGTGTTGGCGTGCTTCCCGCCTGCCGTTGCCTAGGATTGCATTGCTGCCTCCCAGTGCGACGGCCAAAAAATCCTCATTCGAGGATCGAGCACTGGTTTAATTTCCATTGCGGCCCGTCCTGTTCTCGAGCCTTCGTCCCACTTCGCAAATGCGCTCCGGTTCAATCCCAGCTGCGAAAGCTTGTTTCTGCGATATTCGGGGAGCTTCATCCTGCTGCCCATGTTTTGCCCGGTCGCAGTTGCGCTTATAAGAAAAGACGTTCAAGGTAGGGAGAAGTGGAACCTGTTTTTCGGCCCTCCCAATCTGACTTCCTGTTGGTACCCAAGAGCAGAAGTCGGGCATTAAGCAAGCAGACCGAAAAGCAAACGACTGCAACTCGAGAAGCACTCGGCTAGATCCTCGCCACTGAACATTCCAGTCAGGTTCCGGTTTAGTTTCGTGTCGAGAACACTGGTTCATTCAGTGCGCCTCCTTTTTCTTTTTCTTACTTTTCCACATATTTCACCTTTCCCAACCTGGCAACTCAGTTACCCGAACTGACTGTGTCCCTCCGCCACTCCCAGCTGGCACCCTAGTTGTCAGCAACGCTCGAGGGCCAGTCGATTGCAACAGTGCATGCCCGCTTGGTTGCCTTGTCGGTACCTTACCAACCTGCCAGGGAAGCCACCATACACAGCCATTCCACTGAGTCGAGAGTGGCAAGTAACTCGCTGTCCACGCATCCACGCAGTTACGGTGTACAACACTACAACACCGCCTGCAACCCCCCACAGGGCACGACCACCTCATCGAGGCCCAGGTTCCTTTCTGGCATTCGTCCAGTACAAGCCCCGGAGATAATCTAAGCCCGCGCCAGATCGACAGACAGCTCAACTGGTCTCTGAATTGGGACTTGGGCAGGGCTGACAAAGGAACCCTTCAACCTTCTTTTATCTCGCTAGAAAGAACAAGGGGAGAAAGGGCCCGAAAAAGGGTTGGCCCGTCCACTGACTAACCACCCGCCTGGGCCTGTGCTGTGGGTCCTCTATGAACACATCCCGCTTTTATCGATAAAGGGTATCCCAGACATATCCTTGTCTGCCGGTTGCCAGGGCTGCCAGGTGCCACACCCTCCATCGACATTTTTCTCCAGACACCAACCGGGCCTCTTTCCCACACGACCCCCGCAGTGGGAAACAATAAAAGTCGTTGCAACCGCTCCGCTGGCTCCTGCTCCACCGCCTAAAAAAATAAAAAGAAAGAGAGAGGGAGAGTGGAAGCTTACTGGTGCTGTACGAATTCGTACTATACGTACTACGTACCACGCACCACCTTCCAAGGTTGTCTTATTAAAACATTGTCCATCCAATCTTTACTACTTGCTCCCTCTTCCACTCCTCAACACCACATACCACCCCAGCTCAACACGACGCCAGCACATTTGCCCACCACCTCTTCCGCCGGAATCTCCCCACCTGAGATTCAACACCTGCTTCTGTTTCGAGCCAAACCCGTACGGTACTCGCACATCATCGAGCGATCTGGTTTCATCGGCACATCAACTCGCCCACGAGGCGTAACTGCCTCCCCCCACATCCCCTCCGGGGCCCGCAACCACCCGGCCCAACTACCTCAATAGGTACCCTTCTAAGAGGCGTCAGATCCGTCTGGCAATGTCGGGAAAGCATCCGTTCCAGAGAGTGGCCAAAGTAGAAGACGCCGACGAATCCGGAAACATCATCGAGGGCACTGGTAGATACGCCGAGTCCATCGCCAGCCCCACGAGAGAGAGACCGAATACCAGTCGGGCACGGAAAGAAAAGCTTGGACGAGATTCCCCGTCTCCTATACCCAGTGGGCTCACCGATTCCGATTCGACCATACACCCCATCAGCCCTCTCAGACGAGAGTCAAAGACAAAGCCGTCGAGGGAGACGCGAGAGAGAAAGGAAGCCGCCGCCAGCCGGAGCAGGAAAAGCTCAAGCAACCAACAGGCCGTCATCGCCATGAGGCCTGCACCGCCTAACCACGCAGCCACAGCCCCGAACTTCGCATATGGCAGAAGATCCGACGAGGCTTCCTATTATGGAGTACCCACCACCGTCACCGCGGCTAGCTCGCGACCACGGGCACAAGCATCCCGCCAAAGACCAGCAAGTTATTACGGGTCGCCGTCTCGACCGCCCCAATCCAATGCCCGATTCTACCAACCACCCCCGACAGCGCCTCTGCCTACGTCCTATCCTCCACCGTCATGGGCTGCTCCGGGACCGGTCTTGTATCCTGGCGCACCCCCTGTCGGTTCCCATCCGTCATCCGACTATTTCACACCTCGCCCGCAGAATCTAATGGCGCGATTCGACCGGCCCCAATCAGCAATGGGCCACCGACCACCTCCACGTGCAATCGAGTATGGTTACGAAGAGAACGACAGGCCGTTGACGAAGAGATCATCCGTGTCGAGGAAGGTGAGAATGGAGGAGGACAGAAGGACAATGCCTCCGCCGCAGCGCCCGGCTTCAGCTCGTCCTACAGTCGGATTCCGTCCACCCCCAACTGCGACGGCAAGGAGGAATGTCGCGTTCGATGACGACGACCTTGCCGGCGGCGATCCCACCATGTTTCGCGCCATGTCTCCGCCATCCCAGTACCAGTACCCACCGCAGACTGTAGTGCCGCGGACAAGACGGCCCAGTGTCGGCGCGACTTCGATTTCCTACGATTCGGGCGCATTTCGGACCGAAGTCGCTACGACCAGGAATAGCCGGCGGCATTCCTACCTCGGTGGCCACTCAGTGTCGTCTGGTAGCGCATACGAGGATAAGATGCGTCAGGCTGCAGCATACCAGGACGACATCGGCGGGGGGCCCACAATGCCCTTGACCGCCGAGTCTCTGCGGAAGGCCAGTAAGAATGGAGGAAGCAGCAGGTCGACTCGGAGCTCGGGTAGCCGTGATGAAAGTGAATATCGGCGATCGGCAACGACGAGGACGACGCGGTCGAGTGGCAATGGCAATGGCAACGACGAGGATGTCACGATCCGCGTAAAGGGTCAGGCCCTACTCAAGGTCGGAGGCGCCGAGATGCAGTGCCAGGACGGTGCCGAGATCAACATCACGAGAGGCGGCCCCGGACCTTACCAGGGCGGTAGCGACCAATCCAGCTACATCGAGGCCGAGGACCGTCGCACCCGCATGGAGCGACCTGCGACACGGACTCGTGCGAGCTCGCAGGCAGGATCGTACTCGCGCACGCTGCAACCGCGGTACGACATGCCGCTGTCTCGGTACGACACCTACCAGTATCCGCCAGTCATTCCACCATACCCACCATACCCCACGAGACATGACGAGGAGTACTTCTGATCGCAGCCGGCTACGAAGCTACGAATGACGACCATTGCGTGGCCCCCTGCTGATGATGATGACGACTTTTGATGACACGGACAAAGATGTTCGCCCAGATGATATCCCATTTGTTTTCCATTTTGCCGACATGATGCCATCTATTAGCGATTTACCGGAAAGAGCGATGATATTTTTTGATATTCTTATTATTTGGGTTCTATTTTACTTCCCTTCACACAGCTCCCCTCCCGAGGCGGTTACCAGCTGTTTTTGGTCACCTCTTTTCTTCCGATATTTCTGTATCCTGTGCTACTAGCCTGGTGGTCTTTGTCTCTTCCTCGTTTTGATGGCGGGAAAAGTTTATACCCCCAAATCGGCATTGGCAAATCAAAACGGGATTACATAGTTTGTGTCAGCGCCTTCATGGTTCTTTTCCTTCCCAGGTCGACTCTGGTATTGGTATATGATATGTATACGTTTTTTTCTCTCTGGGAGGACACAAAACTGTCTGTCCGCTGGTCGTCTCACAAGGGGAAAACAGATTTCCCCACGCCCCCGTTCTTGCATTTTTTGTTCCTTCGCCAGGACAAGATTGGTTCTCTTCCTCCCCCAAATGTTGAGCTTATTTTATTATTATTTTCCCCTGGGGTTCGACTGTTTTTCTTTTTATTTACACAGGTATGGCTGTGCCATGCTGTGCTGAAACTCCATCTTCTGTAAATGAAGTACCTGTTTCGCATTTGCAAATGGCCTGGGCAAACTTAGAGTTTATACGGCAATGAAGTTCACACTTCTTGTGGGGAGGTAGCAGATACCTCGTTGCTCTGGGTTGCACAGACAGTTGGGGAGAGGGGGAGAAACATGCCATCTTCTGGGTTTCTTAGACGACAGCCTTACGGAATTCGCATTCTTAATCATCTATCACATATCTGAGGTGGTGACGCTCGGCTCAGGGGAATGAAGGGCCGGGAAATAACAAGGGGGTGCATAGGATGGAGCCCGGAGAAAAGCACTCAACTAGGCTAGGCTTCCTCCGCAAAAACTTGGGAGATGGCACACCTCTTCTTGGAGTGGCTCATTGCCGGGGATGGCTGAGTGGGTGATATATCGCGAATTCACGATTCCCTTTGGACGTCGCCCCTGGCGCGATTGACTCTCTGCGCTGATCTCGCAATGCACATGAACAGAGAGTGACGATCCTCTTCCACTGTCGATCCCACCAAACCCCATGGGGGGCATGTAATCGACCGATCAGACAGCCGTTGTCCAGAGATCCATTAACCTCGGCCACTCGGCCATGGCCACCCAACCCAGAATTGCCTGATCTGGCCCTCCGATCCCCGTCATTAGCATAAATATCAGCCAGCACTGGAACCAACACTGGAAACTTCCACGTCAATCATGGCTAAGAATATACCCCACCAATCCCCGCATTCCCCTCGGGAGTCCGTCAAGTAAAAGGGGAAGGATGGACAAAAGGCACGTGTGTGTGTGACCATGATGGGCAAGCAAAGTCGAGACATCGCCTCGTGATACAGCACTGAAACGGCAAGCACTTCTGAATATGTCCTCCCCCACCAGCTCGACTCTGCTTTTAATTAAAGTTTATTTATTCCTGCTCCACATCGCCCGGCCCGCCGGGTCGTGCCTTAACGTTAGATGCATATGCGTATAAGTAGCGTCGAGGAATAGATCATCCCACCTAGTAGCATTCCATGGGGCTCGTCTATGGAATACAGTGCATCGTTCGAGATGACAACCATGCTCTCTATTTCCCCCTTCGGACTTAGTCAAACACCCGTACTCTTCGTTATGTGCTGTCGTTTTGGAGTCAAAAAAGCGCTAGTGGTACAGCACATTGAAAAATGTCCGGGGCAGAAGCGAGGTGCTCGCCTCAGCTGTCACTCACGCCCCAAGGTTCATCCGAAGCAGTGTAAGAGTAAGCGGGCATCATTAGGAGACAGATTACGTCGCAGGTCCGCAGGCGGGACTCGGGTACTTCTGTTTTTGGAGGGTATCTCCCCAGAAGCCATATGAGTAAACCAATCTCAACGTTTTGTAGAACTAGAGCTCCCTGTAATAAGGGGTTGCCCTGAACTGTCTCTGCCCCGTTTCAATGGCCAAGTGGACCAAGTGGAACGGAGGGAGACCTTGCTTGTCTGCTTGGTGACGGCGTGGAGCAATGCAGGGGTGCTTGTTGCCCGGCCAGCCGAGGTTTTATTTACTTACGTCATCATCTCCGGCCGCCTTCTACGCAGTACAAATCGAGAAGGTTGGGGCCGACCTATCCTCACCAACCTATACTCAGAATATCTCATGCATGACACAATCCACTTGTAGGTAGCAAGTGTCACTCCCATCAATTACCTACTGCTCCTCTTTCAGTTGGGGCGTTGTTGACATTCGCCTTGCCAGGCGACCGACCCCACCAACCTCCCAGCGAGCCAGTCAACGGTTCGCTCCAGCCACCCGTTTCCTGGGGAACAACATAACAACCCGCCAAAAATCGATCATTCTCCCCGACTTCCATTCCATTCCGGTATTCTGCATCAAAGACATATCGGCTTGCTTGGCTGAAAGATCAACTACACGCAAAATATCCACGCCTAGTTATCGCTCAAACGGCTAACCTCCTTTTGACTGACTTCACAACCCCATCTTGACTCGGCTGGTTGACCAGCCCAAACCAGCCAGGCATCTCTTGTCACCTTTCCACCCTCATCATCACTTCATAAATCTCTCTCCAAGATCACCCTTCAATCCGCCCGGTGACCATGGCACCCGCCATCATCACCACCCTCCGCAACCTCGTCACCACCGACAGTGATGTCTCGGCCCTGGGCCCACTAGCGGCCCGCTCCCTTCTCCTCGGCCGCGACGGCGACGACAAGGGCAACGCGGATGACCCGCCCTCGGGCGTGATCGACCCGCACAGCATCAACAACAAGATCATGTTCTCGCTGTTCGGGCTGATCGGGGTGGCGTTCGTGGTGACGGGGATCTGGTTCTTCTTCTGGGCCAAGAACGGCGGCTTCTACTTCCACGAGAAGGACTGGGACGACTACAAGTCGACGGTGCTGCGGCGGCGCGGCCCCAACGGCACGATCCTGTCGGGCGCCACCGAGAGCACCGACCTCGGCGGCGGGAGCGTCTACAAGGACGTCGACGACGGGTCCACCGAGGTCAGCGGCAGCACGGGCGGCCTCACCAACATCACGGGCGGCGTCAGCGACTTCGCCGGCAGGGAGAGGAAGCGGAAGAGGCGGGAGCAGAAGGAGCGCGAGAAGGAGCGGCGGCGGGAGGAGAGGTCGCGCGAGAAGGAGGAGCGCAAGCGCGGCGGCGGCAGTCGCAAGGTCGGGGCCGACGGGGTCCTCGTCGACGATGAAGCCGAGGCCGAGGCCAAGGAGCACCTGCGCAGCTACCGGCACGAGAGGCCGGCGCGCGTGGGCGGGCTCAACAAGGAGAGCGAGGGCAGCGCGTGGGACGGGTCGACCAACCCCAGCCACTCGACGGCCAGCGGCTCGGGGGCCGGCACAGAGAGCACCGTCACGACGGAGCTGATCAGCAACCGCGAGCGCACGCCCACCAGCACGCCGACCGGCACACCGACCAAGCGGCAGGGCGGCGGCATCCGGAAGGTGTACTCGACGGCGGACAAGACGGCCAGCCGCGAGGCGGAGCGGGTCCGCGCCGAGGCCCGCAGGCTGCAGGAGAGAGGACGGGCGGCAGCCGGTGCGGCGCCGTCGTCATCCCGCCGAGACTTCAGCTGGCAGCGGGCCGACGACATGGGCTTGCGCCGCATCGAGGAAGGGGCCAGCAGCGTTACCGGCGGCGGCGGCAGCAGCAGAGGGGATCAGGAGTCCCACGTCCCCGGGGGCTGGGTGGGCAGCGACGTCGGCACGAACAGCGAGGCCGGCACCAAGGTCTACCGGCACTCGGTGCACGTGCCCGGCACGGCGACGAGCGACTTCGCGTACGCCGAGGAGAAGCGCAAGAGGCGCAACGGCGCGGGTCACCGCCGCGCCAGGGACGACGATGGCCGTTGAGCTGCGACTGTCCGCCAAGGGGTTCGAGGCATCGTTTCTGGGTCTCTTTGTTTCTTGTTTTCCTGGGGATGCCGACACGATGAGCTTGAAGCTCTACTGGGATAGAGCAGGGTATGGGATGACGGGATGAAGCCTTGGGAATTTGGGCAAGTATACGGCAGAACTGATGCTGGATGGAATTGGACGTCTCTTACAGACCATTTTCCGGCGTTGTTTGGGGAATGTTGGGGCTTCTCATTCCTTGTCCAGAGGTCATCGTGTATGGTATTTACATTTTATACTGTAGAATGAGCACAAATTGATGTGTGTCAGCCACTCCTCGCTTCCTGGGATTTCTCCAGCTCCCTTGATGCAGTCCGGCCGTCTAAACTCGGCCGTCTAAACTCGGCCGTCTAAGCTCTCCTGCGGTAAGTTGCCTGATTCTCAATCGGGGTGTGGGGTCACGATATACCCCAACCCCATGTCCCTCCCTAGTAGCCGTCACTTGACAGCTGTGAGCTGTGACGTGTCGCATCCCTCATCCGATCTTAGAGACCCGAACAACAATACTAACTGTGCGCTGCATCTTGTGCAATTGTCAGGAATTTGGGAGCGCAGGAGAGGACCATGGAATCCGTAATTTTTCATGTCTCTGCCCGTAATTTTCCTCTGAATGGCACCAGCACTTTGGCCTGTCTCTTGAAACCGCTCCTCTATCTAAAATATGGTACAGACTACGGAGTACAGAAGTACACGTCCCTTGCAGTCCCACCCCCCGCCCCACCGCCGGGGTACAGCATCCTATTTATTGTTTGGGAAGTAAAGGTGCCTCGCCCGCATGCATCAACCAACATGCAATTATTGTAAAGAGCTGTTGGAAGCTGGAATGCACCCTAGAATTAGGCGGCGCCACAAGAGGAACCTGGAACCTAATGGATGACGATAGACCCAAGACAATCCTCTTGCTTCCGGCTCTCTTGGGTGAGGGGACGCCGCCCAGACCTGATCTCCAAATGTCGGCGGCGTCATTCGTCAGAAATCCATGTGCCCCTGCAACGATACTTTGGATTCCCCGCCACCTGGTAGTCAAACACTGGGGACTTGCCACCAAGCGCTAACATCCGCTACCGCCTACCTTGTCTCCACCCGCCAAGCGCAAGACAGTCGCATGCCTAAGCCAAAACCAAGTCGAGTCCTTCGACTTCGTCAGCCGTTTCCAATCATCGTCTGTTATCTTATTCCTCTCGTTACTCACGACCACACACCTAGCATTTTCTCCGTCCGTCCTGTTTGTCCTTTCATTTGATTGTTGATTGTCGACATTTTGCTCATAGCAATCAACCCTTCCTAGATTCCTTTGCAGCAAACGGATCCTCCCCGAGTCTTATCCAGCTTGCGCCACCGCCGATTCGTAGCGCTGCGGCGAGACCTGATTCCTGCCCGCAGCTGTCCCACACACCCACCATCACGGACGAAGTCGAGCTACGACGACCACAACCCACCCGCCTATCCACCAAACACTACCGGCCCTACCGGCATCTTTGACAAGCGGAACTGATCTCCTAATTCCAAAAGGACCCAGACCACGTATTAACATCGGGTGTATCTGGGGCCCGGTTGCATTCCCGCATGCTTGACTGTCAGTGGCGACGCTTAGCCTGGCTGTCAAACTACCAAAACACAGCAGAGCAAAGCACGGCCCATACAAGCGCAGAGCGACGGCCAGCTTGCGCGGCTTCACTATGCAGAGGCCACAACACCCGTCTCCGGCGCTGAATGGCGTCCTCATCGGCCTCCTGTCGTCCTTTGGCTCGGTGATCCTCATCGCCCTCGTCTTCCTCGCCGCCTACTTCTTCAAATACACACAGTCCGGCCGCATCTTCCTAGACCGGATCGGGCGGCCGGGCGAATATGACGACGAGCAGGCATTCGCGCGGGAGGAGGCAGAGGCGCTGGAGTCGATGGATGACATGGCAAAGACTGAGTACTTGAGGGCAAAAGGTACGTCGCCGCATCCCTTGATTAGTCTCTTCTCTCTTAACGGGTGCGTTCATGCTTGCTAACCTCGTTACCGTCTCACAGCGTTTATCACTGCCAATCCTCCCGAGTCTCTTCAGACCGATATCTCACTATCTCAGTACCTCGCCATCCAAGAGAAGGGCGTCTCGGCGTGGGAATTCGAGCCCGAGCTCGAGATCGCCAACTGCTTCGTCGAGGCCCGGACCGAGATCGAATTCTTCGATTCAGAATGCACGGTAATGAGCAACCTGCCCGTTCCGAAGCAGAACGAGGTCTACTATTGGGAAGCGAAGATCTTCGACAAGCCGGAGAACACCTTGATCAGCATAGGCATGGCTACCAAGCCTTATCCGCTGTTTAGGTTACCAGGTATGATTGACCCGCTGCCACCCAACCGGTTCTTCTCTTCTCCATAGCGGTGTCTAACCGCCGTACAGGCTTCCACAAGTATTCCGTTGCATATCTTTCGTCTGGCTTCCGACGGTTCAACCAGCCGTTTACACCGACGTCCTATGGTCCTCAGTTTGTCCAGGGTGATGTAATCGGCGTGGGCTATCGACCACGTACGGGAGCTATCTTCTTCACCCGTAACGGTAAGAAGTTGGAGGATGTGGTCCACGGATTGAAGTCGCACAACTTCTTCCCAGCTATCGGCGCCAATGGACCTTGCATTGTGCATGTCAACCTCGGTCAAGCTGGCTTCGTCTTCATCGAAGCAAACGTCAAGAAATGGGGCCTTGCGCCGGTAACAGGGTCCCTCGCGCCCCCGCCGCCATACGGTTCAGAGCAGGGAAGCATATTGCTGGCGGCGGGCACCAAAGATGGGTACACGGGTTCGTCAGCTCAAGGTCATGGCCATGGACATAGTCATGGGCATAGTCACTCTGTGCACACCTACTCGAGGCAGAATCAACACAACCTGAATCCCGGCCACGTCAGGTCGGCATCGGGCAACTACAGAGTCATGCCACCAACAAGCCCGGGACCGGCTCGCAGTCCGACCGACATCTCGCTAGCACAATTGGTACCGCCGGAAGACGCTGGGGAGCCCAGCAGCAGCGCCCCTCACGCAGGACAACCCGACGAAGTCATGCACCGGAATGTTGGCCTAGGCCTTCAACATCCAGATCATCCGCCTCCGCCCGAGTACACGAGCCCGGAACACTCCGACGCCGGAGGAGGTCGGCGGAGCAGTACCGATAGCGAGAACATGCCACTCATACATGTGGCAAGGAGCCGGGGGGCCTCGTCGGCGACGATCCGAGCAAGCAACACAAGGAATCCTGGACCGAATAGCCCGCCCATTCCGAGCTACAGCGATGCGGTACGGCAAGGAGGGGGTAGGGACAGAAGCGATAGCGCTCGGTCTAGCGGGCAAGGCTCGTCAGAAGACTAGCTTTCGAATCTCGAGTGGTGATACCCAAGGCGTAACCGAAGCAACGCGATAAACCTTGCCCCCCCGGGCGATCTACTTACACGAACTGTTGATACTGGAACCAGTGTCTTTAAGGAGCGAAAAGGCACTGGTGCCTCGAGTCATATATATAAGAGAGAGAGGCAGGTCCCATCTGGAAGCGCAGAGCTGGTCGGACTTTGCATTACGACACGATACTACATATTTACGGCTGGTTGACTTTTGGTTAAGGGACGGGGAGGCATTAGCGCAGGTCCACCGGTTTATATGTGTCTTTTTGTTTTGCTTTCCCTTTGTCTCTTTTTCTTTTCCTCCTGTGGCTTGTTGTTTCGTCCAGAATCGGACAAGATTGGGGGAAACTCGATCCTACCTGTCTAACATCTCTGATCTCGAGTGGGGAGGTGGGAAAGGCACATTGATTGGAAAAAAAGAATTCCGGAGTTTCTCTTTTGTTTTTTTGTGTGTAATACCCACTGCTCAGCCATGCCATGTGTGGGCTGGCGGGCCTGTCTTCTAGAGCTTTTCGAAGGGGTATTATAGGAAATTACCTGGGAAACAAACATACCCTGCAACTCTTCACCTTTCTCTCACTCTACCTTGGTCAGTGTCTTATCATGGAACATTGTCCTCCTAGGGGTGCAAATGGATAAAGGGCCCCCTGGTATACAACCCCCTGTGGGCGGCTTTCTGTTCCTCCATGCTTCTTACCCTGTTTGCTTGGAGCGGCATGTAGCTAGATCTCAGGCGTTTGGATTTCGGTGGCTGCAAGGTGAAAAGTAGCTTGTTTCTCTAAGCCCGTCTTCTGGGTTGGGCAAGGTCGGGGGCTTCGGCGATTTGTACTGTACAAGTAGTGATACACATGTCTCTCCCCAGTGATAACACATCTGTTGGAACCTGTTCCAAGCAGCACCCGAGTGTTCACTGTCCTGATATCTCTCTTGCCTGGCTCCATCGGGTTGCTCTCGCCAGGGCTTCTATCAGCAAGAATAGAGCGGAGGTGCAGTAGAATATACGGGTTGATGCCATCTAATTGATACATCCCTGTATTCCGTATTTTTGACGTTACAGTCCCAGAGGTGTGTTCGTTGGGCAGTGGTCAGGGATGACGCACAACTACGTCGTCGATTTATTGCACGCAACAGACGGGAGCCATTTAAGGAAACGACCAGGCTCACACTCCCGATTTACAATCCAACTCTAGGTTGCCAAAAGATAAAAATTGAGACACGACTAGTCTTTGTTGTAAAACGTTCGCAATGGTGAAGCCTAGAGAAACGGTTATCGAGCAAGTGCAGCATCTCATTTCCAGGCCATCGTTTTAATCATCCTACCACCGCGGTGCTGACCTCTCTCATAGGGAATTCAACGAGTTGGTCAACATGACCTCCCAAGAACTCGAAGATTGGTTAAAAGTGACTGAATTGGCGAGAAGACACCACCGAGGCTCACGCTGACATCACCCCACAGACCAATGAGTCTACGAGCTCTGGCTGGTCCAAGGATGATGGCTCAGGAGAGACGATTGGACACGAGAGTGGGCGTCACATTGTCGAGATTCTGAAGAAGAATCCAGACAAGGTCCCTTGTGAGTTCGAACCCCTTTTTGCTAGAGGTCATTTCTGCTTACTGTCTGGATCCAGCCGGGTATGACGAGGAGGATATCCCCCATATGCGGAAGGCAAGTTAATCGCGAACATCTCCCCCCTTTTCTCTAAAGAGATCACCACACTTACACTGTTTTAGGTCGTGAGTTACTGTAAACGCCACCTGGCTCAGGAGGAGAAGGCGAAGCAGGACGTCGAGAGTAAGAGCTACAAGAGCCTCAAGAACTGGGGACATGATCCATTGAAAGCTTGAGTGGCTTAAGTTCCCTTGTGGAGCTTTGCCGTCCCCTCCAATATGGGGGTCCGCCCTTCCGTATGGAGGTTTCTTCCTCTCGTATCAGGGTTCTGTGGGTGTTTCCTTGCTTACCGCTCAGCGGACATAACCTATGAGCTATAACCTATGAGCTAACTACGTATTTGAGTACCTAGGGATGACGCTCAATATCTACTAAACAGCAAATACAGCAAGCAGAGGGAGCATCAGGAAGAAACTCAAGTGAAAATAGGAATAAAAGCAACCTCTAGCCCACAGACAAACTTGGACTCGTTCACCTTGACCACCTCTACCTACCTCCTACACCACAAGTCCCGGCTCTAACTACCTCAGCAACAACAATGTGATGATGGAGACTACATCTTCTGCCACTGCCTTCGTCACCGCTACCATAATCACCTTCACCGTCACTTGCTACCGCCACCGCTCCCACCACCGTTACAGTCACCAAGCTCGCCGACACATTGGCGTCGATGATCCTCAGGGCCTGTTTCGCTACCATAAGCTGGCACCCTTTTCCGACCCCGTCCGGCCTATCTAGCCCATCTGGCCTATTCCGTCCCATCCATCACCTACGGCGTCTTCGTGGTGACCATGATCTGTGGCAGCCTCGTGGCCCTGGGTACTTGTCGCAGAGATCGGGGGGGGGGACTCCATTTCTAACAGGGATCAATTACAAGACCACAAGTTTGGCATGTTGTGGGAGTTTTAGAGCGACTAAGACCTCTATCTCAGGTATCGACATGACAGACGCTGGTTTTCCCTGTGGGCAGGAGAAGCCAAGACTGGGTGGCCACCCTGTTTTGGGCGAGGAAGAGGAAGAGGATTAAGATATGGCAGCTAAGTATGTTCGAAGGACCACTTTGAGCCTAAGTCTTCCCTAACTTGACCAAAGCCCTAGCGGCCGGCTTCCCCTGAAGCGATATCTCATGGCGTTTCCTCATTAACCCGACGTGTGCGTATTATCATTAATGCTCCTTGCAATGCAGCGGGTATAGGGGGACATAACCATGCGTCAAAACGCCAAAACGCCAACCAATCCACCAAAAGAAAACGCGCAGCGCTGCAGCCAGCTGATTCCTATAAACGACCGACTTCCCACACACCACCCCGCCAAGCAGCCGACCATTACGACCAAGATAGCCAGTTAGTCGGTACACCGGGTAAAAATCGAAGTAATCGATGGAATGGACGGATCCATGTTTGGCGAAGTGGGCTCAACGAGTGGGGATGAAGTGCTTCGACTCATCCTCCTGTTCGCTGAACGACTTCGGGAACGCGGCTATGCCCGCGACGATGCCGCAGACCATGAAGAGGAGCGAGATGATGGACCAGATGACGCCCCAGCACTGCGACGAGCCGCCGTACCGTTTTGCGAAGACGCTGGCGTCGGAGCTGTTCACTTTTCGCAGGATGAGATCATCGCACTGCAGAAAGGGAAATCCCTTGGGTGTCAGCACGAGGAAGGGGGGGGAGGGAAAGGGTTAAGTAGAGAAAAAAATCCTCACGATATCCCAGACGCTGTAAAGCGACGACATGACGCCGATGAACAACTACCAACCAAGTCAGCGAACCCGCAACGCACCCCACACACATCCCACGGGGGAAAACCACCTACCACGACAAACCTCAACGGCAGCGCATGCGCGATGAACCAGCACGCAACGAGCAACCCGACAGCGAGCAGCACGGTGACGATAGTCAGCCAGTCCCGGCGGGCCCACCACAGCGTGAGCAGGAAGCAGACGCCGAGGACGATGCTCGCGACCTTTGAGGCGACGACGTCGAAGCCGCAGAACGTCAGCAGCGCCCCGATCAACGACGACCCCAGGTAGCCCGCGGGCAGCGTCACCGCGCCCTTCCCCCCTTGCATGTGCGTCACGCCGCCCTCGTGCGGGTCCAGCGAGATGGACTTGACGCGGCCGCCCGTGAGGACCGCCGCCAGGGCGTGGCTGAACTCGTGGAAGGCTATCACGAGCATCTTTTTTTGGGGGCGAGCGGGCAAGGCGAGACGGGTTAGATGATGGGGCCCAAAAAAAAGTGGTGGGGAGTCAAACCCCCTTGGGGGGGAGAGGTTTGGGAGGATTCGCTCTCACCTTGAAAGGCCACAGCACCCAGCGAACGTACGGCAGGTTCCAGAGCAGGGCGATGACGACGACGTAGGCCCCGATGATGCCCAGGGTGACCTTCTGCGTGTGGCTGACGGTCAGGTCGCGGCGCGCCAGCAGCGCCGAGCGGGCCCCCGCCGAGACGCCGAGGGCCACGGCATGCCTGGCGGCGACAGGCCACGCCGGGACGAGGCTGCGGAGCGCTTCTGCGTGTGTCGGAGCCATGAGGCTTTTTTGTTGTCGTTCCCGAGTGAAAGCTTGAAGAAATGGAGAGGGCAAATGGCGTTGGAGGTGGGTGTCTCAAAGGAGAATCGACCTTGGGGTCGGGTGCCTCTGTTTTGTCGTAAATGCTCCCTCTTTTGTCTTCAGGGTTCCTTCGCAGGGGGGGAGCGGCACTCTTAACGCGCGTCAAGCTCTCCACAAAGCTGAAACAGCCCAGGGCGTTTGGTGGCTTAGACGACAACCATGGACCTGATTGGCCAGACAGCGTGGCTGGCTTCGATGTTCCCACTTGGCTCTTTCTTCAGCTGTGACTTGGTCAGGTGGGATCCGTCCCGTGAAGCATAATTGCTGTGCGACCACAGAAACGTACATACAATAATTTCATCACGAACGAGAGCAGCTTAGGAAGTGGCGCGATGGAACAACGAGCTACGAAGAAATGGAGATTCACTCATGATAAGTTCGTCCTTCACGATGCATGCAAGAAGTATCCTTGGGACAGGGTCACAATAGGGGTTGAATATAAAATGCATGTTTGCGATTATTCGTCCTGGTATTGTAAAGATACATGTCGACGTTGTTTTGCCCTTTGCGTGAGACGTCCGTCATGTCTCCACCTATATCCATCTGAAATGCAGACGACATCAAGCCCATGGCGCCTGTCGGTGGTGTATCTTCCTCCTCGAGGAGAGATGCGGCCCTTGGGGCCGTCTCCCCTCTCTCTGTGGCCTGACGGGACCGAGTCCTGTCTCGTCGTAATTTCATCCCTAGTCATGAACCGGCAATGAAATGCCCTCCAATGTCGCGGACTCTCGCGTCCAGTCACGGTACGGGGAGTTCAAAAACCAAGGCAAATCAAAAAGTGTACGCCTTATTCCATGCCCAACTCGCAAATTGCAATACAAACGTATGCAGCAGACGCCTGGTGAAACCGGCGCAGGGCCGGGGGGTTGTACGGGAAAGGCGAAATAAAACCAAAACCGAATCGATTTGAGCTGATGGGGACGTTCGTCATATCGAGAATGGGGAATCTTCGAAGCACTCGCATTTGATCCAATTGTGCTGACAGAGAGAGTTCGCCAGAGCGTTGGATATCGTGTCCAGAATTTAAACAAAGGAAACAAGTAGGCCCCGATTCCAGTCCCGGCCGCGAACAGGAGTTTCCGGGAATATCGAAGTGTGGAATAAAGCGGACGTTCCGACTCTGGGCAGGAAAGTCGCTCTGTAGCGTCTGATGGCTTGGCCGTTTGCCATTGTCCGAGGTATATAGAAATATATGTGCTCCGTGAAGGAGCAGGCGGAAAGGGTGCTCCGCAAAGTGAAAAATCGTCGACTGAAGGGACCGTTGCTGAAATATCGAACCTCAGTTGCCGGGTAAGACAGTCAAAAGAGAGGGTGATGGCTGGAACAACCATGTGGTATCACGCAACGCCATGCTTGTGTATATGCTTTGCATCGCAATGTCGCTCAATCAGATGGGGAAACAGAATCTGCAAAGTAGACATTATGCCAGACGCCATGCAAGTGACCCAGACCCTGGGACGATCTGGGAGGGGGAGGTGGGGGGCCATAGGCGTGTCATTAAAACGAGGTCCGCCGGGGGGTCCTCATTGCGAGGCAGCAATGCACCAATGGCGATGGAAGGCCCAGGCGCTCTTTTGGCACTCCTTGCTGCAATACTTGGTCCGTCGGCAGCGACGACACTTGGCAAATTGCCGCGTGAACTCCTCCCACTTCCCGCACTTGTAGTAGGCGCACTGCCTGATGCCCCCTCGGGCGTCATCCTTCCGGCACAGGTTCCTCATAACGACCCCGGCCCAGTATTGCATGTCGGTGCTATGATACCGGACCGTGAACTTCTCGACAAGCGGGAAGATGTTGAGGTCGTTGGGCAACAGGTATTCCTCCTCGTATTCTTCGTCCTCTTGCTCCATCTCGGCCTCGAGCACGGCGGGATCGACGCCGTCCAAGAGCTGAAGTTCCTTGCCGATCTTGAGGCGTGGAACCACGTGGCTGCTCTGGAAGTATTTTCGGAGGTTGCAGTACTTGGAAACGTATGCAAGCAGTTGAAGAGACATCAGTACGTCTTCCTCTCTCGGCATGGCCGCAAGTATTTGCGGATTGGGAGTGACCTGGCGGTCTAGGAGGTACCGTGGAACGCTCGAGGTGGGTAATGTCGGCTGGGGGGGAGGGACCATGGCCGGCCGGTTGGGTGAGAGTCCGAGAGCTGGCACGGGAGTAGGAGCAGCTGTGTTGACGATACTGCCGTCGACTGGGCCGCGGTGGGTGATGTTGAAAGTGCCCGTGTCCTGTGCTTCCGAAACGGTAGGCGTAGCAAGGTCCATCGCCGCGTCGGTGATGATGCCATCTCCGTCATCCATGGCAATATCCTGAATCCCAACGCCGGCCTGTATATCCGTGGTGCCAGACATCTCGGTGTCGGGGGACTCGTCGGACTGTGTGCTATCCGCGTTGAGATCGTCGGAATCGGCAGTGGTAGAGTTTTGGTGACGGATTGAGGGGCGACGGCGGGAGTGTGACGTTGGGGCAAGCATCGAGGATGGGCGGACAGATGGAGACCGGAGCTGGGGAGGCGGCAGGGGCGTCGTTGGTGAAGCTGGCTGCGAAGTCACAGCGGGATGGCCAAAGGGCATCATGGATGCCAGCCGATCAATATCACGGACGGGACGAATGAAACCCTCTGGATTCTCCATTGGCGGAACGGCGGTTGACAGAGGTTGTATTAGCTGTCGAGGGGAAGACGAGATTGCGAGACGTGCTTCCTGAGATCTATGGCCATGGTGGTGGTGGTGGTGGTGATGATGATGCCGATAGACGGGGAAAGGAACTGGATCGCCAGGAGAGGTAAGAGGAAACTGGGGGGCCGTCGGGGTGGCATTGACGTTAGACTGCACCACAGTGGTAGCTAAACCGGGAAGGCTGGCCGATACGTCGATTGAAGGAGGAGGAGCGTGACGGCGGAAAGTGCGTTGATCAACATCTAGCCGGCTAGGCCTGTTGGCGAAACCGGAGGATCGAGACCCACGACTTTGCTCGCCCCGGTTACGATGCTGATGGTCCTGTATCTGCTTCTGCTTGGCTTCCTCGGCCTTCTCGCGGCATTTTTCGATGACTTTGATGTAATTGTCCAGGATGGTGGCGATGACAGGGACCATGTCAGCCTCGACCACTCTTGTCCTGACAGTTTCTGTGCCTCGCACCCCGATGTTGACAACACATTGGAAGGCCAAATTCCACTTCCACATATCCATCATGTCCTTGCTGCGACCCTGCTTCAGGATGCAGACCAATCTCTCGATGCCGCCATCGACTGTGAGGATGTCTCGGATGCGTGCTGATGACGTGGTGAGGTAGGCGAGATGGTTCAGCGAGTTGATAAGTGGTAGGGTCGAGGTACAGTCGAGTGCCCGGCGGTCATACAAGGCAGTGGTGATGCCCACCGACGCCTTGTTGACGTTTGGGATGCTAAAGTTGACTTCCCTCATCTTGGATTGCCTCGGTTAGGCACCGCGGAGGCTCCAGATGATGGAAAGGTTACAAAGTGCAAACCAGCCTCAGTGTGTGGTGCAAGGTGGAGAGGAGGTGTATTATATGAAGGACGGAAGTTGGCAAGACAGGGCCGGTCTTGGGTGGCGGAGATGAAAGTGATTTATGCGTTAATGGGATAGATTGGGGGTTTCGGTCGGGGGTGGTCGTGACAGGTTGGAGAATTTGGAACTGGGAGCGGAGAAAAGTTCCTGACTCGATTCGATGGCTGGCGATGGGAGGATGTCGATGAGCAGTCGGAGATGGCGGCAATTGTCTGGATCGGAATGGGAAACCAGGAGGGATGATAACAAGTCTAATAAATAAGATGGAGATTTATCCTGGGCTGTTTCAAACAGCTGAGGCCGGTGCAGGATGCTTGGCTGGACTCGAGAATCGAAGTAGCGATTCGATTCAAATACCTCAAGGGCCGAGTCTCGTCTCTCAACCTGGCAGCGGCCCTTTTGGAGCAGGGAAGGGCGTAGATGGCGGGAAAGAGAGGGTCAATCGTAGTTGGGTCGTCAATGTAGTCGCAGGGAGAAAAGAGAGAATGGACAGAATTAAGTCGACGAACCCTCGTTGGAGAGAGTGAGAGGTTGGGTTGGGGGTCGGATGGCGAGAAGCTGAAAAAATGGTGGTTGAGCCCTGGCTGCCTTACTTGGTAGTGAATAGTCCCGCTCTCGGTCCTTGGTAAGGGAGGTACCTATGGGGCAAGTGGCGCCGAAGCAATACTTGATGTACCCAAGTCTACAACCTCTAGCTGCTAGCCCAGCACTACTGTTGTGCGTACAGTGCATGCATGTATGTACCTCTCTGGCCCCCAGCACGCAACTGGAGAAAACGGCTGGCTGGGGCAAGCGCGGGCCCTGGAAATCCGACGGCCAGCTAAGAGCCTATGGACCTGCTCCTTTCTCATAACTAGGTTCCATGCTGTGTCTGTGGAATAAACCGAGGCGTTTAACAGACAAGGAACCTACTCAACAATGTGTACCTTGTCATGGCAGGCAAAATTGGAATGGTACTGTGCATGTACCTCTTTGCAAAGCTCCAAGAGGTGGTTTCTGTGGTGCCTATCGCCACAATCATTGCCAAGTCAAGCCAGGCGGGGACAGTCCTCGGCGGCCATCGAGATTCGAGACTCAGACAACGGAGGAAGGATAACCCAGACTGGCCTACCATAATGCTAGCTTCCAAGCTGTCGAGTGCACGTCTCCTTCCTCTAGTGCAGGTCTCGGTTGCCTGCTGACTGCTTCTAATCCATCGTGCAGGTCAAAGGACACACAACATGGATGCTAACAAATCAAGAAATCCAAGGAATCCCGCAGTTGAATTATTTGGAAGCATGACCCTCCCCGCCCAGCACGAGGTTTGTGCGTATTATGCCCTCTACGTTGTATGCGGAGGCACTGACGCCTGCCGCCTATCCCTAGTTAGCTTGCGGCGAGCCTGTGCACGCCTCTCCTCTCCTTTAAAGGCAATGAATGCGCTTACGGATACAGCTGCTACTGCGCGCTCCCCTCCCATGCACGTCCTCTTTGGGGCCTTTCCCCAAACTGGCCCCTGGCATCCCTGCAGAATAAATAAGTAGGTAGGCTTGAGTCTACGGATTACTGTGTATGCGTATATCTGAGCTGCATCAGCGTTGGTTCTTTACACCCGGGTTTGAATCCCTTTACCTGCGCCAATTCGCCTAGATCTTTCAATAGGTCGGATATTTGCTGACCAACATGACAATCCGAGCTTCTGGCTGGCCCTGCTAACTGAGGTGCAAGTTTGCCGCCTGAAGCTCGGCCCCCTGCATGGGAACTGCAGCGCTTAAGATCCGGACACCCCAACCTCATCCTCCGATATCCCTTCCGAGGTTTAAATCCGCGGCCGAATGCGGATGCGTACTTTCGTCCAATAACCCTGGATGTGTTGCCAAAACCGTAATGGGTCCAACAATCTCGTCGACAGAAACCCAATCGATGGCGCGTCTAGATCTAATGACACCCTCCAAACGCGGCCATGTCAGGCTGTCAAATGTTATTGACTGTTTTTCGCGCTTGAGCATTAGCCAACCAAGTCCCATACCCAGCCCGCCCAGGTCGCCCAGCCTGCCCAGCTTACCGCCGCATAGCCTATGAGTCCTTGCCTACTTTACCACCAGCAACAAGAACAGGTCGACACGCAAATCCCGTCGGAGAACCTTCCTTCCCAGTTCCCACTCCCCGGTTTTGTCGCATTTCTCATTTAGCCTTGGGATGAAAAGGGTGGCCGTGGACCCGGGCCTACTTTCCAAGGTTCAGTCACGGGATGAAACGAGTGCCGTCTCGCCGAGAGGGGAAGGCGGACCAAGGACCGGGCCAAGCACGCCGACCATGCTGGACCGCTGGACCACCTGAAAAAGAGTCTGTGGTCGCGTCACACACCGCCTTGGTGTTTGCCGACTTCGCGTCGGAGGCGGCGGCGCTCACCGCTGCCCGGCCCAGCTACGGAAACCTAGCGGAGTGTACGAGTTCGCTGTTGTGAAGGCCAAACTCGAATCCCATTAACGCCCAGGCTTGGGAAGAGGGATCACGTGGCGAGACTGGTAGCTGCTGGGCCTCTCGATGCAGTTGTATCGATCCCCCTTATCGCTAATGGGCCCAAGGAGACGAAATAGTACCAGGTTTACTATTTCCAAAGCCATGTCTCGGGAGCACTTGCTTTGGTTTATATGACGCTTCGTGGGTGACATGATTCTCCACTCTCGGATGCGTCAATCTGTTCCCTAAACGCCACATAGGTAGGTATCTGGGTCGAGATACAACCCACTTTTCTGCATTTCCATGTTCATCTCCATGCTCATTTGCGGCATTGTCTTAGGGGGCGAGCTGTATTTGTTTTGCTGGGGATGGAAACGCAATCTCGATTGCCATCATGACGTTGTGGCCCGAAAAAGAAAGAAAGAAAAAAGGAAACACGGCAGGTGGCGAGGAGACGATCAAATCGGACCGGCTCAAGATGGGCACATCTTCTCCACAACCACATGAGATGAGCTCGCCTCTCTTACTTAGCCCAGCCCCTTGGCAATTATCCTTACGCCACTGTGGGTATGGGAGTCCATTTCTATACATATTATTAGACTCTCAGTCGAGGTACCCAGTTGACGACAAAAGGATTGACCCTTCCTGCCATTGAATATGATTGTTTTGACTTCCGCCGCTCTGACCGGCTAGTCTAGCTAGGCAAACATGGCATGGCAACCAACCATGATTTATTCGGCATTCTAGAAGTCTGCTGGAAGATTCTGCCTTTACAGCCTTGTTTAACCTCGCCATATTACAGATGCAGACCGCTATATCGCCCACTCATCGCAGTCTGCTACATATGACAGGCTACGGGAAGAAAACGTGGTGACAACCTGGGTTGCTCACTTCTGTAGGAGGTCTTCAAGAGCTATTTACCCCTTAAAACCCGGCAGTCCTGTTTCTCAGAAACCGGAACCACACAATATCATCGGCTTGCGTGGGGAGGGGGAATAGACCAGTCATGAGAAGGGGTATGTGAAAGGGAGGAGGGCCCGGAGCTGAGTCCGAATGGTGACGGATCGGCGACCACATTTCCGGCACCTGAGATATCGACAGGTTGGTGTGCCTGACAATGAGGAGGAGGCGGTGTGGTTATTAAACAGGTAGTAACGTAGGCTTTGCTCCCCATCGCCCACGTTCTATAAACAGTGAGATTTGCGGTTGGTAGTATGGTGTAATAGATTACCGTGCATTCTGCAATTCTGCCTTTGCCTTTCAAGGGGTGTGTAATTAGCCGTGTGATAGACAGGCCCACGAACTGCCAAGTCAGGTACGTGCAAATATAGTGCCTGGGAGAACTTCTGGGATGAACGACGTGCATTCCTATTCTCCGCATCTACTATGGAGATCAAGATCCTGGGACGATAGAGGTGTAGACTCGGGCACTTCTGCAGCTGTTAGAGGTCCTTCTCGTCTTCCACGAGTGCAGATGGGGGCCCAGAGATGCACTGGAATATAGCGACAATGTAAGTCGAATAGGTACTTAAATCGGACAGGACCAGGTAGCTTTGTTTGTACTTCACTGGGCATCTCAGTTGCAAGGTGAGCTCGATTCGAACAAAGAGGAATTCCATGGGAGGTACAGGTAAGTAGGTACGTTAATATTCAAGTCCTGTCCTTCTTTTCTTCTCGCTCCTTCCATATCGGTCCACCTGCTCTCCCCCTAGGTAGGCTTCACAGCATATAAGGCTTATGGTCGGTACTAAGAGTGAATAAGAATGTCAAGTGAAAGCAGTCCCCAGGCATAACCTCGAGGATAAAAGGCATTCTGTGGAAGACCTGACATCCCTCGGTCAGTCCTCCTCCCCTTCGTCTTCTCCATCGCCGGAACCAGCAAAAGAGACACCTCCCTGATAGTACCACAGCACGACCTGCCAGACCACGGTCAGGCAAGCAAGCAAGGAACCCAATACACGATCCCAAGAAACCAACGAACGAACACCTGAAATGCTGCAGACCCTTCTCCTCGCCGTGGCGGCGGCAGCCACCCTCTCGTCATCCACGCCAACCAAGACGATCCCAGACGCGGCCCACCACGCCGGAGGCACGCTCCCCCGAGCCTCCCGCTGTGTCGACGGCACCCCTGCCTCGCTGCCGACCGACGGCGGCTGGCCCATCGACTATGCCGAGGTCTCGCTCGATCCCGACCTCCTGCTCCACTACACCGTTGCCGGGAGCTGGTATGCCGACCATTACATCTCGTCCACGGTGAGTCGGGAACACAATGCACACACCCCCCTTCCGCAGAGCCTTTTTGCTGATCTGTCCAAACCCCAGACTATTAGCATCGGGCCCGGAAACGACCTCTACGCCGCCTTCAAGTGCCAATTCGTCTGCAACGCCGCACCCGACTGCGTCTCCTACTTCGGCAAGTACGGTTAGTATATCCGGACGAGACAGACCCCTTGGAGAGAGTCCGTCATGCCCAGCCAAAACTGACATTCAGCATCTAGTGGACTTTGGATCAGGCACCCAGAACTACCAGTGTACCCTGTTCGATGATCTGTGAGTTCCCCCTTTCTCTTTCTCTCGACTGCAAGGGAACCCATGTGAAGATGCTAATAGAGGGGATGGATAGGTTGGAACCTTCGGTATTCGTGTCTGACAATGGCACCGTGCCCGGAGGCGGCTTCAACAAGCTCTGCGATGCGCTGCCGAGCAGCTCTGGCGAGTCTGGCGATGCGTGATGGGCGGTGCCTGGCACATATATATGACCCCCGTGGGGTGTTCCCGGGGCAGGGGAGGATGAGCGATTTGAGAAGGGCAGACTTGGCAGAAGCATTATTATACAGATGTCAGGGGCGAATATTTGTGCTGCTCTCTACCGGTAATGGAGGGGGATATACACGTTCAACGCCGGGGGAGGGGAGTCAAGTCTTATTACACAGCCGAGGAATAAAAGTACTCCAATTAAGAGTATAAATCATACCAGATCAACCTTGAGAACATGAAGAACGAGTTGGGATCATACCAAGATGAGGTATTCCTTTCCACTGGATGCTAATCGCATAGCGAGGAACATGAGAGCCCCGAAGTCGAACGGACTACCTACCCACCGACTCGCCAGAGGGCATGCATGATAACAATACAACCGCCAGAGGTCAGCCCAGGTCTGTTCTGGTGAAGATTGTTTTCGTCTGTTCGCAGAGTCGGCTGTTCTATCTTCGTTAGCTCCAATCTGCCTCCCAGGGGGTGTGGGTTGGAGGGTCTCGAATCTGTGGCCCCCGAGAATGAATATCACCGGACACCAGAGGCAGCCTCCAAGATGACGGCTCGGGGGTGCACGTTCTATCAATCCTCTAAACGATCATAAGAAAGAAGGAAGGAGCGGTGGCACCGATCTAGTGTCGAGAGGTTGGACCTTTTGCCGAGTTTGCAGCTACGGCCCTGCATACTCCTATTTTTCTTACTTTGAAAAGCTGTCTAGTAATCGAATGACAGTCACGTAAAGAATCCTGCTTCACCGAGGTAATCACACCAAGGTAACTTCAAATGTACCCATGCAGCGCAAAAAGCGCATGTCGAGAGCTCGAATTACTCCTTTCGTTAGTGGCTATCGACCTCGTCTCCTCCAGCGATCACGCTTGTCACGCGCCCCCAAATGCAAGGTTCCGTAGCTCCATGCAGTTCCCGCAAAACTCGAGCAACATATCATCCGTGAACGGAAGGAAGTCTTTCCTCCCATCCTATCTATAGCTAGTTACCGGCCCAAAAATATAATGAAGATGAGAAAGGAAAAAAAAAGGGTGGCTGCTCAGACGCCCGGCTTCAACCTCCACGCCTTGCCTGCCTTCTCGGCAATCATCTCCAGGGTCGCCTTGATCGCCGTCTTGGAGCACTTTGCATGCTGCGAGCTGAAGAGCTCGATCGTGCCGACCTTGCTGAGCGCCGGGTTCGCCATCACCAGCTCCTTCAGCTTTTCCTTCATGTCGGGTGCCAGCGTCGGCGCCTTCTTTGGGGCCGCCGCCGCCGGTGTCGCTAGCGCGTGGAACGCGTCCACGGGACCCGGTGGTGGTGCCATAGCGCTGCTGGATGCTGCGGGCGCCGGGGTGAATGTGAGGGTTGTGGACGGGGCTGGCTCCCAGTAATGGCTGGAGAACGGGTCTATGCCGGAGTGGTGATCCAAGGACTCTGTGTTGTCACGGTTAGCCACTACTGCCTAGACAGACACAGTATGGGTCCATCTGCCATGACTTACCGAGAATAAATTCCATCTGAAAGTCGCGCATGTGTGGTAATGGTGCCTCTCTCTGGCGATTCTCCCAGCAGATGCCTGTGCTCTCCGGTTCCATGCCGCCGGAGAAGGCAGGGCGAAGCAGTCCGGCATCCTCCGAATCGTCCAGGAAATCTCCCATGTCCTCATCATTGTCTGGGTCCTCCTCATCATCGTCCATGGCGTCGACATCCTCGCCATCATCCTCCTGCCACTCAGCCTCCGAGTCATAGTCGTAGTTGAGAGGAAGAATGTCCTTGGCCAGAGGGTTGCGGCCCAGTCTACGCAGACTCGCCATCCCTGAGGGGTAGTTCGTGACGGTGCCAAAGTACGGCGGTCGCACATCCTGTTTGAAGCCCAGGAACTTCATCGGTACTGCCCTTAACGCCTCTCGGGTCTGTCGAATCTGTGTGTTTTGTGATTCTGTGCTAAGGTCAATGACCTTTGGAGGAAATTCGTCATGGAGGAACCCAGACATGATCTTTCGAACACTGGGATAAATTCGGCCACGGCGACCACGGCATGGGAGCTGGAGAGTCTCGACAGGATCGAACGGCTTCACTTCAACGTGACCCCGCTTTTCGTTGATATATTCCTCCAAAATCTGGGATTTGGCTTCTTTGGTCTCGTGGTCCATGTCCAGATAAGATACCGGTGCCACGGTGACCTGATCCTTAATGAAAAAAGGTTTGAACACCTGCTCATAAACCGAGGTCTCCTTGGCAGCGCCCTTCTTTGGGGTCCCCGACGGGCTCGCATCGTCCACAGCGTCCGGTTTGATGGCAGCGTTCGGTTTCGGCGTGGCGGGGTTGATTTTGAAGAACGAGTTGAGCTTGAGCTGGCTGCGCACCTTGCGCGCCTCTTCCTCTTCCCTCTCCCGTCTCTCCTTTTCTTTTTCCTCGGCTCGGCGTTTTCGATCGGCGTCCTTTTTGGCTTTCTCGGTATCCCGTTTCGCCTTTTCGGCGTCCTTTTTAGCCTTGTCGGCGGCTTTGGCGGCTTTATCCGCCTCTCTCTCCTCTTTTCTCTTTACCATTTCCAGATCCTTCACGGCCTTTTCTTCCTTGGAAAGACGTTTCCTTTTGGCGGGGTGATCCGCGGTCGAGTTCTGGGTTGGAGTCGGGACAGAGTTGGTAGGAGGGTTGCTGGAAGGGTTAAGGGAAGGAGCGCTCGGAGGTGGGTGCGGCAGAGTGGTTGGGGGCGAATCTTGGGCTGAATTCGTCTGAGTGGGATTTGTGAACGGCGAGTGAATCGGACTGCCCTTGCGAGGAGGGGATGGTCTCAAGCTCGTAAGTGCGGACGGAAAGTGGTTCTCCTCTTGAAATAGGTTAGCGAGGGCATGCACAAACAGTGTGTTCTGTGTCCCGCGACTCACTCTCGTCGGTGTCGGTAGCTCCAGCCAGCTTCCCAACGAGCCCAGCATCGTCAAGCCGAAACACCTCGCCACAGCCAGGTCCAATAAATTCATCATGGCATCTCTTCAGACTACTAGCTTCAACCTCCTGGGTGTTGGATGCCATGGCAAAAAAAGACATGTGGGGATCGGGACACTCAATGTCCCTAGGGCAGGCGCGGCTCGGAACCCGAGTTCTCAACTCCAACTCAAGAAGATAGTGAAGCCACAAGTAGACAGATCATTTACGTTTCGCAATTGCAGCCTGTAGGGAATACAATGGCGCGTATCTAGGGCGATTGGACCACGGACGATTCGATGGGTGGAAATGCGGATAGGGGCATTCGAGGGTTGTCAGGTCACGGGCAGTGACGATTGGTGGTTGAATTAAAACCGCCGACGCGACTGTACGCGTTGTTTGGCGCGTGCGTTGCCTATTTGCCCCACATTAGACCTCCATTTCACTTTGATAAACCGATATGTGCATATAATCTTCGAAAGTTGTAACATTTATATGGATTGACACATATAATGCTTTTATCCCGATGTTACATGCGCTTAAGCCTGAAAACTTCTCCTACAGTTGCTTATGCCGAGTATTAGCGCAAATTCGAGTAGCTAGTTAGTGCGCTATCAGGAACGCCGAGGTTAGCCGACACTTGCCAGGGTTTATGTCATGTAAGAGATGAACTTGAGCTCAAGCTTCTTCATCCTCACCTACTTCTCTCTCATCAGTCCCAGACCAATTCTGAGAAGAATAATGGCCCTATCACTCTCCAGAAGGCAGGCCCTACGGCTCTCATCTCAATTGAGATGTTTCAGCTCCACAACGCCTAAAAACGCAGCTGAGGTGAAGCGGCTCGGCGTCATCGGCGCGGGGCAGATGGTGAGCATGTGAAAGTGAAGAGATTCAAGAATCGAACCCAGCTGACAGCGAATTCAGGGACTGGGGATAGCTCTCGTAGCTGCGCAGAGGGCCCAGATACCAGTCACTCTGGTTGATGCGTCCCAAAAGTCTCTCGACAAGGGGCTGGCGTTTGCCGGTTAGTATTGGCGGCGAGACTGAACACTTCCCCGGGATCTCTCAACGCCGAAGGAGACTGACAACGAAGCAGAGAAGCTTCTTGCCAAGGACGTATCCAAATCCAGGCTCACGCAGGAGGAGGCCGATGCGGCGCGGTCCCGACTGACGCCGACAATCTCGATGGACGAGCTGTCAGGGGTCGACTTCGTGATCGAAGCGGTGCCCGAGATCCCGAGCCTCAAGTTCGACATCTTCTCGCGGCTGGCTGCCATCTGCCCCAAGCACGCCATCCTCGCCACCAACACGTCGTCCATCTCCATCACCAGGATAGCGGCCGCCACGACGACGGACCCCAGGGACACCAGCGCCAGCTCCCGCGTCGTGTCGACGCACTTCATGAACCCCGTGCCCGTGCAGAAGGGCGTCGAGATTGTCAGCGGCCTCCAGACGAGCGCCGAGACGCTCGAGACGGCCGTCGCCTTCTGCCGGGCCCTGGGCAAGGTGCCATCCGTGTCGGCCGACACGCCGGGCTTCCTGGCCAACCGGATCCTGATGCCGTACATCAACGAGGCCATCGTGTGCCTCGAGACGGGCGTCGGCGACCGCGACTCCATCGACGCCATCATGCGCAACGGCACCAACGTGCCCATGGGCCCGCTGCAGCTCGCCGACTTCATCGGCCTCGACACCTGCCTCGCCATCATGAAGGTCCTCCACGAGGAGACGGGCGACTCAAAGTACAGGCCCAGCATCCTGCTGCGGGGGATGGTCGACGCCGGCTGGCTGGGCAAGAAGAGCGGGAAGGGCTTCTACGACTACTAAGTTGTTGTCGATTGTGCCATTTGTGTTAAATATTCCGATAGGACAGGGCAATTTGTCGCCTTGTTTACGATGCACCCGGTTGAAAGTAAATGATGGTGAAGGGCGATTGGGAAAAATGATTTGGGTAGGGCTCTCAATTTACGTTGGAACCCTCGCTAGACAGCTTAATATCTAGAGTCCATATTGTTTGAAGCCCGATCAATTTGGCATGTGAATGAATAGACAAGGCAGAAAGTTCTTTAACGCAGAAAACGTCCGGAATTCTCCAATTCTCTCTTTCTTTCTTTCTTTTCGCCTTTGTTCTGTGGAATGCCTCTGCCTGCGAAAAAGAGAGGGAGACAGTTGATCCAACGTTGGTTGACGGACTCCCATCCATCCATTCAGACTCGAACGAGCCCCCAGAGAAATCTGGACTTCAGCAGACGGGCACATTTGATTCACCGACAAGAGAGAAAAGAGACGAGCAAGGCGGATGGTATAGCATCGCGACGATCCGGACATGTCTCGATTAACGGGACAAGTTGCCGTCCATCTAGGCATTCGAACAGGGCGAGCTAGGCGTCGAACAAACGGTCCTCAAGGTCTTTTGGGCAGAGATGGAGACCTCCGCTAACATGATGAGATGGAACCTTTGACATCAACTTGACCGCAGCTGGGTCAGGGGCACTTGCCCTGGATCAAGCTCCAGTGTCGACGGCCAGATCGCTTGATCTAGCGCCGCCCAGCAACGAATTTGTCGATGCTCACGCCCTCGCCATAGCAAGAGGAATCATCGGTAGTCTCAGGCGGTCGAGCGAAGGGGCATCAGCGGCTCCAGAACCTCACACATAGGCAGACAGACCTCTCCTGGGAGAAGAAGACTGCGTGCGTGCATGGAGCGTCAGCCTCCACGCCTGAGCACAACTCGGGGAGGGGAAGACAACGCTGTAGGGCCAGGCCAACTAGTTGATGACGGTCGAGATCAGGCACAATTCATGCAGCAAGAACCTCGAGGGCAGTCTTCCGGATGGGAGATGGAGGCAGATCAAGAGCCGACCGTCAAGGGGGAAGCAGCATGGTGCTGCTGCTGCTCCCAACCTCATCAGCCGGCCCGAGCAGCACCGGAACCAAAGAACTCGAGCCGCACTATGAACGATCATGCCCCTCATCACAGCGCGCTCAGGCACTCCCGTCGGGATGACGGAGCCCATCCAGGAACACGACAACTTGGGCCCGGCGGGGGTGGATGAGCAACTTTTCCAGAACCAAAAAAACCAAAAAAAGCCGCATCGTCAAACGTCAGAAGCAAGTAATCGGCTCTGCTATGCCCCCTCGGCATGTCTCGCTGTCTCCCTCTCTGGGGCCTTGGGGGACCTTTCTCCCCACCTTGCCCCTTACATGACACGAACCCGTCAATCTATTTTGATTAACGAGGAAGCAGGCGAGGCGAGCGCAGGCCCCAGGAATTTCATTCAGGGAACGAGATCCCGCGCGTCCGGGCCAGGGCTCGGGAGCGCGCATGCGCGAGAGCGCGTGGTGTGTGTGTGGGCATGTGTGTGGTCCTGGAAGATGTGGAAGAAGTCGAGCTGCCCGTGTAACGTGTCAGGGGCGCGCAACGAGCTTGTTCCCAGCCTCCTAAGCGTGTGAGGAAGGAGGAAAAGGCGATGTGATATAGGGTATAGCAGTAAACTTGGGACGGTAGCCTCGCATTGAAGTTGCCGGTACAAGTTGCTGGTACAAGGCCTTGCAACGTGCGAATATCGTACGTACCTCTCTCTTCCCGACATGGGTTGTTCGTTCGCCACAGCTGGGATGGTTCATGTCTACTATACCGGACCCACAACTGGCCCGGAACGCGGGGGATAAGTTGGACAACAGGAAAGGCGGAAAACCAGCTTGTTTCCGGATGGGGAATGCGGTTGACGGGCATGAGGCTACCCTTGACTGGGCATTGCACGTCGTCCATCAGCTGACAAGAAACGGGACAGGGGGGAAGGGAGAAGAAACCTGGGCCCCAAGTGGAGGTGCGTCAGTAAGTTCGGGCACGGCCGCGGCCGCGGAAGCACCACGGCCTATCGAGCATGCTAAACATGCCAGTGGGATGGATCTCGTTCCTGACCTGAACGCCGGAGTTCCGTTTCCATGCAATGGCAGCCTGCCTTCGTCCAGGAACCGCATCTCCACCCACCTTGGAACCTGGCGCTAGTTCCATTAGCTGTTAGAGGAAGAGGACCCCTTGGTCCTTGGATAAGATGAGTCAAAAGAAAAATAAGAGGTCGGGGAAGGGGGGCTTGGACAAATCACGGCCCGTGATGACCTCGGGCTAGATGAATAGCTCCGGCGTGACGTGCGATTGACTTGTTAGCACAGTCTAAGTACCGGAGAACGATATGTGACTCCCTGAAGCTCGGAGGGCCATCCGAAGGGCCCAGCCTTCGAGAACATGGAGCATTAGTGGCGCACCATTGCTGATGGATGGAGAGAGAGAAGGGGGGTGGGGGGGGCGAGAGAGCTTACGCTCACTTTCCCCCCATTTACCCGCCGGATCTTTGATCACAAGTCTAGACGGCTAGCTCCTCGGCTTATGCCGTAGGGGAATAAACAAAAGGCCAAGAATAGCGATCCGATTCCAGCGAGGAAACCCAGAATAGGTTGCTTGAAACGCAAATCTTCGCTATGTGAATATCACTGAGAAAGAAACAAGCAGCAAAACAAGACACCTGCACACCCCTCCGGCTTTCTGCCCGATGACACCGGGTGCAGGCGGGGTTGAACAGCATTCTGAAGTGGTAAATTCAGCAAAACAAGGCGGCAAAGGAAAGTAAGATGCCCGTGGTGTGCTCTGGATTCGAGTTGAGGGATGTGGCGTGAGAGATCAGTCCCTAGGTGGACCTGTTGGCTCCGTGGGGGCGAGATCCCTCGTATGCTCCATGGGCCACGGCGTCTTGGCTCGGTAGGTACTTGGCCACCTACCGAGGTAGTAGTCGACGTGATATGATATGCATATGCATATGCCTGGAGCAGCATGCGCCGGTTTTCGGGTCTTGGATCGCGGTGGCCCGGCTACCTTTCTCCAGCCGCCAGTTGCCTCAAGACAAGGGCTCATTCTTGCACATCCGTTTTGAGAAGGTCGATGAGGACTGGCGTGAAGACTTGGGTCTTAGGCTGGGTGAAGAGGCTAGGATACCAGCGAAACGGAGAGGGGCGGTTAAAGCTAGCGCTGTGACAAGAGCACGGAAGAGGGCCCTCGAGCAGAGCTCCACGTGCCTTCCCACGCTGCAACTGCGTTCCTTCGTTCATGCACACTCGGCTGTCCCGAGATCCCTCGCATACGGGATGCGGGGTGGTTCGCTGACTCGTTGGCTGGCTCGTTCGCCCCGCGACCACGAAAGCGGTGTACGAGGTGGCTTCATCGCTAGTGGCGTAGGCAGCACCGAGAATCGGAAAACACACGAGTTGATTTCAAATGCATATGACAAGCTCCCTTCCTCTGCATGAGTTGCAGGTCCATACCGCTTGGGGAGGGGGGGGAGGAGGCCGACCCTGGTGGCTGAGGGACTGCCCATCAACCTGGAGTGGGCAAAGAGCTGGCTCGCGGTTTGGACTCAGGCAACGGCCTCAAGGTCGCGGAAGCCGAAGAGGCCTTGATTCCCAACTCAGCGCCGCCAGTGTACTACTCCCTTGCACAGTCAAAAGCCCCGAGACTAGTCGCGCTATCCCAGTGCCACTCAGTGCCACTTGACACTGCCTGGAGCCAACACAATCGTGCTGGTCTGTCACCTTATGCAATCGAGACGGCTCGATATTAATATGACGGCTGGCGCAGAAACGCAGCGGTCTTGTGCTAGTCGAAGACAGAAGGTGAATAGAAAGCAGAGCTCAAGGGGCGCTATCGTGTACCCCATAGGGACGATGGAATATATTGCGGCGAGCTTGAGGGGCGACGTGTACTGGCTGGCCTCTTTAGCCGTGTTGATATGTTTGGCTCGTCAATGAATCCACTGTAGAGGCTTTGTAGCTGTACCGTGTACGACTGGACCAGCTTGGCTGACGTTGAAGCAGTGTGGCGTCTTAACGACGTGGGCCATAAGATGGTTAAGCATGGAGGACACCAATGAGGTAGCGTGTACCTGCACCATGTCCCGTCCGCAAGGCCATGCCGCAAAATGGTTGGACAACTGCGAGCTCAACCTCATGTAGGTACCGGGCTGTCACTGGACCACGGGGTAGCTGTACCTACATTCTATAGCAGCCACATTATCAGACAACGAGCGGCCGGTCTGAAGCGAGTCAGGTTGGGCCGCGTTGACACCGAGATGGCTCTCCGCGTGCCATGCAGCCCCCTGGTGATTCTCCCTGTGGCTTAACACGCCTGGACACGCCTGGACACGCCTGAAAGACGTAGGGGCAGTAGCTTGCAACTAACGCGGCGAGGGGCTTTAGACGTGTGGATAAAGATGGCCTCAATGGTTTGCAACCCCGCTGCGATGGCCAAGACGGCCACTTTTGGCAATCAACCAGAATGGATTGCCTCTTTCGATCAACCGCTCGCATGAGAGCGCGATCTTGGGAAAATGCGGGAAAATCGAAGATCAAGAAGCTAAATGCACGCTTCGACGGCCGAGTCGAGCGGGCTGGACTACCGTAGCCATCCGTGACGGGGGCATCAAGACGCCGGTTGCGACATTGCGGGTTCCCCACAATGTTCTAGTCGATCCTGCCTTCGACTTGCATGTTTTCTCCGGTGTTTGATGCGGGCTGACGAGGCGGCTGTGTGAGGGGAAGAGACGGGCGTGAATGGTCGACACAGAGTGCTAGTGCATGATGTCTGGCTGCTAGTGGCGGCTCAAAAGAAGAATCAGAGCACCAGGACGCGCGACGCGCTCTTTTTTGTCACGATTAATCTTGTTTCCAATTGGAGTGCGTGTGTGGCTGTTGGCGGGCTCGCCGGCCGAGTCGAGGCTCTGCCAGAATTCCTAGGGTTGTTTCCTGGGTCGCAGCAATTTGAGATTGATGACTGAAGAAGGAACTCAAATCTGCTGCCGCTCCTATTCCCCTTGTGCTGGGGCTCGCGGGGTGAGAGAACCAGACCCAGCTGGCAGTGGTGAGGGCGGGAAATTCCCGTCATTGGACGCACTCAGTAGGTTGTTGGCGGGCTGCTGCATCCCCAATCAAACCGTCCCATCTCCCAGGATCTAGGCATTCGTCCTCTCGCATCGCACAAAGCTTGAGGCGCCGGCGCAAGTCTGTTTCTGGCCTGGGAGGCTGTATGCGTAGGACAGCGCGCGCGGGGATTCGCCGTGGAGGACTGGCATATTCCCAGATTGGAAATCCGTCCCATCTTGTTGGATCCAAAACTCGTTGGCCAGATAGGCTGGACAAGGCCAGACGCTTCCCGTCTCAGGAGGTCGAGTCAGCCTTATGGTCCGCGCAATGGTACTTCCCATTGCTATGTTTGACTTGCAGCAAGCGGGATGATGCCGCCGCCCTGTTCCCACGCCAAAACCGCAAATCACCACGGTTGAGAGTTACATGCATTACAGTTCCCGTGGCCCCGGCCCCCCCCGCCCGGGAAACGACCGGCCCAGGACAAAAGACACACAGCTCGTCAGAGACAGATGCGCTGCTTCGGTGTCTAGTATTGTCTCGTGGTAGGTGTGCGACAGGTATGGATATTTGCGCTTGCCTACATCCGCCTAGGCACTTGTTCTAATGATGGGACAGAATGGTGCGCACAAAGATCGGGAGAGTAGTTTCGAAGTACGGAAGCCGAGTTTTGAATTCGGAACTGTGCTCCGAGCCGCTCTGGCCAGGCAACGTTGATGCAGTGGTGCTCCTGGAAGCCCAGTTCGATGCTGCAAGGCACCGATCTGCCAGCCAAACGTGACGATTTCCTGGTGCTGGCCAAGGGGAGCAGACCTGGTTCTGTCAAGATCTGGGACGGATAGGGGAGCGTTCATCCAATTTTTGTGTTTCCCTGAACATTGCATCTCTGGTCTCATTCTCGACTCCTCCTGCAGCTCAATGGACGATGGATCGGCTGAGGGTTGACGGTGGCGCTGCCTCGCTTGCTTGCCTTGCAATTCTGGGTCAGGCGCGAGGGATTCAAAGAATGGACAGGGAAGACCCCAGACGCCACCGATCCCTGTCTCAGATCTTGAAGCGCACTAACCTGTACTGACCTATATGTATATGTGGTAAGAGCCGAGCTCAAATCCGCCTTCTGAGCAGACGTAATAAATAAGATGAGCAGATGGACAGGCACATCGACTTTTCGCCTACGTGCGTAAGCGGAAACTGGCCGGCTACTTTCGATTCGATACGAGAGGACAGTACGACTCTACGCCGCCAGTTAGGGTGTGGACTGACACCAAGCCCTCGGAGCGGGCTGGCGCGGGAAGGTGCGGGTTTCACGAGGACTCGTAGCGTAGTTTTGAGAACCCGCTAGCTTGAAAGAGTTCGTTTTGGGAAGCGCGCTTCTGGGGGATTTTGCGGCGTAATCCAGGCAAAAATGCATCTCAAACACGCCCCGGTCCTTAATCTGGCGGTTAACCACACGGAGTCGCGGACTCGCAGATGGCTTTTCCCCGACACAACACTCAACCAAACTTCGTGAGCATGCCAACTCTTGGCAAAGGCTATTGAAGCCGATCGCTCCAGCCAACCTTGGCCTAGCGTTGCTGAGGGAGATCGAGTAGGGGTAGAGGTTCCATGCTTTGTAGAACCAGCGTTACCTCAACTCCCGGCTTTCTCTCAGATGACGCAGACGCTGCGACGCTGCGACGTTGCGATTTCGTTGCCGAAATAACAGATACGGAGTATCAGCCAAACACAGGGTCCGAATGCGAAATAGCAGACGAGCGCGGCCATCTCGTGTCTCGAGGATTGGGCTGCCGCAATTGCGAGGGGGGATGGCAACCAAACATTCGAGAACAAATCTGTCGAAATGGAAGACTGGACCACACGAGCCCCCATGGGTATTACCCCCGCCAAACGGCTACTTGCCTGCCCTGCATGTACGCATATCTATGCAAACCGAGCACTAGCACAGAATGGGGGGAAATGGTGGCGTCCTGTTACCAGCAAAGATAACGGAACGGCGAGCAACAAGCAGCAAATACTACGGATCAAACGACCAAACTGCAAATAAGCTTATTATCCTCAACCTCACTCGTTTACCTGATCATCCTTCGCTCCCTCCCGCCGGTAGTGCAGGCACGTGTCGGATTCATATTGCGAGTAGGTACCTAGGTATGTATTCACGAATAGGTCGGGTCCTATCAGTCAAGATTCAAGAAAGTCCGCCACAGTGGCACAGCATCTTTGTCGGGATGTCTCCAATACCAAGGTCTGCCTATAAATCCTGATGAGCATCTAGGTTACTCTACACATCATCTCGCTTCCTCTGATCGACTCTATATCGCCCGCTTGGGGCTGATACATGCGTCGCCTTGACCAAGGTATGGAATTCCCTCGGAGGCATACCTTCCAGCGATGGAAGGGCAGGCAGGTTTGCTATTCGTTATGTCAAGCTGGAGAGGGAGATTTGGAGGCGTCGACATGCGTAATCTGCACAAACTTGCTGCTGCGACCCGAGACTCCAGACTCCAACGTTCGTTCCCTTTGTCCCCTTTGTAATTTCCCTGCCAGTTGAGCCAGTTGGCAATGTGGCGTGGGCCGTGGCTGGTCCTGAATCTCGTCATCAAATTATCGATCGTGCGTCCCTGGCAGATCTGGGCGGGGGCTCGATTGGACCAGCCCCTCCTCATGAGACCAAGGACGGAAGATGCTGTGGAAATTGAAAAGGGCGCACGGACTCTGGGATCTGGTGTTTTGCTGCGCTCACGCCACGGGTCGCCACTCAAAAAGAAGCTTCCACAGCTGCCGCAACCCCATTCCTTCATCTCTATCTGTAGCCTAGCGTCTTTTTTTTTTTTTCGTCTCGTCCGTTTGGCACCAGCCACCAAGCCACCACCCACCACCACCCCTGCGGCGGTCGGCTTGCTCTTGCTCTCCCATGTGTTCACTCCCAGATGCACGACACCCTGTCCTTGGCTCCCCTCCGCCTGTCTCAACTGTTAGCCCACCCTGCTCTGATCATTGCCGTCATAGGTAACCCCTGGCAATCTTCAAGCCCCGGACTGGGATCCCTGCCGGCGCCGCACTAACATTTGCAACTCGGCAGGACGTGCGTCTCTCACTGTCGCGTACACCACTTACCACCTACAGCGTAGCACCCAACCCACCAAACCTGCCTCCCTAGCTTGCTTTGCTCGGCCACAGCAGGTAGCACATCATATCAGCCTACGGCTCGTTCGGCGCACTTTCCCACAAGCCCCCCTCCGACCCCTACCAGTCGGCCCTGCGCCGTGCGATGATGATGATGATGATGATGGCATCATGAAATGCCTCTTGTATGCCCAAATCTGTCAGATCTAGCTGTGCACGGCATTAGCATGTCCTCCTGAGGGGACGGGGCCATTGTGAAAATGCCCCAAACCGTGTCTCAAAAGCAGTCCGCTCTCTAACCAACACCCGCCTGGTCAGCTGCGGGTTCAATCAAGAGCATTAAGCAAGAGGAGCGCCCCACCGCTCCGTTCACGACAAGCCGCCGGGCCCCATGCCGTGGCCGGCAGCTGGGCTCCCCTTGGCCGATTGACTAGCTCTCCTGGGTTGGATCTGTGTGCAGCATTGCAGAAAACCCTCCGGCGCGCCCTGGGGAACCTCCCCATGACCTTGCCCAACTTGGCTACTGTTGAGTGCAAAAGGTGCCGAGGGGTATGCCAGATGTCGGCAAGGAAGAGGAAAGATCTGCCCATCGCTGATCTTCACACCCTCCCCCCTGTACCACACTGCCCTGCCAGGGTTCTTGCAAGGATCACAATCCAACCCTCCCCACCTACCGCACCTCCACTCCCACCCTCTCTCTCTCTCACTCACTCTCTTGTTGTACACTCCCATGCGCATATCTTGCCTCTTGTCTCTTGTCTTGCATTCCGCTCTCCAAGTTGGGCCCACCCCTCCGCATTCTGCTTTCTCCGTGCACACCCTCTCTCCAGAATAGGGAAAGGGAACAGGAACCGCAGTAACTTCACTCAGTACACTCCCTGTCTACTCCCTGACGGCAGCCATCCATCCATCCTATTGGCTCCAGCCTAAGAGCGAGTTCAACAACGGTCATGCTTTCATCCGTGCAGTCCACTGTGAGAGCTAATGTGAGCCGAGATGCTTTGCGACTGCGATGTGCCTTCCTTGCCTTCCCACTTTCTCCGAGCAATCCTCGTCACTTGCTTGCCCTCCTGCCTGCCTTCTGGGAGGAGTTGGTTGACTAAAGTAATCAGACGAATGAGGGCGAGCTGGGGACCTGACCTTTGCGGGCCTGGCCTGCCCGCCGTTGAATCATCTTCATGTCTCGCCCATGTGGGTGTCGGATGCTTGCGCCCGTCTCATTGGCCCTTGAGCTGCAGCTACCTTGCCTGCCATCCCTGACCATGACCCCATACCGGGATACAGCCGCTCTTGCTGCAGTCATCTTCCCCTGCCATAAACGGTCATTCAACTTCTGCTGCTGGTATTTCGCGCATATGCCTGCTCTGCCTGCCCTGACCCCAGCAACTGGCTGTGGTACCTCCATGTTGGTTCCATCCATGGGCTTCAGGGCACGGCATTACCCATTCAGCCGAAGTTCTATAGCTCAGGGTCCTCTGATATATGGCCTTGTCACTCTTCTCATCCTCTCTTGTGTCAACCCTTGACAAAAAAAACAACGGTGTGGCTCAGCTGTTCCATGCCCGGGAGATCTGATAATATAGAGCGACAGGGCATTAGCTCGCGGCTTCGCTCTAATCGAGTGAAGCTCCGCTATAGCCACTGTCCTCCCTCAGGTACCAGGTACCCTCCCCCCCAGATCTTCCAGCGAGACCTTGGCCTCGATCGTTTCTGTTGCCCGTGCAAACCCTGCCCAGTACTCGGATCGTCTGGATTGGGCCCTCATCGGTATTAATCCCACCTCTGTCCTACTGAACAGAGGACGTCTAGGGACGGCACCACTCCCCAGTAACGGCTATCCCTTACCTCCATACTTAACGGGGCCCTTGTCGGTTCCTTAGTATAGAAGGACATCAGAGTCTACCGACCCCACCGAACCATCATTTGACACCCTCGAATTTATACAAGTTATGATCCTGCCTCGGAGGGGTCCTGATTCCAAGCTGGACTCTCTACCCTCTCTCAGCCTCCTTCCAGACGACCATCTTTGAACAAGTCCAAACACCTTGGCTTCACAAATCCGGTAGCTGACATCCGGGACTGGCCAACTATCCATCCTGGCTACTGCTTCTTTGTCTGATCATCGTTTTAACCTCCGAGCCTGATCTGGCACCCAGTCGCATCGGCCAACAACACCAGGGCGTACTTATACCTTAAAGAGCTCCCACCGCTCCCCCTCCACACCTCGGAGGAACTTGTTCTGGTTTGATCTGCAGCAGAGCCTGGAGAAAGGATTAGGCACTCCGATTGATCTGGGACAGATCGTGGCGATTGGCATTTCGAGTCGACAACCTCTCCAAACCTTCTTTCGGATCTGCTGGATAGAGATCACCGCGAACCAGACTTTCGTTCCTGAAGGGTAGAGGTCGCACCAAACTCTGGAGCTTGAGTCCTTCGATTCTGCACCAAACAAACAAACAAACAAACAAACAAACAACAGCCGTCTCCTCGACACTCGTTCATAGGTGACCTCGGTCACTCCTTTCCAACCAGAGAGGACTGATCTCAGCACGGTGGTGGCATCTGGCCGATTCCCTACAGGACGAAGACTCCAGTTTCCCTCCAAACAACGACAGTCTCTATTTCCAATGCTCGTTACCAGGCAATGTGAAACGGAGCAGAATCATTGGTCTGTCAGCAAGCTCGAGACCATCTTCCACAAGCCCTCCAACAGCCCACGCATGTCGAACAACTTCGAGACTCCGTTGTCGACACAGTCAGACTGGCAGGGGCAGTACTCGTTCCTCCCGCCAGGAGACGGCAGCATCTTCTCGCAGTCCTACGACCATGTGACGAGCTCGGCAGATAATACAGACTCGCAGGCGCAGCCGAGGTCGGCACCTGCGCCCGGCAACCCACTTGAGATTGACGGGTCCAAGTCCGAGGGGAGCTCTCTGAGCTCGCCGCTGGGCCATCGCCGCAGCCTTGACCCGCTCGGCTTGCGACAGCCCAAGCCGCCTACCCCTATCCAAGAGCAAGCGGAGACGCATGGCGACCAATATACTCAGAAGGCAGCAGAGTCGGTGCGCGAGGAATCCTTGGTCTCTACCGAGACCCAGGGCTTGTCAATGGGCTCCAATCCCCTGAGTTCCGTGTCGTCTGCTGGACAGGGCTCCGAAATCCCCTCCGGCCAGCCGGGCAACGAGGCACAGGGCGGCGTCAAGGATGAAGAGGAAATCCTGGACGACGAAGAGATGATCGAGGGAGACGGAGATGGAGAGACGCCAACTCAGCCCCAGACGGCGGCAGAGCGTACCGCTCAGCGGCGGAAGATGAAGCGCTTCAGGTAAAAACACACGAATATCCCGCGAGAGACTGTACTTATATGGGCGTGGGCTAACAAGCGTAGACTAACCCATCAACAAACCCGGTTCCTCATGAGCGAGTTTGCAAAACAACCACATCCAGATGCGGCACACAGAGAGCGGCTTTCAAGGGAGATTCCTGGACTGAGCCCCCGGCAAGTTCAGGTTTGGTTCCAGAATCGGTAGGTTTTTCACGTTTTACCACCCTCGTTGACCAGCAGAGACGCTGACTGTTGCCCCTTCAGCCGTGCCAAAATCAAGCGCCTCACAGCGGACGACCGGGACAGGATGATCAAGATGAGGGCCGTCCCGGACGACTTTGACAACGTCCAGGCGCTCCACTCCCCCTACGGAGCAGTCCAAGGACTGGGAACACCGATCTCGTCGCCTGTTGACTTCGGCGGCTCATCCTACGCGGACCACATGATGCGGCCCCTAATGGTCGATGTTCGGCGTGCTGAAGGCGACGACCATCTTTCCCCAACCGGTCTCAGTCCGGCATTTGGAAGCATCGGCTTCAATCCGTCAGCCACCCTCAGCAATCCCGACATCCTCTCCCCAATGTCGCCGACCTCGAGCGACCGCTACGCATACTCCAGCCACATGTCTACGCCCCTGAGCGCTGGACCTCGCACGTCGAACCCCTTTGGAAGCCGGCAAGGCAGCCTGGATTCGGGCATGCAAATGCATGGCCATCACTCAAGGCAGCAGCAGATCCGTCCTCTTCAACCTCTCCAACTGCGCGAAACCATGTCCAGGTCGCGATCGGACAATCTCCAGTCGCCACTGAGATCAAGCATGTCCTGGAAAGGAGATGCGATCGATTACACCACGTACCATGGGGGAGCTGGCTCGCCTCAATTGGGCGGACGGCCACCCCTGTACCAGCAAGACCAGATGAGTGGCGCGTCTCCTGGTGGGCTGGGGGCGTACGACTCCAGCAACTACTCGGGTAAGTGATCCTTGAACTTCTGGGGAGAAAACAGAACGGTCGATTCTAATGGCCAAAAAAAATTAGGCTCTACGGTTCAGTCACCGACGCACATGAACTATCCCAACTTCCAGTCTTCTAGCATGCAGCAGAACCCTCAGGGCCGCTCGCGACTAAGGGCCGCATCGGCATCGCTGCCGCTGGGCCTAGACCTCCGCAACCAGATGCGTTCCGTAGGATCAGGACACAACATGCAGCCGAGCGCTCACTCTCCCGGTGCGCGGACCTCTTCCACTCCTCAGCTAGGAGGAGTCTCCCAAAGCTATACTGCGAGCTTCCCATCCGCGCCGCTCACGGCACCGATGGACTTCCACCTGCCCAGGACACCCGGCTTCCGGACCTCGGGAGCCGACTACTCGATGCCCCAGATGAGCGCCCCAATAGCCCCACCGAACGACTTCTCTCAGGCATTCCAGGCCAGCATGTCTACCTCAAATTCCAGGACCCCTATGAGGGAGTCGTTTGGCGGCGGACCTCTGTCAATGGGTCACGGCCAGAACTCGGGCGAGCGAAGCGATGACTACTCAGGGGAACACATGGGCATGAAGCGCAAGCGTAGCTTCACCACGCCGTCTTCAGCAGCTGCGACGGGCCAGGGCACATATGGCAACACGACATAATGAGAAGACGAGAAACAGAACAATTTGATGAGCGCTGGGAATATATATCATTTAACTGGGTGGAATGGCTCTTACTGGTTTGGGGTTTTGGGCGTCAACACGACGATGACGATGACTGGGAATAACTTGTGTTTGCTACAAAGTGCTCTGCTCCTTTTCTCTCGCAACTGATTATTTTTTTTTATTTTTTTTGTGACGCAAGATAATACCCCAGTTCCTTTGTTTATACCAGTGTGTGTTAGGGTACCCTATTCCTGCTTGTTTTCGGTCCCCCCATTATTCTTCTTCTCCTCCAACGGCTACTGCCGATTATTATTTTCTCTACTTCCCCCCCCTTTCCCCAAGAAACAGCTCGCTTTTGTCCCGCTAAAAACTGTTCGACTGCCGAAAAAAAACCTCTCAAGACTGTTTACTGTTCATTCTTCTATCTCCTACTATATCAAGTGTGGCAAAGATTTGGCATGTACCTCGAGCGAGGCATGAAGCACACACATGCGGGGGCGCACATGGGCGGATATCAGAATGATACTCACGACGGCAGGAAAATATCTGCACCTACAAATGTTTTTTTTCCCTTCACCGTTCTTCTTCAAACCCCCCCTTCTTTTCCCCCTTTCTCTCTCTCCCTACAGGAAGCGAACGTACCAAAGCGGGGGGGAGGCCCGAGGGGGCAACCACTTTGACCAAGCGAGAAAAAAAAAGGCGACAGGGACAGGGAGAGAGAGAGGAGGCTGTACATAGACGGCGGCGACGGGGGCTGCGGCGGGCGTCGGGAGACGACAGACCAGCCTCCTACACGTTTTTCCCTTTCTTCGATTCTGCACGCTTCGCCAACACACCTTTTACTTTGTTTTGTTCCTTTTTATCCCCCACAGCAGCGCGCAGAAGATGCAGGAGATGCAGGCGACCGGGGACCCTTCAACGGGGGCTGGTTGGTCCTACCTAGCTTTGGCCTGGGCTGGCCGTTCCACAGTTTTCGGTTCTTCACCCACATGGACATGCATATCGAATCTTTCTTGTTTCCCGCGCCGCTGGGTTGGTTTCTTGTACATACAGACTTCTATTATATTACTATTATCTATTACGCTGTACTGGCTGACTTACTGGCTTGTTTGATTCTGCTGTTGCTAGCCTCTCCTGGTGGCTAGGCTAGGTTAGTGTCTATTCTTGGTCTTTCTCTCGCGACCCCTATTTTATATTTTCAACTCTTTTCTTCTCTTCTTTTTCCTACTAAGGATCCTACTTTACTTTATCACGGCGAAAATACCCAGACATGTACTGTACAAGTACCACATTTTATTTGGAAGGACATGGGGGAATTACTCAGAATGGGGGGGCGGGAACGGTCCTGCACATCTGGAAAGACGGCTGGACTTGCAGTGAATCAGCGGTGGAAAACAACGAGATATCAAATTCCATATCCCAGAGAAAGAGGGAAAACAGAAAAACAAAACCAACTGCCTTGTTCGTGATAGTATGGTCCTGCAATGCAAAACCCGCGCCTCGCCCTATAGTTTCGGCCGAATAGGGTCTCGGTTACGCCCACTCGACAACCCCTCCTGCCTCCTCCACTCCCCCCTTGTTCCTGCACCTCGCATGTCCTGGCGCATCGCGTAGCTATCAAGAAATCTATGTGTTCCGTAGGGGGTATGGGTTCCATGATTCCAATCCCGGGGTTTCGTTTTCACGTCTTTGAACGCCGTGCTGATCTCTCACCACTTCTGTCGTGATCTCTTGCTACGACGCTGCCACGAGGTCCAATCTGCGGGCGGGCGGGATACTACGATAATCACCGATTCAGGAGAGGCTCCGAGAGGGGGTGGTTTCTGAGGATGTTTGGATAAAAGATCAGGGCTGGATTGGAGGGGAGGGAGGTGGGTGGGAAAGGAAGGCGGGAGAGTGACGCTGGGCCCTCCTTTCCGTTTCCCCTTCCCTTGACCTTACTCGAGAACGAGGCCTTTTTTTGTCCCAACCACCACTTGCCCTTCCCGGCCTGGGAGGAAAGGCGGCCCAGAAGGAAATTCTCCGGGAGGTCGAGCTCCATTGCCCGGGGGGACCAGGCGTCGTACAGGAATGACGCACATGCTCTTGCATATGGTGGTTCTGCCTCCCCCCCCCCCCCCCCGGCCCCGCGCGGCCCCCCCCCCCCCCCCCCCCCCCGCCGCGGCGGCGGGGGGGGTCCCGGATGGCCCCCCTGGCCTGTGCATTTGGGGGGTTGCCCCCCCCCCCCCCCCCCCCCACCCCCCCCCCCCAATGTCCCGAGTACATAGGTAGTCTATCTATCTAAACGGGAGGAGGAGGGGGGGCTCGGAAGCAGAGCACGGCCAATCTCAGTCGCCCAGTCCGCGGCTTGGCATCGCGTTCCGGCTCTCGCATATTCTCTGCTTGCCGGTGCCCACCCTTACCAGTGGGATAAGGGGGGGGGAGGTTGGTCTACAACATGCGGGCTGAGGTGATGCAAGCCAGAAAACGTGCAGGGGCTACTGTAGAGTTGGGCGACAAGCTGCAGAGGCGGCGTAGCATGGAGCATGGGCACCTCGATGGGGCGGGTGTCACAAGAGAGTCCGGAGCAGGAAATGAAAGGAGCCGTTCGGGGTTGGGGCGTCTTGGGAATGCCCTCCCCGACCCCTCCCCCGCAAGACGGACATGCCGTCGAAAGGGGCTCGCTCGGCCATTGCACATGTACCAATAGCCGGGCCCTGCGGACGAAGCCGAGGGTTGCTTCCGCTTGTATTTTGCCTCTATGCCCGGCAGGCAGAGGGCGCGAGATGATCGCAGATGCACTGCAACTCTCTCCGCCTTTTCTAGCTTGAAAGTCCTGTTGGGGCGCAAGGTGGGTGAGATCAATTGACACTGCTACGCACTGGTGGCAGTCAATGCAACGAGACAGGCTAAGGGTGCCTCTACTAAGCTTGTCTTGCAATAGCATGGTGCCCTCTGGATGTCTAGAGGGCAAATCAGGAAGCAGGAGAGAACCTGCAAGGCAGTTGACTGGGCTTGCCCACGGCGTCTGGCCGCATGCGCACCCATAACTGAGGGGTGCCGGCCAGGACGTTGAACCCAGCAGGTATGGAGGTGGTGGCCGTATGCGAATGCTAACACACACAACGCCCCACGACCTCTTGGCCGGGGGTTGCAAGCTTGCAACTCCTCAGTGTATTTTGACTAGCACTATGTGCCGCGAGGGCACGGCGTAAGACACACCGCATCCTCTCGCTCACCTACCCAATCTTGGTTAACTCGCCCTCCATACAGCTCGCAAGGGTGCAGTTGCAACCGCATCGACGAGCCGCGGCAGCCAGCAGGAACGCCGATCTCCGAAGATTTCCCCCGCAAATCCGGGAATTCAAAAGCGTTAGGGCTCGTGGCCAGGGGCGCAATGGAACGGTGGGAAAAGTGGTGCATTCCACTGGACCGGCCGGTACCGAATTTTGGTCGATGTGAATATAAGGCCCGACGAGCCTTCTGTTCCGGGTTGCAACCACGACGGGAGATAGATGAAGCTGGTGATAGAAGCCGTCTTCACGTGACTCACCCTCAGGTACTCCCTAAATCAAAGAACAGGGATTGTGCATGTCACACCACATCTCGGTCTCTGACCCACCGTACCTACCTAGCAGACCAACGGATCACACCCAAGCCAAGCCACATTAGAACCCTTCAATGTGGCTCCCAATCACGTGGAGAGGACCAAAAGACCATAATACCTGCCTCATTCGCACCTTTTCTCTCGTCGAATTACCTCCGTAACTACTATAGCTATACACAAGGAGCGATCATCTTCAAAGTTGAAGACGACCCGATAGCTTCCTTCCATGGCAAATGGCAGAAGGGCCATGGCTCCATGATATCATTGGCCACACATAACCGGTTGCATCCAGGTTAGCTCCGGCTCCAGGTTTTAACCTCCACACGATGGGGTCCTTCATTTAGTGTTCATTTACGATCCCGTTGGCGAGACGCTTCGCAAAGTGCCGAGACTAAGAGGGGTGCTGAAAACCCAGGTAGGTTTGCTGTACCTGTCAATCGACCGCTTTGTGCCTAATCTTCCTATTCGTCATTCTCTGATGTCCTAGTCTGACGGGTGGGTGCGTTACTTGTCATTCTCCTTTTGGCTAAATTTGATCAAGTCCTCTCCGTTTCCCCTTGGAAAGTTTTGACAGCTGTCGGCGAGAAAAAAATACGGGTTTGTGCTCAGTCTGCCAATCTCGTGCCTGGCCCAGAGGGGCGTGCGAGCTTGATTTATAGTGCACACCTTCAAGCCACTCCCCTGCTGGAGCCGCTGGGAGCCAGTTGTGGAATCTCTGTGGCGCTCTCATATTGATGGCGGATACTTCACGTCGCCCCTCTAGTCGATGGGAACGGTACATTGCTCGCTCTACGGCCGCTAGGTACTTGGGCAAGGATGTGTCGAATGTGCGCAATATCGAACACATCCCGTCGATGCAAGGCGAGCGCCATGGAGGGAGGCCGCTGGGGGCGGGGGGGGGGGGGGGCGGGGGGGGGGGGGGGGGGGGGGGGGGGGGGGGGGGGGGGACG